ACTCTTAACACAGTATTTCACAAAATCAAAAAGTCACCATTCTAAATTCAAGCTGAAATTTCTCATTAATGAAAATTAATAGTCAACAGAGCTTGGTAATGCTAAATTTACTTCATAGTTGAACTGATGGGGTTTTACATAAGTAATTAAAGAGAGAATCCGGATAAAAGTTTACATGTTTAATAATTGAAACATGTTATCTTTTTTTTAGGAGGCAATAATCATAACTTTGCCTGAGCCACAAGGTTTATTTTTGAAAATCTATAGTGAGCGAGCCCTCTTATAATAAATATTGTATTATTTGTCAGTTGTTAACAATGTAAAATAATTTTTAAAAACTATTTCAGTCCTCCAAGACGTACATTGATCTCTAATGACCTGTTCTTATTCTCAAGTGATGGTCAGATCAAAATCAGCCAGAATAAAAAAATGAAAAGTATATTTTGGTTAGATGAGTCAGATGAACAACTTAGATAAACAGTAAAAAGATTCAGACAAATAACTGGAGAACTACATCACCCAATTTAATTTAATTAATTAATTATTAAATCCATTATATTTTGTGGTCCGATTGACCAAATAACTTCTTTCAATTAATTAATCTTTAAGTGAGGTATTGGTTGAGATAAAAAAGTCAGCGTCATGAGCGGGATTCGAACCCATGACCTTCGGCTAAATGCGCCACTGCTCATCCACTTGACCTGTCGTGACGTTGATACACTCGGATTAATTATTTATGATTTATTCAATTATTTAATATTAAAAAAACATTATTATTAATTAATTATAATTTAATTTTAAGTTGATCAAAGAAGTTCACAGTATACAGTTATAGCTACTATTGAAGAAAAGAAGTTCATAATAATTTATAAAAAGTAATGAAGATTCTGCTGACAAATGACACTATCGCAATCAGCACTGATTGGCTCATATGACAATAAATACTGTATCATTTATCTGTTGTTAACAATGTGAAATAATAATAAAAAATACTAATATCAAAATCAGACAGAATGAATAAAACAAAAATGGCAAAGTACGTTTTCTGGATAGTTCATGATCAAATTGCTTACACTGTTTTTTTTTCAATAATCCTTTAAATTGAATAATTTTGACAAGTTCCAAGTTGGCTGAAGGTTTTGAAAATAAGAACCGGTGTGAAAAAAATTCCATTAATATGAATCCATTATATTTCGTGGTGATTGACCAAATAACTTCTCTCAATTAATTAATATTTATGTAAGGTATTGGTTGAAATGAAAAAGTTACAATGAATTATGAGTTAAATATTAAAGTTTAACCGTTAAAAGATAAATCTTTCTTATGGATTAGACTATTTTTCAATAGCCAGCAAATTATTCCGGTTCACAAGATGTAATTTATTTTATTTATTTATTAATATATACGGGCAAGAAGGCAAGAAGTATTTACAAAGATACAACAGACATAGCAAATCTAAAGTTATAAAAATGCCAAGACAAATGATACACTTATAAAAATATTACAAACATATATATACCTACATTTAACATAAATAACAAATATATTCTTTTAAAAAGCATATACCTATTTAAGAAGAGAGAGAGAAAAAAATTATTTAAAACTGTATAATAAAAAAAAATTTCTTTATTGCATGTTTATTTCACCAGTACAATGTTTACTACAAACACTTTTTTTTTTTTTTTTTTTTTGAAGTTTTCTATTTTAATTTTCCTGTTGAGCAGGACCGTCCGTGGGTACGGTCCCCCGGCGAAAAACCCCGCCCCTTACAAACACTTAAAATTCTAGAAATGCCAGAGTGAAATAAATAATTTTATTTTTGAGGTTGGACTGAGAAAGGAAGGAGCAAGGAAAGAGTAAAAACACTCTATGGTCAATATAGTTTGTTAAAGCAAAATCAGCTTGACATGATGAGAGATTAGAAAGTATTTGAGATAATTCTTTGATCAAATCAAACAAAAGATAAAATTTTGGGAATTTTAGAATTCAAATAGACAATAAAAGTCATGACTAATTCAAAACCTATAGTGAACAGATAATATTGTATTATTTGCCTGGTTTTAATATTGTGAATATTATTGACATAGTGACAAATGCCACTATCGCAATTATGCTTGCATGTCAAGCACAATTCTCTAAAAAACCCAAACATTTGACAGTTTTGTGCTAAATTTGTAGGATTATCGTCAAAATAAATTAATATAAAAAATTTGAAGCAAAAATGAAGATTGAAAAGTTCCAAAATGTGGCTGATCAATACTGAATGGCCTACACTTCTTGACCAGCTACAAATTGGCTGAATCGTTTGAAAATAAGAATAATGGGTTAAATGATGACTGATTAATACGAATTTTGCAATATTCTTTAATGAATACTAACAAAAGACAAAATTTTGGAAAATTTAAGCTTTCAAACAGACAACCATTAAACAATTAAATCAGCTTTCAAAAACACAATTGATTCCAAATTTGTAATGAACAGAAGACTCTAGATCACATAAGAAATATTATTAATTTGATGTTTAAATAGTGTAAAAAATACTATTTTCGTTTGAAGTCTTGCCACCTATTCTCAACTGATGATCAGACCAAAAAGGCAGAATAAACACACACAAAAATGAAAGTTTTGGTGAGTTGAGCCAGATGAACAACCACAAAACAGAAAGCCAAATACTAAAAATATTTTTGTAAAAATTATAGTGAGAATAGGTTGACGATTATTGTCACAATTTTGTTTTTATAAATCCTATAAATTGAACAACCGCAATCATGGTTTTATATCAGAAATATTTATTTAACATTATCGAACAAACCGAAAAATATATATTATTCGTCAAGATTCACAAGATTTAACTTGTCATGAACAAACAGCTCAGGCGGACCAGATAATTAATGATCACACTGATCATTAATCAACAGCCTACACTTCACAGAACACAACGATTATTGTCACAATTTTGTTTTTATAAATCCTATAAATTTAACCATTTTGCTCATTTTGACTAGGTCCGAGTTGGGCCAATATTTTGAAAATGAGAACAATGGGTTGAACATTAATTACAGCTTTCATAAGGACCAAGTTGGAGTTAAATATTGTTGTATAAAAGTTAATAAAGACAAATCTTTTTTTATGGATTAGACTAGTTTTCAACAGGCATTGGTTCCTCCTGTTCCCAAGACGTTAGAATACATTTAGAGAAAAAAAAAAAAAGATTAAAAAATTTGATTTGATTTAATTTGACTTTGAGATAGTCTTTATCCGAATCTAACAAAAGATAAAGTTTTGGAAAATTTAATCTTTCAAACACACAACAATGCCGTGACTAATTCAAAATCTATAAAGAACAGAAGGTCCCTCTAGATCAGATAATAAATATTGTGTTATTTGTGTATTTTAACAACATTAAATAATTTTTTTTTTTAATTTGATATCTTGGTACCTATTCTAAAGTTTCAGATAGAATATAAAAAAATTGGAAAAGTGTGTTTTGGTTAGTTGAGTCTGAAGGGCAACCACAAAATATGACCAAATGCTGTAAAGATTTAAAAAAAATAATAATAATGAAACTATTGAAAACATGCTTGCATACAAGAAATTCTTTCTAATCTGAAAAACTCAAAAATTTATCTATTTTGTGATGAGTTTGTATGAGCGTTGTATTGGAGGTGAAAATGTCAAAAACCTCAGGGGAAAATGAAGATTGAAGTTTCAAGATGTGACTTGAACAAACAGCTCAGAAAGGTCATTAATGATCGCACTGATCATTAATCAACAGTTTGTACTTCACAAACCACCATTATTGTCAACATTTTTTTATTTACATATAGAAATACAATAAATTAGTGCATTTTGATAAACTTGACGAATCTTCCATTATGATCAAGTCTGAGTTGAATATATAAGTTCAATATTTAATAAAGATAAAAACCTTTTTAGGGTTTACTGTTCAAAAGACAGAAAATTCCTCCAGTTCACAAGATGTGATAATATATTTACAGTCAACCTAGTTTTTTAAAGGAAAATTAACACAACTTCATGACTGCTTGGGAAGTTTTTTTGAGATATTCTATAGATTCGAATCTAACGAAAGATCAAGATTCAAGATGACTTGAACAAACAGCTCAGAAAGGCCATTAATGATCACACTGATCATTAATCAACAGCTTGTACTTCACATACCACAATTATTGTCAAAAAAAAATTTTAGTTGATAATAAATATTGATAATAAATTTGTGCACTTGATGAATCTTCCATTGTGATCAATTCTGAATTATATATTTAAGTTCAAAAGACAGTGAATCCCTCCAGTAAGAAGTAATAACACCTTTCAGTTACTTTAAAATGCGTGACGGCCTGAATTTTTAATAAAAAAAAGTCCTGCAAGTCGAAAGTCCCCGTTGTTTTTCGTTTGTACGGTTTGCCATTATATTACGTTCCTGATTTTTTTGTTATGAACCATGTACAATGTTATATAATAATTGTGCAAGATTTAATTTTAAAATCTGGGCTTGCATGATTGTCTTTTTTTTCTATTTAGAAATGTCGAAAGGTTTAGTGAAATGAATGCAGGAAATTTTCTTTTGTTGACATCAGGAGAAATCGAGTGTCGTCCAGCAAGTAAACCGTGACGGGCCGATTTCTACTAATCAGCCGCTACGGACAAGTCGTCTACGCACCTAATTCCTACGGGCTAAGTCGAGGCATAATTTTATGTTAAATGATGAAAAAATGAAGAATAGGAAAAACACGAGATAGGTTCGTTTTAGAAAAGCAAAGCCGAAAGACTGATTAACCCAGTTTGACATCGGTTTATAAATAACGTGATCTCCCGCTATTAGTCGAAGAGAAAAAAAGTAAATAGGTCGAGAGGTGACAAAACGGGCAACAAAAGGCGACAAAACGCCCTTGCGTTACGACATAAGTCTGACTCATTGCAGTTTTATCTCCGCAGATTTCCGCATTCAACTCACCGCTTATAAAACTTTTTTTTTAACTTACCTTGCGTGCGGATCGGGTAGCCGAGGGCGAATGGAATAAATCCGATGGCCAGGATCTTTCTCAAAACCATAATTTCTAGGATGCTGTATGATCGGCCGATTGTAAAACCATCATCGGACGGAAAAATCCTCAGTTGAGAAACGGTATAACGGTCGCACTCGCGATTTCAGCCCGACACGGGAGAAAAAAAACGGCTGAAAAATCACAATTCCTTTGATTTTTCTCTTGGGCTGTTTTGTTTTTCTTCACTCTTGGATCGCATAATTATGCTTGCGAGGGTCTACGCGCCCTGGGCGGCTGGACGAACTGTCTCGAGGCCCGGGCTAGCAGGCCAGCATTTCGTAAGATTCGCACTGTACGCGAAACGGTATACAGCACGATGAGTCGCGACACCCAGTAAATAAAATACTGACTTCTGACTGAGACTGACGGAACGGGAACGAGTTTGGTAGGAGGAGAGCCGTCAGTCGTGGGACTGTCATTCCATGGCCAACCTCACGGAGCGCTCGCGCTAGACCGCCCAAAACTTACCATTTTCAACTTACCATGCAAACTACTGCATAAAATTCATAAATTATGAGTTTTAACAAGCATGGAAAAGTTTACCGTGTGCCTATTTTTAAACACCTAACGCCTTAGAATCTATCTACAACCTGACATTTAACATCTATTGTACGTCAATAATTAATAAGTATGTTGAAGTTGTGAGGAGCAGTCAAGAATGAGATAGTTTAGAAAAATACCTTTTTCATTTTTTTGCCAACGTTTCGACCTTTATTCGGGTCATCTTCAGGGCATAAAGTGCTATTCTTGTGGTGTCATATTGGTTTTGTGTGAAAGTTCATTGTACAACGATTTCACACAAGACCAATATGATACCACAAAAATAGAACCACACTTTATGCCCTGAAGATGACCTGAATAAAGGTCGAAACATTCGCAAAAAAAGAAAAAGGTGTTTTTCTAAACTAACTCATTCTTGACTTCTCCTCACGACTTCAACAAATTATGAAACAGGTCACTAATAAACACATATAATTAATAAGACGAATCAAATTTTAGGTTTCTTACACAGAACTACAAAAATCTTAAGATCCATTTACAATTTATGCATCTTCAGTGGTGTGTCTCAACCAAAATTTATAAAGGTGCATTTACACATGAAAGTTTTTTACTCTCGAAACTACAACTTGCAAGAGTAAAGGCCTCTGAGAGTTTTCGCTGAAAGTAGAGGGAGATCTCTCCAAGAGGTGCAATGTTGCATCTCCCTCGCCAGGTAAACATTTTCCCCTCGCACTTGTAGAGTACTCTCAATCATTTCAAAAAAATTTGAATGTGCTGAGAGTAAAATGCCAAATCCAATAAAAAATGGACTCACAAGGAGGCTTGCTAGCTCATTGAAGCATATGAATTGAATCCAATCCTTTTGGAACATCATCTTCCAGCTGTAATTCTCAAGTAAGTGTATGGCTTGTAACATATTTATTTTGTCTTGTGGTACATGGCTTAATCCTGATCCTCCTTTTATTAATTTTCTTCCTTTTATTTAAAATTATGCAGGGTGGGCGATCAAGACCCGAGGGGTTAAATGCCTGGGTAGACTCGTACCCCATCCCTAAAAGGTCCGGGACTTGGTCGGCTCACGTGTCCTGCATAGATCTCTTGGACTTGTTCACAAACCCCAAGATTTTGGACCATTTTATCTCGGGGAGTGATGTCCACTCCTTCAAAGATTTCAAATCTATACCTAGCATACCTATCACACTCTGCGAGGTAGTGCCTTGCCATTTCTTCTTTTATTTTGCAAAAACGGAAAAATTTGTACAATAATTAACGCACTATGATTTTATATCGCTTGAGAGTTTTTGCGAGAAAATCAATAGAGTAGCTTGTGAGAAACTCTTGACATCAGTACCGGCAAAATTTGACTCTCAAATGGATCTATGTCTGAGTTCATCGAGTACCTTTAGTAAAAAACCAAACATGGCAAGAAGCATAATGCATTTAACAAGCCAAAACTGTGAGAATAGAGCAGACTTGAACTACTTTGTAATACTTTTTTTTCTAAATAGACTCTTTCTTCCCTAATCAATATTTAATTAAAAGTTGGTTTTTTAAGTGGTCAGAGATCACCCAAAAATAACCTTTTCTTCCTCAATTTTTCTATTTTCCAATAATCACACGTATGGAATGGACTATGTATTGGGAATACATTGACAAAATGTTTCCTTTGGTTTGTAGGAACATAAATGGAAACTTTATTCATAAAATAAACCACAAAAATATTTTCACTGCACAACAATCAATACAAAATATTCTCATGTAAATACCTATCACAGAGTACACAATAAAAATACATTACACTTTCTGTTTCACAATCTTTTCTATAATATATAAATATTTTAAATTAATTATAACTTTATCATTTTTAAAATTAAAATTATAATTTTTAAGTATTAAATTTAACAATTATGTATATTTTTTTATAAGAATTACTAATAATAATGAAAACCTTCTATCTTGACCACAACACATGGTGGACCAAAATGTTCAACTTTGTAAATGAATAAAAAAATAAATAAATAAATAAAATAAACTTTCAATTTATGTAAAGATGGTTGAGAAGAAAAATTAGTGTCATGAGCAGGACTGGACCCCACGAGCTTCGGAAAATGCGTAATAGGAAGATCCTCCGCTCAGGACACTAATTTTTCTCCTCTGTCTTTGAATAAAAATTGGAAATAATAATTATTAATGAACAGATAACTAATTAAATAAAAAGTAAACTTTATTATTATTTTAAACCAGTAATTTCAATAGAAATTCAGAAATGATGCGCTGATGAAAATTTGTGATCTTATAGTTAAAAAAATCATTTCTTTGGAATATCATTTGGTGGAAAATTACTTATTAATAGAACATTATCTTAGATCAAACATCAAGTTCAAAGAGAAAAAATGAAATACAAGAAACGGTACTTAAAAAATAATTTCATATATTAACTTTCCCTTGTATATCACATGAATATTTGAACGACTTAGATTAAAATGTAGAACTTTCATAATCGGGTATAAATTTTAATTCATAATTATCTTAAGGGTAGGAGGATTTAAAGAACAATACAATTTAAGGAAGGAATTCACAATAAATAAAATCAAGAGGCTAAACAAAAGAATCAATAAAAACTTTTTTTTACAACCATATTTTGTTTAAAAACACTGAGAATCATTGTAAATATTGAAATAAATATTGAAATTTAAAAGGAAGATTAATGTTTTAAGGAAGATTTTTTTCTTTTAAATCACAGATTATTCAAATATAAAAACATATTGAGAAAAGTCAGAATTACAATTTTTATGATGAATATTTAAAAAGTATGAAATAAAAAGAGACTACTATTGTCTTTCAGGCAATGCAGTAAAACATCTTTTTATCACATTTTATTTATTTATTTATTTTAATAGAAAAGGTGTATTTTTTATTGTGCATATGAAGTTTTTGAAAATTCATTAGTGTAAATAACAAGGAATGCACTTTTTCTCTTCATTTTTATACAATCATGAATGGATACTCAATAGTACTCAATTTTTTCTATATACACATAACATTTGGCTTTTTTTTTTTTTTAAATAATTCATAGATAAAAAAAATAAGTGAACAATTGTAAAACAAATATGGAACCACCGTGAGATAAATGCCATAATACAGTCCAAAATTACTCTTATCACATTTTTTTTTTTTTTTTTGTAATATATCCGACATAAAGATACTGCATTCTCTATTTTATTTCAGCAATTAGATCTCATATAGGTATTGGCAAACACAATTAAAAAGGCTTCTCCCGGGACATTATTGGTATGAGCAGATCATCCATATTTGGCATGAAGAGGATTTTCTAAATTGAAAAATAAGACTTACAATAAGATTTTTTGTGATTTAAAAAATAAAATACCTGAAACTCCTGGTATAATTTTTTCTCTATAAGTCCTGTTATGTATCCCATATTGATGCCGTGGTCGCCAACTCTTGGCTTTGCGCTCAACTCGAGCTTTGTGTTCGGTTTAAAACCATACCTGAAATTCATTCATTTTATTATTGTATTTAGGGTTTTAAAATGGATCATTATGTTAACCAGAGTCGGTCTGATGGTGGAGGAGGTATGTTCAGGACAACCGTGCCGACGAGGCTGCGCACTTCCACATTAAGAGATATCGTCGTGTTTGATACGTTTTCCATTGCTTTCTTCACAAGTTTATTATCCGTCACCTGGGAACAAAAAGCAAATCTGATGAAAACTGCAACGGTAATATGATTTTTCTTTTACATAATATATAAATAATTGTATGTAATGAATTATATCATGATCCATTTTTTTCGGTTTTAGAAAAACATTTTCTTTATCATGCCAACGTTTCGATCTTTATTGAGATCATCTTCAGGGCCTTGTTGTTTAAATTATAAAAAAAAAATGAATTTATACAATGCTTGAAAATTTTAGATTCCAAAAAAAATATGAATTTATACAATGCTAGAAAATTTTAGATAAAAAAATGAATTTATAAAATGCTAGAAAATTTTAGATAAAAAAATGAATTTATAAAATGCTAGAAAATTTTATTCAGAAAAAAAAATGAATTTATTACCACATATAAAAGGTTTGTATTTGTTGTTTGTAATTAATACAAAGTACTAAGTAATAATTAATTAACAAAAATAATAAAACTAAAAAGTTGTTTTCTTGCTTTAAAAATTTTACTTTTCAAAAAGTAAGATTCATTTCAAAATTTTAAACTATTAAGCCTGACATTAAAACCACTTTTTTTTTCTTTTTTTTTTCATCAAAGAATAAAACATTTTTTGTTCTGAATCGAGCAAAATAGATCAATAACAAACCTGCTGAAACATTTTTGAAGCTGCAATTTTATCAATGACCATTAAAGCTTTGCTTGGTTTCGATGGTTTCTTTGGATCGTCATCTTCCTCACAGGATGTCTCAGCACTATCTTCTTGAGAACTGTCTAAATACGCTGATTTATTCCTAACAGACCAAATTAATTAGGAATGGTCTAATTTTCAAAAAAGAAAAAACATACTTATCACCGCTTTCTTGATTTGCAATATAATCAGCATCCCTGCTTGCGACAAGTTTGAGCTTCATCAGGTTGATCTTTGTGTCTATCGTCATCCTGCAGATTCCCTGGTAAGAGACATCGAGCTCAACCCAGAGGCCATCCTCGTTCATCTTGGGCTTCCAGCTTCGCTCGAGTACTGGAACAGACTTGGTGAACTCTATTTGCGAGAGGTTGAACCTTTCCATGAAACTTGGCACCTAGATAAAATATCCTAAATAATTTTTCATTCTATACGAATTAATTATACAAGTCAAAGAAATAAAACCTTGATAACAGCTAACTTGCGTGAGATTTTCGCCTGAATCATCCCAACCCAGTGTGAGTTCTTCATCGGATCGTATAAAACACGTGCGATAAAGAGGTTCAGCCATAAAAAGCTTGAGTCCAAGTTGTCAAAAACAAAACTGGTATCCAATTCCTAAAAGGAAAAAAAATTTTGTTCGTTGATGAAAGAAACGAACCAACATTTTTCGCTTTTTACCTCGTGGATTTTCATATTTCCAACTTGTTTCATGTAGTTGAGATAATCGTCAAGAACCTTTTTTCGTTTGACCTGTTCATCTTTGAGTTTTTCTTCGACTTCTTTTGCGTTGTCTTCGTTGACATTGTCAAGCCAACTTTTATACCCTGTAGCAGCTACAAGTCTTCTGAACCTACAAAAAAGAATGAAATTTTCAGGGTACATCAAATTTGAACGAGACTTTTCTGAGAGCATAATTTTAAAGTGAGTGGGCGGCCACTTTTAGAGTTCATTGGTAGGGATGTCATGGTTGAGTAAAGCCAGTGGTCTCCTAACAGTAACCCTCAGAGCAACAGATCTCATATGTGCAGATATTCATCAAAGTTTGACTCCTAAGTTCAAGAAACAAACACTGTCTATGGCTCAACTGTTTGCCTGATGTAAGAAGTTCAAGAAAGGATGTGAACAAGTAGAAAATGAGGAACACGATTAGTTGTCCTCGGGACGGCATTACAGAAGAGAATATTCTTGCAATATTGACCTCATTGAAGGCAATTGGCAGAACTAGTTGGGAATTGTTAAAACATCGTGACATAGGATCCTCGCCTATTGACAGCAGAACGGAAGTTGAGACTTTGCAAGTCTACCAGAAGCTTTCAACACACTTTGACCATCCTACCTATAATAGTGCAATTTTCATTTAAAGAGATACCCAAAGGGACACTTTAAAAAGCAAAACAAAAAAAAACTGTAGAGGAACAGTGATTCCAAGATGATGCATGGCTCTAAAACCTACCAAATTGCTTGAAAAAATGTATTTCCAAAGGAGGTTATCTTGAAAAATAATGTATGCTTTTAATACATTATTTTGTATGTTTTTTGTATGTTTTTGGGAGACCGTGGTAGCCACGTTAGCACGTGAGATTTCAGCTCATAGAACCCTCAGTCGCAGTTTCAAATCCCACCATCATCCCTGGCCTTTTTGTCACGTACCCCTTCCCCCCAAAAAATAAGCACAACATCTTATAACTTCTCCAAATATACATCATATGATCAAAAGGCCATAAAAAAATAATAAAATAAAATATAAAATATAAAAATATAAAAAATTATGCTTTTAATACCAAATTATTAATCCATATATGTATTTATAAGAAATACATGTAATATTTATATATCTAAGGTCTTGGTTGAGACGAAAAAGCTGGTGTCACAAGCGGGATTTGGCTCATACACGCAACAACTTCGATCTCCTCTGGGGGTTTGAATCCCGCTTGTGACACCAGCTTTTTCACCTCAACCAAGACTTAAGATAAAAGGTATAATTAATTTAAATTATTATTGTTTATTTAAATAAAGCTCTTCTTATCCTTTACCATTGTAATATTGTGTATAAATTGTGTATGAAAAAAAATCAGAATTTATTGTTAACAATTCTTCATATTATAAATAATTATTTGGAGATCGTGAGGTGCAGTATGGTGAGATTATAAATAAAAAAATTATTCAACAAATTAACCCAACTGTTTACCTTTAATTTATTTATTATAAATTACAGTGAGGATGGCTGAAGATTGAGATTTGCAATATTCAGATATATTGTTCTGTAGAAATTTTTGTACAACTTTAGTACATGTACCATCAAAGTGAGTGAAATACTTCATTCCAAAATGAATGTAATTTATTTTTATCTCAACCAATACCTTTCATAAAGATTAATTAATTGAAAAAGTTAATTAGTCAATCAGAACTGTAATGGATTTAGTAAGCATGAAAAGAAGGATTGTTTAAACTGCCACGAAGAATATCAAGTACTCTGGGGTGAGTGTATGACAACTAAGAGAGTAAAAGTAAGTTGTTGGTGAGAACGGGACAGGTTCAACCGGTTTGTCAGCCCATAAACCTCCACTTTATATATGCACAAGGATAGCATCAAACAAGTCGACCTTCCGAGGTCGATGATTTTTAATTACTCCAGAATGTAATATAGGGTTTGTACTAATGGAAGGTGTCTATATTGCATCTCCCTACTTATATCCCTGATAAAGCAGGATTTTTTAAACCTCAAAACCAAATTTTATTTTGAGTTTAATAAAAAAAATATGTGGAGAAATTCATCTGAATGAAATTATAAAATGTAATGTTAGTAATAACTGGCTTGACTTACCATAAATCTTTCTCGCGGTCAGTTCGGGTGAATAAATAGATGTTATTTTTGTTCACGAGCGATGGTGAAACTTGGACATAATCTTTAAAATCATCATCATCGAATTCTTCTTCTTCATTTGACTCTCCCTGATAAGGCGTATTACTTTTTGGCAACATCTAAAAGTTGTTTATCAAGGTTTAAAAAAAAACTGTAAAATGAAAACAATAATAGATAACAAATAAGGAAATGCTTGTAATAAAAAATTGATTAGGAATGCAGTTTATTTGGTGTTATGCATTATGATTAGTAGTTCTACTGGAATGACAATTACATCATTTTATTTTTTAATTAAGTTACATTAAATCACGCTGTTAATGTTTTTAGTGTAGTCCGTAGGGTTTTGAACCTGTAATTTGGTCGTTACTAGCCATTTTGGTCTGCTTTCACTCGCTGGGTCTGACAAGAATGTCTGATGATTGGTAATGACCAAATTACAAAAAACTTTGTTCAAAAATTTGTTAACTCTGCCTAGGATAATATATATATACAGTGCCAAAAAACTTACTTCACAGTCAATCTGGGCTTCCTGTTCAACCTCCAGTGCCCCCAAATCTGCAAAACAGGTGCGTTTAAAATAACTTATAAATAATCAATAAATAAGAACAGATAATTAGTTTAATTCACAACATTTAATTAAATAAACCTTCACAATGCGTAAGCAAGCGTTTTTTAACAAGACACGATTCTATTTATGAAACAGCGTTGTTTGTAAGTTTACGTATCCGCAACCCCATAAGCAGTAGCTGATATTTGACTGAATCACAAACAAAAAATACGTTTTTCCTTTTTACATTTTACCTAAATCACTAAGAAAAACATCTTGCTCTTCCAATTCTTCAAGGAGTGTCATTTCACTATCAAACTTCTCATCTTTTCTTAATTTTTTAAATAAATTGTGAACCCATTTGCGTTTCTTTGAACCTCCTTCACCTATTATAACTAAAGATTTTTCTTTGATGAAAAGTTCAATCTAACCTTTAATGTCTTTTTTTAAAGAAATTAATTTGTTATTTATGTTTCATAGAAATTATTTACGTATTGGTTTTAAAATTAAATCCTTCTTACTTTCTCGTACTGGTGAGTCTTTTGGCAATGGTGACAGAAGTGTGTCTTTAGGTGCAGCGTCTTCAATTATATCTCCCTTGTCGTTAAACTTAGTACTCTTATGAGAGTTTGGCAGAAGGTCAATACAAATTGGATATTTCTTACTCCATAGACTGCAATAAATAAGGATATGTTTTAATAAATTTGTGGATTTTTTAAAATAAAAAAATCCTACCGTTTTTGTACAAGCCCTTCTGGTAAAAGTCGAATGCTGCAATTCCTAATGTCATATGTCCTTTCCATATTAAACAACATATTGTGCTCAGGCTCGTTCCACATCGCTCTTTTTGGAATTTTTGATTTTGGAGTGCACAGTTTCAAAGATGAACCTGTTAGTTTAACGTAAATAGTCTCGGTTTGTGAAATATGGTAGATGTCAGGCTTGTATTCATGTGGAAACTCGTTCATCCACCCCTTGAAATAAAAGGAATAATTTCAAAACCATTTTTTCTCTTTTTTTTAATGGGCTTTATTGTTTTATAACGAAACTTACTGTGTATAAACATTCCTCAGGCTTGTCATTTTGGGAAACCATGTTGTCGGACAGTAAAGGTACATTGGAATATTTGTAATAGCCATGCAAGTATAAAAATTCTGGACGTGTTTCAAAAACCCAGTCAAACAAGTGGTCTGTCCACAAAACTACTGTTAGGCAAACCAGGGCACCAATAAAAAACCCTATCTGAAGACACAAAGCCGTTAGAAATTGTTACAGCTAACATGGATAAATCTCAACTTACTAAAAATAGAGGAATGTCACACATCAGCATAATCCCGATAATAGCGGTAAAAATGCAGCCGATTATAGAAGATGCGACTTTCTTTCTGTAGAGAATGACTTTCGATTTGGCCGAACCATTATTTACCAGGGAAAGTGAGCTTCCGGTATCGTTCTTCTCGACCACATCCAAAGCATCCACGGCTACTTCTATTTTATCACTCCTGGACACCTTGAAATCAAAACATTCCTCAATTTATGAGGCTTCATTCTTAACTTTTAATTTCTTAACATAAATTCACTGCAATTAACTTATATAGGTTTTCAATTAACAACGGGTATTTGACAGGAATTTTCATCATACATGTAAGCATAATTGTGACTAAAGAACATTTTTATAAATTTGGTATAACCAAAAATATACCTACAATATGTACATATAATTAAGAAATATATTATTAAGTTTAAGGGAGTGAAATGTTAAAAAATGATAAAATCAAACCATAAAATTTAATTAAATAAAATAACAATATTACTCACCTTTCGCCTGTGTTTGACTTTCTGTCTATTCCTAAAAACAGCTGATAATCTCCTTTTCTCTGGAAGGAATGGCAAGGAGATATCTTTGGTCTCTAAGCCTGGTAGAATGTTCGATACTTCTAAAGCAACTGGGGTAGTGGCCCTATCCGAATTAAGACTGATTTCTGTGTCGCTAACATCGCCTAGGTCCGAATCGGCAGTATCCTCTAGTTTTTCCGTCGTCGATACTATTTCAGAGGTGCTCTTTTCAGGAGATGAGCTGTCGAATAGAGACGGCTCTGATTTTTCCTCTGAGTCGCTCAAGCTCGAATTCGGCTTTAGCATGTCCTTTTTCTTTTTCTTTTTCCTATTCATCTCTTCTATCTTTTCCTCGACTGTCTTTGTTATACGGCCCCTTATCTCCGTGAAAAGGCGCCATGGCTCCGGTGATCCGGCTTCTTCCAAGCTGCCAGACCGTTTACTGGTCTTCGAAAGCAAGAGAGAATCTTTGTTCTTTTTTTCAGTGAGTGGTGTTGATTGAGGACTGCTGTTATCACTGTGAGCTTCCCCTGATAATAAAGAAAACATTCGAGTACAATAATTAATAACGCATTTATCAAAAAGTGGACATATTAAGAAAAAAATGCCCCCAGGCATACACATAAAATTTTAGTTTAATTAATTGTACTTTCTAAGGTTTTGGTCGAGATGAAAGTGTCGTGAGTGGGATTTGAACCTATGACCTTCGGCTCAATCTAACCGATCACCCATCCCCACTAGTTGGGATTCGGCAAACCTTTGCTTGCATTCGGCGAATACCACATGCCTGGAGCCACTTTCAACCAAGACCTTAGATAAAAAGTGTAATTAATTAAAATAATTTATACAATCAATTATGACCATTATGTATGGTTTAATATAATAAAATATTGTGTTGTATATTAAGTGCTTAAATAAATACTTCCACTATTATTATCATAGAGATAAATCTTGTTTACCCAGTGCATATTTTTAGAGCTTATTATACACACATAACTTAAATTTAATTATTTATCAATTTTGAAGCTTCTGAATTTTAAATAAATAAAACAATGAAGAAAAAGAGACATTATATTCAGCTAAATTACTTCAACAATAGAATAATCTGTAAAATACCATTTTTGATCTTTCTTTTCTTCAAATATAGTCGAAAAAAGAAAATGCAACGAATACTTCTAAAACATTGAAACAACATTTATTCCAAACACTTAAACTCAGTGCCAGAAGAGGACATCATTAAATATTGATAGATATCAAATTATCAAAGCTATAATTTCAAAAGATTAGATGAAATATAATTGATGACATAGTAAAATAATAAAGAGCAATATTGTACAGCCTTTTTGTTTCCATTTTAGTCTAACCTTTTCCTGATGTTGCAAAAATAAATTTGGACAGAAACATCTTCACAAACAGTACAATTTACATAAACTGAATTTCTTATTGAACTAAAATATCAGATTTGAAAACTTCCCTTTCCTTTTGAGTCAACAGCGAGTAATCTCTGTACAAATACGGACTATGCTAACAATTTCTCGACTAAATAATTGTTTAAATTTGATCATTTTGATTTTGCCTTTTACAAAATTACAGTTACAACTGGTCGAATCATGTAAGCATAATCTGTAGTTAATTTTTTTCTGAATTCTTACCCACAAAGATAAAACAATGATGAGTGATTTTAACAGTAGATAAGAGTTAAAAAGTAACAATTTCTCAATATGTACATTCGATAAACCAATTATATTTTCTAACTTCTTTGCCTTGTCCCTTGTTTTAACATATACCTAACAATAAATGCACAATATAATTTCATTGTTCAATTATTAATTAACATTTATATAAAATCTGTTATTAGGGAGTCCAGTGGTTCTGAATTCAAATCCCAGGATTGCAATTTTATTTTACTTGTGAATATTTGTAAAAAAATAATAATAATAACATATTGTACAGTGGTTTGATTCCTTGTCTACAACTCTAAAGAGGTAGCTGGACTTAAAAGGGGACCACAGATACAGAGCGGTTAAAGTGACCGATATTTGCCAGGCTAGCGGTTCTGGGTTCAAATTCAGCAATGCAGTTTTTTTTTACTTGTGAATATTTGTAAATAAATAATAATAATAATAAAATGTTGTACAGTGGTTTGATTCCTTGTCTACAACTTTAAAGAGGTAGCTGGACTTAAAAGGGGACCAAGGAGGCCGAATGGTTACAGCACCTGACTTGTATTTGCCAGGCTAGCAGTTCTGAGTTCAAATCCCAGCATTGCAATTTTTATTTTACTTGTGAATATTTGTAAAAAAATTAAAAAATATCGTAAAGTGGTTGATTCCTTGTCTACACCTCGAAAGAGGTAGTTGGACTTAAAAGGGGACTGCGGAGGTCGAGTGGTCACTGCAACTATTTATATATTTGCCAGATTAGTGCTTCTGAGTTCAAACCCTAGCATTGCTTTTGTATTTTACTTGTGAATATTTGGAAAAAAAAGTGGTCTAACTGCTTGTCTGCAACTCTAATGAGGTAGTTGGACTTAAAAGGGGACTGGAGACAAAGAGGTAACAGTGTAACTCGTATTTGCCAGGCTAGCATTTCTGGGTTTAAATCCCAGCACTGCAATTTTTTATTTTACTTGTGAATATTTGTAAAACAAAAACAAAAAATTGGGGAGGATTGGCCCAAGGAATACTGACGGATGGTTTGCTGTGTGGAATCTACGCTCAACTGATGAACAACATCCTGACTTGGCTACTTCTTGATTGCCAAACGCTTCAACTTCAGAAGGATTCATCATTTGACTATCGCTAGTTTATTGTTTGATAAACTGCAAAAACCATGTTTTTTTTGTTTTTTTTAATATATATTTACTTTTATTTTGACTTCAACTCAAGTAATTGGCAGAAAATATATGTGCGTTAATTTAATTTTCAATTAGTTTTTTTTTTTTTTTTTTTTTTTTTTTTTTTTGTTAATAAACCTGGGCAAGCTTCTACCACTGCATGTTATCCCTTAACCACATTATAAGAGGTAGATGGAATTAAAAGGGGACTGCAGAGACAATGTGGTTACAGTGTCTGACTTGTATTCACCAGGCTAGCGGTTCTGGGTTAGAATGTCGGCGTAGCCCATGGCTTTTTAATTGGTAACAGTATGAAAAAACCTACATCCGTTCAAATTTTCCCTCTTTTTGCCATTTTCAAATGTCGTGTAATCAGGATTGGATTCTCTGTTTAGTGAAGTGATATTTCTTTTATTTATTAAATATTACTCCTTAAATACTTAATAAATATTATTAATTAATAGTTTGAAAATGGCAAAAAGAGGGAACATTCTAGCGGTTGTAGGTTGAGATGGGAAGTTGGTGTCCGAGTGGATCGAAGTCACGATAGCTCAAGTGGTAGAGCAGCGGCGTATCAAACCGAAGATCGTGGGTTCGAATCCCACTCGTGACACTGACTTTTTTATCTCAACCAAGATCTTACATACAAAGAATAATTAATTGAAAGAATTAACTTGGTCAATTGACCACTAAAATGTAAACGAATTAATAAATATTAATAATTGACTTAATACATAAATAGAACATTAATTGTTGTTTATTTTTATAGTATTACTCATCCCTTTACACTCTTTAGATTAAAAATAAAGAATATCTGTTCAATTCATCCTTTTCAGAGCTTTGACCTTTTTTTGATAACAAAATAAATTTAAGTAAAAAATGATTTTTTTCCCTTAAAGTTCTGGCTAATGACAGACATAGCGTCCATTATATAACCATCCTGGGTGTGCCTTGCTCTACCATCCAGTAGGTCTACAGCGGTTTAGGACCACCAGAAATCTCGATTGCTCTTACCACTTTTCACAATCATCATTAAATCCTTGTTAGGTAGTCATCAGTGTAGATGCAGCTTTTTCAAATTTTTATGAACAATTATTAAAAAATTAATCCAACAGCTTTTTCTATAGGTTTTAAACAAAATGGATCTTGATTATCTACACTTAGCAAGGGGTATGATCGAACCATATGGATGGTTTGTTACAAACTGTCGATTGGCTTACCGATCTTGGGGGAGTCGTAAAGCTGTTCAACTTCCTCATCCTCAGCATTGTAGCGTATTGTGAAAGATGGAGTCGACGTTGAAATGGCTTTACCTAGAAATAAATAAAAGCATGGATATATAAAGAGAAATACTGCGACCATCAGTAAAAGCAAGGCATTCAGTTCAAACATGTTTGAAGCGAAACAGTCGTTTCACAATGTTAACGACATAAGGTAAACAGTTTCTCAATACGTTATCAAAAAGCAAATAGGTTTACCTTTCAATAAAGCTAGTTTATTAGTCGAAGCTTTAGCAGCATTCATTATTGACAGTTAAGAGGAGAAACATGCAAACTTCCACCTTTGGTTTATAGGATCATTCCCACTGTGAATCACATAACAAGGAAAGCTTTAAATCAACAAGTTTCTCAAGCTTCCGGCCTCCAAAGTCCTCGTCCTTACTTGTTCTCTGAGGGTCCATGTCTGGGGTTTGTGGTCTTACAGTCAGGATCCAGAAAGAGATCTACGGCAATCTCATCGGACTCGTTCGACCTCGGGGCTTCGGAGGTCCGCCTGTCCTCGCTGTTTTCTTACATGGGGGGACGTCTTTTTTTCAAGAATAGGATAAGCATCATCGCAGATTGTCCAGAACTTGTTGATAACAGGGTCCTGGAATCCTGATTGATCCCCGCGATTTAATTTTCAATGCGACTACATCGATGGAGTCGGAATCGATCGAGAGGAGAAGACGCATACGTTAAAAAAGGGCCCAAAATTGTCAATTTTTTAATTTAAAATGAGGTAAAATCGATGGAAATTACGTATTTATAAGTCAATTAACTTAAAAAGGCTTGAGATCCAATGACAAGAGTTATCTCAACTACAGTAATATTTTTTCTAGAAGCTAAAATGGTAAGAGAATTTTTTTTTCAAAAAGCAAGTTTAAAACATAAACTAATAAAATTAAATAAAAAACAAAAATAATACATAAACTGTCATAAACACAACTCTCAAAATGAAGATAAAACATCAATTAAATAAATAATATGTTACAAGTTATAGTTCATAAATGCCATACTTTAATTTAATTCAATATTATAAACGCTGCCTAACATTTATTCACTTTTTTAATTTAAAAAAAAAAATGCCAAAAAGTTAAAATTATAACAGATCATCTTGGACAGATGAAAGCTATGACTTGTGAATAGTGAGGTCTTATGGTTGCATAACCATTGCCAGCAGAGGTCAAGTGATCAGTCCAATGGCCAAAACTGACAATTAAACTACAATAATATAACAATTGGATGTTTATTAGTATTAATTAAGATTATAAGAAAGAGACATTGTCATGCCATGTAAGTTTAGAGTTAAAAATAGACATGGATTTTTAACTTTTGCACAAAAATTAATAGGGGAGCGGTTGATACAAGGAGGAGATAGGCAATCAGTATTAATGGGTTTGAAATTGAAATTGGAAATGGCAAAAAGAGCGAAAGATTCAAAAGGTTGAGATGGGGAATTGGTGTCCGAGTGGATTGAAAACATGATAGCTTAAGCGGTTAGAGCAGCTGCGTATTGAGCCGAAGGTTGTGTGTTCGAATCCCTCTCATGACACTAACTTTTTCATTTCAACCAAGACCTTACATAAAAATAATAATTAACTGAAATAAGTAATTTGGTCAATTAGACCACTGAAACATAAATGGGTTAATATTATAAGAAAGATTGTGATCAAACTGTTTCCTAATTTCAATAATTAATTTGCATAAAGGGAAATAATCAGCCTTGCCTTGATAATAACTGCTACTAATATCATTTACTCCTATGTCTGACAAAACTTAGAGAGTTAAAGCTTTGAAATATATCTCCTCTTTTCTCTCAATATCAGCTTTGTTTACTCTTTTCCCTGTTTCTAAATGATCTTCCATTAGTTTTTCTCTCAATTTCTTCTTTATGCTAATTATAAGCTTTACATTCAATGTCCTATAAGCAACATCTCCGAAGCTCTCGACCATGATCTCTTCAATCTCTCAACTAATGGTCAAGAAATAATGGCACTCTTTTAAACCCTAACAAATCCCAGTCCTTATTAATTTCCAATAAACCCATTGGTACAGATTGCCCCCTCCTCATATCCACTGCTCCCCTATTAATTTTTGTTCTAAATTTAAAAATCTCGGTGTCATTTTTAACAACAAGCTTACGTGGCATGACAGTGTGAGCTCTATTATTAAATCTCTCTCCATTCTCTTCGACGCCTTAGCTTTTTCAAACTTCGACTGTGAAGTGACCGCTCAATGGAGACAACATGTGGTATAAAGAAAACCAGGGAAAGGAAAGGTAGAAACGACAGTCAGTGGCCTTACAAGAAGGATCGATGACAGACTGAATTAAGGACCTAGGAAAGTACAATATGCCTGAAGGCTGCAGTGGTTGGGGGAACAAAAACTCCACATCTTAGCATCATCATGCTGATTATCAAGTGCAATAACATTGCCCCACTTCATAAGCATCATCATGCTGATTATCTACTATTATATGAAAATCTTGTGAAGGATGTTTACCCAAGAGGATATAAAGAGTGATGAAAATGCTAGGATGGTGATCAGTTTAGAAAAAAAGCTCATGCTTTGCATTTTGTAGAAGTATAAATGAATTTTTAATTTCTTAAACTTTGACCTTTGTACATTTTGAATTTGTTCTAGCCGTTTAGATCAACTGCGAGAAAAAATTCACTCTGTACCAATGGGTTTATTGGAAATTAATAAGGACTGGGATTTGTTAGGGTTTAAATTTGAAGGAGTGAGCGAGTTGCCTTTCCCTGCTTATTTCCTTGGTGCCAGCAATTGACTTTGAAACTTATAAAGCTGTGACAATTTCCCAAATTTTAAAGCTAAAGAAATTGTATCAGCACTAGTACAAATTTTAACTAAAGATAGTGGATTGATAATCTAAATATTTAGCTGTCATGTTCAGAATTCTGTGTTTGCAATATCCGGCCAAGATTAGATAACTATGATTTGTCAGATGGTTAAAGCAAAAAGGTCATATTTTGCACAAATTAGTTCCAAAATCCAAAACATGATTTTGTAAACATAATGATAAAAAGTTGTCAAAATATTTTGTTACATCGAGGACAAGTGATTCAAACTGATAACAAACTTTCGTTCAGAATAAAGATCAAAATTTGAATTTGTTAAATGTGTTTTGAACTTTGCACTCATTTCATTCATTCTCAGTTTTACGTTTTCAACTCAATGTGTTTAAAGGCAAAATAACCAATGAAGATAGACAAAATTGCTACAATCTGCTAATTTGGTGTTTTAGAGGTTAAGGGCTGAGATCGGACAGACTTCCAAAGTTCCAAAGGAAGGAGTACCAACTAATTTAAGATTAATTTACTAATTTAAGTTGAAAAACTAAGGAGATATTTATATTTGGATGAGATCTGCTGATTGATTTGGACCTACTTGATCACGTCACACCTTGGTATAACTCGGGCAATAATGATCAAAGATTCAGCTCGATCATCTCTGAGGTCAAATTTCAGGCAAGGTTGTTACAAAAATCCTTGCGCTTAAAAATAATTATTTAAGTCTTCAAGTTAGAAATCAATTTGCTGCCAGGGAAATCTTCTTCCAACTTTAAGACAATTTTGGGTTTATGATCCATAAAAACTATGAAAAGTATCTTTAGTAATTTATTGTAAATATTTCCACAATGACTCTTGGGCTGATGTGGGTGAAGGGCAAATATTGAAAGAAACTGAAAAGTTTAATTTGCCCGATGGTACAAATATAGCTTGATCATATCCGATCATCCTGGGCTGGCTTTTCTTCATGTCAACCAGGATGATTGGAGGTGATCGAGGTAAACATTACAACTCGGTAAACAAAAAGTCACCTGTTTCCACGCGAGACCACATTACAACTCACTGCTAATGCTGAAATTCCTAATTAAAGAACGCTAACAGATAATATAGCTTGTTAAAGTAAGATTAACTCTATATCTTGTCTGAAAGGAGGTTGAGTAATGATAAGAGAAAGAATTTTGCACAAAAGTTAACAGATTCGATAATTGACCCATGTTGTTTGTAGGCAATAATGATAACTTCATATGGCAGATGTCATCCGCACAAAGCCAAATAATAATAATAATGATAACTTTATTTGGTTATTGACTATCTGAGTTTTATTTTTTAGGAATCTTTTAACCATTTAAAAGGCCTTATGTTGCTACTGATTGGAGATGTTAAACTGCTGATGCATATGTCCTGCTTCAGCTATGATCAGGCCAGAATAAGACATTAATTGCGGAGAAGTGCCAATGTGTTTTGGTTATATGAGTTAGATAACATTATCACAATTATTAATTTATTTATGTCAGATTTCTTATCCTGCAATAATGTTCTTTTTTAATTTGCAATAGTCACATAAATTTATTGGTTTTGTGCCTTCAGGCATGAGATTAATTTGAAATAAAATAGATGGGCTTTGGCAGATAGAGTGAGGAAAGGTTGTAGGCATGGATAAGGAAAAAAATGAAAGCAATGTTTAGGGGTATAAAGGATGTGTAAACTTATCACCAAGCTCCCTTGAGCAGAGCTGTAATTAAATTGGTGGATAATAATAGATATAACTAGGAGTTTACACGCACTAAAGGGGCTTCTAGAAGAAAGAAATACAACCTAGTGATTGAAATAAAAGAAATAATAAGAAATATTCCCTACTGAGCACTGCCATGAGGACCATCCTGAACATCGTAAAAAATTTGAACCATGACAAACATTCAGATGGGAGTATTAAGAAGCAGCAGACGAACATCAAGCAGAGCAAAAAGACAAAGAAAACTGCTATAGCTAAGTAAAATTAGCCTAGGAATGGAGCAAAAGAAAGGTAGAATAGCTTTTTTTTGTCACAATAGACTTTTCTACATCCAAATTAAGCCAATTTTCAGCGGCCCAGAAGATAATTCAGTTTAAGTCCTCCTGAATTCTTACACTATGTTTCTTTTCCATGTACATTTTAAATTAGCTACAGAACTTTTTGTCTTTACATTCTCAATAGGACTGAATTCTGCTGATTGTGCTGAGCTGTTCATAACTTTTGAACAGCTCATTTTACAGTCAGCTTAGGACCGTTGTTCAAGTTTGAACTTGAAACTGCTAAGTCAAATTTAGAAACCTGTTCAAAATTTCTATATTAAGTATATGTAAATTACTTCATTACATCCCCAGGACCGTTTTTTTCTAGTCACCATTGATTCGACCTCCGAGCTCACTGGAGATTCATTGATGTCAGAGTCTGAGGAGGCACCCCTTAATGCAGCTCAAGACTGTCCAGCACCCGAGGCCTGGATGGGCATCACCACAACATGGCAGAGGAAACAAGAATTGAAAGGATATGTAACTATATTTTATCTATTAGTTTGATGTCTTAAGAAGCTAAAATCTTCCTTATTGGTGTTGAATTATTGCCTAGTATGGATTGGAGGCCTTGGGGATTTGATAGAGGTGTATAAAGGACAATCAATTATGATGTGGGAGATTGGACATAGGATTAGGGATTTTTCAAGGAGAAAACTATGATTGAGCTGGGCATGGCTAATTCGAAGGCGGGTTAGAAGGGTTTTTTCTTTTCAGGAAGGTCTGTAAGAGGATTCCCAATTTTTGCATATTTTTTTATTGCGAGGAGTTTATTTCCTGTGCAGGCAACACATTTGCCTCCAAGCCTTCCAGACGAGCTGCTTAAAGTGACCCCATTCCCAGAATAATTAACTTAAACAATTCCAATTCTACAATCATAAAATAGAAATGTACTATTTTTCAGCTTCTGTCGTAAATGGAACTCACCTTCATTTTAATTTTATCTTTCCAATAATCAGGATAGCAGTCTTTACTTTTAGATGAGTCTATTTTAATTTGAGAGATAATTTTTATTGACTTTTTTAAGTTTTTATAGTTCTACTTCTTAGCTTGTCTGCTGTTGAATGTAAATGACACACTTTTTATTTTTTCACTTAGAAACCACAAAGTAAGAAATTACACATTCAACATTACAATGATTATTAGGTAAGGTTTTTCTACCTATAATTTATAAATAATCAAAGAAATGTTTTTCCTTCTGGGCCTCGTTGCTATGGAAAAGAAATAACCGAGTTATTAAGATTAAAATCTTGAACTTTTATTCAATCTAAAATCCAGTTGGTATTCATGATAATCGTACATATAATTTTGTTGACTTTAAAAAAAAATCTATTTTATACAAAAAAGTTATTTTATACTTACACACTCATAGTCTTTGCTTTCTTAATTTAATTCACTATTTTTTTGGATTTACATGAACGTTTAAAGCTCCCTTTTATTACTGAAGTAATTTTAGAGGCATTTTTAGGTGGGTGTAGTTTTAATTTTTAAGATAATGGACCTTCCATCTCCGAACTTTTTATAATAGACTACTCTGTGCATGTCTCATTCATCATTCAACCATTCAGCAAAATGTGGGTAATTAATTTATAAATATTCAAGAAATCTTCCTCCTCCTGGTGCTCATTGTCATGGCAAATAATTAATTGAGTTAATAAGATAAAATCCTTCTGAACAAAAGCAATAAAAGCCCGTGAATGTGTCTGGCATGTAGATAAAAGTTGGTCGATGTGTCTCACCTAATTGAATAGTGCAACTCTTTGGCTCCATAAGCGCATAGGAATGCCACCCGATTTGAGAATTGGGCTTGAGCAGCGAGCATCTGGGTCCCCTGTTCCGATTTTTGGAGGAAACAGTGTTGTTCTATTGTATATAGTACAGATAGTTTTGTTTATGTAGCTTGTGTTGAGAATGAATGAATTTATTGGCATGAATGTGAAATGTAAGAGGGTTAATTGTGGAATTTGAGTACCCCATTGACCCTCAGTTAGGTTAGTTATATAATAATAGGTATAAATGGTGATGGAGGAACATCGAGTACTAATTGAGTGAATGGTAGAGGAAGGAACATAGGAATAGGAAGCAATAGGAAAGAATGTATTTTAATAGGTTAAGTAATTTTTTAATTTCTTAACAAGTTAAGAATGAGTAAAATTGTGAATGGGTTCGAATCCCACTCGTGCCATTACTTTTTTTCATCTCAACTAAAAACCTTAATTAATTGTAATCTATTAATTGTTCAAGCAGACCACAAAATTAGTGAATTATATGAAAAAATGTTTTGCATTATGCACTGTTTTGTTTCTTAGTTTATGAAAGATCTATTCGTACATATTACCTGCAATTATAGTATTTTTCTACATATCTAATCTCAATAACGTATCTCTTATTTATATCAAAATATTTTTAATATTTTAAAACTTTTTAAATATCACCTGTTTGATTCCAACAATTTCTATGTTCTATTTCAGTTATATTTTTGTAAAAAAATTGACTTATTTTTTGTGTACTTTTAATTGCATGTAATTTATTTTGCAATGTGCCGAAAATCAAGAACACATTACTTCAAAACTTATTTTAATGCAATACTAATAACTACTAATCTATATAAATATTTTTTGGACATTAAAGATCTTGATGTCTATACAAATATTTTAGATTTTGTACCCGGTTGTGTTAAAAAAATTTAAAATGGGGGCTTGGCATTAGCAAAAATTTCTCACTGAAGTGGGGGGAGCAAATGGCACTACATGTTTTTCGGTTATATCTTGTAGGTACCTCTGTATGGAAATTCCAACCGAGAACATCAATGATCCATCATGGAATGGTACCTAAGGGACTATACAGCAAGGGACAAACCTTTCTCCTGAGCATCTCCATATCAAATTAAGCCCATCTGAAGATTTGAGGCCAACTCTCACCTCATCAGTAAAGAGTACTCATCGTGAATCTTCCAATGTTCAATTCATTTCACATGTGAATTGAAGCCTAGCTATTTTCTGAGCTATGGTAAGATGTCCTCGAGCTAGGTGCCGGGCCCTGAAGTTATTTTCATTGAGCCTTCTTCTTACAATCCTGGAATAAATTGAAACATTTCAAACTTGTCTTATCAGATTTCTTATCTCATTTCCCATAAGGCTGGGTTACGTAGAGCATGATGATGGATGAATATATCGTCTCTCTGGTCTGCAGACCTAAGTTGACCCCAGCCTGGCTTTCTAGTGTGAAGCCCTGTTTCCCTCAAGTTCCGAAGAACTCTTCCTATTACATTCCATCTCCTGGTGACTTCACACTGGCTGCATCATACTCAAATGCCTGACTGAAAAAGATTAACTGAAAGTGATGTTTAGGCGTACCAGAATGGAAGGGGGCACAATGCAACTTTTTATGCAAATGGATTAATCAGTACAAAAGTATACATAGGATAATTTACTGCTTATTTTGACTACAATAGTTCCTAATTACCTATGACTAATGTATAAAGATAATAGATTTAATTTTAAACTAAATAAATTTGAATGGTGCGTTAAATTTGTCCACCAGTGTGTGTTAATTCATTATAAATTTTAGTTTACTTTGTAAATTGTTACTTTTATACAATTTTTACATATAAAAAAGGGTGTTGCTTCCCGTTAAATAAGTTAATAAAAATAAAATAAAATATTTAGATCGTACTTACTTCTCTTGCGTCATCTCCATGCGAGCGCCTCCTCGATCAGTTCTGCTTCTCTACCCAGATCTACATAACTTCTTTCTTCCGTTCTTCATTCCATCCGTCGTTCTTCTCGTTCTTTCTCTTCGGTCTTCGGTCACGTAGAGATCTAACCGTCGACCACGTTCACGTTCGTAGTTATCTTATACCACATTTTGTTTAAAACGTCCAAAATGTCCAACACCGAACGTACGTTTATTATGGTGAAACCCGATGGAGTCCATCGAGGTTTGGTTTCCAAAGTAATGAAAAGATTTGAAGAAAAAGGCTTCAAACTCGTCGCCTTGAAATTCGTCTGGGTTAGTAATAAGGCTTCATTGAAATAACCGAAAATAAGAGTTGGTTAATCAATAATTATTTTCTCTTTTATTTTAGGCCACCGAGGAACATCTTAAAAAACATTATGCTGATCTTGCCGGCAAACCGTTTTTCCCAGGTTTAATCAAATACATGAATTCCGGTCCGGTTGTCCCTATGGTAAGGAAATCACTTTATATCCACGTTGTTAGTTGTTATACATACATTAATGTTAATTTTGTTTAAAACTTGCTAGTTCTTTTAAGTAAAGTAGTGTAATTGTCATTTTAACGGGGTTTTTTATCAATGAGTTTCTTCAATTTTAGTTATGGTTATTTATTTTATTACAGGTCTGGGAAGGGTTTAACGTTATTGCCACTGGCCGTAAACTCCTAGGTGCCACAAACCCTCAGGATTCCGATTTGGGAACGATCCGTGGTGATTACTGCATTCAAGTTGGCAGGTAAATAGTTGAGCAGTCACATTTACTACTCCGTCTTCTCCTCTAATTAATTCTTTGAGAATTTTAGGAATGTGGCTCATGGTTCAGATGGTCCTGATTCTGCAGCCAAAGAAATTGATTTGTGGTTCAGTGAAAAGGAACTCGTTCAGTGGACTCCATCTAACCACGATTGGGTCTATGAAGAATAAAAACAGAACAAAGAGAGAAATAAAGCATTTCACCTGTCAATAAACTAGAACAATGAACCATCTATAGTTGTTTTTTATAATATCACAATTGGGTTTAAAAATCATACGCCTTTCTAAACTTATGTCATTCCATCATGTGTAACATCTTAAAAGTTTATACAGGTTCAACACTTAATAAAGAAATATTTATATGTTTTGTGATTTATTAAATCTTCCTTTTTTTTTAAATACTGACACTTCCTAATGTATGGTGCTTACGCTTATTATTAATTTTCTGTTAAAAAAAAAGTGATTGCCATTGATTATTTGGAGATTGTGAGTTGTAGTCAGGCGATGTAGGTTTAAAAAAAAAACATTTTTTTTATCATGCCGTTTTGATCTTGAGATCTTCAGGGCCTGGGATTTGTAAACATTGTTTAAATTATATAAATACATGTAGGATGTGAAAAAGTGAATTTATACAATGATAAAAATTTTAGACAGTATTTGTACTCGCTCAAACAACAGTCACTAAACACCATTCATTAATGTCAATGATTCATGTAATTAAAAAATTTAGTTTGTGTATAACAATTATATTAAACAAACTACTAAAATTAAAAACGTGTTAATTCAAAAAAAAAATTTTTTAATGACGTTCATTTGGGGCGGTTTGACTGTTGCTTCATTAATAAACATTGACACTGCATGCTACCATTTTGCATTTGAAATTAAAATAATATTTAAAGACTATTAAAAAAGAAAAGTATAAATTTCTATATTTACACGCAAATTGGAACAATCCAATCACAAATTTATGCAGGCAAAATATTCTTGTATTTACAAATTAAAATATTTAAGAAATAAATGAGTTTTAAGACTGCGAGAAATTTGTAAGATTATTTCAGTAAATCATATGATTGTGAAAAATACCAATTTATAAAATTGTATATTCCGTTTCATTTACACTTAAAATCTGTTCACTTATATAAAACTGCATAATTCAATAGAATTTGCTATAGTGAATATTCTGTGGGCTATAAACATAAAATTAAAACTTTTTAACATAAGATGATCTAACAATGTTCAAAATTTGTGATTTAATATTTTAATTTTATTGTATTACAACTTGATTTGAGCTGACAATATTTACTATAAAAAAATCAATTGTATATCAAGAAATTACCATAATTTCTGTTATTTATTGGAATAATCTTATTTATTTGCATGATTGGAGGGGCTTATCCCCCAATTACCCCGTAGAATGTCGAGTACTCTCGGGTAGTCTGAATAAATTGTGGCGTGTGTATGTAATTTATTAGCTTAATGGCAGGGTTTATTGCCAATTACCCTGAGAAATATCCACTACTCTGGGGTAATGTGATTGAATGTGTGAATGGAGGGACATATCCCCTAGTATCCTGAAAAATATCGAGTACACTGGGGTAGTGTGAATACTAGCCAGTCTATCATGTTTTTTACTTTGTGTGTTATTTTATCTACAATTGATGAGGCCCTGAGATTTAGAGAGACTAACTAACAATAGGATAAAGAAAAGAGATTTGGTTATCATTCTATTATAATACATTATAACTTGGCTGGAGACCAGTAAAAGAAATCAGTAGGTTTAAAACACAAGAAAGATAAGGAAAAAATGCAAAGCTAAAAAAAAGAAGAGATGACCAATGTTGTTTGCTGGCCCTAAAAACAAAACAAAAAAAATTGATGAATTGTGTCAAGTGAAAACATATTGATTATCCCATCAAGTATTTACATTTTTTAACAGTTATTAAAGTTCTTAAGTATTACTACAATATAATATTTAAATATTTTTATTAATGAGAATTTTAATCACAATTTTTAAGGCAGACTACATAAAATATATTAATATCCAGATGTGTTCTTTATAATATATAAATAGATAAAAGTTAAGTAATACAGTATAAATTTGTCAATGGCCTTTGGTTTTATAATATACCTATATTATCAAATATATTTTACTAGGTATAATTCTTTGATATTAGTGGAAGTAGATAATAGTAATTGATACATTGTTGGATGTTAAAGGCATAACGACATTGTGGTCCGCCTATTCTCGCTGTGTCTGTAGGTGTTTTTCCGCTTTTCATTCGTACCAGCATAGAAGGCGAAAACTAGAAATAATTGTAAAATAACTTGTAAAAAAAAGTGAACATTGCACACAAAAAAATGACGTCATAATTTTACAGAACTCCCCCCCTTCTTAACAGAAGAGCGCCATCCAGTTGAGTTTTCTCGAGTGAGTTACGAACATCTGTTCTACCTGGGTTGAGTTGGTTTTGCACGCTCTTCCATAGTTATACGTTCTGCCTTCTACGTCCTAGATTGTATTTCGGGAGGAAAGTTCGCTCCGCATAAATTCTCACTAGTGGATACCGCACGATATGTGATAAAAAACTGAATTTTCACCGTATTCATACGGTTTCGGTTATAATTCCGTATTATAACAATTGTTTTGAGTAATGACATCTTCAATTCACTTTTCATTGGTCAAAGCCAACTAACAAAAGGTGAGATCCCTGCTTTCCATTCAACTGAGACCCAATTCTCCACAATTTTTATGAAAGCAGAAATACAATTTCGCACACTCTATCGAGCCAATCTAGCGTTTTCTGTATTACGTTAGTCATAAGTCACATCGTTCTATCTCTACCTTCACTATTCGATACTGAATTTGAAATATAAAAAATAATAATTTTGGAGTTTCAAAATAAATATGATCATATACAATGATCAAATTTTCTCTTCTATTCTGTTATATATGTTTTATTATTAAATTATAAAGTTGTTGCTACATATTTGTTCTCATTCCATTGTTTACGTATTGCATCGTTGGAAGTGGACAAGTTCTTTTAAGTTGTAGTTCTTGGCTTAATTTGACAAAGTACTTTAACCGGCCCTTATTCTATGAATAACATCATACTCTTAACACTTATTTGTCACACAACATTGTGAACCCTTGCTTTATCAATTTTATTTTCCCATTATCTCTTTTAAAAAGGCGAGGCTAATAAAGTATTTGTTTTTGTTAAATTCATAGCTGAAGGGAAAGTTGTACTAATTTAACGAAAATTTGAACTAAAATTGTCATTGTGCCAACTGAGCAGAAATATTTACTTTCTAATAGTGTTTTCAAATAATTTATTTTCATTAAAGAAGCTCGAGTTGAATTGGGACTGGAATTCAAAGATGTAATTAAAATAATTTTTTATCTGTTTACATTTTTCCTTGCTGTTTATGCTGTCATCTGGTTTTGGCCAATGCTATAAAGAAAAGCCATATTTTTCCTATTAATTATTTGTTAATTGTTTCATTGAAAGCCTTTAAGAATTTTAATAAAATGTTACAAGATTATTACTCTTGATAAGTGGTTATATTTCTAGTTTGTGTTCTATTGTTCAAATATTATTTCTCGTTGGATTATCATTGGTTTTAAATTTTTATATTTATATTTGTTTGTCTATGAGTTGATGAATGGTTTCCTATAGTTTGATAAAAAAAAGTACCTTCTCTTGTCCTACTTTCACAGAAAGTCCAATGTTCATTGTTGTAATTAGCAATCGACTTGAAATTAAATATTGTGGATGATTTTTACTGTTATATGTTCATTTGTTAACCATAATGAAAAATACAAAAAATAAAAACAAATGTCATCATTATGAGGATTAAATATAAGCTTGGACTTTCTCATTGTCATACGTATGTCATAACATCAACGATCTATAGAATGAACTGATATTATCTTTCAAAAAGTATATCTTAGTCTAATATTACAATTTCTTAATTTGAATACACAGTAAAAAATATAGTAATAAAACATTCTCTGATTATTGAACTCTCTTATTCAATTGTGTATATCTCATTGCTAGGCTTATTTGCTATGAATCACCAAAAATAGTCAAACTTCCTTCTTTAGTATTTCTGCTCATTATTGCCGTTAAATTTATTTTGATTTGATCTGTGGCTATATAAATACAGCTTGTTTTTATTCACCAATTTGATTTTATTCCTAGCGGTTCATCTTGAAGGTATCGTAATAATTATCATTCAATGTTGAACTTTTATTAGGGAGTGTTTTAGTTTTTAGTTGGGATTCTTAGTTTGCGAGGGACCCCTAGACAGATCCCCTTCATGGCTTGATACATAATTTTTAAAACACGTCTATTTAAAGGCAATAAAAAGTAATTCCTGTCGCACTGGAGGATTTAACGTCCAACTACCTGTTAACGAGGGTTCAAACCACCTTACAATACATTTTTCATACTGCTATGAATTAAAAAGGCATAGGCTCTGTTGGGATTCGAACCCAGTACCACTACCATGGCAGACATGAGCCAGACACCCTAAGCACTTGGCCACTGCAATCCCCTTATTTAAAACCAAAATATTTATTGATATATATATTGTATTGGGCCTTAAAGGCTGTTGGACATGTGGCTTATGAATGACGTGACAATCTATAAAAACTGGTCTGCCTCTGAACAAGAATAAGCAGACGATGACTGGAGATGCACAAAATTTTAACTAAACATGTACAAATTATTTAGTTTGAATAATAATAGTAAGTTTATTGTACTTTGATGTTTTTTTCTTTTTAATATTTAGAGTCGAAATAAGCCTGTATTTATGTTAAATAACTGTAGAATTTATTCTAATTGTCTGTTTTACAGTATTTTACTTAACAACATGGTGCTGAAAAGAAGTGACTCTAAGATGGCTAGTGATATGCATAGCCTTCTGGAACATCCTAAGCGGTTAGTGTTTTTCTAATCATGCCTATTTCAATTGTTATGTGATTCGGTTTTATGTTTGTAGCACTAAAGTACATGCCCAACGAAAATTTGCTCAAGGTTCAGGTATGAATAGCCCGATGATGACTCCAGTCAAAGAAAAAGAGAAAACAAAGTCAAATAGTGCAGCCTCACCACCTGATCTATTGCCAGCAAAACGTCCTAAAACAGAAGATTTCTTGACATTCCTTTGCTTTAGAGGTGACTTGAAATAATAGCGAAAGTTATGACTTAATAACAAATCTATATTAATATGCTTGTATGTTAATAAGGTACAAAAGCTCTTCCACCAAGGCTTGATTTTTTTAATACAGCTACAAAATCTGAAAAGACTGACAAAGAAATCTCAACACCTGGGTTATCAAAACGTTCTCCTAATAGTCAGGTTTATAAGTTATACTAAATACACTTTTATATGGTGACATTTTTTAAAATAAATATAAGGAAGGATTGATAAAATAAATTAAAACTAATAGTTACAAACTTGATGAATATCAAATGGTTGATTAGTTCATCAATCCTTCCTTTCACAAGTTACAATAAATTTCTTGGAAATGTACATTTTTTCTGATAGTCAAAAATTAATTGCTTCATTTTTAGGAAAATAAACCAAAGATTAATAAAAATAAAGTTAATAAGTGCAATGCAGAAAGAGTTATAATCAATAAAACACAAGAGAAACGTTTGACTCAACATTCAAGGATAAGAAATCTTAAACAAAAGAGTAAGTTTTAAATTTTTTGTTTTATGAGAATAGAAAAAATAATAATATTTATTTTAAGGTAATACTATGCTGCGATCTCATGCCTTATTAGAAGGAAGACAAAAGAAAATTGCTAACCGAGGTTCAAAAATGCAACTTCCGAGACTTAAAAGAGGACATCAATCCCTTTTGATGAGGTACCATTTCCTTTATTTATTTTATCATATTTAAACTTGATACGTAATTTTTATCTTTAGAATGGGAGCAACCAGAATGAGAAGTGGATTAAGAAGTGATGGGGAACTACCACCAGGTAGCGAGTTGGGTATAAAATCTGATAGGAAGCCGAGGCAGGACATCAGGCCTAATTTGAAGGCAGCCAAAGGAAAACTTAGTAAATTTACTTTCTTATTTTAAAATATATTAGATATATTTGTAGGGATATACTGATTAATTTTATTGCATTTTTCTAGGGAAAGTAAAAGCAAAATTAGAAATAGTAAAGAAAAATAAAAAATGTGAAGATGAACAAGAAACGATGGTGGATTCTGAATGTGCTCATGAAGAAAATGAATCAGAGCAAGAAAATAATCAAGTTATTCGGAAAAAATCACGTCGAAAATCTACAAGGACTAAACAAACAGTTCCTAAGAGTTCTATAAAAAAGTATTACTTGACTTTAAAAAAATTACTCATATTTTATTTGTTTACTGAAATAAATTTGATTAATATATTTTTATTTGATTTTTGTAGTGTAAAAATTAGACCTACTCGAAAGACTAAGGAAGCAGCAACTTTATATATGGAAATGCTAAATAAAGATATGCGTGTTAATGAAGATGAGGATTTTGAAGAATATGGTAGTGATAGTACAATAGAAGGAAAACCTGAAGCTAGCCACACAAAATCAACTTTGAAATTAAATGAACCAACAGGCAAAGGGAAGTGTCAACCTTTGAAAAAATTCCAACTGAATAGAGTCCATCATCCACACAAATCAATTCTTAAAAGGTTATCATTAAATATATATATATATATATATAATTGTTTTCATACTAACTGCTTAACAATGAAAACTTATTTTTGAAGCATTTCATATTATTGCTTAATTTGTAATAGTAATAAACTTATAGACTTGGCGCTACAAAAATAAGAAGCGGATTGAGAAGTGCTGGACATTTGGGATTGGCAGTAAATGATGTTGGTATAAAATCAAAAGTGAAAAAAATGGCAGTCAAAGGCAGAAAAGGTTCTTTAATTTAAATTGTTATGAATTTTCGCTATTTTATTAATAATTGATAATACATTTATTTATTTAAAAAAAAATAGATTTGAACAAATCAAATTTGGACATTTCTTTAAATGATAGCAATAATTTGAAAGAGAGTACCTCTGGTTGTAAACAAGAAAAAAAATCTACAAAGCAAACATCGAAAGCTAAAAATGGTATGTTTATATTTGGAATTAGGTAGAGAAATGAAACATGAATCTTCTTTACTATTGTTATTAGATTTGAAAAAGCATGTTCAGAATTCTGAGAATGAGGAAGAAACCACCACCACGTCTTCCAGTATTGTGAAAATGGATAGAAAATTAAGGCATTCAGGTAAAGCTGAAAAAAAAATTTCATGGTTGTCACACGTTCTCGTTTGATATTATGTCACGGTAATAATTATTTTCATTTAAATTTAGGAACTGAAAAGCTGGAATCTGTAAAGGCTGAGAATGAATCAATTATTCCAGTTAATTCCAAATGTAAAAGTGAATTGAGAGCAAAAATAGCAAAAGAATCTGACGACGTGTCAAAGCAAAGTAATAAACATTATCCATTAAGTTGTCTCCATATTAATTAACATTTTATTTATTGATTATTTAGAGATCATGAGATGCGGTCTAGGTTTTTCTAAACCTACATCACACCAGACCGCTTCTCACGATCTCTAATCATTAATTAATGGTCACTAAATACCACACAATTTATTTATTTTTCTAGATATCAGAAAGCTTAAAAAGACAGAAGGGGTTCAAAAAACTAAACAAGAATTTAAAACTATTAAAAAAGGAAAACAATTAACAAAAATTAAAGCAAAAACCAAGCAAGGTAGTATTATAATTATATCTTAATTTATTTATATTTATATCAAGAAACACGTTAGTTGTTTGAGTCAATAGGGCTATATTACAAAACTGCATAACCACTATTTGACAAAAGAAAAAAAAATGTGATGACCTTTGTTTTTATTTCTGTTCTTTTATCTTCTATGCTCTTTAAGTAAGATGAAACCTGCCACACACTTACCAGAAAAACTGCAGTTTAACTGTAGAGTCTCTCTTCTCCAGTTAGGTTGTTACTATGAAGTTTTTTCCCATCAGATTACAAACACACGATATGGACTTGGCTAAAAATATCAAACATTAACCTACTTCAATGAACTTGCACAATTGTTTATGAATAGATGGAAGTACATATTTAAACATCTTGAAATTTTTCATCGTTTAAGGAGTGAAAAATTAATTTGAAATAAATATTACAGGTGAAAATATGGATTTTAATGAAACTGACAAAAAGAAAATAATTTAAAGTTTACCTTAGTTCAATTAATTATTCTTGTTATCTAAGGTCTTGGTTGAGATGAAAAAGTGTCACGAGTAGGATTCGAACTTGAATACGCTGCTGTAGAACTGCCTCTTTGAAAAATAACAATAAGTGGGAAAATTTGAAAGGTTGTAGGTTGAGATGAAGAGTTGGTGTCCTAGTGGATCAAAATCACGATAGCTCAAGTGGTTAGATTAGCGGGGCATATTGAAATTAAGATTGTGGGTTCAAATCCCACCCATCAAAAACTTTTTCATCTCAACCACGACCCTAGATAAAAAGAACATTAATTGAAATAATTAATATTGTCAATTATGACCACTAAACATATATAGTTACTTATTCAGAAATCGTGAGATGCAGTCTGGTGTGATGTAGGTTTCAGAAAACATTTTCTTTATTGTGCCAACATTTCGATCTTTATTGAGATCATCTTCAAGGCCTGGGATTTACAAACATTGTTTACATTTAACAAATACATGTAGAATGTGGAAAAAGTGAATTTATACAATGCAAAATATATTTTTTATATTCAATCAAAGTATTTCTACTCGCTCAAAGTGTTTGTCTTCTGCGTAATTGTGCCATTCTTGCGTGTCGTGTTGAGAGTGCCAGTGAGATATTGCTGTTTTATGTTTATAAATGTTGGATTTTGAAGGGGTGGGGAAGGAAGTCGGTATAGAAAAGACCTACATCACACCAGACTGCATCTCACGATTTCTGAATAATTATCGATTAACGGTCACTAATCACCACACATATATAGTTACCTTAGTATATGTACCGCCGAAGTGAGTACATGTTATCGTAGTATTGGAAAATACCATAATTTTGCCTTTTTTTACGTTTTTACTCTGCCTCTCCAAATTTTAGAGTCTTTAATTTTTTTTCCTTTCCTGTATGAGCTTTTAATGTTGTTAACTGGTTAATTTTTTTAGGCATTCTTTCAATATATGGTGCAGTATATAAATAATTAATTAAATTTATCATTGAAGTGGTCCAGCCAACTTTTTATTTACAATAGTTTTAGATCCCCCAAATAATTTAATAACTATAACTTAAAATTTGTAGTAAGAAGTAGCCTTACTTTTAATTCAAACATTTAAAAGATTGGAATTAAAAACAGAAAGACAAAGTGATGTTAGAAATCAAAATTTAAAAAAAAAATCTTATTACAGTCGTTTATTTAGCAAGTTCGCTAAGTTCAGGTCCAAACAATGTTCTATTTCAGTTCTGCCCTGGTTGCCTATTTAATCCTGAGATCTTTTACATATGTGCTCCAGTCGGACTGGAGTATGTGTGTGGGTCACAATCTTTTTTTTATACCAAAAAGCCTTATTTTTATAATAATTGCCTACTTTATTTACTCTGTTAATGCATACTTAGAAATGCATTACTCCTTTAATGGGTATCTATAACATGAACATTAGTTTTTATTAAGGGTGATAAGTTGCATACAAATTTTCCCAAAAAATTTTTGTTAACATTTCATCTAAAAGTATTATTGATATATGTTAACAAATTTTGTAAACATAGTAATTTTTAAATATGATTGGAAGGATATTTACTTATTTGCTTCTACCATTGTAATTTAGCTATCAAAAGTGTCAAGCAGCAAGATTTTTCTTCAGATGGTGAAACAGATGAAGTAACTTCTGTCAATGAAAGCAAGAAAAGAAAAGTGTCTAATGCAAATTTAAAGTTGAAACAAGGTATTTATTAATTTTGTTATTTTATTAAAATAAAAACATACTTTTCTAACAATTACACATTTTAGAAGGTAAAAAGGAACCAAAATTGGAAGAAAGTGAATCAGAAAAAGAAAGTGAAACAAAATTAGAAAGAAAAAAGAAAAATACTCCAAAACAAAAAGCAAAAAGTGGTATGTTTTAACATATATAGCTGATTATTAAATATTAACAATTCAGTATTCTATTCTATTAATTATTTATATACATTTTATTTATGTATGTACATTTTCAATGAAAAAGCAATTAACTAGTAAATAATAAAATTATAGGGGGTGTCGGTGGCCGCAACAATTTAGGCATTGACACGGTGCTCATCACTGTAAGGTAAAGGTTCCGGGTTCGAATCCACCGACCCCGCATTCGAAACCGACACAAATGGGCTTTTTTTTTTTTTTTTTTTTTTTTTTCAAAAACACCGACACCCCAGGGGTTGATATAAACTCTGCTGTGCAAACCCTCGTAAAAACATAAATATATATTTTAATAAAACATTCTTATTTCAAATTTATATTGCATTTCTTAAGATCAATATTAATATGTTAATTAGGAAATAAACAAGCACAAAATGCTTCCATGTGTGATGATGATTCTGAGGATGACAATAAGGAACCTAAAATGCCATTTAGGATGTCTACTAGGACTCGTCAACCTACAGGAGCAAAACCACCAAAATCTTTAGAGTAATTCTCAAATCTTAGCGTGTCTAATTTTTAATAATAAGCAACTGTTTTAAGGGATTTTTTGTTTTAGTGTTCAAAAAAGGCCTAGCAGAAAAACAAAGGAAGCTGCTACTTTGTATATGGAAATGTTGACTAAAGATTTGAGAAGTCCTGATGACGAGGATTTTGAAGATTTTGAATTTGAAGAGACTTTTTTAAAAGCCGAAGGTACGTGTACAATAATTTTGTTTTACTTTGACTTCAGTATAAAATATGCGTTTATAATTTTAGAAAAAAAATTGGAAGTAAAGAAAGATAATAATCATAAAGGAGGCAGCAACATCACCATTGAGGATAAACAAACCCAGAAAACTTTGAAAGGAAATTCAGTGAAGAGTAATCTATCCCAGTCTAAATCATCAGATAATTTATTAACACAAGGGAAATTAAATGAAAGAACACTTCGAACCTCAAGAGCTAAGAAAAGCATGGCTGAACTTAGTGATGAAAATTCCAGTAATGATGAAAAGCTTGAGGAACAGATTGATGACAGAAAGTTTAGGAGAGGAAATGTTAAGAAATATGATCAAGAGCAACAGTCAGTCTCAACAGTAGAACCAAAGAAAAAAGTACTACTTAAAAGAGCTGACAATTCAATGGAAAGGGATTCTACCGAAATGGAAATGGGAGAAACTAATGATACTGAAAAAATTGGAAGGACAAAGAAAAGATCAATTAAAAACATTCATTGTAATGAAGATAAAAGTTCAAATTCATTGAAAAAAGGAATTGCTAAATCTGATAAAGCAGTTAATAAGGCTGAAGGAGAGAAAAGTTCAATTAAAGGAAAGGAGGAGAAAAAAGAACTTAACCAACTAAATTCTGAGCCCACATCATTAAATGGTAATCCTACAATCGATATTTCTCATGCTTCAAAAATAAAAAATAAATCTAAAGTTGTTCAACAAAAGAAGCCTTTGGATATTGAAAGTGTTGAGAAAAATGAAGACGGCAAAATAACAGAAACCACAAATTTAGTGTTGGAGCCACTCAAAGTAGAAAGTGAAGAAATTAATAATGGTGTATCTCAAAATTTATTAAATAGTTCACCAATTTGTAAGAAACCTACCCCCAAAATGAGACACATTCAAACAAAAAAGTCTTCTGATAAACTTGAAGAAGTAAACAAAAGATCGAGTAGTGTTAGAGATGTATTTAAAGGACTTCAAAAAGATCAGAAGAATCAGCAAGGGGTTAAACAAAAAATGCAAGATCAAGACTCTGTCTCTAAACTACCCACAGCCAAAAATTTAAAAACAACTAAATTTGTAGATAAATATATATTAGAGAAATCATCTCCAGAAGAAACTGAAAAACAAATTAAAACTAAAAAAATAAACAAAACAAAAGAACAGAAGATAGCATTGGTAGACAAAAAAAGTAAAATAGGCTCTAAAGATTTGGAATTACAAGATGCTGCAATCGCCAATGTTGGGTTTGATAATAATGCAGAATTAAAATTTGAACGTCAAAAACAAGACAAAGAACAGAGAGTAGATCCTGAGGCACAGATATTAGAGTCAGTTGAACCAAACAAATGCCAAAAGGCTAATGATCAAAAACAAGTACTTGGAGAACCAAATAAAACTAATAAAAAAAGTAAGCCTACTATTAAAAAAAATGTGATAAAATTACCAGAATTAGAAGAACATGAAATGGCTGAAGAATTTACAGAAACGGATTCAGATGAGGAACGCAGAAGAAGGCCTAAACGGCCGAAACTTACTGCAAGAGATCCAGATGACAAACCTTATTTTGAAAGTGAATTTGAAGGAAACAGGAGGCTCCCGTTTAAGAGAAGCAATGTTAATTTAAATTTTTCACCCTTAACAAATCAACTAGATAATAATTTCATTAATGAGACAGCAAGGAAAAGAAATAATTCATGTAGCACACTTACGATTAAGCATGAACCAATGAATGCCAAAGGGGATAAATTAGCAATTGATGAACCAGGAACATCAACTCACTGTAATATCATTCCAACAAATCCTGATGACAGTGATGTAATTGAAGCTTTGATATCTTTAAGAAACGAACATATTTTTAAAAAATCTAGTGAACCTCAAAGTGAACACCTTTTAAATGTGAGCCCTAATATTGAAATTAGACAAAATGATGGAATTTTAACTGACCTTAAAGAGTCACACAGTAAAAAGGACTTTTCTGATATTTTTGAAATTAAAGAAAAATGCTCCTTCGAGGAGAGAAAATCTAGTAGTGATTCTATTACAAGTCAGTCAAGTAGTTTTGCAGATTGTAATGTTGGTCTAGAACCATTTGGTGAGAATGATCTCAAAAAAGACATGAAGACAAATCAAATTTGTCTACAGTCCAATTTAGTTGAAACAGGAGATAAAGAAGATACAGCAGCATGTGAAGATACTAAAACGAATGTAGGAAAAGGAAGAAGTTCAAGAAGGAATTCTTTGTCTAATAAAATAGGGAAACATAGAAAAAGCAGGTCAGAATCTACATATGGCATTGATTTGTCAAGTTCTAAAACTGAACAAATAGTTGATCATTCATTTTCATCACAAACCACACAAGAGAACAAGCTTAAAATTGCAAATGTTAAAGCAATTGTCAACGAAATTTCACATGGGGAAATGAGAGGGAGTCAAGTATTTTTAAAGGAAATTGACCTTAACAAAACCAAACCCTTAACCGTGGAAATATTTAATGACATGTCTGATTTAAATAGTGATTCTGAAACCACAAATTTGCTATCTTCAAATTCTAAAAATAAAGACCTTTTTGAAGATATTAAAACTGAGAGTGACGATTCGAAGCAGTCAACGTCAGTTGATTCAAAAATTGAAGGGCAAAGTTTTGTGACAAAATTAAGTGAAAACGAAACAAAATCATTTCATTTTAAGAAAGAAGCAAAAGATGTGCAGTTTCCAAAATCTGAACTTACAAAATCCAAACAGTCGATGAATGAAACTTGGAGACAAGCTTTCAAAAATGCTAAAATTCCTAAAACTGGACAGAGGTCACCAGCTCCCCACAGTGTTGAACCTTTTGTGAGAAAATCATCTTATTTCTTTAAAAATGAAGATGTAAAAAAAACCCAATTAAATATTGCAAAACTACCGAATATTCAATCTTTCAAGAACTTCAGCAAGTTTGGTAATGCTTCTCCAAGCCGCCCATTTCCTGTTGATGTATTTGAGGGTAAAAGTAACGTCTATCTTTCACCAAATAAAGTCTTGAACCCTCGAGAAGATTTTCGTAAAGATAGCCCATCAAAAAGTTCTGTCTCCAGCAGTGAAGAATTAAAAGATATGAAAAAAAATGATAAGACACCTGTCAAATCATTGACTCAGCTTCAGTATGAGAAACGTAGCTCAGAACTTATCAGCAGTTTAAAAGATACACCTCCACCTTTAATAATGGATGCCAACACAATTTATCTACCCAATCTTCAAACTGACTTTAAAGAAAAGAAACAGGAACCTATTGCAAACCAAGATTTACAAAAACCCAAAACTGAAGGAAAACACCTGAATCTCCCTCTTGCTGTGGAACACACTTTAAGAAAAATGTCACCGACTACAGTTAGTAAAAAACCCGTTCCTAATAAAACCTTTAGTGTTGACAGAAAACCATTATTATCATCTTCTCAAGTAACAAAACTTCCTGTACAGGAACAAAATGAAAGCATGCATAATATTAAGCCTGTTTCCATACCTGAAACATCTGGTCGAGCTAGTACAAATATTGATGTCCTACATAAAAAAAAAGTTAACATGTCTACAGAAGAAATAAATCGGTGGATGGATTTTAAAAGTAAAAGTAATTATCATACTATGGGCTGTGGAATCTTTGAAAACAATCACTGTGAGTGTAGTTTCAGAACAAGTAGTGCTAGCATGTTAAATAGTGGTGGTGTGAGTGATTTGATTGTCAAAGAAGAATCCAAAGTTGATCATGGAGTAGTCGAACCACCGATACAACTAAAAGAATTGGATTCTACATCAAAAATGTTTGAAGCTCAAACAATTTCCTCTTGTAAAGTGGATGAGTATAGAGAGAAAATTCTTCTAAAGAAAACAAGTTCTGAAGAGATATCACCATTGAAAACCGTAAAACCAAACAACTCACCAGAAGAGAAATTATTTAAAAGTGATAGGTCAATGACAGAAGAGGAAATGTGTGAATTTGATTTCACATTTGAAAAAACTTCGAATTCTCCAAGAGAATCAGGTTCTGATATGTCATCACCAACCCTTAAAGATGATATTTCTTTGACATTGGAAGATAAATCCGAAGGGATTCAAGTGGAACGAAAATCTATCTTTCAGCAGAGGCGTTCTGGTTCTACTCCAAAGCAACTATCAGTTTCAAAAAGTCCAAGTGCTTTCTCTGCTGATAATGAGCGAAGTGTATATGCTTTTGAACCAGATTTACCCCCACCAACTCTCAATAAACCTTTTAGAAGAAGAGGAAGCAGAGTTAAAAGTAGTGATGATGAATCTCCTTCAAGTTCTTCCATTGCAGTACAAGTTAAGTTAGAAAACGAGGCTGTTCTTGAATCCTCTACACAAACAGAAGAAGTGCTTAAACTTCAGAATGATGACCCGGAACAAAGTAGAATTATGTTACCAGAATTGCTTACCAAAACATCAAATATGATTACTCAAACATCAAGTTCCAGGTAAATACATCAGCATTTCCCATTAAATATTTATTTGCATGTAGTATTTCTTGAACATAAAAGTGCTGATAATTTATAACTCTTCCAAAACATTATCTTATTACATTATATATTCTATAGTTTAGACATTGTTTGTTGAAGTAGATGTAGGTACTTTTTTTCTTTTTTAATTAAATTAAAAAGTAAATTCGGAAAATTAAATTAAAAAGTAATAATATTTCAATTACCTTTTCAAGTCCGTACACATTGGATGTATAGTAGCTGTTAGTCGGAACTACTTTTGTAAATGATGGTTCTACTCCCAGATTTATTGTTTATATTTCAAGCATTAAACACTCATCATCAGATTGAAGGAGTTACAAACCCGTCTCCCAACATGAATTGTAAGAGTGAACACGATTCAATGAAATTTAAATACAACATTACATAGTTTCAAAAAAGGGAGAGAACTAGATTGGTTTGAGAAATTTGAGTTAAATAAATGTAAAATTAAACATGTAGATAAGTGCAAAAGTAATACAATAGATTTTGATTTACTTCCTATTTTAAACATGAATCTAAACAATATTTGACATACCAATTATCATTAATTTAAAATTATTTTTTTACAGTATTTATTAGGATAATAATTAGTTGTGTTGTAATTCACGTTTTTCGCACTTTCAAAATTGAGTGGCATTAAAAACCAGCTTCCCATTGAATTGGCGGGTTCACTCATACAATTCATGTCGAGAGACATGGTTGTAACTCTTTCAACCTGATGAAGAGCGTTTAATGCTTGAAATCAGGATCGTTGTAAACAATAAATCTGTGAGTGCCACTATTTTCAAAAAGTGAATTTTCATACTCACCCCTCCTTCATAATTTCTAATGCTCTAAACTATTCTTGACGTTTCGCCCTGGTGAATTTTTTTCATTTTCCAATTACATATAAACATTCCTGCTCATGATTCAACATGCAATGCAACATTCCGCTTACAAAAACATTATCATTGTGCCATTACTGGAGCTGTATGTGTAATAGCTCATAGGCCTCATTTTGTCAATTGTACGGATTCCTATAATGAAATGTATCCTTTTTTTAGATCAATTCAAGTCAAATAATCCAAATTAAAACTTTGTCTGTAATGGTGTACAAAATTATAGTTAAATAAAAAATTAACCTTGTAATTTTTTAAAGTATTGATTTTTGTTTTTCAAACAAAGTCGTTCCAAAACAATTTATTTTTAATGATTCAGACTTTTTGCTGTCATTTTAGTAAAGTATTATAAAGTTTGAAATACACCTTTTATGAAGTAAAAATAAATAGTTGTTGCAATTTCAATTACTGTGTGATTATATAATCGTCATACTTCTAATAATTTTCATATAAATTATAGGAATGTTTATGTTTTATATGTTATACCAAGATTTGTACCTACTTTGTTTTTAGATATTTCTTCTTTTGTATATATCTTTTTCTACACTTTCCTTAAAATTCTTGCATGTGATAAATGTTAAGCACTTTATTAGAATTTATGTAATGTTATTGTAATTTTTAAAATTTTAATGCACGTGTTTACGGTATTGAATATATGAAAGTATTTTTTGCGTCTTGAAACTAGAAATATATATGTTAACCACTGTGATATTGGTTTAAAAATAAAATGAGCTGTTTATTTTTTATTTGGATTCTTAAATTACATCCTCCATTTTCATAATTTTAGTTTTGTAATTAACTTTAGTAAAATATTTGTTCATTCTGGGATTTTCATATATGGTTTCTATTACCAATGATAAAACCATTTACTGGATTAAAGAAACAATGGATTATAAATAGTAATTTTTTAATGTATATGAAGGATTTTTAATGATTTAATGATCAAGTCATTTTATTAAGTTTCTGTATGACTTAATATGTCTGCCTATTGCCTTAAATTCAGAAGTACTTTTTAATTGAAAGTAAAGTCCATAGTGAGAGAGCGCTAGATATTTTCATCAATTAAGATATAAATCTGTTCTGGATCCATGTTGGTAAGTTATTTCAAAAAATAATTAGAAAGAAACAATTCACACACTGAATTGACTTTTATATTTATGGCAGTTAGCTATGTAATTACATCAGTAACATTTTATACCTTTTCTTTTTAGTTTGAAAAAAAATCTATGAAAATATTTTCATGACATTTGAGTCAAATTGTTTTTGTAAACATTTAATTTAATGCTACAATGTATAATTCAAGAATCTAACAGTTTATTATTCCACTTTCTTTATAAAAAAATATTTGTGTATGGATATTTAAAAATTGACAGAAATAATGTAAAATTAGATAAATACATAAATTAAGTCAAATTAATTTTTCATATAAATTTGAATTAAAATTTTGTTTAATTATATATACATACATGTTATTTTGTTTATGTTGAATTTTTTGTCATGGTATCAAAGTTTATATTATTAATGAATATAATAAATGTTGTATATATTATGTATGTTAAAAAAATTCTCTTCAATGCTTTGTAATATATAAGAAATAGCTTGATTTTAATTGAAGTTGGTTTAATGAATGTAATATTTTATCATAACGTACAGATTTGAAATGGGTGTTTATTCTAATTTTAGAAAAAACAAGCAGTTTTACTAAACTAGTAGTTATTCTATTTATAGAGAGAATTATAAAATTTTAGTAACAAGTATGTTAATAACAAAAATCACTTGTTAATATTTATTGAGTTGTTGTGGTTTATTATCCAAGAACATGTGGCAATTGCCATTAAACATTAAATTTGAATGCAAAAGTAAAGATAGTTCATTAAGATACAAAAAGTAGCAACACTTGAAAAGTGATTGTTTTTAAAACATGCTTGCTTGTATATGGGGTACAAAAAAGATGTTTATGTTTCGCTTTTTTAATTGTTCAGCAGCTTTATCTATTTATTAATTTTCCTTAGGGGCAGATCTCCAATGTTTTTTTAGTATTCAGTAATTTTGGCATTTAAATAGCAATTATTTTATTCATATTCATAGGTTTTAGAAAATGATAAGTTTTTACAAATTTTGTGCTAATAATATAAGCTAGAAAAAAAAATGATTAGTTATGCACTTATACCATTTTGGTCATAGGTGTTATTGATTTAAGACTAATGGAATTTGCAAAAAATAAGTTTAAAATTTTAATTTCTATGTATGGTGATGAACATGCAGTTGACAATCGGCAAGGTCAACTCTAAGGATTTTAGTGTTTATAAAAGGTTTTACGATATAAATAAAGGTAATTGGCTACTTGCCATTGATGTAATAAATAAAATAAAAAGAAAATTGATTGAAAAATGAACCAAAGAACCAATGGTTAATTTCTTAGAAAGAGCAGTATAGTAAATTATTTATTTAAATTGGTTCCACTAGTATTTTTGAGTATCATTTTGTATTGCCCAAATGTGTGGGATGATCTTTTTTATGGCTTATAACGTTAACATTTTAAATCATGCTTTCTAGCTCAACAAAGTTTTGGCTTTACATTGTAACATTAAGTGAATATTACCACTAATAGGCAGGATTAAACCTTCTTAAAAATAAATTAAAAACATTGGATTTTATAAATAAAATTATGTACACAATCCTATTTTTTGTTTCCTAACTTAATATGTTTAAAAATTAAGATTAATTCTTCATACTTTCAAATATATATTTCCATTGCTTATAAACTTAATATTTTTTAGGTCTCCACATTTGTCAGGACAGACTCAAAAACCGGAACAAAAGGTGCGACCTTTGCCATCTACATCTACTTCTATTGCCACTAAACCTTTGGTAGGGAAAGTTCAACCAACTATAAGGGACCCAGAAGCCATCAGAGTTCAATGCAGTGACCCTGGTGCAAACGTCAAACGAGAAAAGGCTAACCAAGGAATTCAATTAAGCTCAAACATAGAAAAATGTACTGAGGAAACCACAGTAAAAGAAGAAATCCAGAAGGATGATAACATTCTACCGACAAGATCCAAAAGGTGTGATTTTAATTTGCTAAATCATTTTTTAAAATTGGGATTTTGGTCTTAATTTATATAAATACTGATGCCTTCTTTTAATGTGATAGCAACAAAAGCCGTGTTTCAAGTGTCAGTGCATCTGAATTTCCAATACCAGGAACTTCACCATGCATGTTAAATGCTCCAATTTTTAGACCGACGGAAAAAGAATTTCAAGACCCTCTCGAGTACATAGAACGGATTACACCATTAGCACAGTCTTTTGGTATATGTAAAATAATCCCACCATCAAATTTCAAGGTTTATTACAATTTATTACATAAAATTAATAATACCTGTATGTTTAACTTTATGTGTTATAACTATAGCCCGAGTGCAAAATCAGTGATGATATGCGATTCACAGCTTATAATCAATATGTGCACAAAATGCTAAATCGCTGGGGGCCAAATGTTAAAGAGATGTCTGCTATTAAAAAATATTTAGCTACACAAAGCATTACATTAAACCAGCTCCCATGGGTGAGTGTTTATATGGCTATGTTAAACTTTTAATATGTCAGGTTTGTCCTAAGAATTTAACAATTGTTTGCATTTCGTTTCATTCTGAAACAGATTGGAGGGATGGAAGTTGATCTTCCAAGATTATATCAAACAGTACAGAATTGCGGAGGTCTTAAAGAAGTAATAGAAAAGAAAAGATGGGCAAAAGTTGCTGACGCTATGAAAATACCAAAATCAGCTCAAGATCGTGTTACCAAGTTAGATGACATATATTGCAAATATCTTTTACCGTATGACACACTCTCTCATGGTAAGTTATTACATTCAACCATTGCTGAACTATTTTCAAATAAAAAAATGATTTTTCAGCTGAGAGAAATAAACTGTTGAATGAGGTTGAAATTGAATGGGAAGCAAGAGAGCGTAGAATTCTAGAAGAGAAAGAAGATGAAAAAGAGGGAAGAGAACCTGATGAGTCTGACAGCGAAGAAAGTGATTCTGATGACAGAGATGAATGTATTACAAAGGTATCACAATTTTTTTTTCAAATACATGTTGTGATTTAAGAATCTTAAACAGATATAGAATATTTATTTTTAGGGCAGGAGCATGGCATTGAACGGATTTTTTCGTATAGCTCGAAACACTATGGCAATGTGGTTCAAAGAATCGAATCCTGGAGCAAAAGAAGTCGAATTTGAATTCTGGAAACATGTCTCTGCTGGAGTATCACATTTGTGTGTTCATTCCGGTTCCATTGATTCAGGGACTTGGGGCTGTGGATTTCCTACAGCAAAAACGAGTTCAACATCGCGTCATCCATGGAATCTCAAAGTTCTTACAAACAACAGTGGTTCCATTCTTAGATCATTAGGCCCTGCTATAGGTAAACAACACACACTTTATAAAGATTTCATGTTTGTTTATTTATTTATTTTTAAAGGTGTGACAGTACCAACTCTGCATGTTGGGATGATTTTCACTGCTTGCTGTTGGTACAGAGATCCACATTCTCTTCCTTGGATAGAATATTTACATACCGGTGCAAGCAAAATTTGGTATGGTGTACCTGATTCGTGGTGTGAAGAGTTGAGAAGTGCTATGAGAAACCTTCTGCCACGATTCTGTCGGGATAAAAAAATCTGGTTGGCATCAGACACAGCGATGGTTCCCCCTGAACTTCTTATTGAACAAGGTGTATCCCTCTGTAGAACAGTGCAGGAACCTGGGCAGTTTATACTTGTTTTTCCAAAAGCTTTTACTTCCACAATTTGTACAGGGTATTTGGTCTCAGAAAGTGTATATTTTGCACAACCTTCTTGGCTTAATACCGCCCGATTAGTTTTTAAGGTATGAAAAATAATTTTTCTTGTAGGAATGTTCCTCTTCAATATAACTTTCATTAATATATGTTTATTTTTGTTATGAAGGATATCCAAGAAAGTTGTGAACCTCCTATTTTTTCTTTGGAAAAACTTTTATTCAATATAGCTTCAGATATTAAGTCGTCAGTTGACGTGTTAAATCAAGTAAGTTTGTTATATGTCTTTTTATACTTTAGATTTTTTAATTCTTAATTTTGTTACAACTTGTTAAGTATTTTATTTTTAACAATGCATTAGTCAATTTAGAAACAATGGAACAACCTATAAACAGAAAACATTCTATAAAAATATTTTATTTTATAAAAAAAACACTTGGATATAAATTAAATGTAGAAAATTGATTTATAATAAATACACAATCTAACTTGCACTTATGACCAGCTTGGCAAATTTTAAACACAAATAACTTATATTAAATAATATTTGTTAAAACAGGTTTTACCGATGATAAATGATTTAAAAGAAACTGAAATAGTAAAACGGAAAGAGTTAGAGTCACTCGGATTGTCTGAAAAAGAGAAATTACCTATTATGAAAGGCCGCAAAAAGAGCCAAGAAGATGCACAGGAATATGAGTGTGAGATTTGCCGTGCAATCCTTTTCTTGTCCCTTGTAAGTAAAAGTAATTCCCTCGTGTAAAAAAAAAATGTTTAAAAGTTGTTAATTGTTTAAAAATTTAATTTGTCGTAGGTAAGTAATTCTCAAGATGACTGTAATTACTGTTTGGCTCATGCGATAGAAATATTGCAGAAGGACAAAAGCTCTCTTAAACATTGTAAACTTATGTATACTTACGATGAGGTAAGGATTTATTTTATTCGCATTAAACTAATCGACAATGATGTAGTAATCTGACTATTAATTATTTTTTATAGGATCAAATGGAAGATTTTATCGAGAAACTAAAAGTTAGGATAGAACAGAAGTACCAAAAGAAGCAAGGAAAAACTAGCAGCTGTAATAAAACAAACCCATCTTAAGTTTTAAATGTACATTGCTGACTGCCAGTTCAAAATTATTGCTTAGCAAATAATTTCCTTAGAAAAAGGATCTTCCATGAATTTGAAACATTTGTAAATAAATCAATACGTAGGTAATTATTTCATGATTAAAATGAATTATTACTTTATTAAAGTATAAATATAATTGTTTATTTTAATATACACAATAAATATATATTTTAACCACTAAAAGGATGTACATTTTGAAACTGTAAATACATAATTAGAATAAAAAATATTTTTGACCCTTATTTTGTATTACTTTCATATGCAAATATTGAATGGATACCATGTAAAGATTAAATGCTTCAAGTGGTGCTTTAACATTTCATTTTGCAGAATTTCTTCAAACTTAAGTTCAATCTTTAAGTTCTTTTCTTCAAGTATACCAATATTATTTTTTTGAACTTGTTAATTTGAAACTAAGGTCATTTCATGAATTCATCATGATTGATATTGTTAGTAAAAAATGTAAAATATAATGTGCATATATTTACTTGCCTTCCACGTAGAACGCTTTACATGTATAGCAGAATGTGCACACAACTAATTTATTTTTTTATATTTAATCATGTAGAAAGTGTCTTTCATTAATAACTGTTATTGAGTAGGATGATTGAGTAAATTATTTGTTAGTTTGGAATTACACAATATGTATTAAGATTGTTTACATTGCAATATTGAGAACAATAATAAAACTGAAAATCTGACCAAATTGTTATAAAAAAAAGCTTTATTTAGGTTGAAAATTGATTTTAAGGTACTGAAAAACAAAATTAGATACATTCCTTAATTAGAATATATTATTTTTAAGCTTTTCTTTATTCAACCCCCCCTGTTATTGTTTACATATTTTACCAACATTTAAACCGAGTATGTATAAACATGTATTATATGGAAACAATTTCATGTGTCAGAAAATTTGTTAAATTAATTTAAAGCTGTTTATTATATTATAATTGAATTAATTGAAACAATTAGTCATAATATCATTTTTGTATACAGATGATTATTGTATATTTTGTATCTTTATTCTGTACACAATAATTAGAAGAATTTATTGGATTATTTGTTTAATAAAAAAGAAGTTTTTGTGTCATTAATTTCATATTTTTGTTGAAGGCATGATAGCCCTGCTTATTATTCCTGGTTTCTTAATTTACATCGATTAATCAGACACATTTCGCAATTATGGATTTTTTGCCATCACACTATAGGCATAATAAACTAGTTAATATTAAATTCATTAGATTTTGTGGTCCAATTGACCATATTACATATTTCAATTAATTAATCTTTATGTAAGGGTCGATTTAAAAAAAAAAAAAAAAAAAGAGGGAAAATTCATAAAGTTGGGCTGTGATGAAGTTGGAGTCCGAGTTGATCGAAGTAACGATAGCTCAAGTGGTCGAGCAACAGTGTATTTAGCCAAAGGTCGTGGGTTCGAATCTTGCTCGTAACACTGACTTTTTATCTCAACTAATACCTTACGTAAAGATTAATTGATTGAAACTAGTTAATATTATAATTTCATGGGGGCGTCGGTGGTCACCGCTCCAGGTTCGAATCCAGCATCTCTGCATTTGAACCTGACATACTTACAAATGGCTTCTTTTTTTTTTCAAAAACCCACCCTGAGGGTTCATATAACCTCATAGTTGAAATTCCCTTATTAAAAAAAATTATATATACATACTGTGTGGGTGTGTGTAAAGTACACTTTGTACTTTATAATCAGAACCTTTTAACTTTTATTTTCATCATAATTTAATTTCAATTCATATTTAACATCCAAGTTTTTTCTCAAATAGAAAACAAAGTACAAGACAATCATATATTGTTTAATGAGGCAAGAATTGTAACTTTGGTATTATTGTTTCCTCCTCAATTTTTTTTAAAAACTTGAATAAACAGAAAATTTTGTTCAATTTATTACGGTTATACGTAAATTTAAACAGTCAGGAGTATAGAAAACAGTTAAATTTAAACTACTATATGTACTTTTTTACTTTAAATCTTGATGAGGGGAAAATTGCTTTATACCTTTTCTTTAATATATATAATGGCATAAATAGAAAATATTTGTAATCTAAATGTATGAATAAGGTTAGAAAGAAAATGCTTCATGACAATATTTTTTTATTAATTTTCTCAATGAAATTATTAATGGTCTTGGTGATCAGATGTAAAATAATGTTCATATAAGTATATTCCAAAAGTAGAATTTAGTATCTTTTTATTACTAAAGTGCATTAAATGTGGTCCCTAAAGCATCTACTTCATTTTAGTCTCATTTAAAATGGTAACGATAAGAAAATTTACTTATTAAACAAAATACTACTGAAAATTTCCAGAAAAACAAAAAACAAAAATGGAACGCAAACATGAATTTTTACCATAAAATACAATATTATCGTTCTAAACTTAATATGTTGACTTACCAAAATAATGGTCATTTTCCATTAACATCTACAAAGAGATTAAATACATATAATCAAAACATACATTATAAATTGGCACTTTTTATGAGTACCATTTTTTCAGTTAGAAAATATATGATTTCAGTATTTTAAAAATAGGTAACTCTGAGTAAAGTGAAAGCCTAGAACACTGTTTTGTGTTTGGACATTGGTGTTACAACTTTACAGGCTGTTTAATGTTACACAACTTAATTGGGCTTCTTATTTAAAGTGATAGTAGCAACAAAAGTCATCTCATTTTGTCCAACTTTTCTGGAGAGTAAAAAGAAAATTGTTCTTTATGCCACTGGTAAAATATGCAGATACTTTTATTATAATGATGAATGATTTATTTACCAGTGAAATCTATAAAGGGGAATAGAAAATAAAATTTTAATGAAAAACATCTAACCAAAATGCAATAACTTTTGCCACTACCACAACAATTTGCTATTCAATTCCCATTTTTTGATGAGATACAATTCTAAATTAGAAAAAATTCAAATTAATAATATAAATAAATAAAAATAACACGCCATCATAAATTGGTTCACCCATCAGTCCTTTAAGTTGAAATCATGTATGTAAACAACAAATGATGTAAACATTAACATTAAAGTCCATTGCATTTTATAAACTGTCAAGACTGTTTAAAAGTACTTGGTGCATGTATAAGTTAATGTAGCTTTTAATTGAAACTAATCTTATTTATAAGCAAGCATAAAAAAATATATATATAAACAGGGTGGTGCATTTTTTGACACCTTGTGGGAAAAATAATGCACCACCTGCTTAAACAGACTGGTGCAACTTTCTTGCTTTTCTAATTAAAACCAATTTCTTGTAAACCCTGAAAGAATTTAATAACAATTTTACAATGTTATTATCTTAATACTATGTATGTATATGTTAATATATTAATTCCACTAAACAAAAAAATCTTTTCGTATTTAAATAAATAAATAAAGCTACAAAATCTACTTATAAGAAATGAAAATATAATAGACACCACTTTTCTAAATTAAAATGCCTTTGCAAAGTTCGGAAACAAAAAGCAAAAATTAAAGCTTAATATTAATAATACAAATGAATTTGAAGTTAAATGTGCATTCAAAGACATCCCCTTCAACCACATTTTTTTCTCTTCAGAAGATTTTGAAGTTTTATTTATATATCTAAATTCAGGAGGATTTTGTCTGAAATTTATTTTTTTAAAACTTTAAATTAAAATTGTTTACTGTTTTCTAAGAAATTTGTTTTAATTAAATTGCACCAGTCCCTTCAGGATGTATAGTTTTTGCTATGGTGTAGCAAAAATGCACCACCCTGTATATGCCTGTTTGTTAACCTTCTAGCAACAGAAAAAATTGACTATATTGCATAATGCTCATTTTTTGCTCTCTCAGAACTAACTCAGAAAGAAAGAAGAGATTATCAAGAGTTTGGCAGAGCAATAGAAGAAAAAAGTTGGGGGCACAGATCGACTAATTTAGAATCTTATATAATGCAAAAAGCAAAATGTGAATGTATGATCAAGTCATTAAGAAGCTAATGAGCTATGTCAACATTAAAAGGTGAGACTGACCTATAGGTGAAGTTCAATAGGAACATCAATCAAAGCACAGAAAAAAATCGATTAAGATGCTGAAGCTAAATTCACAGAAAACAATTATTAAAATATATCTTCTAAAAACCACAATTTATACTCAAACTTTAAGAAAAATTGATCAAACACGTTAGATCCTTGTGACTAATTATTAATTGAAGGGAAAAAGAGATTCATTAATTTAGCTAAAACTATTACATTCTACTAAACATAATTAAATTGTTTTTATTTAAATTTAAAGTAAAATAAATAACTATGTTTTACAAGTTTTATTAATTTAATAATTAAGTACAAAAAAAGAAAAGAAAGGAATTCAAGGATTACAAATAACAAAATCCATTTTTTAAACAAAGGTCTAATTTTAAGCATCACAGGTTCCAAATATATATGATTTGCATTAATCTGCTACGTATTCAAAAAGCAAAAAAAAATTTTTTTGTCATAAAAATTGGACTTCTGTCTTTTCCGTATGTGTTCCATCCAATCATTATGAATTTCAAAATTATAATTATTTTAATTTATTAGCTGGGAAATGGTAATCTCACCAATTTTTTTTTTAAACTGTCATACTACTATGACTTCTTGATTCATGTTTTATTGAATTCATTTTTAAAATATTTATAGTTCACGCTCCAGCTATTTATTTACATTTATTTTATCGCTATTAGCATTGTTAAAATTGCTTACTTTTCTTGTTATAACTAAATAATGCCTTGACATTTAGTGCACATGGAAGAAACAGTTATGAACGAATAAATAAATAAATAAAGCACATTAGCACTTAATTTCAGATGGCTTGGAACAAATAAGGGATTTAACGTTTTTGATAATTGCCTACAAGGACCAAAATTATTTACATTGATTAAAGATTGAACTATCTGTCCCTGCTATGTAAAACACTAAATAATACTTCAGTTGAAGAATCATCTCTGGCATCATCCTCTCCATCAGATGATGTTGAAAGCTCAGCAAGAAAATGCGCTGTGGCCTCATCAACTACTGGTTTGTGAAGGTTCAAATCCTGTTCCTTTTTTCCTTTTATTACTTTATGTACAACATGTAAAATAATCCCTCCAACGCACAATAAAAGGCCTTCAAAATTTAATTTGGATATTACATCTCCTTTCCATTCAATTGCTAGAATTAAAGTGCATATTTCCTAAAAATGAAAAGAAATTTAATCCTCTAAATAAAAATATAACAGTAAACAATAGCTACAGAAATACTTATCAAATAGTGTTAAGGAATAAATACAATTTCAATATTTTTGACATATGTAGAGATTAGTGACCGTTAATCGATAGTTATTCAGATATCGTGAGATGCGGTCGGGTGTGATGTAGGTTTCAGAAAAACATTTTCTTTACTCTCTTGTCCAGATATTGGGATGTAAGACCGATGTAAGTTGCCGGACAGTTTAAACAGTTGATCTTGTAGATTACGTCAGATTTATTTGTTATTGGTGTGGGATCTTTAACTTTGGAAAAAAGTGTTTGGATTNAATAAAAGATCGAAACGTTGGCACGATAAAGAAAATGTTTTTCTGAAACCTACATCACACCCGACCGCATCTCACGATATCTGAATAACTATTTTTGGCATAATTTACTGTGTGTAATTTTTAACTAGAAAATAATTATTCTTGTTATTATTATTGTTTATTATGTATTACAGTTCTGCTTGAAATTTATTCTTAGGGTTTGAAAGAACAGTCTTAAGGTTATTTTTTGCCATTTTTTTGCATTTTCATTATAATGTTCATAATAAAAAATGCAATATGCTGTAATAAAATATTGTTTGAACAATGTTTTACCTTAAATACCCCTGCAATAGATAAAGTAAGACTTGATAGTTGGTAAACAATCAGATATTCACTGACTTCCATAATGACTGCTAATAAACTTCCTAATGTAATATATAAAGCTGTACTCCAAATCAAACTGGAATCTTTTGTTAGTTCAAGAGAACTTAAGGCATTTAATGCCAAATGGGCTAAAAGAAAAAAAAAACAAATAGTGAACAAACATAAACAATATTGAATGTGATAATTAATACCTTCAAAAACAATCATAAAAGGAAGAATTGATAGGAACATCCAGGGTTGGGTGTGGTATATCATATCCAAAGGATTTGACAGCCCGAGATCTGTCTTCTGCATTACGAATTGGGCGATGGTCCATCGAATTCCGCTGAAATGTCGGTATTCTGTTTACATCATTGACAAACCAATTAATGCATGATACAATTTGATCTTTTACCTTGATAAAGAAGCAAACAAGAGTAGAAGGAAAGCATGTAAATCAAACTGAGTCGAATGATAAGTGAATAAAAACAGCCCACCTGATATCATCCCAACAATTACCATCAAGAACCAGGACTAAAATAGTGTAATTCCATTAAACACAATTAAATATATAATTAAACAGCTAAATATACTTTTATAATAAACTAACGCACATGCAATTATAACAAAAAAAGTTCCTTTTTTTTAAGGACATGCTCAATTAATTTACCCTCATACAGAAATTAAATTATTTTTATTGCTTAAACTTATATCACTGTTTATATGAAACATTTTACTGAAACTAATTTGTACTTAAAAAATGTAATAAACTCATAATTAAATAATGATTGCAAATAAACATTGATTATGAATTTATTAGAATTATATTTTTATAATCCATCAATATTTAAGGTTACAGCATTGAATACATTGTATTCTACACACAGTATTTATTTAAGTATATATATATATATATATATATATATGTATCATGCTTGTTAGTATGTAAGAATACAACTGTATGTTAAGTTCTCAGAATTGAATAATCAAGTTACCAACCAGATAAATACTAACTCCCTCTATTAATATTTCATAAGATGAAAAATAAGGGCTATAAAATATAATTAATTCAATTTATTTGAAGTTGAAACACCATCTAAATGCGTTGTTGGCATTATAGCATTTTTTTACCTTTGGCTCTAGCTTTAGTAGCATTGAAAATATGAGAATAAATACTATAGTAGAAGACTTTGTCATAGTATATCTAAAAACAGAAAATTGATATAGTGGATAATTGAGTTTGAAAAATAAAATAAATCCAAATTACTCACAACGTCACCGTGATGAATTCAAGACCCCAGTTAGAAAAACCTATGTCTAAGCCACTGGCAAATCCGATTGGGGCTATCTTTCTCAGAGTAGTCGGCCAATCCAATAAAACCCTTTGTCTTCTGTGCCATGTTTGCCACACAACTCGGCCCAAAGCAGCGACAAGAAACTTTGTTACAAGGTGTATCATCACCACTATCAACGGGTAATGAAATCTCTAAATTAAACAAAGTGAATTAATTGGTATCATAATCAATTATAATATAATAATATATATGCATAATCAGTAATCAATTGGGTTAATCAAAATTTGCCCTTTTAAAAGTCTGCAGTATAACGTTAAAGCAATTTAGAAACACCACAATGACCCAAATGATCAGAGACAATTGCGGAAAAAAAACGCTGAGCTTACAGAAAAAATTCATAATGAAAAAACCCTCACTAAATGACATTATTCAAACAATATTAACTTAAAAATAAATAATACATGCAAGAATATAAATATACTGCATTTTTTAATGAAGGGCCAAAGGACTTACAACATAAATGTAAATTTATGCATTAATTTCTTTTGGACAGTTATGGCCATGAAAATAAATGCTAAGAAAAATTATGTGTAATTCTCTAAATTGGACAAAGAATATGTTATACAAGTTCTGTTTTATTTAAGAAAAAGCCTGTTAAAAAAATTTCTGTTTACATAGGTAGCAAAGCAAATAGATTGCCTAGAAATTAAATCTCATGCCAACACAACAGTGAAATTAAATTGCATTTAAATGAAAAATAATAAATTAATACCTGCAGGAACCATTGTTGATAAAACGTCAAACCGATAGACAAAGGGAAATACAACAGAATTATACCGGCAGAGCAGATCACGGTCCACAGATAACTATTTTTATTCAATTTAAATAAAGTTTTATCATCATTTGAGTCCCTAAGTAAGACTCTTGCCATATTAATAAACTCTCAACATTAATGTCATATCACAAATTAAGCATTGAACTAATCATTAATGAGTTTTCCTTTATAACACCCGACTATATGGACTAAATGCCAGGGGAAAACCCTGAGGCCTGAACACCACCTGTAACGTCCAATATGGATATTACAGTTCCAGGTATATGTAACTTGCAACAACCACCACGTCTCCTAGGAGGAGGCACATACACACTACACGCACACATACAGCTATGTTCTGCACACATGTAGTTCCAATGTTGGAACCTCTTGAGTGACGTATTCGTTGTACGAAATTTGTGCCTTACTTGTATGTCATAACATGGGAATTGAGCATTACATATATTAGACACATAAAACTGCAAATTAAGGAATGAAATCGAGCGCTGATAAAATATCTATTATTTTCATTTTCATTTAACTTTAAATCTTTATAATCTTTACAACAGTAATCTTATATGTAAATATAAGAGTAAGTATATATATATAAACTATAATACTATATAACTATTATGCTTACACACATATATACATATATATCCATGGTGCTTGATGATGAATATGGTTACTAGGAAGTCGGGGTTTTGTTCCCCAAGAACTGCAGCTTTCTGGCTTATTGTACTTTCTTTGTTCAGTGCAATCGATTTGATCTTCTAAGGAGTACTAGGTCATTGACTATCGTTGCTTCAATTCATTTTCCTGGATTTTATTTGTATTCCATGTTGTCTCCATTGAGTGGTTGCTTTGCATTCAAAGAAGATAAGGGTGGCTTTTTCTTCTTCCTCTTTAAATGAGCCATTATTGAATGTACCCATGTTATGTTTTTCCAGATGCCGGTGACTGGTGTACAGTCATATCATCCTGAGTTAAAGCCCTCTCTAACCGGAGCAGTGAGTTTACCTGTCTTGGTGAGGGTTGTTTTAACGTAAGCTTACTGTAACAGAAATGATTAGAGATGGGAGGTCAATGTCAGTTCACTTTTTGGGAAAGATAGACTACAGATGGCAAGTCCAAAAAGTAAACTTATTGCATCTACAACTCTATAGTTTATCCACTTTTCTTTTGATTTTTTGGATCCATTCTGTCTTCTTGTGACTTCAAGTAGTCACGATAGCAAAGCGGTTAAAGCAGCGGCGTATTGAGCCGAAGGTCATGGGTTCGAATCCGCTCTTGACACTAGCCTTTTTCATTTTAACCACGATCTACCTAAAAAGAATTGAAAGATGTAATTTGGTCAATCAGACCACTAAACATAATGGGTTTAATAATTAATTAAAATTTATACTTTCATGTTGTATTCAATTTTACAGCATCTTCGTCCTTGTCGAGATATATGTCCTTCGATTTGTCGAGAATAAATATATTATATGATTTTTATTATTTTTTTTTTATTCGACAAGGGGGATTTAACAAATATTTCATAATTTAAACACCTGCATATGTCCTTCGCTAGCATCACTGCTCTTATCGTTTAGAGCAGCTCCAACATAAACTTACACTAGAGAAATTTAACCCCCTTCCATGAATTTTGAATCTCCAACAGTAATGATTTTTCTCTCCTTGGCATTTCGTAATTTTGAAGTTGGCCAGCCTGATGGGTGAAGAATGGTAGTTTTCCCGCTTCTCGGGCCAAGACGTTATCGAGAATTCGAGACTCAGTGATAAAAACGATTATTTGAGGAATTTACACAAAACAACCCGTCCTTTGCAGATTTAATAGATTCTTTTTATTTTCGTTATTCCGACAATTACTTCTCGATAAACTCTAGCTTAATAGTGTTTTTCTTGTACCTCATACAAGTGCTTTGTTTGGGGTGGAAAATGTCCTGCTGGTCAAACGTCGTGACCGGGTTCAATGCAAACGACGAAACAATCAATTTCGGATCGAGGCCGGTCGCCTTGGTCGAAGATTCCGTCTACGAAACAAAAACAGTCGCCACGATAGAATCCAGCTCTAAAGTTAGTGACACCACGATAGAATCCAACTCTAAAGTAAGTGTCAAGTGTGCCTGACTGTCCATGCCAAAACTGCCATCTCTACTGACATGAGACACCTGAAATGAACGCATGTAAATGACAGTCTGTGCAGCAGATTTTCAAATATTGTGTATGCACTGCTGATTTCTTCTTGATAGCAAGATCCAATAATAATAATAATAATAATTTTATTTCTTAATATATTACATATTTTATTTTTTTATTTATTTAATTTTTTACAGGAAAAGCCTATTAAAATTATACAATAGTTAATTAAAGATAGAACTTAATTAGAGTTACAACTCCCGCGGAGTAAAGGATTTTGTAAAATATTTTGAGTTTGTTTGTTTCCATTTAAATAAATACTATTATTCTTTCATTAGAATTATAATGCAATAAGAAATAATTGGAAATATGAATTATTAATTTCTCAATTAATTATACACAATTTTTCCAAAATGAAAAATGAATTATTAAATAAAACAGCTATGCAGTTAACATAATTGATATAATATAAACAAAACAACTGAAAAAGATAATTAATTATTCTCGTTCGTGACACAAACCTTTTCTTTTCAGTCAAGACCTTAGTTTATCTTAATTGAAATAATTAATATGGTCAACTATGACCACTAAACATATATGGATTATTAGTAATCCAAGCTAACTAGCATAACATAGTAATATATTTATGAAGTATATAAAATATTTATTTATTTATTTACAGGAAATAACTGATTTTATTATAGTAATTACAAGAAAGACAAACAACATTTAAAATATGTAAAACATTGAAAATAATAACATACAGTGTAATTTAGATACAGTCGACTCTTGGTTGAAGAGTTGGTATTATCAAGAAATTCGACTTTTCAAGTTTCGTATTAACAAGAATCGACTGTTCCAATATTTGAATACAAAAATAACATTTGGGATTCACTAGTAAATAAAAACAATTGTAAATAAGATTAATTAAATTATATATGCATGTATGTACACAACAAAAATCAACCAGCACATGTGGTATACACACTTACATATACACATACAGATGTATTAATTGACTGTTGCTGTATAAGTACCGCTCAAATTCCTCTTCAAACTGGCTTTAGATGTATTATTAATATCTATACTGTTGGGTAGCATATTGACCAGAGACATCCAGCTCTCCATCTTGTACATGGGAGAGCGAGAGTAGTTGGTACGAGAAAATTGATAGTAGAATACCGCATCACTGTAGGTGTGAACAGATGGGACATGAAAATTGATGTCAAAATTAATAGGATGGGACATAAAAAATGACCGTTTTTCTTGCTAATTTAAAAATTTTATTTTGACACTTTTTTTTTAATATTCAAAGTATACTGTTATGTCTTATGGTTTTCACCATCTCGAGGCCAGGTGTTGGATTCCTCTACAATATCAATCTTTGGGTTTTGATTGGAAGAATTCTGCAACTCCATTTTGAACTCCAAATTTTTAAATTCTCATCCAGAGAATTAAAAGTTTTCCCTTGAAGATAATGAACCATGGACTGGAACAGATGGTTGTTGGAAAGTGCTAAGTCTGGGCTGTAAGCAGGGTGAGGGAGAAACTCAATTCCATCCAATTCTGTAATCTTTTGTTTCGTGGAATGAGAAGTGTGTGATCAGGTATTATCTTGTTGAAACAAAACCCAAATTCTATGTACTAATCCTGGGTAATGCTGGGTCAAAATATCATACTTAAAGTTTTGAATCAATTGTTCTACCTTCTAGAATGATTATTCGGAGATCATGAGATGCGGTCAGGTGTAGGTCATCTCATGATCTCTGAATAATCATTGACTAACAGTCACTAAACCCCACACATTTCTAGATTGAATTATGCCTTTATAATTCCAAAATACTGAGAGCATTGTCTTTTTGTTGTTCTTGTTGAATTGGCATTGTTTATCGACTGGTAGAGCAGGCTGATTGCAGCCTAGCCATTGTTTCTTGTTCTTGGTTTTTTTCCATAATATCCACTTTTCATCACAAGTAAATAATCTTTTGATGAACCAAAGGTCATTTAGGTTTTTCAAAAGATGTTGACAAATTTCTACTTGACATCGTGCCTGAGCAATGGTCAACTTATGAAGAACCACTCTTTATGAGCATTTCACTTTACCCAAGTTGAACCCCCCCCCCCACTTTACACCATGATATATGGTATTATTATCCCGCTCGTGCCATTGACTTTTTTATCTCAACTGAAAACCTTAATTAATTGTAAGATATTAATTGGTCAAGCAGACCACGAAAATAGTAGTATTCATTTGTCGTCAAGAATCCAATCCGATAACACGACATTTGAAAAATGGCAAAAAGGGGGGAAAATTCAAAAGGTGGGGTTGAGATGGGAAGTTGGTGTCCGAGTGGACCGAGATCACGATAGCTCAAGTGATAGAGCAGCGGCGTATCTAGCTGAAGATTGTGGGTTCAAAATCCGCTCGTGCCATTGACTTTTTTATCTCAACTGAAAACCTTAATTAATTGTAAGATATTAATTGGTCAAATGGACCATGAAACTAGCGAATGTAATAGGTATTATTACCTTTGAAGTCTTCCAAATTCCTAGACATAGGATGCTGTTGAATAAATAGGTTAACATAAATCTTTGAGCAATATTTTATTAATATTGCTATCAGCACCAGAAGTTTTCTTATTAACTCTTATTAATTTTTTTTATTATTGTTTTTATTTTATGAGATGAGACTATCTGTTCTTTTGAATTGGGCTGTCTTGCAGAAGTGTTTCACTTTTTGGTTTACTTGATTCATATTTCTAAACGTTCCTAGATCTGAGTTTGCATCATTTCCAAGGACCAAAAATCTGCATTCCCAGTTGGGTTTACTTAGTCTCTGCTTTTAGGTAGTAACATACCGAAATTCTGGACAGCTGGTTTTAGCCTAGAATTATGACACCAACAGTCAGTGTCAAAAGGCATTGATTTGTTTGCTGAATTACAATTTATCGTAAAATCATATATTTTGGTTGATAATTTTAGCAGATTTGGCTATAAAACATTAATTAAAATGTGAATGCCATATATTTTTTTAATAAATAATTTTTTAATAAAACATTTTAATTTTAACTATTTTTATACAAAGTGTGGCTGAGTTGAAAAATTAGTGTCATGAGTGGGACTCGAACCCACGACATCTTGATAAATACCCTGGTGCTCTCACCACTTAGCTATCGTAACTTCGGCCTCAAGACACCAAGCCTCATCTCAAAGTACAACTTTTTAAATTTTCTCTTTTTTTGCCAATATTCTTCTGAATTTTGTGGTATGCATCCCGCTCGTGACATTAATTTTGGATCTCAGCCACACTGTGCATAAATAATAAAATAATTACTTACAAAATAGTAATAATAATTAATTTTTGTTTGTCTTCCAGGAAATCGAAAATACAGCTCCTCTGTGCAGATCATTTTATCTAAAGAACTATTTGGGCTTAACATTGGATAAAACATTTCTGCTGTTTAATGACTTATGCACTACTGTGATTATCAATCACTCTTTTGATAATGTGATTGATGCCTTCCACATAACTGGTGATGGAAAGTTTTCCTTTTTTGCTTTAGCCTCATTTGAGTTGTTCTGCATGGATTTGACATCTCCTGGGAAAATAGTTTTTAAAACGTAAATGACAACTTTCAAAAATGATGAAAAAGATCTACCAAAGATCAGATAAACCATATTTTCAACAATGAGTTAACAGAATTAATACATTTTAGGACATTGCCATGCTCTCCAGAAAAACCAGACAAAGTTGAACAGTTAATTTCAAAGCAATCTGACATTTTCTTCAATCTTTACATTCTCTTCAGCAGTGGTAAAATATTAAAGTGAGTACAAAATGTTAAAGTAAATAAATATTTAAAAAAATAATAATTTTTTTTTTTTTTTTTTTAAGAAAACAATGTAGGGGGAATTTTTAATTTTTGTTGTTGAAAAAAAGCTTAAGATTTGGCCTACAATTCTTGTTGGGTTTCATAAAAAAATAAATTTTCTTTAATATTAATGAATCATAAGCTAATTTTATTTTGCTGTACAGGTCCTTCACAGAGGAGATATATTTGGTATGATAAATAATTGAGTACTTTGCGTGTTTAAAAACAAATCATAGTATACTCATAAATCTTCATTAAAAAAATAAGAAATATAATATAAAGTTTATGGCAGTTTCACTGTATTGTTGATTGTTCAAATCTAAGAATCTTTTGAATACCAAACAGTATTATTCAAATTACAAATAGCAAAGAGATCTTAATTGAATACAAAACTTAAAAATCCTTATAAGAATGAAATTAAGTTAGCTAAAAAGCAAGCAATATCTGAATATGTAAGTAAATCAACAAGTCTTGGAAGATTATTACTAATATTTCAATTAATTAATTTTTATCTACACCAATACCTTACATAAAAATTAATTAATTGAATGATGTTATTTGGTCAATTGGATCACGAAATCTAATGAATTATTAATAATGAAAATAAATTATTATTAATATTGAATTAAAGTTGATCTAAAGCTCAAGATTTTAGTAACTTGTAAAGGCAGTAGAACAGGCAAATGTGACACTATTGTTTGATAGTGCTATGCTTGAATAAAGGTTGTGAATATTTTTAGTTTTCAATGTAAATAATTCTGACTTTCAATTTGTACCTGTGATCAAGTAATGGCTGTGATAAAAACTTGTCACACTCTAACATTAAAGATATTTTTGATTTTTCAAATAGTTTGGTCAAAAGACTTTGAAATAAAACAAAAAAAAAATTTTAATTTTTTAATTTTAGGTTACCTCTTGAAGACATTCCAAATTATGAAGGGAATAACGAGAGCAAAACAAACTTGGAAGTTGTAAACAATGACATTGTACAAGTAATCTTTATATTTCATTATGATATCAAATTTGATAATAAAAAACAAACAAATTCCAGGACCATAATTTAGTGACAGCAATGTTTTGCTATCACTTCTGTGATGACATGAAAGCCTTGTTTTGTGTTGGAAACAAAATTGCCTTATGGTCTGAAAATGCTCAGAATCTCTCAGTTGCATTAAATCTTAAAAAAGAGTACAAAATAAAGAAGATAAAGTCAAGTGGTCTGTGAGTATTGATTCAAATTCATAAAATTTAATGTTGAATTCATATTAACAGATAAATGTAAATATGTGTAAAATGTAATGTTTAGGTATATAATAGCACTTACTATGAATGGAGACTTAATACAGATTGGACAAGATTCATTTTTAATTATTCACGAATGGAAGAATTATAACATAATTGATTTTACATTTATTAACAATTCTGCCGATTTAAATTTTGATTTGTTATTTATAACAGAAATTGATATATTTCTTCTTGAACCAATCAGTGCGTAAAAAATTATGCTATTTTATTATTACATTGTGTTTGAATAAGATTATTTGTTGATCATTTCTTTAATTAAAGGTTTGACGTTAAAATTTAAGCTGAAAACAGGCTTTCCAAGTTTTTTAATTGAAGGTTTAGCAGATTGTGAGGATTTATTTTACCTAGAAGGAGTAAGAGTAGATAATTTTGTTGATACTGTAAGGGTTAAAGCCATAACTGTGCATCATCCAGAATTTAGGTATAATTTATATTTGTATGCAGGAAAATAAAATTATTAGTTTGCTTAAACTATTATATATAATTTTCAGGCTTGAAAGGCTTCTTGCAAGGATGAAATTTACAGAGGCTGAAGAATTCGCTAAAAAATACAACTTACTCGAGAATGTTAGAAAATCAAAGGCGCAGTGGTTGATGGGAGAACTTCATCTTAACAAAGTCCTGGAAGAGACCCATTTTTTTTATACAGAATTTTTTTCTTTGATGAACATAATAATGGTAAAATAGATAATACACATTACTAAATAATAATTAATTATAATTATTATTATAATATAACATATCAAGTATTTTTGTTTAAAAAAAATTCCTGTCTTGCTAATTTTTTTGAAAGTGTAATAAAACCACATTTTAAGGATATTTCAAGGAGTAATAATTAATGAAGCTGATAGGAGTAAAAAGAAAATAAAAGCTTCAAATGTCTTTGGGTGTGATTTTTTTTAATTTTTTTTTTTTTTTTAATAAAAATAATAAGGGTAGAGAAAGAAAGATATGGTTGTTTGAGTCTGATTTTCTTGTGTTAAGTATGTGGTACTGAGTTTGATTCCCAGCGTACCTTAAATTGTTGTTTATAATTTAAATTGAGTATTGCTAAGTAGCCCCCTTGCCCATAACATTCTAAACTTTCATTGTTAAATTGATATAAATATGATTCTAGGATGATGAGTTTGTTGGTGAATGTTGCTTGAAAGTAACACCTCCAGATATAATAAAAACTAAAGATGTCGTGGAATATGCATGGAACAGACTATCAACATTACCAAAAAAAGTAACAAAAACTGAGTACAATAAATTACAAATTATAACATTTAAACAAAAAAAATTGCCTTTCAGAATCCAAATGTAATAAATCTACTTAAATTATTAAAACAACTTTTGAATGCAGTGAGTTCATTCTTGTTGATTTATGGCGAATCTGGTAGTTCTGAGGAGTGGCTGAATTTTTCTACAAAAAGTCCTTTCATCATTTGCCAAGAATTTTTGTCTAAAGTATGTCTTTTCTTTCATATTGTTTATAATTGTTAAAAATTTCGCTTTAAATACTTAGGGTCAAATAAGGGAAGCCATTATAATCTGTAAGCGCAATGAATTGCAAATGAAAAGCGTGCTTTCAACTGAAACCGAAAAGCCTTATTCATTATTTGAAGTTATATCCTCGGATGTTTCTGTGGAAGAATGTTTAGAATGGCTTAATTGCTATTTACCTATTGTATTATCTAATCATTCACAATTGTTGGATAAAGTTATCAACTGGATAATAAAAAAGGCTAAGTATGATTTCATCCATTAGCATTATAGAATTGTAGAATAGTATACATGAGTAAAGAATATACATTTAACATATACTTGTTAATTAGATATATTGAGCACCAAAATCTTGATTTGTGGCCAAGAAAAGCTTTAGAATTTTCACAACAATGCTCTGTTATGTTGAGAAATATAATAAACAGTGACATAATAGAAGACAACTTTTCTCTTCACCAAGGGATAAGCTTACCAAGTTCTCCAATAAATATATTGAACGAATTTTCATTTAATCTTCATAATCTGTGCATTTTAAAAGAGGAATTTGCCATCCATATTGAATATGACAGTTATATACAGTATCAAGATAGTCAGGTAATTTATTTTTTCCTTTGTATGAAATGATTTTGTTTTATATTTTTTATCAAATTCTAATTGTTTTATTTATTTTTTTTAAGCAACGGATGGTGTTTTTACATTTATTATTTGATTATGTACCGAAACATTTGATTCCTACTTTTGTTGAAAATTTTATTAACATCATGTTTGTAGACCAATGCAAAGATATTGATAAAATAATTGCCAACTATATTGTAAGTACAATTTTTAAAATTTTTCTAAATTGTATTATCAATTATCTACTAGTGATTTATTTTCAGAGAAGACAGAGTCGTGATTTATATATCAGTAATCATTCTTGGGAGGAGGGAAGGTGTGTCACATATATAGAATGTATTAAGGATTTGTCTGTAAGTGTTTTCATAATTTGCAATTCACATTTGTGTTTTTTCCAAATTTTTGAACTCTTTCTAGGAAAAATTAAATATCATACAATTTATTCTACCAAAAGTGTCTATACCTCTTAGTAGTGATATTGAGAATCTAATTGAAAAAATAAAACATCACAATCATCCTCTAGTCATTCATGTTTTGAAAGAAGTAAGTGATTTATCTAAAAAAGCTATACTCAAGAAATATGGATTTCAATATAAATCTATTGACATAGACGAGGTATGTTAAAAGTTCTATATTATATTTGTGGTCGGTGTGTAAATTAGAATTTTTGTACAGATAGATACATGTGCTCTTCGAATATTTGAAAATAGTGGAGAAGACGGCTTGGAAGATGTTAAACTTCTTCTAAATACTGGGAGTACAACGTTGAATATCGAACCTTACAGGGCAATGTGGATGATAGCAATTAATAAAGGGTTTCTATCAATTACTGTTATTTTTCCAGTATCAAATATTCCAACACTAATTAATAATTTTAATCAAAATTGGGATCATTTGCTTAAATTAAAATAACAATAATTTGAACAATTGATACAATTTCAGGTCTGCACAACGCGCATTTTCTATAATAAAAGATGAGATTCCACCGAATAAAATAATATTACTATGCAAAAGTATGGTTGAATACATACATTTAAGTTTGAAGATGCGAACAAGGTTTTTGTGCATTTAACTTGTTTTATCATTGAATGATGGTAATTAATAATATATACATATATTTTTTAGTTGTGATGAAATCAACAATTGTATACTAGCTCTTGACAATATTATTTCTTACTGCACTTGTGAAGGAAGTGTAGAGTCAAGAACTATTGTAGATTTTGCACAGAATGTCATAGCTATTCACAAAATCCAAGTAATTGTTTATTAATTACAAAAAAAATTTCATACTCTTAAATTGTAAATTCTTAAGTTTATGTTTTTCTTCTAGTTATTTGATAAAAAAACATTCAACATGGATAATATGTATGGTGTTCACAAAGGATCCGTTCTAGAATTTTGCGTTTCACACTTAACAGAAGGTAAAAATTCTGTGTAGAATGTATAGAACATACAATTCGTGTAATACTTATTGGTTATTACTTTTTAGACGTTCCAAAAAACATTATTCCTACTGAAAATTGTGAATTTGTACTTTTATTGAAAAAGCGAGTATCACAAATAGCCTCTGACTTACAATTGAAATTTGAGAAATGCATTTTAGAATTAACATCACAATGCGTCATAAAAGGGAAAATTCACTGTGCCACTTTTTTTATCCAGTAAGGATGATTATCTTAATAATTAATTATTTAACAAAATAAACATAATTTTTACCTATTTGTAAAATTATATAAATAGTATGGTATTAATTGATATTTTGTAGATTGTTGAAAGAGAATAATTTTCTTGACTCTAGCCCAAGAGAAGTTTCAAAACTTTTAGAATTAATATTAGATATTTATTGTCAAGCACCAGATAAAGATGAAGAAGTTGCAAGCGTTTTGTTAGATATAGCCAGTTCATTGATTATTTCATGCGCATCAAGTATATATCATAACCATTACTTTGTATGCCAAATGTCCTGTGTTACTTATGTGATTTGCTTTTAGTGGACATAAAAAGGAACATAGATATGCTAACAATCTGCAAGTTATTTGTCATTCCGCTTCAAAAACCCGAATGGTCTACTATTTATGAAGATCCTTTTGAAGTGCATCAATTATTTTTGACTCCTGCAGTTGGGAATTCACTATTAAATTGTAAATTATCTAAATTTTAATTAATATTAATTTTCTCATTGTGAATGCATAAAATTATATCATTATTTATTATTATATGTATGCAGGTGTACGGAATGTACCAGCAAAAGTTGATAATGCTGAGTTAAATAATGACTTAGAGGTAACGTAAAAATTTACTTTACTATAGGTGATTTCTAATTTTGGCTATAATTTATAGAAAATTCTGCAAGCAATACCAAATGATTTAATTTCATTCAACTATATGTATGCATTAACTTGGCTACTTTTAAAGCAAGGCGAAGTAGTAAGTCAACTGAATTATATATATAGTATGTAACTATAATATCCCTAATACACCTTTCATGGATTTTCTTTTCAGGATCTAAAAACGTTGAAGAAAATTTCAAAAATAGCATCACTAAAAGCGTCTGCAATAATTTTGAACATGCTAGCAGCTCGTTCGTTTTCTCTTAACCTTGCTTTAATTTTATTACACCATTTCCAACCAGAACAGGCTGTTCAGTGGCTGAATAACGTTACAAAGTAATATAATTACAATTTAAACTTTTAACATTTATGTTGAATTGAATGTTTTGTGTAGCAAAATGAATGGAGACGATTTAAAGTGGAATAATGCTTTAGGTCTTCTTGGAAAATATTATTATGGGCTGCGTCAAGATTTAAAGGAAAGTGATATGTTAAATTATTTTAACGAAATTTATATCATGTCGTCTTGGGGCATGAAAATTGTGAATTATGGGATTCCGTCTAAAGGTAACTGGTCGCTTTGAGACTGTATGTTTTACTGTATTTATTCATTTTTCTTGTAGATATGAAAGTTCTTCTACGTGGTAAAGAGTAATAATAATTTTGAAACTTATTTTAACATGTTTATTACAGCACTGATTTGTAAAGATACTCCCTAAAATAGTAAAGTATGGGGGAATCAAAAGTAAAGATGTGGAAAATTTTGTACAGTTTTGAAATCTATTTAGGTGTATATAGGTGTGTATAGGCCCAACGAGCAATTATAATTTTGCTAAAAAAAATACCTATTTAAAATTTTATTTTATCTCCCCCCTCCATTTACTCTTGGTGTGGAGTCAAGGAGTAAGTAATAATTCTTTGGTTTGTGCTTGTGACTACACAGTGGTAAGACACAAATCAAAGAATTAATGCCTTTTTTAAACTTTTGGGCAAGTCATTCTGGAACGATATTTGTGTATGGGAAAGGTTAGCCAAACCAGCAATTCTACTGTTATCCTCTCGTTATTTATTGATGTACATCTGCCTTTTATTATGACAAATTTACTCATCTATATTTCTACTTACTATCTATCAATAAATTTCTTTAAAAATATTACGGGGGAGGTAGTTTATAAATGAATAAAAACTGACATTTACATTGTAATTCATTACTTAAATTAGCAAATTTATTTGGTTAATTACAAATAATTAAACACAATAGTAAAACAATTATTTAATAAAAATTACTAACGCTAATAATATGGAGGAATTTTATGTAAAAAAAAATTGTTTATTTAGCTAAACTGTGATGTACATATTGGGCGCAAAATATGCGACACATATAACACTCAAGAGGAAATATTTAATTTGCTAATAATATTTTGTTAAAATTAAAGGTGTGCAGTGTGATTTTTACTATTATTTGTAGAGGCATGTTGTGACGGTGTTGATGGCAGAAAGAAGTTATTAAAAAAATTAATTGCTACGCCTGGAATAGAAATGGATGTATTACAACAGTACTGCATTGATATGAAATTGGATATCCAAAAATGTTTGCTATTTTATCTAGAACATGTATTACTATCATGGAAACCAATTTTTTCTGTTACAAAGAATAAAGTAGGAAAAACCGGTGAGTAATTCATATTCACTGTACTATATCTTTGAATATTAACAAATTTATTGTTGATTTTTAGTTTTGGTTTTTGAAAATGACACAAAAGAACTACTAACAATATGTCAAAGAATTGTTTATCAAATTGGAAATGAAGACAATCTTACTAAATTGCTACTTCAGACGATTTGGGATCAGGTGAAGATGCCAGTTCTTCTTGTAAATATTAAACTAGGAATATATTATTTATATTTATTGTTAAAGGTAAATACATACTATTATGAGGTTTTTCTTGTGATATTGGAAATTGTCCCAACAAAGTTTTGTGTGAAACTTCAAAAGTATAAATTAATTCTAAATTTTTTACTAGTGTATACCAGAGTTGGGTGAGTATTCAGTTAGTAAATGCAAATTGTAACAATACCATAATGTAATTTTTTCTCATTGTTTACATTCCCTCTCCAGGGAAATTCAGGAAAGTGAAGAAAATGAATGGTTTGCCCTAAATCCTTCAAATCAGACACTTCCAGAAATAGCCAAGTATCGCCTTCCATTAAATAAATTTCCTTGTGATGTTGTGAAGACAATGAGTAAGTTGTTGAAACATAAAATTAAAATAACTTTTATTTATAATGATTATAAGCAATAATTATTATTACTTTTTTAGAAACAGAATTTACTTTGGAAACTTATAACATTTGGCTGACAGCCCCTATTTGGACTCCAAACACCCAAAATCAAGATCTAATTTGTTCATTCACAATTACTAATCTTGTTAGTACTGTAACAAAATTTAAATATCAGTTAAATAACTACCCTAATGTTTTTGTTTTTAGAAAAATGAAGATTCTCACACAAATTCAAATACTTGGCAGTTAAGTAGTAGAAAAAAAGATTTATTAGAGAAAATTAAAGAGTGTCTTGACCATATTAAAAGTTTTGAAACTGCAGTCGCTGCTCTCTACTTTGTTGTCAATCATGTAATGCCACCAGGTATTGAAATAAATTGTTAAAGAGAAATTATTATTTCTGTTAATATGAATTTTACCACACATATTCAAAATTATAGGAATTGACCAGGTTCAAGCAGCTCAGTTGTGTTTTATGAAGGCAGAGCAGTGGGCAGAAAATGAACGTTCTGAAAAAGCAATTGTAGGGAGGGCTAGGGTAAAAAAAATTTCAACAATTTATATTGGTTCTTCATTAAAATTATATTATCTATTAATTTAATGGTTTTTCAATTTTCAAGGCTGAGAAAAAATATCTCACTGTTTCAACAACACACATTTTACATAAATATGGATTGGGCAAACCAGAATACATAAAACTAGCTCTTCAGCCTGCAAATTTAATTAGTGTTTTGTACCATGATCCATCTTTATTGGAAGATTCGTTGTCTATTAAACCCGGTAAGAGAATTTTCTACTATCAACAACTTACACAGTCTGCTTTACACATTGATCAATCTTTACATTAAAAAAAAAATTAATTACTTTTTTTGAATTTGACCAATAATGTAAATGATTAAAACTGCACTAAATTTTAATAATATGATAATTAAGGTTGAGCATTGAAATGTTAATTTTTATTTGAAAACATTTGTTTCTTTTTAGATATCAACAAGGCTGTTGAGTGTATAACAGCCCTCCATAGTGTAAACATTGCAAATGTCACATTGGAATTATTGACAAAGTGGCTTGACGCTGAAAATAAGGAATCTAGTATTGATTACTTTTTAGTTGATAGTAAATGTAAAATTGTGACTACACAATATTCAGATAATGTCAAGCGGTATGCTTTTTCAACAAAGAAATCAAATCAGTCTTTATTAACGCTCTCAAATTTTAGTGCTTGTTATTTATTACTTGGAAGTAAAGAACTGAGCAAAGTTGAGAGTTACCTCATTGGGGTTGTTTTTACAAGAAATCATGAAGAAAACCGTAAACCTGTTGGTATTAGATTAAGAGCACTCCAATGCCTTACAGCTATCACCACAGCTGAAAAACTTCAGTTGATAACTGCAAGATCTATTGAAGCAATAAAGTAATAAGTTTTTATTTTAATGTGTACTGAATTTATAATTATTAATATGATTTTTAGAAGTCACATGAAAGTATTAGAAATAGTGTACCAACTAGAATTGTATGGATATTCGTATACGATTAAAGGTTTTGAACTCACTTCAAAAGAAGCCATGGTCTCAAACCTTTTGAAGAAGCCTACCAATGGAAAATTAAGACTTGCAGCATATATCGCTCGTTGCTACAAAATAAATAAACCTGAAATATGGGATGATATTGCACAGAAAATGGTAACCTTACTAATGGTGAGTTGCTGAAGTTATTAATTTAAACAAGTTAATTTATTCCAATTAATAAGTCATTGGCATAAAGATAGAAAAGTATATAATGTTACAATATTGTTGTTTTTAGACAACCGACTTGGAAATTTTGTTGCCCCATTTTGAGGAAATGATGATAAACCAACATACTACTAAACTCATATGGGCCCGACTAATTGAAACAGCCATGTCTTCTGAAGGTAATACTATATTCAAAACATTAATGTCATTTATTATGAAAGAAATATTTTCTTATATTGATTATTTATTTTAGACAGTGATAAAGTCATAGATTTGGTGGAAAAATCCCCTGACTCTTCCTACTTGAATGTTAAAGCTTTATTACAGTATTTCAGAAAAAAACAAAATCAGACAGCAATAAAATATCTGATGAGCTTCACTAAAGACTAATATATTTTAATAGCGTGCATTATATATATGATTACTTTTACTTTTGCATATTTGTTGATATTATATTTTTTATATACTGTAATAGGTGCATAAAATAAAAACATGCTAGTAAATTTATTTTAAATCAGTTAACAAATCAATAAACCCACTATTGCAACATTCTTATGCGAATATATTTTATAGATGTTATTTTAAGTGTTTTCCCTTTCTCAGCCAATTATGTTTTTCCCTTTCTCAACTTCTGGCTATTTTAAAGGTCTGCTTTAACGGTTTTTATTCACATCATCAAAAATGAGCTCAGGGTGTTTTGTAATTAATTTAGGAAATAAGGTTGAAATTTCTTTAACAAAAAATAATATACAATAAATATATTTTCAGAAAGAAATTATTATAAATTCAATGTATTTTCATAAAACATTATTATTTAACTAAATTAATATATGAAGAATGGAGTTATCTTTGGAGCACAGTCAAATTTTTCCGTTGAACAAGAAGAAGCTGTCCATGAGAAGCATTGGAAGAGGTGAACTCAAATTGTTGTTCTGATTTTTCCTTCTTCATTGCACAGCTCTTCCTAGTAAGACTTCATTTTTAAAAGTTAGCAAAAACCATTTAAAAACCCTTAAAAATAAAAATACATTTTCCATTATTTATTGTTATAATTACATTTATTTAAAATTTATTTATAAATTACTACTCTTGCTTTTTGGGTGGATTGTCTTTTCTTTAATGATAGATCTGGACAAATAAATAGGGACTGCTCAACCAATTTATTTATTGATGTCGATGCATTTCGGGGCCAATCTGGCTCACCTCTTCCGGGCTTGGGAGAAAACATTTTGAATTTCACTAAGAAGGGAGTCAGATTGGCCCAAAATGCATCAACAATAAATAAATTAAGGTATATTTAAATAAAAGGACAATGATAACTATCCACAGGAACTGTTATTGTACAAGGCTATTTTTATAGAACTTAACTATACTTATCCTCCAGGAAGGAAGAGCTCGTATCAAGTTATCTTCAAATAAACGAGTGAATGACAAAACTCAACAAGCTAGACGGTGATAAATTCTACTGATTGTAATTGTACAAAATATGCAAATAAACTGTTAGAAAGGGCAGACAGAAATTCTCGTATGAAATCATAACTATTATTTATAGCCATTGATATTGATGTTGAAGGCAAACAAGGTAATTTAAATTTGACCATTTCCCATCGTTTTAGTCATTCTTATAATGATGGGGAACTCTATGACAAAAGCATTTAACACAATAACTGTAAGACACATGCCAACTGCCCTTCTGGGTGAGAAGGATGCAGTGGTCCCTTCCACCACTTCACCCGCTACACAATTCCATTCTAAATCCCTAGGGTTTAATTCACGAAGGGCGAAAGTGTAACTGTCTATGCTCCAAATATTTTCAACTGAAAACTCTGAAATTTGCTTTTCTGTAATTATAAGTATAACCTTCTTACCTTTAATAATTAAATTAATGTTAATTTCCACACAGGTATTTCTTTAGGTTTTACATGAAATCATCAATAATCAGTTTGTTAGTTTTTATTTTTATTTTTATCTACATAAATTACCAAATATAAATATTTTACCATTATGTAACACAATCATAGTAGAAATGTAAAAAAGATTTTAATTAATTTGTATATTGCTCTTAGAGTGCTAATAACAATAATAATATAAAATAATTCATGTAACCTATTTAGGTTGTTCAAGAAGGATGATGGTGTGTGGGTTATTGCTCATCCTTATCCTTGGCACCGTGCTTTAAAATCCTTGTGAATTCTATATAATCGAACATACCATTTTTAATCGGGGCTTCTCTGTACATTTCATCAACCTTGAATTTATAAAAAAAATATATATTAATGAAAGAATCATCGTCAAATTTAAAACAGGCTTACGTCTTCATCTGTAAATCGATCGCCCATTGAAGTCAATAGTTCTCTCAACCTTTCTTCATTGATATAACCATTGTTGTCCTCATCGAAACATCCAAAAGCATTCTTAATGACATCTTCTGGGTCGGTACCTTGAAGCCGTTCACCAAACAATGTTAAGAACATTGTAAAATTAATGGGACCTGGGGCTTCGTTCATCATTCCCTCTAAGTATTCATCAGTTGGATTTTTCCCTATAAAAAAAAATTAAACCGTCACTTAGATATAAAAAAAACCCTCTATAATATGACATAAAATATTAATAATACAATAACTAATCAAATAAATTAATTCAAAATGTACCCAGGGATGCAAGCATGTCGTGCAGATCTTCTTTATCCACGAATCCGTCACGGTTCTGATCGATCATGTTGAAAGCCTCTTTAAATTCTTGAATTTGTGCTTGATCAAACATAGCGAACACATTTGAAGTTGCTCGTTGAGCACGCTTTTTTGTGGTGCCCCGACGGCCAGCTGTTTTTCTCGACGACATTGTGCTTGACTAGACAAAAAAAATATATGCTATTATTAAACAATCACAGTTTTATTGATTATTAGCAATTATCTAGTTGTAATTGTTATTTAAACAGAGAACAATGTTGTTGATTAAATGCAATACTGTCATAAATGCTTACTAATTATGTTTTATGTTACATAATTGAAAAAAAAAGGGAGTATCAGAAAGATTCATCCATGGTTTCAGACAAAAAACGACCACACAGCTTAAAATGAATATAACGTAATACCTCAAATTCGATATTTTCACAATAAAATTTTTTCATACTTCTGGGGGCCAGTAAACCTTAATGTCTTAAAATTTGTTCAAACCTTCTCCACAGTACGAAGCATTGAGCAACTAACTTCTTGCTTCTTTCGCATTCTTTGTGGTTACTGACACCCACATCGACTCTACCTGCAGAGTTTGTGCTTCCACAAGAAGATTGACAAAACTTTCAGTGGCTGACCATATAACAATAGAAGTGCAAGTAATACCCTTTTTTTAATTATTTTTTTTTTTATTTATTTATACAATGGATACCAGGAACTGGAGGAGTTCCCTCCTGAGCACTGCAGCTGTACAGCTTATTGTACTTTATCCCTTACTTCATTTTTTGGGGGGCTCTCAACACAAGTGTGTATTTGAGCCCCCAGTGTGCCAGTGTTCTTCCATCGAAGAAACTCATTTTTGAAGGGGGTTGGGAAAATTCAGGGTCGCTGAGATCTGATCCCTCTCCTTCCATTAATGAATGTCGTGTCAATTTCTTTCAATTGCGGCCACCGGTCCCCTTAGGCGTCAGAAAAAGTCCAGAAGCGACGATGGGGATCGAACACACGACCGCGGGATCTACTAGCCAAGAGTCTGATGCCTTAACCACTCGGCTACCGCGGCCCCCAAGTAATACCCTTAGTCCATGAAAAAGAGCTTCACATGTCTGACAATGTAGTTGCACCAGGCTCAATTCACTTTTTAATTACATTTGAAAATATTGCTGATGTGAGGTCCACCAATTTTGTGCAAATTTTGAAAAAGATGACATGCTGGTCATGTTTAATCAAATGAGAATAAATATTACTACCATTTCAAGACACTTTATTACACGACATAAAATAAAAATAGCTTTAGTAGTATAAGCTGTGTGATCGTATAACAGAAAAGTATATTTAACATGCAGGTTTAGATTAGCCTAGTAGGAAAAAAGTAGTAGATAAAATAAGTAGACTAAAAAGCTTAGTAGTAGATTAGCGTATTAAGGAAAAAAAAGCCTTGAACAGAATACCTTTTAAGTTTTACAACATAAGTGTTCTGGACAGAAGGCATGATATTTAATTGTCTTTCTCTTAATGAGGCAGACTCCAGACTACTCATGTCTGAAAGTATAAAAATTTACAAGATGAGAAATTCTCACCTCTCACCATCTCCGAAAGTTACTCAAATAATGGGGAACAAGAATAGCACTAATGAAAAATTAAATTAAAATCCAATAATCAGCCAATCTGTACACACCATTGAGGCTTCTATCAATAAAAATTAATTCTTGTTATTAATCTATTTTATGCAGTCACATTTTTTATTATACTTAAATAACAGTTTAAGAAAAACTGACAATTACGGTTAACTTAAAACTATCCCAAAAACGTCCAAAAAAATGGATTTCATGCAGGAAGTATCCTCAAAGGTGGTCATCGAAGCGATGACAAGGACAACATGCACAATATGGTGTAAGAATGGCATATCAGAGAGTTTCAATATCGATATGGAAGTTAAACAATGTGCATTGCCTAGCCCTTAGTTTGCCTTGTTTTTGAATTATTTAGAAGCCTTGGACAGAGGGGGAATTATGGTAGGAAATGTCAAAATCAAACTACTAGTGTATGAAGACCATGTGATTATTCTAGCTTTAAGACCATAATTTTAAATCCCTAGAATGGTATATAAAACAATATTTAGGATAGGATTATTTTGGATAGAACAAATTCAAAAGCCCCAACATTCTTTCTGAAGAAATAGTAGAAATAGAAATAATTATGTACGCTTCCACCATGGACACTATCATCCTTTATAACAAATACTGTGCACATTCACTTCCTCAGTATTAATCTATACTATCAAAGCACTTACGATGGCTTGTAATAAGTACCCAAATATTGTTGCCTGACAATGTTTAAGGATGGTGAGATGGTTGTGCAGGATGGGAATTTCTTGTATTTGAAAACGGAAAACAGACATACCTGTAGTATGGCATTTGAGGATTTATAAACCAATTTTTCTGGATATTTTAAAATGCCTGTGCAAAATGAAACATATTCTCTACACAGAAAATTAGAGTTCAAAGGAGGAAACTACAGACATTTAAATAATAACAATAAATGGAAAGAAAATCAGATCATTAAAGTCAGAGCCGATATCTAAAGTACTAGAGCCGATAAGTAAAGTAAAATTTGAGTATAAATAATGCTATGTCCTGTCTGAATCTATAAAACCGAATTTATTTCACTTTTTTGCAGTCTGTACTGTATTGGTGGGCAGTTATAAGTGTGATGAAGCCTTAGATTAAATAAAAGTGTGTAGAGATTAGTGACCGTTAATCGATAGTTATTCAGATATCGTGAGATGCGGGCGGGTGTGATGTAGGGCACTCTCAACACGACACGCAAGGATGGCACAATTACACAGAAGACAAACACTTTGAGCCCTGAAGGTGATCTCAATAAAAGATTGAAACGTTGGCACGATAAAGAAAATGTTTTTCTGAAACCTACATCACACCCAACCGCATCTCACGATATCTGAATAACTATTAAATAAAAGGGGAAAATTGGAGTACTCTCACACATTTCTGTAAGGAAGATTATAGCTATAGAGCCACAATTGTAGCAGAGTATATTATGTTATCAGAAAGGTCCTGTTTATTATTTTATTTATTTTTTTGGTGCAAAATTATGATGAGCCTTCAATTTTTTGTGAGTTTGTATATTAAATATTATATAAAGTGGGAGAATTATGGGCCAACAAACAGCTGAAATCATCACCAGCCCTCTGCTTGTTTTTCTTCTTTTCAGTGTTTTACGCGTATTTTATTTTAAACTGCAGCTATTTGAGCATCTTTATCTCGTTACTGGCTTGCTGCTTTTAAATATACACTACGTTGATATTGTAAAACACCAGCCTTGCATTTGTACCATATGCCTAGAATGTCAAGATTTGTTTAGAAAATTGTAAAGTAGGTTCAGGAAAAATATTAATCGTGAAATTAATTATTGCAAAGAACATTATACTTAGAAGTTTAGGAGAATCAATGTATGAACTAATAATTTTAAAAAGAGTTAGTAAGTTGCACATTTTAAAAAACATCAGTAAGTCAAAGAGTAATCTGTGTGTCTTAGTTTAACTGCGATTCAAACTGATTATAATTGAAAATGTTTTTACCAGCTTAAAGGCAACCATTCATTAAAAAATTTTGTACTCTTTAGTTTCTGATTTACATGAACGTATGTGGATTCCATGCTGGAGAGCAATATTCGAGTTAAGATCTCTCCATAGAGGAAGGTAATAACGTCATGGAATTTACAAAAGGCAAGATGAATTGACTGGCTAGATATTACCAATATATTTCAGAATATGATACCGTCACAAAGAAGTGAGTGAACTTCTCGCCAAGCTTTTGACCTTTACTAGTCTTCTGGTGAACTTCAGTATTGTGTGTGGTGTTTAGTGACTGTTAATTAATGATTATTTGGAGATCGTGAGATGCGACCTGGTGTGACGTTGGTTTAGAAAAACATTTTCTTTATCGTGTCAACGTTTCTTTCTTTGAGATCATCTTCAGGGCCTGGGATTTTATAAACATTTTTTTTCACATCCTACATGTATTTGTATATTTAAACAATGTTAAACAACATGTACAATAATCAGTATTTCAGTGTTTTTTATAAAAAATTCAGTCTGGTTTTTAATTTTATAAATAACTTTAATAAAAGATTTAATTATTGTTAACTATTGGTTTTAAAGTTTTGTTAGGGTTTAAAAATTATGTTATTGTTATCAAATTTATTTATGAAAATGTAATGTAACCAGTAATAAAGGTCGCAAGGTACAATAGTAGTGAGAAGGTACAATAGTCACTTCTTTGTGACCGCATCCCTAATCCACAACACATTAGTCTTGGAATTTTCTTCTAAATCTTTCTAACTTCCGGATAATTTATATATTGTATACAATAATGTTGCTCATTTTGTAATTATCTTGATTGTCGAGAAAGATAATTATTATATAATTAATAAATAATATATAAATAAAAAAATTGTAGACTCCACGGACGGTCCACTTTGTACCATGTTGTTGTCTTTATTATGATTATTGTAAATTATCAAGATTACTTCTATTGCAAATTCTGAAATAATAAAGATCTTATGGAAAAAAATAACAGTTTAAACGGGTTGAAATCGTTAAAATGTAAATAATATAACCCTCATTCTATATAAATAATTTCAGGTCGTAATTACAACAATTAGCCCGGTATATTGAATATTTATTAAAATTGTTTTCACGTTCGAAGAAAATGAATTTAATTTGAGGAACAATGGGTGAACAGAAGGTCAAAAATAAAAAACAAACTTAAACAGTTGTTACTCATAAGGAATTAATCACAAACGCGTTGTATTAAATTAAGACGGATTTTTTAATAAATCTAAGAGCAAAAATATTTAAAAATAAAAACTGTATAATGACAAAACAATACTTACAAAAATGTTAATAACTTATATCAAAGGGGACAACGACAATAGTGAGTCATAAACAATTCAACTTTTCTAGGACGAACACAGATGACGTAAGAGGCGAGTTTGCTTCCACCATCAACTACTCACCACACCCAAACTACTCGAAAAATGAAAATTTTCATTAAATGTAAAATAAGCCTTTTTTTAATGAAACGTTTGAATGTCTAATCGTATGAAAGTAATCTATTCTTGACTTAATAAAAAAACAACAAAAAATTTATTTATTATTTTGACAAGACCGCGCGTTTTTAAACCAACTGCTTCCACATATCGGACTGTCGGTGTGATTTAATTTGAAGGAAAAGTAAGAAAAGCGTATCATAGATCAACATAAAATCCCTTACATGAGATTGAAGGACCCTTTCCTCTTGAGAAGACATCAACAACTAAACAGATGCCTGAAAAACTTGGATGCCCTAGTTTTTTCCCACTCTCCCCTTACTATATAAGGTATCGAACCTTGTACCATCCAGTCCTTAAAAGGAAGCAAATTCGTGCAATAGACGATTTTTCGAAATTCGAAACAAAGAATAAAAGTTTCTTTATCATTTATATCACTATCTAACTGTAAAAGAACATGATTTTTCCAAATTTAGAACTTAAAAGTTAAAATATTAATTTTTTTAAATCAAAACAACTTTACAAAAGCAGCCCTTTAAAAAATAAAATTGAACTTACAAAGCTATCAATTTCTTACTAGTGCTGTGTGTAAACGTTTTAGGCATTATTTACATAAAATTAATGTTTTGATCTATATGAGAAAATATAAAGGAGTATGTAAATGTATGACAACAATACCACAAAGCTATCAACATATTCATAAACAATATTATTATTATTTATTGTTATTAAATAATCTGTACAATAGAAGTTGGGATTAATCGTAATACATAAAATAAAATAAACTTAATAATTGAATGCACAGTTTAAAAAAAGATAAATTTTCTAAATACGTAATATATCTTGGTTATTTTTACCTGGAAGTGAAACTAAATCTGAAATTTTTTTTTTAAGTATTTACTACAATAGTAGTAATCTTTCTTTATAATAAAATAATAATAATTATAATCACAGATAAGAAAATAAAGGTCCTACAATTGCATCTTGCCAGATGAAATTTTGTTATGAGGTGGTTTACAACCTGACAAATAAAAGAATATAAATTTAGAACTAGCAAGTGAAAAAAATAAACAAATTTTCAAGTTTCCAAGTAGGTCACGGTTGACCATCCCAAAACCATTACCAAAGTCAAACAGCACGAACAGAGTGCATTCGTGAATATCTATGCCTCTTCGTAATCTTCACTAATTTTTAGTAATGACGATTAACAGCTATGTTGATGCCGAAAACCAAATTGAAAAGGTGAAAACAGTGAATAAGTATCAAGAAAGTTATTAATTTGTTTAAACATAATTTCTATAGCTTTAGATAACGAGGGTAGAATAGTTATAGGTCGAAAATCCTTTGGGTGTTGATGAAACTTTAAGAAAGGGTAAAACAACAGCTTTCTTCATTTCAGAGGGAAAATTTGTTGAAGTCGAGGAGAAATTAAAACTGTGTTATATATTTAATGGTGAATAAGGAGAAGAGAAAAATTATTATTAATTTAATTCTGAACAGCCTCGTAAATTGTGCCACTTAAAAGAACTTAATCACCTAATATTGTTGACCTGTCTATTCTTTGCTTCTCTCAGGTTTGTTTTATTTTCTTTATAATATCTATAAATGTACATTTTTAACATTTATGGTGATATATTGTACGTAATGCTTTACAAATATATATTATTATTACTATTGAGTATTATTGTATGCAATGAAGGCCAAACCCCATTAACATCTGAATGTCTAAGACTGTAACAGATTTTTATTTAAAAAAAATATATATATTTATATAAATATATATTTTTATTTTTTGGAAATAATTGAAGTGAAATATTAAAAGTCTTCGTACGAATTTCGGAGTGGATCCACATTCCCCTTTAGTGTTTGAAGGACTGTTTGTAGATTGCGTGTCGGCCTTGTTTTGACAAGAGAACATGGATTTAGAACAGCTGGTTTTTGGATCTTTGAGTTGTTGATCTTGTGGTTTATTTTCTTAACATGTGAATTTTACTTCAAAATATCGGATTTAACTTTTATTTATGTTTCGTTATCGAAGAAGATTGTCACTTCGATCATAAAAGACGGCCTATTAGATGATTTAGAGGAAAACACCTAGTTTCCTATACATAAAAGTCGAAACTGGTTTTATTGCCAATGGCGGGTACGATAGTCAATGGATCCTCAGGAAATTACAATTTTAAAGTTGTTCTTCTCGGTGAGGGGTGCGTCGGGAAGACGTCTGTCGTTTTAAGATACGTCGAGGACAAATTTAACGATAAACATGTAACAACATTGCAGGTATATTTATAGTTCATGTACACATATATCGTTGAGTTATGTAACTCGGTATTTTTTTAATCATCAGGCCACTTTTCTCACCAAGAGATTGAACATCGGCGGCAAACGAATAAATTTAGCCATATGGGATACTGCAGGTCAAGAAAGATTTCACGCACTAGGGCCGATTTATTACAGGATGTCTAATGGAGCGATATTAGTGTATGATATTACAGATGAAGATTCATTTCAGAAGGTAAAACTTCTAAAATGTAAGCGAGCGATTGGTTTTGGTGCTTTTTCATTTGTTATGTACTGGGTTGTAAAAAAGTCTGTAGCGTTTTTCAATAATATGATTTTATTCCTCCTTTGTTTTGCGCTTTGCTCATCTTTCAACTGTCATCGAACCAAATTAAGTTTTCGTTTCAAATAACCCACACCCAATGACATAAGACATTTCAGCAATGCATATTTGAGAACAGCTGGATAATTCGTCAAAGCAATATATGTTTATTCGATCAAATCTTGAGTTTTTTGAGAAAATGTGTCAAGACTGATGAGGGGAGATGAATGCCCCCAAAATGGATCTTTTTCATAAATGAATAAAAAGCAGACAGGTCTTATTACAATAGTTCCAACACATTCTCACATAAATAATTGAAACACCAACTCGAAAAAAGACGAAAAGATTTATATCGGCTCGTTAAATGCTGTCAGAAGAATTTATTGGTCCACTCCTAAAATACGTGAATGATGCATTTTTAAAAATATTGATAAATGGGTCTTTGGATAACAGTATTCTCAGAGGAAAATGCAGCGACCCATTAGAAGATTATTTGGATTGAAAGCAGCATTTATTATGAGCTTCGTCTGCCCACCCAAATGGTTAATTATAGTGTATACCTCACACAAATTAGAGCAAGTAAAGTCAATAATTGACCCTACACAAATGGTATTGGCTAATTGAAAGGTGAATGTTTTCCACTGAGATAACACTCACCCCCTTATCAAAAATTCTCCCTACCTGTCATATTCATCTGATTTTACTCCTTCAGATTTTCTCCTCTTAAAACTATTAATGGGAAAACTACTTCTCTTAAGGACTGCAGAAAACATCGACTCTGCAGTGAATAAAGATGTAGTTATTAACCAGCTGTGTTCAATTATGGTTCATATATTATTGATAAATATGTTAAATTATCTGAAATTTCATTGAATTTGCTATCAAAAAACGCTACGGACCTATTTTCAAAATGATACATGCAAAAGCATCATCATTTTACATGTTGACTGTAGTTGTTGACTAATGTTGACATCCCTCCTTTTTCCCTGTCCATAGTAATTTTAAACTATTAAATTAATTCATTACAGGGTATCAATACATGACAGACAGGCACACAGTCAACTTGTTAAAGAGTTATAAGATATATGTAATTTTGCATTTGCTCATTTATTTGAAACTTAAAATATTTAAATTTTGTACATGGATTGTTAGTTTTAAGGGTACTCCTTTTTGGATATGTTATAAAGTTAAATTATTTTCCAGGTAAAGAATTGGGTTAAAGAGCTTAAAAAAATGTTAGGCAGTGAAATATGCTTAACTATCGCAGGAAACAAAATAGATCTTCAAAAAGATAGAAATGTACCAATAGAAACTGCAGAAAAGTAAGATTTAATATTATTTCTTTTTAAGAGTTTAGCGATAATTTTTAAATTTAGTTTCATTTGCTTACACACATTTGCGTTTTGGGCAGGTATGCAGAATCTGTTGGTGCTTCTCATTTTCACACATCTGCAAAACAAAACAGTGGGATAGAGGAAATGTTCTTAGAATTAACTCAAAGAATGATGGAAAGGGCTCAAGAACAAGAAGTTCAAAAGGCTAGTGAACTGACGAGAACAAACAGTATGAGGAGGAATATTGTGATCGTCGACGATGAAGAAGCTCCCCTGGTGCAAAAATCATGTTGCAGATCATAAAAACTGTTACTTGTGATATATCATTGTAAATGTACTTTATACTATTAATGTAAAATGTGTTATGGATTTTAAATATTAATTCTTTAATTAATTTAGATTTAAGAACTTTTTTACATATATATATCACATATGTATTTACAATTGACTGATTTCTACCATTGATTTTATGGGCAAGTGAAATATTTTAAAAAATGTACATTTTAGTGTCACACATTTGTTGCCAAGCTTAAACAGTTAATTAAATGATTTTACCTAGTCTTTATATTATATTAATATTATATAAAATGGTGTCTCAAAAGCCAAAGCTACGGTAAAAAACTGTACTTGAGAAATGGATGTACATATTATATAATACAAATAAACTATTCAATTTGAATAATGTTTTAATATTAATTTTAAATAATTAATTGAATAATTAACTTTGGTATATAAAATATATATTAAATACGGATTTAATATATATTTTATATACATCCCATCCTTTTTATTTATTTTTCCATTTGAACTATTATTTTTAATATAGAATCCAATGATTTTTCATAAATCTAATGTAGATATTTATTTGCTGTCACTTTAAAAAAAAAAAATGATTTGGAAAGTTTATAAGCTTTTATTTTGCAACACTGATACCCATCAATTCACATCGTTACCACAAATTCACATAAATCCATTGATTTATAATTAACTGATTTTTCTAAATAAGAATGGTGGAATAAATTTGGCGAACTAAAAATAGTCCATGCTTGTCAAAATTTTGATAAAAATAAATGAATTTTGATAAAATAACATGTATATGGATGATGCAATGTGCAACATGCTTTCTGTATACATTGGTTATTTTAATTAATTACACATTTTGAAATGACAACTATATACCCAAATTTAGCAAATGTTCTATGGTTTGCCTACTTCATTTAATTAGTGCTGCCACGGTTATGGGCAAGTGTTCTAAGATATAATTAATAAATCATTTACATTATTTTTAATACCACAGACTATTTTATATGATAAATTGTGTTCCGCCTTGGGAAAGCAGTTTGTCGAAAAAAATGTAGAAAAGCTATGATATCCAAGAGTAAAAACCAGTATACAGTGGGCTCCCATATAATGTACTCCCATAAAACGCAAATTTATATAACAAAAAAAAAAGCGACTAACTCATACAGCACTATAAACAGTCCCGTGTCACACATTTGATAAATTTAACATTTTCACATAGTTTCTGATTTTTTGTTTAGAAAAACAAATGTATACTTACCTTTTTTTTATATATGAAGTTGGCAGTTTAAAAAAAGTAGCGGTGTATAAAAAATAATAATACATACACATTTAAAGGTATAAGAGGAAAATAATGAAATATTTCATACTTCAATAGCAATATTTGATAACCGTTACAATTTAGAGACATGCCTGAACTTGAATAAATTGGACTGAAAATGTACATCCTGTGTAACGCGATTTCCTGTTATGCAAAACGCCCTTTGTTGTACAGGAGTCTAATGAACTTATCTTTGCTAACATTAGTAGCAGACCCTTTTGTTTCTGTATTCTAAATCCATGCTTTTGTGTGTTTGGAGAAAGAGAGAGAGAAGAGAAGAGAAGAGAAGAGGAGAGAGGAGAGAGAGAGAGAGAGAGAGAGAGAGAGAGAGAGAGAGAGAGAGAGAGAGAGAGAGAGAGAGAGAGAGAGAGCAGGTAATATAGATAGGAGAGAGGTGGAAGAAAGCACAAAAGACAAATACAAATTGAAATTTCAGCTTAAGGAAAAGAAATACATATATTCACATTGCAAAATAAAATTAAGACAGGACCTGGAGGGTTAGATAGGGGTATATAAACAGAAAAAGAAAATTGGTAATGTATGCAGTGAAATCAGAAATAAAATATTTATGTATCATAACTGAATTTTATTCTGTACAAATTTCACATAAATATACTTCACTTATTATAAACTATAACTAGTTTAAAAAAAGTTGTCTTCTTCGACATCTTAAATACATATTTATTTCGACATGGTTGGATATCGATTAAGCAAATGCTTATCTGTTTCCTGATGTTTTTGTAAAGTATATACATCATTAAGTATAGCCCAGCTTGCTGAAAAATTAAATTTAAAAAATTGCAACAATAAAATAAACTGCGGTGTAATTATATGTTTCCAATCCTGTTCTACCTATTATTCTGTTTGGGTCTGTTAAGGTACATTTCAGTATTTTACCATCAACAGCAACCTCTACTGAAATGCCAAATGCACCTGACAAACCAAAACAGCAAACTAGGCAGACTATATAAGCAAAAAAGACAAAACTAATAAATTAATCATTTCGCAAAGTGCAACAAGAAATATTACAATTTAATCATTACCTCCAAAAATAAACCTTTTTTTTTTTGGCACCAATGCCATTGTCATTTCTCGAACCTCTTTGTATAAGAAAACTGGTCCTATGTTGTACATTTTTTTGCTTAATGTTTCCCAGTTGATAGCTTCCCATGATGAATTTTTGTATTTTTCAAGTCTGAAAAAAAAAAAAAAAAAAAGATAGAAGCTTTGCCTAAATTCTTAAGACAGCACAAAGTCAATATTTAATCAAAAAAGCACATTTAATTAGTGTAATAATAATAAAAACTTGTAACGCTAGGCCTGTGCTTTGCCAAGTGGGTTTACCTGCTACTCTTATTCACAATTTTTTTTTGGTTTTCAATGTTCTCTGTCAAATATTAATATTAGCTTCTTTGTTCATTAGTAACAGAATTTATGGAAGTGGGGAGAAGATGGCAATAATACCTAAATATAAATAGCTCTGTGGGGAAACTCAGCACTCCTTGGTAAAACGTGTCCCATTTTTCTCATTAAATGTAATAAATTCAAGGCTATTTATTTATTTTATTTTTTGTGCTCAAGGCTCAAACAGAATCGAGTCATCTCTTACAGTCTATTTCTCTCTTCTTAAAAGTGTTGTTTGGTTCTGGCTTCTGCTTGGTCATAAATGCTCAATCGTTTTCAACACACATATTCCCTTGGATTACTAGGCAATACTATGGCAGGCTCTTTGGTACACACAAACAGGTGCTGAATGCTGACATTTATAGTAACTTTAATGAACCCGTACCACTAATTAGAGCCTCTATTAGATTCTACCCTTTGGTGATTTGTCACTTGCAACCCCATTGCCTAATCTTATCATGCTCTCACATTCCAGAGGGCTTATTGACCATAACAATTCCATGATACATGGAAACAGTTGAAGTATCAGTTTGAAATTGTTAGTTGTTCATAGTTGGGATAGTGAAGTTAACCAATTTGGTAAGGAAGTTTTGTAAAATGGGATGGTAAAGTGCGAATTAAGCTAACATAAAACAAAGAAATTATGTGTTGAAGGAACTTATTTTAGTCTCTGGGAAATCTTTTACAACTCTTTCTAATTCATTCCTAATTCTAAGCATTTAAATTTTAAATTATTATATACAATTCAAATGTAAAGCTAGGATTATGATTTACACATGAAACACTTTACATATTTATAATTATTACCCATGTAATAAAGAAAATTAATGAAATAATGAAAATTACCTTTTTATTAGTTTTCTTCTAAACTCATCTCGATACACTGTCTTTGAAGCACAAAATGTTGGTTGTATTTTGAAATAAAACAGTTTTGCTAATTGTATTTTACTAATTTGGTAAGTCTTTGACATCTTCTGTAATACTTGTTTATTAATTTTTCCAGCAAACTGTCTAGGATCTTCTACATTCATGGCTTTAAAAATATTTGCCCCAATATCTTGCCAGTCAGATGAGTTAGTTAAACATTTGGAAATATCAATATTTTCTTCTTCTTCTGATTCATCATCGAAATCTGTACGAGCTGCAATTTTACAAATGTAATTATGTTTATATCGACCTACAATTTATAATTAAGTTGAAAAGGATCAGAAGGAGATCAATTGATAACTATACTATAGTCTTGCCAAGTTTTCAATGTAATCATCAGGGCCTAAGTTCAACAAACTTACATTTAACAAATTAATTTTAAAATTTACAATAATATTAATATTAAAGAGTACTTACTCAATTATTATTCTATTTAACATTAATAATGAAGTGAATTTTTTTACAGGTAACTAAAGGTTAATCTGAAAAATGTTTGGCAAACAATTTTTAGACTAGCCTATAGATGTACATCATTATTAAATAGACTAATACTTGAGTAAGTAAATTTTTAACATTAATATTACTGTAAATTTTAAAATTATTTTATTAAATGTAAATTTGTGAACTTAACTGATGATGGCAAAATAAATATTGAAAGCTTGGTGAGACTATAGTATAGTTATCAGTTGACTTCCTTCCGATCCTCTTCAACTTAATTGTAGCAATAAGTTATTGGGTAAAAGATTTTAATATACTTTAATTTTAATTACATGTTACATCTGAAGTAATATTTTGTAACCTTCGCCAGAGGACAGTGCGTGGTCTGTGTAAAAGCAAGGAACAAACTGAAAAAACGTACGAACTTGGCAAATGTTTGTAGCAGTATAAGAGCACGTTATCTTCCCCCTTTGAGAACCTGAAAACACTAGTCTGAAGAAACTCTAATCTATGTATAAGCTTATACATTTAGAACAAGCTTACAATTTACAATTATAATAAGTTTACAATTATGTAACATGATTATGTAACAACATGTAAATTTACTGAAAATCTTACCACATCACATCTAGATTACTTATTTTATGAGATTATTTCCACTATGTAAAAATATATGTACATACCTTCCATGTTTATAAAACTTTGTCATTACAACAAATCTATTAAAAACCGCTGATAATGTTCTATCATTTATTCCTTTTGCCAAAAAAAGAGCAAATTTAAATTTTTGATTTTGAGTTAAAGGTGAAAGAAATTTATGTATTATTGGTAGGAATGGCCTAAAATCATACTTATCAAACTTGTAAATCTGGAAAAAAAAAAACAATGTAAAAGCTGCAAGGCTAATCAACAATTAGACTTTACTTTACAAAACTGTTTCCAATTTAATAAAATTTGTGTATTTTCTTCTTTTGAAAATTTGGGACAATTTGTGTCTAAAATAATGCTGGGATTAGAGAAAATGGATTGCTGTTCTATATCATGGGCTGGTGGCAAAGTCCAGTCTATAACGATGTCCAGCTTTTGAAGTTTCTGAAAAATTGTTTCCATAATAAAATATTTTTAAAAAATTGCTTATTATTAGGATTATAGACAATTATTACAACTAGAAGGAAAAAATCAAATTGATTAATTTATTAAATTCTCCAATTCACCATAACTGGTCAAGTGGCCCTCGAAAACTAGTGAATTTAATAGTTAAAATGAAGTATATCTTCACTAAAGTCCTCCGAGACCATTTCATTTGTCAATGAGGATCAAATAGATTACACGATATTTGAAAAATGGCAAAAAGGAGGGAAAATTCAAAAGGTGGGGGTTGAGATGGAAAGTTAGTGCCTGAGTGGATCAAAGTCAAGCTCAAATGGTAGAGTAGCGGCGTATCTAACCGAAGGTCTTTAGTTCTAATTCCGCTCAAATCACTAACTTTTTTTATCTCAACTAAAAACCTTAATTAAAAGTTAATTAATTTATAATTTTGGATAATTAAATGCTGAATGAGATTTATTTGTTTTTCTTTATTCCATTATATAGTAAATATAATTACTCACTTCAATTAAGGAGTCTTCTAGCTTCAAAAAACTCAGAAGTTCTTCTATAAAGTAGTTGTTCAATTCTGTTTGAGAAGTAGAAGGTTCAAAAAGAGATGCCACATAGCTCAATAAATGTTCTGTAAATAAATTTATTACTTTATCACTTTTCAAAGCATCAAGTAAGAATAATTAAATCTTAAAAAACACTGACCGCCTTTGAGTTTGTTTTTTGATGTTTTTGATTCTGTACTACTTTTACGAATTGCACTTTTCAATGTCTTTGGTAAAGAGCTTTCCATTTTTTTCAATTTATTTTCTTTCCGATCTGAGAATGTTTTTGTCGATGAGTCGTTCGTAATTGTTAATTCACATGTATTTGATGATGATAGATCAGAATCCTCTGATTGTTCAATTTCTGAATCAACATTTATCTTCTTAGACCCAAATTTTATTTCTGAATTTGATGACATTTTTGAAAATTTGTTTTTGAATTTTTCCCCGGAAGATTCATCAGATGAATGTTGATTTCTATTTTTTTGTATTGTTTTTTCCCTTTTTGGACTTGAAGTCATTCTTGATGTTTCTAAATTATCTGAATTTATATTTCTTTTTGAAATACTAGTTTTCTCAGCAATAACAACATTATTAACTTTCTTTATAGGAGAATTGGTAATTTCAGAATCTACCCCATCTCTATCTGCAGGAAGCTCCATATGAGGCTTTATACTCAAACAGCCTGGTGATGATGAAAATGTGGTGTGTGAAATGCGGTGAATATTTTCAGTTATATTTTCACAAAAGTTACCCGAATTCCCTGTTTTTTCAGCAGTTACGGTAGTATTCATTTTCTTTATAGGAGAATTTGTAATTTCACAATCTACTCCATCACTGGATGCAGTAAGTTCCTCATGAGACTTTTCACTCAAACAGTCTGGTGGTGATGAAATATGGTGAATAGAATGTTCAGTGGTGTTTCCACAAAAGTTATCTGAAATACCTGTTTTTACAGAAGTTACAGCATTATTAATTTTCTTTATAGGGGAATTGGTAATTTCAGAATGTATTCCATCTTGAGACTTTTCACTTAAACAGTCCGGTGATGAAAATGTGGTTTGTGAAATGTGGTGAATAGAATGTTCAGTCGTGTTCTCATGAAAGTTATCTAATTTTATATTTCTTTCTGAATGGCCTGTTTTCTCACCAGTAACAACAGAATTAATTTTCTTTACAGGAGAATTGGTAACTTCAAGATTTACCTTATCTATGTCTACAACTAGCTCTCTTTCACTAAACCTGTCTGGTGATGGTAATGCAGTGTGCGTAATGTGATTAACAGAATGTTCAGTCACGTTTTTATATAAGTTATTTACTGTATTTGAAGTATTTGCAAATAGCTTTCCAATTTCATCAGTTGAAGACTGAGTATCAAAATCATTTCTTTCAGAATTGTTTATTAATAATTTTTGCCCTGGTAAAAGATCATGTTCGTGATTGAAATTTGAATTATTTCCAACATTTTCATCCACATCACTGTAGTCAACTGAATGATCTTCATTTAATAATGGAGAAGAAACTAATGAAAAAATTGCTTCTTTATCAAATATTACATTCGTTTCTTTAGCCGATGTTAATTTATCATCACCTTTAGATAGTTTTTGTTCTCTACCATTCTGAAAATATTGATCTTCACTAAATAGAGGTACAGAATAAACTTCGTTTTCATTGTTTTCACAAGCGTTACTTTTGTCGTTGTTTTGTACTTTGTCTTTTTTATTATTTGTTAATTCTTTAACATTTTGTAGACTTAGGCTATTTGTTTCATCTGCCAGTGGTGTTGCTGCATGAATACTGCTGTAAGTAAATGACAAACATTTTTCAATGGCTGTACTTTCTGAACAACTTGATTTTTCATTGCTCTCTTCATGTGATTTCTCTGAACAGCTTTTGTCAGTCGTAATTCCAAGTCTTTTAGTTTCTTTTTTTAATACATCAATTTTTTCACTGTTTGAAATGTTTAACAGTTCATCTTCAAAAGGCAGAGTATTATCTAAAAGATTATGTTCCATTATTTTTTCATCGGGTGAACGAACCCAATCGACTCGATTAACCGAAGCGGGTTGCAATAATTCTTCTCCATCTTTAGAAAAGCTGAGTTTCTCATGTTGGATTCTTGTTTCTCCTTCAAAAAATTCAAGATTTTTTGTTTCAATTGGGTGGCATAGTGATACTTCAACAGGACAGCTATTGTTGTCTTTTGAAGGAATCTGTTTATCCTTGCCACCATGTGCGAATTGATGTTTTTTTGGAGATTTTACTTTTTTGGATAAATTCTTTTCTACTGCTTTCTTTATAGCCATAGGACTTTGAAAACATTTTGAGTTTTTTAGAGGTGCTTCATTTATCAAAATATTTTTATCTTGCTCTTTGATATGTTCTGAATCCATTACATTAATTTGTTCTAGGCATTTTTTCTTAGGCGTACATGTAGGACTGTTTGGATATATCGACTTTTCAGATTGGGACCTTGGGGTCTGAGATTCATCACACTCCTTTGAACATGTATGGTGAAAAGAGGTTTTTGATTTCTCCAGTGAATAGTTATTGCATGCCATGCAGGATTTCCGGTCTATCTTCTTAAAATGATCACTCATATTAATTGTTATATTTGTTCGACTCCTTTTTAAATTTTTGGTTTTAAATTTTTTAAAATTGTCAATGCTACGTTCAGAACTATCTTGAGATGTTTGAATAAAGTGTGGGCTTGAGTGACAAAATGGTTCACTATGATAATTTTCAATCTCTTTGCTAGAATCAGGTCTATCTCTTTTAACATTATGATCTATTGGAATTAGTTGTTTTTCAACATAATCCTTTTGTAAAAATTGTGTGTCAGACAGTTGTGTAAAATTTGAAAATTGGTTACTATGTGAATTAGTCAAATCGTCTACCATTTTTACATCACAAGAAATATCTGCTTTTACATGACTATTATGCGTTTTAGTAGTTTTCGTTGTCGTATTTTGAGAAAGGTTTGATTTTATATTTACATTATCGCCATCATTATACTTTGTACCACTTTGGGCTCGGAAAATCTCTTTCTTGATAGTAGCACTTTCAGATTTTTTCCCAATGTTCATTACATTACAGTTTGTTTTTATGGAATTTTGAAATGATGGTGAATCTCTGGTTGTACTCATGCTGTCACTGGAAGAAACATAAAGAGGCACTGCAGTTGTTTTAATCAAATTAAATTTTGATGGAGAGATTGTCCATTGATTCTTCTTTTTTCTTGATTTAATATCTAGGCATTTCATTTTCATTTTTTTTAATAAATATTTTTTAAATTGTTGATGTTTAATTACTCCCTTTTTATCTGAAACGAAAAAACAACAAATAACATTGACATTTTAAACAATAAAAAACATGCTTTTGAATGCACAATTAGCTAAAGTATGGTGTTTTATTTTTTAGTTCTTTCAACTATATATTATGAAAAATTATTAAATTTTGCGTAATATTTTTGCACTCATTTTCGATTATATGATTCACCAAATACATATTATATATCTATATTTGTATAAAATTATTTCCTCGAAATACAAGGTATATTTAAAAAAAGACATATAATGGAAAAAAATTTTCAGTTTTATTTTGGAAAAAATTAAAACTAATGGTAGTAATACTTGCATGAACTAAAAACTAAACAATTTAATTATTTAAAATTTGTATTTTACTTAAAATGCTTATGCTTATTAAACACAACACACATCAGCAAAGATCACAGAACTGAACTGTATAATCATAAATAAATATTATTTAAAGATTGTGAGATGTGGTCTGGTGTGATGTAGGTTAGAAAAATGTTTTCTTTATCGTACCAACGTTTTGATCTTTATTATGTTTAATCTTTATTATCTTCAGTGTCTGAAATTTATAAACATTGTTTAAATTATAACAAATATGTATAAGATATTAATATGATTTATACAATGATGTACACAATATAGAAATTTTAGGCTTAATCAAAGTATTTGTACTAAGAGTGTTAAAGATTTCAATGTTTTCTGTTTATATATGTTTGGTTTTGAAGGAGTGGAGAAGGAGGTAGAGATAGAAATTCATTTTTCCTTTTTTCGTTTATCCCTACCCTTTCCTCACTCCTTCAAAATCAAACATATATAAAAAAAACATTAACATCTCACTAACACTCTCAATACGACACACAACAGTGACATGACTACAAAGAAAATATATACTTTGATGAGTAAGTACAAATACTTTGATAAAACCTAAAATTTCTATATTGTGTACATCATTGTATAAATTCATAGTCATATCTTATATGTATTTGTATAATTTAAGCAGTTTATAAATCACAGGCCCTGAAGATGATCTCAGTAAAGATCGAAACGTTACACAGGATCACATCTCACAATCTTTAAATAATTATTAATTAACAGTCGCTAAATATAACACATTAAAAAAATGTTTTGGTTGTCCTAATTCCATTATGCAATATCGGTGGAGTGTGTTTAATAAAAATTGTTTAATTATACCTAACAGCTTTGTAGAATTTTCCTTCGCCATATCCAAATCCTAAAAAACGAAAATACAATAAGTAAAACACTGCAATTTCCTTGCATACAGTATTATTTATTTTAGTTTAATAAATTTAATAATGACAGAAAAATTTATTCTAATTTTAATGTTCATGATTAGCTGGCCATTATTTTCATGCACACTTTTTTGTTGATTAGTTTAAATTCCTTATATGTTAAAAAAAAAACACTTAAAAATATAATAACCAATTGATTGTTTGTTCAAGTAATAAAATTCTATTGAAAGTAAAAATTTCATCATTTATTCTATTACTGATTTAAGTGTGTGGTGATTATTCGGAAATCGTGAGATGCGTTCTGGTGTGACGTAGGTTTCACAAAAACATTTTCTTTATCGTGCCAATCGTTTCGATCTTTATTGAGATCATCTTCGAGGCCCAAAGTGTTTGTTTTCTGCATAATTGGGCCATTCTTGTGTGTCGTGTTGAGAGTGCCCAACTGATTTAAGTTAGATACAAAAATATTTTAATTGCATTTAAAAATGGTGATTTGAGTACAATCTCAAAACACCTAAATTATTCAGAAATCGAGAGTCCCACTAGGCACTCTCAACATGACATGCAAGAATGGCACACTTTCGCAGAAAACAAACACTTTGAGCCCTGAAGATGATTCAATAATGATCAAAACGTTGGCACGATAAAGAAAACATCAGTTTTTCTGAAACCTACATCACATCAGACCGCATCTCACAATTTCTGAATAATCATCGACTAATGGTCACTAATCACCACACATTAAAACACCTAAATATTAAATCTATAAAAAGCGGAAAATATTAATACTGAATTAACTGGATCTTGTATGGTCAATTGGATGAAAAACACGTTCAATTGTTATCTGCCAAGCTTTCAACCTTCATCTTAGGTCTAAACAATCTTAAACATTACTCAATTATTAAATTCACTAATTTCGTGTTTCACTTGACCAATTAATATATTACAATTAATTAAGTTTTTTAGATTAGATAAAAACCTTAATTAATTGTAATTACTCAATTAATTATACACAATTTTTTCAAAATTAAAAATTTGTGTTACAGGCGGAATTCGAACCCACGACTTTCGGCTAAATATGCCACTGCTCTACCACTTGAGCTACCATGACTTCTATCACCCATGCCACAAACCTCCCATTTCAATTCCCTGTTTCTTCCAATTGTAAGCAAATCCCACCTCTAACACAAATTTTTCATATATAATATGTTCATCCAATTGACCATACCAAGATCCAGATTATTTGTTAGTAAAAAAAAGTGACCCTACATCTAACACTTTAAACAGAAAAAGTTACACAAACTACTGTTTGTTTTATCAGTAATGACCCATCATAAACTTCATATTAGTGACTATTAATATATTATACTTTTCCAAAAATTTCCAATACAGAATATTAAGGAATTAGAATAAATAACATATTTCTCCTCTCTCTCTCTCTCTTTCTTTTTGGTAAGTAACGTAATAATGAAAATTTGAAATCTTAACTTTTTAAGGAATTAGGATTCAAATTAAACCGATATAATTATTTTATTAATTCTTATTTTTTTCAATTTAATCTTTTAAAAGTTTTTAATATTTTTTAAAAAATAGAATTTACTGAATTCTTAAATGTATTGACTGATTGTATATTACAATACTACTACTACATCTGTTCATAAAAACATGTGCTTAACATTATAAATTTCATAATTCTCGTTACAACACAACTTCTTACACAAGCAAATTGTTACATCTTCATTAAACACAGAAACACATAAACACAAAATCTTACAATGGCACTAACGTGGCAAATGGGTAAGTTATTACTTTCTAAAGCACCAATCTCATTTCCTTGCAGAAATCTAAATTGTCAAGGAGATACACAAGATTTATCGGGTTTAGTACTTGGTGTTTTTGGTAAAGATGATGATCCTTATGGAACAACAAAAGTTTGGACAAAAGCCGCTGAACAGATGGACTTGAGACTCGATGGAAGACTTTCAACGGCCTTGTTGGATTCTGGTCCAGTACCAAGGCTTGGTGAAGTTAGGGTATTTTATAGGTTAGAAAATAACTATACTGCGATAGCCATAACAGGCTTAGGAGATGAATGTTTAAGTTATGATGATCAAGAATATATTGATGAAGGGAAAGAAGCAATTAGAAATGCAACTGCTGTCGGTGCAAGAGCATTGCAAGCTCAACACATGAGGACAATTGATGTCGATTCCATGGAACATGCCGAATCTGCAGCTGAAGGAGCAGCAATGGGGGTATGGATGTATCAGGAACTTAGAGCTAAACAGAGAATTATTCCAAAATTAGAGTTATACAGTGACTGTGATTACACAGGATGGCAAATTGGACTGCAGAAAGCTGCAGCACAAAATCTAACGAGACAATTAGCTGAAACACCTGCTAATTTAATGACACCAATCGGTTTTGCTCAGGCTTCAGTAGAGCTGTTGACCAAAGCAGGCGTGAGCGTCGAAGTGAAAGTTAGAGATTGGGCGAATATAATGAATATGTCTGCATTCCTGTCAGCTGCCAAGGGATCATGCGAGCCTCCCGTTTTTCTTGAAATTCATTATTACGGATGTGACCCTGATGTTTCTCCAGTAGTAGCTGTTGGAAAAGGAGTCACTTTTGACAGTGGTGGCCTTTGCTTGAAAAGCTGTGAAGTTCAGAAATTTATGCGAGGTGATATGAGTGGAGCTGCTAATGTCATCGCAACAGCAAGAGCTGTTTCTGCATTAAAGCTTCCTATAAACTATCGTGGATTAGTCCCTCTTTATGAAAATATGCCAGGTTCGTGTGCATTAAAAACCGGTGACATTGTAAGATCTAGAAATGGAAAAACTGTCCTGATTCAAGACACAGATCATGATGGGCGACTATCACTAGCTGATGCATTATCATATGCTGGCAATTTTAACCCAAAATTTATATACAGTGTAGGAAGTTTTTCAAAGGAATTAACAGATGGATTCGGCGAAGGTGCAATTCCAGTTTTTAGTAATAATGATGTTTTATACGATACATTGAAACTGGCGAGTATGCACACAGGTGATAGAGTTTGGAGATTGCCACTTTGGAAACATTACATAAACAAAATTCAGAATTCAGTCATGTCAGATGTTAAAGACAGAGATGAAGACTTTTTAGCCACCTCGCGATTCATCGATAGTGGACTACCAATTCAAACAGCAGCATTCTTGTACCAATTTATACCTAACGTCGATTGGATTCACTTGGATACATACAACGTTTTGGTAACAGACGGAATATCCCAAAAATATCTGTCACCTGGAATGTCCGGAAGGCCGACAAGAACTCTTATTGAGTTTTTGGCTCAGGCTGCTTGTATGTCAGACGTGGCGAATGTCCCAGAAGAAAAATCATACAAATGCTCGGCAATTTGAAATCAAAACTGTTTTGTCTCTTCTGTTATATTGTTTTTATTATGTTGTCCTCTTATAAAACAACTTTAAAACATGTATTCTCACTATTTAAAAACAAAATAAAATATTTATTGCATTTGTGTAACTTCCAATTTAATAATAACTTTAGGTGTTTCTTTAGCAAATTTACTTTTTTTCCAAGCTTAATTATTTTGGAGTTAAAGGTAGATTCTACAACCAAAAACTAATTTTAATTCAAAGANAATATAAAACGAAAGTAAACCTTTAAAAGGAGTTTTACCCATCACCCTGCAGACCACATTGAGAAATCTCACAAATATGACTGTTACAACAATAAAGACAATAAAAAAAATTAAATTTATACGATTGAACAATAAATATTAGTTAAACACAAATGCAAACTTACAACTTTAATTCCTCAGTTTTCATTCAGTAATCTTGGCAGAACAAGTCACAACACACAACAAAGTTAACAGAAAAATCTTCCGAAAGTAGGTTTCCAGTCAAGTATCTACATTAAACTTAACTTTCTTAACTTCTGTCCAAAGCGACATAACCACAGATTTGCGTTACCGTTTGACAACAGACCCTGTAGACCACGTGACTATCTACTTCCCTTTAAGGATAGGAATTTGTTAGGCGGTAAATTCAAACATTACAAGTAGAAGACGCAGAAAATAAATAAAAGAAAAAAATTGTATTTACTCTACTGTAGATAAATGCATGCTTCAGTTTTTAAATGTTCATAGCCGTTTTTTCTACCCTAAATCTGTATTTATACTTACACATTTTTTTTTCTTTAAATTTGAATATATTGATTTTTTTATTGAGCAGTTATGATTTGCATATATATTGGAGAGTGGAAAAACAAAACAAAGAATAGATGTGTTTTTATTTACCATCATTAAGAAAATACATATTTTTATGCTGCTGCATTGACAAGTGTAAATTTAGTTTTTATGGCATGACAACAATAAAATAAGAATATCATCTGCTTATTTATTTTGTTATAAAAGGGTGAGCCATAAAAAATTACCATTTTTCTTGCTAATTTAAAAATAAATCTATATTGATACAATTTTTTAATTTAATATTCAAAGTATATAACGTTGTATTCTATGGGGTTTGTTGCCTCCTCGAGGCCAGGTGTTGGATTCCTTCACAATACCACTCTTTGGTTTTTGAATAGAAATTCTGCAACTTCATTTTGAACCTCATCCAAAGAATTAAGTTTTCCCTTGAAGGTAATGAGCCATGGATCACAATCTGTTGTCGAAAGTTGCCAAGTCTGTGTTGTAAGCAGGGTGACAGAAGCTCAATTCCACCCAATTCTGTAATTTTTTGTTTTGTGTAAGGAGAAGTGGGTGGTTGGGCGTTATCTTGTTGAAATAAAACCCGATTTCTTTTTACTAATCCTGGGTAACTGGGTCAAAACACTGTACATTTTTTGTAAATGCTCACAATAAAGTTTTGAACGTATGGTTTAACCTTCTAGAATGAACTCATAATGAATTATGCCTTCATAATACCAAAAGCATTGTCTGTTTTGTCGAATTGGCATTGTTTATAACTGGTAAAACAGGCTGATTGCAGCATAGACATTTTTTCTTGGTCTTGGGTATTAAATATACCCAATTTTTATTGCAAGTAATTATTCTTTAGATGAACCGAAGGCCATTTGGGGTTTTCAAAAGACGACAAATTTCTACTCGGCATCGTGCCTACTCAATGGTCAACTCTTAATGAGCGATTCACTTTCCACAAGTTATGCGGTACACGATTTACAGTGGATTAGAAAACCCTTGACCCCTTTTATATAATTGTTTGCCTAATAAAAGTCTGCTTTCTATATTTTATGTTATTAACTTTGTATTTAAAAAAAAGAAAAAAAAATTCATTACCTCTTTATTGTGTTTAGAGTATACATATGTAGATTTGTTCTATAATCAAAGCTAAGTGGATAAAAAAATATATTTGTACATTTTTCCACAAAACAATATTTAATATCAACTTGATACAACAAAGAAAATGTTTATTGAATCATACAAACATAACATAAAAATGAGTTATTGTTTAAAATCAAATTTTAATCTGTGGCACTTCATATAATTCCATATTAAGGCACTTCCCAATTTAAATAATAAAACAACTAATAAAAATAAGATGGAAATGTGCATGAATCTTTATAAGAGGTATTTTATATATTTATATAATAACTGACCGTATTTACATTATTTACAATATCATTTCTACAAATAATGAAAATATATAATCAATTGGTCTGAAGCGTTTCAAACCACAAATTTGAAATTCATTTCAACAACTACGTATAAAATATGTACATGAAGTAATCATATTAACAAAACAAGTTTGTTGTTGAAATCACATTAGGTAAGTTGCCTAAAACAAATCAATTAAATTTAGTTTAAAAATATGCAACAAAAATAACAGAAATTATGTCTTACAAATTATTCCTGACCTTATTAATCACTATCAGATGAATCAAAAAGGAAATTTCTAATCCTAAGTGCATTTGATTCATCTTCAGAATCATCATCATCATCGTCGTCGTCATCATCATCATCACCAGCATCTTCATTTGAATTATCTCCTTGGTCAGCATCATCAGAATGCATAGAATTTTCAGTCCCATCATCATATATTTCAATTGGAAGAGTATCTAAAATTTTAATAAATTTAAAATTGAAAGCCAACAAATATTTATTAAAGAGAAAATCTAAACAAATTAGATTGATACATAAGGAAAGTATCAACACCTAGCTATGCATAAAGGTGTTAAACACTGAATTACAACAGACATTTGTAGAGAAAAAGCAAATCAAGAGTTGAAGATGTCAATGAAAAATTACACTGCAAAAGGGTAGACATAATAAAAATCAATTATATTTTATTTGCTCAATATTCCACAACAAAATAAGAGAATATCAGAAATTGTACATAGAGCGTAACAAAAAAATCTTAAATAGCTCAAGCCAACAGGACTCACTTCTTGTGACCACACGATTCAAAAATTCAAAGAATATTTTTGAAAGTATATAAATCTTTTTTAATTATTCTAGCGGTTTGCAATAAACATAAAACCACAATATTTCATTAAATATTAATTTTTATTCAAATTTGGCTTTATTGTCTTCTAGATTCTAAAATAAAAAATACCATTATAGATCATCTTCGTCTGCTAAATAGGGAGATAAGAAAGAAATATTATTATCACTATCATCATCATCAACATCATCATCATCTATTTGCATAAAAGCAATATCATCATCTATTTGATCATTTAAGGAGAAAGTGACATTGCTTAAATCCTCATCTTCGACCTCATCATCCTGAATTGTTTCTAATATTACCATACCGTTATTATGGTCATCATCACTGCCAGATCCCTCACTAGCATCCATATCTTCTTCCTCTTCATCATCTTCCTAGAAACATATAAAAACAAAAAGTTAAAAATTAACATTAATCACATAAATTATTACATAAACGTTGTAACAAATTGAAAATTACAAGTTGTAACATTACCGGCTCATCTTCAGCTGTTCTCGATCTACCAACATCATAAACCTTAACAAGAGATTCCTGTACACTATCAAATACTCCTTGGTTTTCAACCAGTGCTATTTGAGTATCTCTTCCATTGCATGATAAGTCATAAATATTTTTTTTTACATCAACAGTAACTGCAATATAACATCACTGGTTACATAAGTTATAAATATATACAAATGCACTGATGAACCTACCTATACTTGAGTAATCGTAGGCATCTAATGTCCTGAAAGAATGTTCATATTGATTTTCATCCTCTGTTTCTTTTTCAATTGTTAATGAATATATAACATGTCCAGTTGGGGAAAATAGGACATCACATTGGTCAAGTGTAGGGACAGTCCTTAATAGGTGGAATGTTCGTAAGTCCCATACTTCAGTATTTGATACAACCTCTAACCCATTGGGATGAAAAACACCACTTAGCGTTTGGTTTAGCTTATCAAATTTATGAATTTCTTTTCCACTATTAACATCCCATAATACGCCATCAGACAAAACTAATTCATTAGTAGGACAAAATGTTGCTCTATTTTTTATATATTGATTCGATAAACTTGGCTTTAAAATTTGAATTAGCCTTGTGGTCTCTATATCATATATCTGCAACACAAATATGACATTCGATACAAAGTGACAAACCAAATTTTTTAATGTTTTTATATTAAATATAAATTAAAATCTATACCGTTGCAGTTTCAGCTTTAGTTCCTATGATCCTGTCCTCTGTGATTTTATTGAATTCCACATAATCCTCATCTACCATAGACAATCTGAAATTATTTGGGAAAAATATTAAAACCAATCCTCTTTCCACAACCATTATTAAAATTAACTCCCATATTACAAATACAAAATTTAACTCACACAGGATGAAAAATGTTATCTTTTATTTCCCAGCAAGATGAAAGTGGTGTTGTCCATGTAGATGATGTTAAAAGCAAAGAATTTTTCCTTGATGCTTGAACATGTGAAATATAAGACTCGTGACAATGGTGGGTGGCGACTTCCTGTGATTAAAAAGAAGACATGTATACACGTATTTTACATTAAAATTGTGTTTTTTCTTTGTAGATCAATTTCCTTACCACTCCATTGTGAAGATTGAATAATTTGACTTCACCATGATGAGCACCAATGACTACATACCTATCATCCCCCTGTAAACTCAATTTTTTTTAAGTTATACTTGATCGACACATCATTACAGCATATAATATAAAAGTAAAATACATACAAAAAAATCACAACAGGTGAAAAAGGCATTGTCATCACCATATCTAAATATTCGAACACCACAAAATTTTGAATGGATCAATCTTTGATCCAATCTCCTTGAATGTGCCCCTCTTGCATACCTCATTACAAAATTTTGTGGTATCTTATTTCTTGATTTTGGATCAGGGCATTTATGAGGTCTGTAATATAAAATGTAAGACTTGAAATCTATTATTATATTACATAAAAAAGAACACTATCGATGAATAACTTACTCAAATAATGTAAATTGGGGACAGGTAGCCATAGGATTTTTACAAGAAGCATGTTGATTCATAAGATATTCTGTAATGATAGAATCTAATGTCACGGTACTCTCTTTTGGTGGTTCTTTATCCGATCTGTCATAAGATATCCTTTTTTCAAGTGATCTTCCTAATGGGGTTGTTGGTGTGGATTTTGACATCACTTCTTTTTTCTGGCCACTGGACAAAAAAATGTTTGTAGAAACATAATAATATTTTGTTACCGATCATTTTATGTAATATTTACCCAGGGTTTATGTTAAGTTTTATAGGATGGTGAAGTATTGGTGGTGTTTTAAGGCTTACAATGCTATCCCCGCTTAAACTCTGTTTCAAACCTGTTCTACCCTATAACAAGTAACATTTAAACTTAATTTTCTTAGAACACGTTGAAACAATAAATACAAGGCCGTACCCTACTTGGTGTTGTGACCAATGGTCTTTGATAAGGGGAAAGAAAAATTGGTGGTGGAAGAGGAGGCGCCACTTTGATTGGAGGCAATCCTGCTTCTTTCTGCAGTGCTTCTGCTGTTTCATTAAGCCCATGAGAAAATAAATGTTGCTGAATTAGCTGAAGTAAATCTCTGTCATTAAATTGGATCCTTGTCTGAGCTATAACATTGGCCTATAGAAGTAAACGAGACATTTAAATACATTGATTTTTTTTGTTATATTTTGTTTATTCATGATAGCAAAATGGTTTTATTGATTTTATAATTTATCATTAATACCTTATGTATGTTAGTTAATGAAGGTTCAGATTCATTTTTTGGTTTACTTTTTCCTGTAACCCTTTCTAAAAGTTCCAAAGCATATTTTTGAAATATGGCATGTTCCTGTCTTCTGTCTTGCAAGATGGGATTTTTCATCAGGCCTAAATAACAATTTAGATATAAGAATAAAATAAGAGGATTACTTAGGTGTTTTTTTATTTCCATCTTCCTTGCTTACTTTGAAGTTGGCCAGTTGTAAACAAAGGGAGTTTACTAATAATCTGCCGTACAGTTTCACTTCGTGCTAATCCAGCTAATGCTTGACAAGCTAAAGCTCTAATTGAATCGGCATCAGTAATTGGCACTTTTAATTGTATTAAGCTCAGCAAAACCTATACATATATAATTATATTAAATTATTGAAGATTAGATATATTTTTTATTAATTTAAATATTTTGGCTACCATTATTCCGTTAGTTGTTCTCAAACATTCCCAAAGTTTTTCAATGACCTCCTCACTGCTTTTATGAACTTTCTTCTTGTTTGAACCACCAGCTGAGAATCGAGCTACTGTTCCACCAAACTGTAAAAGTTATTACCAGTTAAAATGAAATACTTTTTAATATGTTTCTAAAAATTACAAACTTACTCTGAAAACTGGAGCACAAACACATGTGATTAATACTTGAAGAGCTGCTCTCTGAACTTCAGGATCAGCCACAATTTCTCCTTCAGCCGCACTAAGTATAACATTGATACCAACAGTGTTGGTATCATCAGGCAGATCGACTTTATCACAGAGCTGCAGTTGTGCTCGAGGCATAACTCCACAAATGTTTAACACGTCTAATGCACTGCGTACAGTTTCTCCCCTATTAAGACGGGATAACAATTATGATTTGAAACAATGATGTACCTCATCATAACTTACCTTCCTGAGTAATTCCATTCATATGTAAATGCAATCGCTTGCAGAAGTAGAGTGATCCCACCGAGGTTAAAAAAGTTATCTACTGGGGGCCATAAGGCATGGAAAAACATATAGTCGAGAAGTGTATTGATTTGCTCCCTCACTTCCTCCGGACTGCTTTTAAAGGCCTAATAGATATTAATTATTTATTTGTTTGAAATGGATAACATTCATACAATATCTTAAATTACTCACTTTATAGCTAGGAAGGGTATTGCAAACTTTTGAATTTTCGACTGTATCTCTTATATGGGCCCGCCGTACTTGTTCACTCTTTATATAAAGATGTGCTTCAAAATATCTCTTTAAGGCCACACAAACATGTCTCACGACTTGACGAGCAGAACATTCTTCATCTTCAGTGCCAGGAGCAGAATCAACAGTCAATATGGGAAGAGTACTTATCTAAAAGAAAATGGAAAATTCGACTGATTTAAATAGCTTCATTTGCTGTTGTTAAAAGTGTATAGAAACTTCATCTTGCCTATTATATTTTTTCTACTAAGCCAACCAAGGTACTAGGTCATTTTTAACAATTTGTTAAATTAAATCGACGAATCTCTTACTGCTAACTTAATAATATCATATAAAATAATATTTAAATTATAGTATTTACACAGTGTCACTTAAACTTGCACTGTACACTTTCTGGGTCCGCATATACTCGCGGGTTTTGATGTCACTCAAATGCATTCAGCTTTGTACCATCTTCAGTGAAAAGTGTACCCTCATGAAAAGAACATGTACCTAGTAAGTGACAGCGCCAGTTCAACATGTGTTCACTGACTCACCAACCAACATTCATAAACAACAATGTTATTATAGCCATATTTGCAGTTGCAATTGCAGAACAGTTGAACAAATGTGATTTTAAAAGAATGTTCAATAATATAAATTTTTGATTAGGAACAAGTTAGATCCTTACAATAGTTTTAGGTTTGTTCCAGCACACATCCAAACATCAGTAAACTCGCAGGCGCATGCACAGTTGAGTTTGGGCATTCCCACACGCTACAAACACAAACTCAAAATATCAGATGTCCATCCCAACATTGTTTCAGGCCAACTTGTACCGGTTTTGGCCATCAAAAAATCTGGGGAATTTGTTGTGGATGGCAACCATAGACATGTCAATGTACTTTGACTCTTCTCAAGTTGGTAAAGTTTTTAATATAACTAGAGCCCAGATTTTGCAATAAAAATCATAAAATATGCCATATTATATGCACTAACAACCCCTCAAACATGCCATAAAATTTGCTCCAAAAATATTAAAATATGCAAGTTGAATGTCAGCAACATCACCAGACTAATAATTGAAGAATTTCTTTTTAATATAGACTTTTTTGTTTAATACATACTCATTTTGAAAGGAAATAGAACAGAAAACTTTAAGTCACCCAAAAAATCATATAATTGGTAAAAGGACTGACAATTTTTGATTTTCAGTTGTGTACCGCTATGTTTGAGGAAATAGATAAAATCGAACCCTTTATTAAAAAAAAAGTGAAATTTTGGGCAAAATCAGAATTACATCCCAATATCTGGATAACAAAAACCCAAACAAAATCCTACAGCACTGGCTGCCCACCATTTTGAACACCAACACAATTTAGATTTCAACAATCCAAACATATTAAACCCAGAACAAAACAAACATAAACGTAACATTTTAGAAGTGGTTTACATCAACAGAGATAAACACAGCATCAATTACATACTCAGCCACAGTTACACTAATATAAATCAAATTCAAAATCAATAACATACAAAACATAAAACACAACACATCAAACAATTCTACATAGTCTAAATCTCCATCTATTTATCTCTCCTTTCCCTAATATTCCCATCTATAATAATCTTGAAAGGCTAACCAACAACAAACCATATATAAAAAAAAAAAAAAAAAAAACAATATCTCACTAACACTCTCAACACGACACACAAGGTGACACTTCTACACAGAAAACACGTACTTTGATTAAACCTAAAAATTTTATTTTGGGTACATCATTGTATAAATTCCTAATCATATATTATATTTATTTGTATAATTTAAGCAATATTTGTAATTTCCAGGCCCTGAAGATGATCTCAATAAAGATCGAAACATTGGCACGATAAAGAAAATGTTCTTCTAAGCCTACATCACACGAGACCGCATAATCTCTAAATAATCATTACTTCACTGTCACTAAATATTACACATGCAAGATATTATTTTTAAACAACAATATTGTGGCTACAATTTTTTGAATATTTTTGTTCACAATTTCTGTTTACAATTCGATTGCTTACAACCTTACAAACCATACTGAAGGTATCATTTGACTATAGGTGTCTGAAATTGAAAAAAAGCATTTAAATAGAGTTAAGAAGCCATGAACAGTTGAAGTTCAGGCACAAACCTACTGCTAGTTGGTGTTAATTGTTAAGCCATAGCTGATTTGTTAAAACCTCTTTGGTTGTTGGCAAAAATTAAAAATTAATACGTGCTTTCTGCTTAAAAATCAAATTAATGACATTGAATTATTCCTGCTATTATTAAACTAATAACGTACAATATCATTGTCACTTGTTATACTAAATAATTTCAATGATTTTCATTCGAGAGGGACTTTTTTATTACAAGCAGAAAAGATTACATATACATGGTGCATACACAAATATATTTTCATAACCAATAACCAATGTTTCAATGAATCTATGTGTTTACTTACGACATTGTAAAGTTTTCTTAATCCATCTTGTGCATCAAATTCTTCTAAAATTACTCGGAACTGAAAAGAAAGGCCAAAAAACATAGTAGCATGACACCGCCCAGAATCATGTGAACATTCCAACAACCACAATGAATACCTTAAAACAATATAAATATTATACATTATCATAAAATATTCATATTTGAAAAATAACATACTTTACTAAGTCAGATAGAACATGCTTTGGAAGCAAGCAAACTCTTTCCATGGCATCTTCACAATATGCCAAATAATACAAACAAATTGAAACACCGGTTGCTGCAATGCTCGGTCTAGGAACTTTTAAAAGCCGCTGTAACAATCGAATGTACATTTAATTTTGTAGGCAGAAAATATCAAAAATAAAAAATATACCTGGAGTCCATTTATATTAATGAATTCTATAGAAAATTTTTTGTGGCACAATAAAGCAGCTAGATATCTGAGAGCTTCAAAAGAAAGACGGGAATTTTTAGTTTCTCTCAGGTTTATTAATTGCATAATCAATTCAGGAGCATTTTTTTCAAACACATGACTTAGAAACTGAAACATAACAGATTAATGGATCTTCACTTGGCATGCTAACTACTATGAACAAATAAGTAACAATAAAACTGTGTAAGACTAAAGTAAGTGTACTTGAGTATGGTAATGAATTGATACATATATAGGAAGAAACAACAAAACTGTCAATAAATTATTATTAGATAAAGGCTCTATCAGACAGAAAGCAGAGATCTGTTAAAGCTGAAAGTGACCCAACTGTCATTGTGGCAGTCTGCGATATGGGTCTATCACATAAAATACAATTGAAAGAACAGTTCTTTCTAATCACTTTCTTCTATAAAGTATTAAGATCGATTTCACAACAATATTTTTTCCTTCTCTATTTTTAATAAGCGAGAGTAAGCTCAGATGAAGCTTTTGCTATTAGCAAAATTTAAGGAAAAAATGTCTCCAAAGTAGACCATCTAGGAAGCAACTTACATGATCCCTACAAATTTAATCAAAATGTGTGAAATGGTTTTGGAGATACATCTGCATATGGGATTTTACATTGGTACAGGTTGTACTGTTGATCTGAATGGGATAAAATTCATAGGGGACCATCTAGAAACCACAACGTTTGAAAATTTCATAAAAATTGGTCGGAAAGATAGATATACAAACCAAATTTATTCAAAATGGCCTGAACCACAAAATGCGAGTGGAAATTTTTATTTTTTTACTTCCCGCATGAACACAAGGCTTCCCTACCATTGGTAGTTCGGAAGCAAAATAAAATAAGATGATGTGGGTGCATGAAGTTAATAAAAAAGAAAAATTAGGGGAATAATGCTTAATTATTTGAATATTTGTTTTATCACTCATTCTAACCACGAACAACTCAATCTGCTTGTGATTTTGCACAACCAGCTCGCTGGTCATTGTGACAAAATCAGGCTGGTAGCAATAGATAGCTAGGCCGCATCTGTTAGATATTATTTTCGTGTCAACATATTGCTTTCTGTCTGGCCTGGCCTTTAAAAGTAAAATTTCATACAAATTAGAAAAATATACTAGATTAAAAAAGAGCAATGTTTTTCAGTAAATTTGTGTTGGAACAAGTCTTTGAACTGTAAGCTTCCCTTAAATATAATTTTTAACATTAGTGAAGCTCAGAAAAGTAAGTTATTTGTTATATTTCTAATGCGTTTAATATGAACATATTCAATATTCGACATAATCTAATCCACTTACTTCTTGGTATTCACCCATAGGTGTGAGGTACTTTAAAATAAAGATTTTTTTTGTAGCAAGTGTCAGCGGATGCATTTGAATATTGCCTATAACAAATGTTTCCATTTCCGCCCATGAAGAGTTGCTACAATCAGACATATTAAAAGGTGATGGTTTTATTAAAGGAGGAGACATCATCGCATCAGTACTGGAACGACGGGCATCTTTGGGGGTGTGGAAATCTGAAAAAGTATCTATCATTCTTTTAGATTAATATGACTAGATGCTAATTTTCTTCGATTGCATATAATAATGAGATGTGCACTCACCATCAATATCCTTTTTTAGACAATCATTTATCTTTGAAGGTGATTTATGATCATAAGAGTAAACATCTTCATCCATTTTATTAGGAGATTTAACATGGTTTATATTTTTGTTGGTTCTGTTCCTGTCTATTTCAGTAAATTCTTTTGAATATTTAATAAAATTATTAAAATTATAATCATCATACCTCTTCGACCATTTGGTGTACTTTCATTTTCTGAATGACCTAAGTGAGCAAATGGCCTAGTGTTATTAAGTCCTTTTTCATCATGAGATTCCGATTGTAGGCCATGCAATCTTTCCAACATCAATGGGACCAAGTGCAGATTTTGTTCTCTGTAGACATTTTATTGATTTTCGATTTAATTTATAATTACAATGTAACTTGTATTTTAAGACAAACTGTACCGAAATACAACAGCTATGTCTTGAACATCCATTGCAGCAGCTAAAAGACCAGTTGCATAAGTTTGAAGTGGTTCTACAGATTTTTCTGCCCAAGAAAACAATCTCTGAACTAAAACATCGCTAGTAGGCTACAATGAAAAAGAAAAAGTATAAAATTTGGTGGTTATTATATTTATATCCCTCCGAATTACCATTTCAAAAACTGCTGCAGTTTCTAGACCAGGTGTGACATCAAGCATTAACCTGCAAGCAGCTATATTGAGTTTCCTTACATCTCTATTCGGCATTCCTGATCTAGTATAGTAGGTGTCTCGAAGGTAATCATTCACTAGCTGGAATGTACAAAATAATGGAAAACAAAAAATGACACAACATTACTAACCAAGGAGACATGCATAATAAAATTCAATTTAACAAATATGCATTAATGCATAAAATCAATGCTCATAAATATTTATTTAAACACCTTAAAACAATTGTACAGTAGACTCTTGTTATCCATGAGGGCCACATACCAACCAACATCACTGCAGATAATGAGAACCATAAATACCTCAAATTTCAGGCCTCAAAGCATTTTCTTCTACAGTTGACTCTCGATAATTCAAAACTCAAGGGGCCACAAAAATAATTTGGATCATCAAGAGTTTGAATTACCTATATGTTTAAATTATCAAGAAGAAAGAAAAAATCCAATTACTAAAATTACTAAGAGTTAATATGTATTTTCCAAAATTCTTACTTAATCCATATATATTAGGTAGTCAAAATTGACCGTATTAATTATTTTAATTAAACAGTACATGTAAAACAATCAAAAAGTGAAAACAGAACAACTGTAATAACATTATTATGCATTATACAAAATTTAAAAAAACAATAATAATAATCATGAAGTGGTTTTTGTTTGAGCTTGTGTCCTTTGCCTAAATGATTTTCCACTGGCCACTGCTGGGAAGTCTATTGACACATTGACAAATATAAACACTGACAGTAAACACAGAATGCTCTCTCTCTCTTCACATGTTAAGAAAAATTATAAGAAATAAGTTTTTAATTTTTTTTAGTTTTTTAATTTTAAAAGTAATATAATAATAATTATAATAAAAAAATATTAATGAGAGTATTAAAATACAAAATTTTTTATTTTTTTTGGAGTTACCAAAATTGCATGCTGAGGAGTTTAACTTATCCAGAAATTCGAATTAACGAGTTTCGAATTAATACGAGTCGACTGTATCTGCATGTCAATCAGACAGTTTCTGTAATACCTGTGTTGGCAAAGTTAAGTATGATGTACATATTTCAAGTTTTCTTCAATAAGAAAAATACAATGGCCAGTAACATTTATTCCATGCAGGATTCCCACTCTGCTCTAGAGCTCAACTAAGGGGAAACATTGGATGAGTAAACGCACGGATAACGAGATTCTACTGTATTTGTATTAAAATATTTTTTTTAATGATTATTATTAGAAATATAATGACTTTTTAATATGTAACAATTACACTTGTTAATTGAAGAAATAATAACATTTCTTTTTTTGTATTTGAAGAATTTTTCTTACAAACAAAAGGATTTTTATTTTTTTATAAAGAAAATATTTGTTTCCAAGGCCAATTAGCCATGAAGTAAACTATAAACATTGCAGTTTCAAACTTTTTTGTGGGCAAAGTTTATTTTCTTTAGTCAGCAATTGTAATATGTTTTAAATATTAAGAAACATATGGTCCATTCCTCAGCAAATTTATTATTATTTAAGTCACACAGAAAAACTTATGTTTATAATCGGTAATGATTTATGTAAATAGTTTATTTTTTGATAAAGTAACATGTATGTGCAATGTTATTCCATTAATAGATTTTGAAGAATAATCTTTCAGTGTTGGAGAAAAAATTGAGGTCGTGTTTTCAATACCACCGGACGGAGAAACGTACTCACCTTGGTCATAAACTGTTCTTTCCTAAATAAAACTTTAAGTGTATGCCCTAAACTACAATTTGGATAAGCTCTCGACGGATGACGCTCATCAAAAGGATCTGGATCCATTTTCATATAAACTTCAGTCTCCGACTCGATTAACTCGGACAACCTGGAAGTAGATTGAAGATTGTATGAAAATACGTTCGATTGTATTCCATCACGGCAAAGTTATGCAAAGCATCTTACTTGTTCAACATCGGGATCGGATCATAATGCGGGTTTTGGTGTTCTTCTTCCCAACTTCTAAGGATGGCGTAAACGTCTGACGGTTCACTGGATTCGCTCATTGTAACCTAAACAAGCAAATAGAATTTCTTTCACAGTTTACATCAAAGAAGGTACAAATAAACAGTAACTTGTCGGTTCAGTACAGTTAAGAATTAAAATAAATACAATCAAACTCAAATCAAGTCTTTTATTGGTCATAAAAGACGTAATACTTGTAAATTTGGGTATACAGTAGAGAAATTAACGCTTCAAAACGAAAGTGTCCTACACTAAAGCGTTTAACCAGGTGTTTACTCTTTCAAACTCTTTTATTACACATATGCATTCTTGCACTTGAATACATAAATAAAATAAGTATTATACAACGAAAACTCGCCTGAATAAATTGACAGACGCATAAAATCTTCAACAAACGTTACACGAGTAAAATTTCAAACGATATCATCACAAACAAAAACTATAAATCAAAAATAAACACAACAATAAATGCTTGCGGTCCCCAAAAAGTCTCCTTGCGGGTAGCACATGGGTTAAGGTTAGAACCTAGAAGTCTCGATAGTGTTTGCCAAATCCAATCATACCAACAACGTTGATTTTGCCCTCATTCCCCGTCACAATGACAACCAATATTTAGAACCAACTATATTTCAAAATAAAAAATATTAAATTAAACAAGGGATTAACTGAATTTTCAAAACTAAAATTAAACAAATATAATCGTGCCAATTCTTAATTACAATTTCCAACTTAATATAATTCATTGGATATGTGAAAACCATCATAGGATTTAATTTACCACAAAATTTAAAGTTTAATTAATTAATTTTGAATCTTAAGTAAGTTTTGTTGTTTAATTTATCTGTTAGAAATCTATTGTTGGATGCCCCACCAGAAAATCAATCTAGTTTCTAGGAAGCGGCTATATTAAGAAGTCCCATATTTCAAGTAAATTTTAACAGAGGATTAATATAGAATTGTATATTTAAAATTGTCATTGAGCAAATTTTACTCTCAGCAATAAATCTCATCTTCACCAAGAGAACTTATTTTATAAACAGACATTTAATTAAAACTGTGTACACCAATTTTTGTTTTTTTAATGGATCAACTCTCCCCATTATTATACAATCTGTAGTGTCTACTGTCTAATACAAAAAACATAAGGCATTAAATTATATAATTTATATATAAAATTACATAAAACAACAATATTCAAAAACAACATGCACCTTTCAGAAAAATAGAGCAACCAGGGGCATGGCCAACGTGTTTCTGTGCAAGTCCAGGAAGGAAAAGCATAAATCCATGTTCCAATGCAGATTGAAATATTCTCATTTGATATGCCAAATAAAATGAAAACTGTTTGAAGAAATTGAACACGATGAAAACTCTCCATGAAAGTACAATAAAAATAATAATATGGTATTTTCATTAAAGTAATGCCTAGTAAAGAAATTAAAACATTATTTTGAAATATGTTTCATTAGCTGGAAAACAATAGGCAGTTCGTAGAAATAAATTTGAATAAGTAAAATCAATTCATTAGCTGAAAATGATGGTTCTACTCACAAAATCTTTTTTGCAAGTATCACAAAATAAATATATATTAACATCAAATATTATATTCAATGTTTAATTAGTTATAATTATTTTTTATTATGAAAAAATCAGCTATGTTGAAGTTGGTAAGGTAGAAAAAAGTAAAGTATGACATAATTACATGTAATTTACAAATAATATTATGCACAAACAACTATAAAAACAAATTACATTCAAATATATACACTTAACCTTATAATTAATTAACCTGTATAAATCGTTCATTTATTTCGAGTAAAATCATATTCCTCTGGCCTTAAAATAATTTTATATTGACATTGTTTTGGAGTATTCAATAAAGAATTGTCTTTGTGTATACATGCAAGATGCCTGGCTAAACTTCTTTTTTGATCGAAGCCTTTATTGCACATTTCACATGTGTGTGGGTACTTATGTGTGTGGTTTATCATGTGCCTTTTTAAATATACCAATTTTAAAAACTTTGCTTGACAGCAATCACATTTATAAGGGTAATCTCCTGTATGATCCCTTCTGACGTGGTTCGATCTTTCTGATCTGTACTTGAACTTTTTATCGCAGATTTTACAAGGAAAAGGAAACGGGTCTCTGTGCCATTGTTTGTGCAAATGGAAAGTGCTATAATGTACAAACTTTCTACCGCACATATCACACATGTACTTTTCTTCTTTGGTATGAACGCCTTTGTGCTCATCCATTATTACAGCGGACATGAAACCCCTGCCACAGAACTCACAAAAAAATTTGTAATTCCCTGTATGGCTCACTTTATGTACTCTCAAACCACTTGGAGTTTTAAAATTTCTTCCACAAACATCACAGTCGAGTTTTTTCGAGTCTAACCTAATGTGCCTTTGCACATGTTGACGAAGTTTGACTTCATCTTCAATATATTTTCCACATATTTTGCATTTCCTAGATCCATGAAAATACTTTACATGGTTATCTAATTGTATCTGTTTTTTAAAGATTTTACTGCAAATCCTACAACCAAAATTCTGTTTAGTCTGATGTGATTTAACTTGATGACTTCTAAGGGCTTTAGATGTGTCAAAACGAATATCACATATACTACAAATGTAATATTCTTTGGTCGCTTTAGAAAGCGTAAGATTTTCACATTGTAAATTATGATGATTATGCATACATTGAACTTTACACAATGTACATGTGTTTTTTTGTGAACATTGCATATTTATTTGTTTATGTTTAAAGAAAGAATTTATATTTTCAAATTGAATTTTACACAGGGAGCAAAAAACATTTTCTCGGCTGAAACATTTATACTGTTTATCTTTAAGGGATTCTTTATTATTAGTACAATGTTTCAAATCAATTTCTTTATTTGTTAAATTACACTGAACAGAATCTGATAAATCAGGGGGGACTATTTTTTTATCAATTTGTGCCAATTGGTTATTTTCATTTTGCTCTGTTTTTATTCCTGAACAAAATTCATTGACACTGTCAAATTGTGAATTTTTCGTAGTTATTTTTGTTTGGAGAACACCCTCTACAGCTTGATTTTTTTGTCCTTCTTTTCCTAAAAAACAATCACTAATACTTTCATTCTTTTGAAAATCTTGAGAATGAATGCTATTAGTCACTTTTGATTTTGTATCTACGGTATTTTCATTCTTGTACACAAGTGAACTTTCTTTGGATGCTTCAACAATTTCAATCGATAGTGAAACATCAGTTCTTTCATGAAAGGTGTTTTGATTTTGTTCAGGTTTTATATTATTATGGGTTGAGGCAAAGAGATTTCTACTATCAAGAGTGCAGTTTTCTAATGATTTTTTCTCGTCAAATGAACCATCATAATTACTCAGTCTGTTATCTTTTGATCTGGGGTCATCTTTGAGAATTTTAGCAGTTGAAATGTCAAATTTGTGACTCGGTGCATCAATAGAAGGGTTCTGTTCAAAATGATTGTATCTCAGATTGTAGTTGCAACGAGTATCGCTCACATCATGAATGCTATATTTTTTTGCTAACAAATTAAAAACTTTCTTCCTAGCAATAATCACATTATTTTCAAATTCGTCAAGCTCGTTAATTAGATTTAAACAGTGCTTGCATATTTTATCTTCATTGGAAACAATTATAAAGAAATCATTTCCTACGACTTGTCCGATCTTCACAGGTATGTCGACACCCAGGTGTGAAGTGGCAGTTGCAGTCATCAAAGCTGAGAAACCTAACAATTTATTTCCACAAACAAAACAATATTCTGCCATGTCAGTTCTTCTGTATCTTCTTTCTGTAACAAAAATATGAGTCATTTGATTTTGCATCGAAACGAATGTTAAATTAAAATCAAGTTAAACGGATAAAACTTGGAATAACAAAATATTTGTCTGAAGTTAAACACACATTACATTAAACGTCTACCTGTCATTAAAGTGCTTTCATATCCAAAACAGTTTTTTTATTAGATAAACAATATTTGATAAATTTCGAAATTAAATGATTCAATCATTTATCCTCAATATTATTTACAAAACTGATTGTCTTATATTATAAACAAAACAATAGGTTTCAGCCTTCAGGGTTCACTTTCAGTCCTAGTTATCAAATGTATACAAAATATATGAACATATAAATCAAAGCTTGTATGTTTACATAGATAAATATAAAATTATACAGAAAATTTAGCAAACAGACATCGAGAAAAAGCCTTAGATTTTGTGTAATAAAAAAATGTTAAATATAATATGTTATAGTGAAAAGGAAGCAGTGGTGTGTTTTGGAGGGACTTTCTTATTAGTTACGACTGATAAACGTACATTTGCAAACGTTTGTTGTTATCATTGTTTAAAAAAGTTGTTTAATCGTTAAAATTGAGTTTTTAATATTATGTCTACAGTTGGAAATGACTGTGAAAATACTGCTGATGACGGCGTAAGGCCTTAATTAATTTTTTCTTTCTAAAAAATTATTATTCAAAACAGCTTAATTTTAAACTAGTTTAGTATATATAAGTAAAATACTTTAGTTAAAAGGTTTTATTATTAATGTCCAGACAAATTAGAACTCTTATTTGTGCAGTATGAATCAGATTAAAAATTAGATAATGCAATATGTGCGAGGGAGGTAACCTAATAAGCCTTCCGGCTCTAACTTTTAATCATAACGTTTCATAAAAATAAAACCCATTTGCCACCCCTAAAATAAAAAAATAACATTATTAAAATGTCGTCCATTCTCCATGATATTTTTAGTTATCAGTTTCAATTTAAATCTACTTAATTACTGATTATTTAGAGATTGTGAGCTGCGGTCTGGTGTGATGTAGGTTTAGAAAAACATTTTCTTTATCATGCCAATGTTCCGATCTTTATTGAGATGATCTTCAGGGTTCAAAGTGTTTGTTTTCTGTGTAGATGTGTCATTATTGTGTCGTGTTGAGTGTCCAAAGCACTTGAGGGCACTCTCAACACGACACACAATAATGACACATCTACACAGAAAACAAACACTTTGAGCCCTGAAGATCATCTCTATAAACGTTGGTACAATAAAGAAAATGTTTTTCTAAACCTACATTTCATCATTAACTAACGGTCACTAAACACCACACGTTACTTCATTACCATTAAACTTCATTTAAAGTCATGATTTTCCTCAACTTAATAATAATTTTTACATTGTGTTCTCATTCTATGATGCCCATTTAAATCTATTCACACTCTCAGTCTAATGAATTTAAGATAGGGGGTTTAGACATAAGATAAGGTTGCCATAATAGTTCAGGTACTGACCGGGACATATTTAACTACAACTCAAAAATAGGTTTTTGGAAACAGGAAGAACTCGGTAGCTGTATGGATAAGACATTCTATAATTCATTTATTTATAACTCCAAGAAAATAATTGAGTATATAACAATAATAACAAAAGCATGGCTTAAGGATTCCTGGTGAGTAAACATTTCGTTTTGACCATAAATGAATGCAAGGAATCATGGAATATGTCTATTTCATTGGATTAGTGGTTCAGCAATCTCGTTATCCTAGGTAGAGGGGAGTTTAGTCCGTATTCTGTTCTGCAACATGAAACAAAGAACAATATATGGTTTCTTATTGGTCGCTGAGGCACAGAGATATAATAAATTTTGGATTTCATTTTCCAACCCCAAATGAGATCAGCAGAAAAGTAAATCTAGACCAAGCTAGTTAATTCTTTAGACAGATCGGCAAGACCAAATTATCGGCCATTATCTTGGTTGATTTCCTTTAAACTTTTTCAGTCGCTAATCTCACCAACATGGAAAGGGGACTACACGACCTTCGCATATTCCAGATGGCTAAGCACCAGGGATTGAAATAGCATTTTTACTGCCAAAACATTTTTAAAATCAATGGAAAACCTAGTAATGAAACCAAGATTGCATAGAGCCTTATCTCAAATTTGCTTGATATGATCACTGAAATCACCCTTTCTGTTAAAAATGACACCATGGTCAGAGATAGTGTCAACCTCTTCCATTCTCTGAACATCAAGAAAGTAAGCAAAACAATCAAAGTCAGGAGGTAAGATAGTAAATTTAAAAATGTAATTCTAGATTAGTAATTTAAAAAATTTAATTCTAGATTAGTAAATTTAAAAAGAATCCCCTTATAGCTTTTATGGTAAATGAATGAGTTTATTTCTTCTTCAAGACAGGAGTTTTAATGACAATTTATTTCATATTTATTGTTTTATTTCAAATAAGCATTGATAAGGCATTTTGAATTAAAAATGATTTAGAGTGAAAGGGTATGAGAAAATTAGCCGTGAATGTATGTGTAATCAATCAAACAAACGATCCTCACAGGATATGTTGACTTTTATTTACATATTTATTTTTCCTCCAATAATAGATATTGGTAGGGAACGGTAATTTGTAGATTAAAGAAAATTAGGATTAAATATGTGGACATAACTTCTCTTTAATAAAAAAATAACTAATTTGCCTTAAAAATAAATGATAATTATTTTCCTGTTCCTTATTAAGTTATTATCTTTCAGGCATAACATTGTTTCAATCTGCCAATGATATTAATGTCTGTTAATTGTTTGCTGTTTCAGGTTGAAGAGAATGGAATTCATGAAATGTACACAAAAGATCTTGGACAAGGTTACTTTCCCACTGCAAAAATTAATAAAATCACCGTAGACCAGAGTGATGGTGACTCAATACAATCTAATTCCAGAAATCAGCCAAAACCGTATAATGAATGGAAAAGTACAAATCATCATCTTTTCTCTCAAAGTAATCCAAATGAATCAGACGGTGGAGCAATGGTCAGTAGTTTAGGACAGAATCTGCAGCAAATGAACTCTTACATTCCACAAGGTTTCCGTGAGAAGAAACAAGTCAATCCACCGATCACGAAAAATTATCATAGTCCTCAAATGTATTACAGCACAGAGCAAAGAAAGCCAAGGCATGAAAGTCCTGTGTGTGCTGGTGCAAATAAATACCACCTAGATGACTGGAGTTTGCCTCGTAATCAGAGATTGATGGAACAAGACATGGTGCCTAGTTCTAGCCCTGAAAATCCTGAAATGATTGGTCATTATAGAAAAGCACGTTTAGAAGTTCAGAAAAACAGACACTTAAGTCCGTACAATAACTATGACAATAATCCTCTGTACAATTATAACAATGAGGTGCAGTATGATCCAGAATTCAATCCGAAATGCATGTTCAGGGAAAATGGCAATTTTTTTTCTAAACCGAATCGCCCTGAATACAATCAAACTCACCAATTCATCCAACATGATTATACTCCGAATAGGTACAATTCACCTTATGGTAATTTTAATTCTTCAAATCCACCCGGTTATTTAAACAAATCGTGTCCTTGTGATTCAAGTCACTCAAAACTCAAACAGAAAGAGATGAGGAAAGCAGAAAAACTCAAAAACAAACAAATATCTGATTTGTATCGGATTGTATGGCTGCAGAATGAACAGCTGGCCATGCTGCAAAATCAAGTCAGAAAACTAGTAGAAATGGCTGTAAAAAATGACAAAACTGATACAGAACAAAATTTAATGCAGAAAAGAGAACAAGAAGCACATATGAATAAAAAGTATATAAAAGGTACGAAAGAAACAAGAACTTTCAATTTATCTGTTATAGAAGAAAATCAAAATATTACTGAAAAAGTTTCTGTCGGTATCATGACAAGTTTCATAGAGAATGGTGTAGGAAGAATAATGGAAAATGATAAAAATAAAATGTCAAAAACAATTACACCAAAATCTGAGTCATCATCGCTTTCATCGTCTTGTGATAGCCTGTCTGAAGAAACAGAAGAAGAAAAAGTTCTTCCTATACTTAAACCACCAAAGAAAATAAAAAGGTGATTTTTTATATAAATTTTTCCCCAATAATAAATTTTAATGCTGTTTAAAATATTTTTCAATACTTTTGGGGTAGTGAAATAAAATTATTGTGTAATATTTTAGGTCAGATACCATTGATGTAAGTGTAATATAATTTTTAATTTAATTTTGACTATTAAAGAGAAAAGGTTGGTCGCAGGTTCTAATAAAGAGTATTCACAGTACTAAAACTCTTTTCTTCTTAAAAGTCATTATTAATTTAAAAGCTATAAAACTTAATGCCTTGTTTCCAAGGCGTGTGGCTTGATGGCATATTCACAGACTTGTGATATGTCATAGTTTGTCGTATATGACCACAAGCCTTTCCCAAGTTGCAGAAAAGCTTGTGGCTTGGTTAATCTCGAGTGGCCACTGGTCACCCGTTTTTAATGAAATCAGTTTTGATTTAAAGATCAATCTTGTATTCTGTTATGATTAATAGATTTTGAAAAATGAATTCAGTTCAGAATAAACTGGTAGGATGCAAGAAACCACAACAGATTGTGAGAACGGGTGCTCAAGCCATACTGAGGCTTGTCATACATCAAGCCTCAACCCTTTGTTATAGGGAGTATTTACCAACAATGCACGGTAAAAGCCGAGCCACATTGAGCAATGAGTTTTTACGTTTCCACAATATGAGATATGGAAAATTCTTACCAGGCTTACCACACACTGTGGAAATAAGGCTTAACTTTATCCCATTAGGGCAATAATAACAAGTAGTAATATAATTTTATTTTACTTAATTAGTGTTGTGAATATAATTGTCTAATTTTTTAATACAAATGATATACATGAAGCCAGCAGAATAAGAAAGGAAATAAGAGAGATGAATCATTCACACTCAATGGAGTTGAGATCCCAACTGTCGTTGACAATGTTCCATCTCCCCAGACGTCTTTTCACTTAGACATGCAAGACTATCGATCGACTTCTACCAGTGATAGTGCAGAGAGGTATATTATTGTGTATGTAATTCTGTTATCCTTATATTTATTCTGATATGTCCAATTACAGTAGTTCTGAGGAAAGTGGAAGCGATGAGGAACTAAAAGGCACACAACAAGTTGGCTGGACATTTTATGATAATGTAGTGGTAAGGTTAAAGTTTCTTTCCAAATAAGTACAACCTTTACAATCTTAAATATGTCTTATCTTTAGGGCAAAGTAAATAATATGCTAAAAAAGGCTGATGATCTTGAAGAAGAAGAAGATAGCGAAAATGAAATAAGAAACACAACAATGGAACAGTTAAAGAGACTTGGGATCAGTTTTGTCGAATCTGAAAATACAAATCCAAAAAAGTAATTAATATTTCAATAACTGGAACAAATTATCATTACAATAAATTGGTTATTTTATTATCTAGGGTTACCTTTGGCCAAGGGGGATTCAAAGAGCCTTTGCTCCAGCATAAACTGCGTGCTGACTGTGATACAAGCATGAGAATGAATGCATTAGCAACTAAATATCTAACAGGTTTGCACATTTCAATTTGTTTGCTTCACCTGCTGGGCAAAACTGGAGAAAAAAAAACTAAGATTGCGTTTTTAAAGTTTAGACCTTTGTTATTAACAGAAGTATTAAAATGTCTTGAGGTGGCTAAAAAGGCAGTGTTCAAACGGAAGTGATTTTGACTTAATCTGTTAAAGATATACATTGACTGTCAGACTTAGAGACATAGTTTTGCCCTGAGGGTGCATTTTTGATGCCTTTTGAATAGTTTTATTTGACAAGTTATAAATCCTTTTGAAGACAAAATTTTGATTAAGTCTCCTGTAAAATTTATACTGCAATTAGAGAATAATTAAATTAAAAATTGAAAAATAAACTTTATGAAGCAAATTATATTTTATTAAGTGGGAAATTAGTCGGTAACATATACCTTCTTGCAGGAAAACTGGAGAGAGTAAAAGATGCAGCTTTGACTGGTCAAACCAATACAAATTTATCGTTCGCTACAATGCGTTATCTAGAAAGATATCATTTGGTTCCTCAAGAAAGTAAGTTAATGATGGTAACATTTTTTATTTTTCATTCATTCAATTGACTTTTATTGCAGAAACTCCTAAAGATGAATGCAATGGGAATAAGAAAACTAAAACAAAAAAGAATAAATTGGACAAAAAAAAAGTGAAAAACTTGCATAATGCAAAATCAGGAAAGATTCTAGATATAACTGCTATCAAACAACAGCCAAAACTACTCCCAAAGAAACTTTAGCATTAATTATCTACGACAATAAGCGAATGTTATTAATTAACACTTATGGATGAAATGTATTGACAGAAATGGGTATAAATAACGTGCAGGTTCATTTTTATCATAAACTATATTAAACATTAAAACCATTTATGTACAAAAACATTTACAATATTTATAACTGACTAAAAATCAATAAAACCATTGTCTGACTAGATGTCTTTCATGAACTTTGTTATTTGGGTTCAAACATCACACAGAGAAGCTTTCTCCACAGCCACAAACTCCTTTTATGTTAGGATTGTTGAATACAAACTCTGATGTAAGCTTGTCCTCAACAAAATCCATTTCGGTTCCGAGTAATGTCAGCTGAGCTTTCCTATCAATTATCACGCACACTCCTATAAGCAGAGAATGTTAAATTTAAAATGAAAAGAAAAAAATAATCGATCATACCATCCTGCTGTACAACTTCATCCATTTTTCCTTTTTCTGCACAATATTCCAAAGTGTAACTGAGGCCATTGCAGCCTCGTTGTTTAACTCCCACTTTCAAGCCAATCTATAATTTAAAGTTAAAAAAAAAAAAAAACAGAAGTTTATAAGAAAATGTTTATTGCAATACAATAAAGCACTATGTTCGTGTTAAATTTAAAAAAATGTAGGGAAAAGTTTACTTTTTAAAATTCTAAACAAGTAAGGTCATAAATTTAAAAGCATAGATGGATTAGCAATTGAATAGCATAGAGATAAAAGTGAATTGAAAAAGGAACAGTAAGACCCTAAAAATCCCTTCACTTAAACATACCTGAATTAATCCCCAAAGGCCATGCCCTTCTAGTTTATAAATCCTATTGCTTTCTATTGTTTAGTTAACTGTTTTTATCCCTGCCCTTACCCTAAGAAAAATTTTTGTAAACAAATATCTACAAAAATTGTAAATGCTATGGTACAAAATAGAGGTTGAAAAGATTAAGCGGTCACATAAAAAAGAATTACTGACAAGAAAACAGAATAAGTGGAGAACATAAAATGGCAGAATTGGTGATAACAAAAAGTAAACTATTCCAAGAAATTTAAATAAATTATGTTAAGAATAGAGTTCAATCTAATGTAAACTTTGCACCTTTATCCAATTTTGGTAAATGTAATAAGGTGATATGGATGACTTTAATTTTATACATGATAAAGTATTGAATGTCTACAGATGGAAACGTACAGCTTCTGGCTTTGTAGAGAGGAGCTCCTTCACTCTTTTAACAGCAGAAGGTGTCTGAAACAAAAAATAAATAAATAAAAAATAAACGATAACAGTATTATTTTTATAAATAGGAAAGTTTTAGATGTTTGGTAAAATGAAAACACTCGTCATTTTACTATTTATTCAGAAATCATTGACTAACATTCTAATCACCACACACTTTAATATATATATATGCATGAAAACCTTTATGTGTCATCTTATTGTTTTTTTTAACAGAAATTCGACAACCTGAGGCAATAAAGTGAGGTCAACAATTAAGAAAAGAGGAGAAAAATAAGAGTCAGTGACAAAGATGTGCAAAAGAAAATTAATGAAATGCAGAGTTTTACATTTTACACATAGAGAAATGAAGAACAAAAACAGAGGACAAAATATAAACTGCTAATAAATACAAACTAAAATATATGTAATTTTCCATACGTAGATATACAAGGAAGAATTGTATATTTAAAGGAATTATAATCACCGATTGAAGCTTTGCATTCAAAACTATTGTCATATATTTAAAAAAAAAATTGAAACCATTTTGTGTAATATCAATATCTCAAAATGGAAACACAAATTTAGTTATTACTGCCAAGCCTTCGACCTATTTTATGGCCATCATCAAGGCAAAACAATCTGTCTACTAACTGACATAATTAAATTTTTCATGGACAGTCCTTGGCATGGTGGAACTGAGTCGGTTTGTAAAGAAATTTGCAATTGTCTGTGAAAAACTTATATATTGTAGACGTATTTAAAATTGTTTTGCCACGATGTTGACCTTAAAATAGGTCGAAAGCCTGGCAGTAACAAATGAATTTGCTTTTTCATCAAGATCATACCATGATTCAGAGCATTTATGAGTAGAAAAAATGGTTGATACATCTAACACTCAAAATCAAAATTTTAATAAGTAAATATCAAAACTCAAGGTATACAGCCTGCTCTCTGGTAATTTTCATATTTAAACTACTAATTTAAATTTAACCAATTCTAAATATTGGATGTAGAATTTAAATAAAAATAATATTTTTGAAAAAAGAATATTTGTGGATAAAAATACACAGGAGGTTTAATCCTGAGTCTCATAAATACAAGTTATAGTTCTTTATTTTTATTTTTTCAGTCTCATTGTTAATATAACAATATTTCAATAATTAAATATTTTTCGTTCATGTTTTTTTCTTTTTTTTAATGGATTGTTTAAATCTTATTTATGGGCTTTTTGAAGGTAGTTAAAGAAATTTTCACATCTATGACATTTCAGTATCCTGTGCAATTGGATTAAAATATTTTCCAGAAATGAAGTATTTGAAAATAGCACAGGATGCCTTGTTCCAAAAATGAACCCAATGTAGTATATTTGAACATTGTCCAACCACCTTTAGAAAAAATATCTCTTAAGCAAAAATGTGACTTTCAATTACTAGGGAAATTTTTTTTAGAATATTCGTTTTTTACTGTAACAGTTCAATGTGTTCAACGCAAGGAAATGTGCACAATCTTTGCCCAGACAATTTAAGTATTGAAAACATCAGTACTTTTATCAGTTAAATCTACTGAAAACAATTAGTTGGATCAAATCTTGAATCCAACATATTATTAAACAACCAGTCAACAAAAAGACAAATTTCTACTGAAAACTTAATACACTCTTTTTGTATTATTTGTTGGAGTCGTGAGGAGTGGTCATGAATGAAGTATTTCAGAAAAACACCTTTCTTCAATTTTTGCAGACGTTCCACCTTTATTCGGGTCATCTTCAGGGTCTGGGTGAATTTCAATGTTTCTTGGAAAAAACACAATACATATGAAAATAATATTAATTTTTAAACAAGTATTTAATACTCGCATAAAATGTGGTGCTATTCTTGTGTTCCAAAAAATAGTATGAAATACTTGGTTCAAAATTGATATTATTTCCATTTGTATTGTATTTTTTCAATCAATATTTTTTTGTAATTCACCCAGGCTCTGAAGAAGACCCGAATAAAGGGTCGGATGAAGCAAAAAAAAAATTAAAAACCTCACGACTTCAAAAAATTATTGAACAACTGGTCGCTAAAAAAACACGCCCTTTCTAGTGTTGTTCGTATAAAAATGGACTGGAAATTCCCAGATAAAAGAAAAACTTATTCGAGCGTAGGAAAAAAACCTTTTCGAATGTGTCTGTGAATGTTAATTAAAAGTCGGAGGGAGAGCACTGTTACAGTCCTTGGAAATGTAGAAACAGTGGTTCTTCAAAGAAATCTGAAATCTTCTATGAAAAATTTAATTTGAGAGAAATTTAAAATCATTTTGCCCTGATGATGAGTTTAAAAGTCGAAAGCTAGGCTGTAACAATTGAATTTGCTTTTTTTCCCAAGATAGATCGGAATGTTTTGCCAGATTACTTACAAGGACTAAAGCTGCTCTTGTAGGTATCGGTTTTCTGGCAAGCACAGCTCTCACAGAAGCGGCCGCGGCAGCCTTCGCAGCACCAGAAGCCATCGTCTTTGGGGAAGTTGCGTAATCGGTTAAAATTTGCAGATCTGGCCGTCGATCGACATCCGCGAGACTCCTTAATCCGACGTAACTGATCGAAGGAAACTATCAATTTAGAACTAGAAAATTCGATTTGAGCTGGGGGGGGTCCGAAACGCGTTGGAAAGAAATCCTCTGGTGAGTGGTGAATGAAGAAAAATAAAAGAAAGATATATAATAATATTAAATGTAAAAAAACGCTGGTATTTGAATCAGCTGTGTGGTGCGGAGCGCTTCGGATTGGTTGTCGAAAATGGCCGAAGTGAGCCTTGTGACGTCAGGTTCGTCCCCCCCCGAACAGGTCCGCTTCGCCGAAGTTATTATGCTCCCAGGATTCCAGAACAGTACATGTCCGCCATAGGTGCTGGCTGGCTGTACCTTGGTTGGGGAGCTCTTCTCTTCCACACCAATTACGGCCTCATGCAGCATTCTCCTTTTGAAATCAAGGAAAGGTTACTCAAGGCACTCGACAAGGAATACAATGTAAGATATCAGAAACGGTTTACGCCGAAAATCCTATTATTAAAGGAGAAAATAACTCGAGTCGCACGACTTCCAACAGTGTCTGCCTATGTGAATCGTGTCTCGTTCCCGATTTCGACAAATATACTCGACGGATTATTAAATTGCAACTCGCCTTTACCTTCGAAACCCCCTCGTTCGTTCGTGTTGTGCCATACGTTGACTCCGGTCGAGATTTTTCTCTGTGAAATAGCGCTACTGAACCTAGAAAGTGTTGCTTTAACGCTGCCCTCCTCAAGGCTCATACGCGGCACTGCGCAAGCGCAGATATTAACAAAATATCCGGTTTTCCTTCAGACTTCGGTTAATTTACGGAATTATTAATTTTTAGCCGTCGTGTGGTCGGCGTATCGCACGCACGAGGAGACGCCGCAAAACTGCAGGCACGTGAAAAAAAATTCCACCCCACGTTTTTAAACGGTCTGATCGTATATAACATGAATATTTATCGTTTTGTAGGCTAGAATGACTTTTAAATTTACTACCAGTACTGGTATTGTAGAATTTCTTTCCTTTTTTTAAGCGTGTATTTTCAGTGAGTCTCTTACCGGGTACCGAATTTCTACCGGGTTGTCAATTCCGAGGTGGCCGCAAAAATGCCCATCTCCGCTTTTACTTTAACGTGAGTAGCATGCCCTTTATTTATCACTGCCTGGAGAAATAGATAAATATATGACCTGGAAAGACGGTTCGACTCGAATATCCTGTACCACCGGCTCTCCTATGCATTTTTTGACCTTAGCCCATAATTTGCACAAAACTTTTAACAATTTTCTCTTCTGTTTAAGGTTGTGGATATGGCAGCGGTGTTGGAGATTGTTACCATCTTGGAAAGAACTCCTATTACAAAAGAAGCCCTTGAGGTAATTGTATTTTTCAATTATTAGTATTATCCGATTGAATAGGCTCGAGGTCCAGGCGTTATTTACACTTGAAACTTAAGCACATTCATGTATATCATATTTCATCACTTTACTGTAACGTTTATATTCAATAGCTATAATAATAACTGGCAGGCTGAAAGTGAAACGTAAAAGAGAATTCGTACAATGGCTGCTTCCGAATGTCCCAGTCTGTCTATATTCTGCGGTTTTGTAAGATCAGTTGGCATATCACTTTTGGACCATTTCAACAACTGAAGGTGCATTTTTTTACGCTCAAGAGAGGCAGATAAACTCTCGAGAGTAAAACTCACAAGTGTAAGGCCACACTAGAAGGAATTCAACAGAAGTTTGCGCGACGAAAAATCAGAACAAGCCACATATACAGCGGAATGACTACAACTGTTTGGATATTCAGTTGATCATGTACAGTACAATGAATGTAACCTTGTTCGGTGGAAACTTACATCGCATTTTGTCTAGTGTGGCGCCGGCCTTAAGGCCTCTGAGAGTTCTTAGCAAAAAGTATAGGGAGAGCTCTCCCGAGAAGTGCAATGTTGCATCTTCCTCGCTAGTGTTAACGTTTTCCCTACGCTCGGAGAGTACTCTCAATTATTTAAAAAAATGGACCCATGAGGATGTTTGCAAGCTCATTGAAGCATATGAATCCAATCCTTATGGGACATCCAGAACCCAAGGATTTTAACAACCAGATTTTAAAAACAGTTAAAAAAAAAAAAAAAATAGAAAAATTAGCTACAAACTTAAATTGTCGGGCCCCTGAAATTAATTGTAAGGCATCAAATGCTCACTAATAGAATTGCTTCACTCATTGCAATGTCTTTTAAAAATTATGGGCATACTAATACCAGCGATTCAACTTCAGCACTTGAAAATCTGCAAAATAATCCTAAATTTCTGGGTGCGTCTCAAGTTCCAACTCCTGTGCTAAAGCGTGGTACATGCCTAAATGAAAATCCCTTTTTGTGTTGAAGACATCTTGTCTAAAAATCACTCCGAACTGTCCACTGTGTGTCTGCAAATGGTCTAAAGTGGACTCGAGAGAGTTGCTCTCTGAGAGTGAACTCTGACAAATTTCACTTTCCTGTGCAAAGGGCCCTGAGAGTAACTCGAGAGCTGCTTAATGCAACTACTGAAGAGGGTGAAATGCCAAAATGTGCCTTACAAATCCAGCAAGGATAGACTAGTCAGGTCGGTTGGAGACATTGCCTAAATCGCCTTGCAAACTGCACCACAAGACAAGAAAATAATGGTAACTTAAATTTTTATGTGTTGTGATTATGCTCACTTGCACAGGAATAGTTTCCTGGTTTTTTTTCTTTTTCTTTTTCAACTTTTGTAAAGCATGACAATAGACTGTTTGATTTGTGTTGGTTTTAACTAGGGGAAAAAAAATAGAAATCACAAAGGATGACGGCCACAATGGTTTAGCCTGTACTGTATGGTAAAGATCCCATGTTCGAATGTATTGCCCCTGTATGAAAGGTACTGTATTTGAGTGCAATGTACAAATGGGCAAAAAAACCAGCACCCCAAGGGTTGATGTAAACTCATAGTTGAAATACCTACATTAAAAAAAAATAATTTGTCATTTTCATGTGTAGTTATATGTAAAGAAAATGTTTTTCTGAAACCTACATCACACCAGACGGCATCTCACGATTTCTGAATAATTATATGTCTAGTTTTTTATTTATCTCAATTTCCTACATAATTCATTGTGTATTCTCATCCAGCAACTATAAAAAATATGTAGAATTAGAAATAGATACTTATTAATAGGATTGAACTAAAATTGAATTTACAGCCAGTTCTTAAAAGAAATACGATATGTAATATTAGTATGTTATTTACTGTTAGAATTGTCATTTCAAAAATTCTTGATAATTTCGAATGTTAAACTTTTTATTCATTTTATGTATGCAGACTGAACAACAATAGAGTTTGCAAAGAATTATTTTTATTCTATATTCTACCTCTGATATGTGTTGTTATCTGTTCCTAAAGAACTGGATTATCTATTTGTTTTTATTTTATTTTTTAACGATTAAATATTACTTATACAGTATTTGTTTGTTGTTTACTTAATTCAAATTTAACAGTATACAATTTTCCTCCTTAATTATTTTAATAACACAAGCTGACTGTATGAATGTTATTGACTTTATGAATGTTCTGTTTATTTATAAGTATATTTAGCTCAAATAATCAATACTAATTTTAATATTCTTTTCTTCTTTTTTAACTGCCATTCAATAAATAAAGAAAATAAAAAGTTATTCCAGTTGAGTTGTGTTAATTTAAAAAATAAAAATCTTTTCATTTGGAGTCCTTCTTTATTCTATTTTATTTTTACCAAGACAAATTTAGAAGGAAGGTAGCTTAATGGATTAAAGATATTTTAATATTATTGATGTGGTATGTTCGAAAAATCAAGTGCTTGATTATGGCACAGGATGCCAAAATGTAACACAAAATATCATCTTTGATTTATTGGTTACCTACTTTATAAAATCGGCCTAGAAAAAATAGAACAAATAATAAATTAAATCAAATTTACTATTTTTTATTATTAAAGGTAATTTATTGATTTTTTTTAGACCACAAGATTGGGTCGTGATATCAATGAACTTAGACGTAAAACAAGAAATGAATCTCTTGCAAAACGAGCGAAGGATTTGGTGCGAAGATGGCGTGACTTGATTCTTCCTCAGAACGATGTTGCACAGACAGAAGCAACGCAACAAAATGGATCGAGTCGTAACTCAGCTCAGCCTTCTAGAGGTGGCAGTACAGTCTTAAGACCGCATCCGATTTCACCAGCCATATCCCTTCCCAACAGTGATAAAAGTAGTGTAAGCCCAGTGCTTTCTACTAAAGTCGAGGCCGTTCCTAAAACACATGCAGCTAACAAACGATTACGGAAAGAGCCGATTACTCCTCACGCAGTGCCTAGTAGCGATGTGAAAAAATCTAGTTTAGAATCTTCTCCTGAGCTTCCTCCAAATAAACGAGTCAAGTTAGAAGTAGCCTCACAAGAAACCACTGATGGACCATTACGTTTGAATGGGGACCATTATGATTCTGTCGGTTCTGACTGTGAAATTGTATCCGTCACGCCTGCACTGCCAAAACAGAAAACTAGGAAGAAGGCTCCAAAAGATAGGACACAAAAAGAAAGTGTGGACGACATAGTAAAAGAGAAAATCGCTTCTATAGCGAGAATACCTAAAGTGAAAACGACTCAGGAGCTACTAGCCGGTTTACAGTCAAGAACTGGTGACAGCTCTTCAAATAGTATTTTACCGGTCGTAGACCACAACGTAGCAAAAAATAAAACTGAACATATCGCAAGGTTTTTACGATCGCAAGGTGATGAATCTGAAATTATCGATGTAGAAAGTACAAACGATAATGAAACACCGAGTAACGTCGGCTCCAATGATGCTGCTACAGCCCAGAGTTCTGCTGTGAAAGAAGAAGCGCCGACTCTAAGAACTCCCGAAGAAATTTTAGCTAGGTTACCTCCACTGGATTTAGACTCGATAAATTGGGATGAAACTCCGTTACCCTCTCCCACAACTCAAGAAGTGACAAGTGAAGATGTTGACCGAGTACTTAATCAACAGATTCCAGGTCTTAACGGCAACTATGATGAAAGTTACAGGGACGAAAAAGTGTTTCGTGAGTGGCATGAAGTTGTGTCTAGAACGTCTATTAATAGTGACTTATTACATATACTGCCTTATGTAGTCATTGACTGAATGATTGAAGATACGTTAAGTTGATGTGCATCCAAAATAGTTTTATATTGCGAAGAAGGGCACACCAGTCTTTTTGTCACAATATTATCTTTGATGTATATATATTTTTTTCATTAACAGGAGACTTTAGATATACCACCAATAATATATTTCTAAGAATTATTATTCAAATGTGCGATCGAAGTGTTGTATTGAGTTTTGAACTTGAAATATTTAATTTTATACCTAGTTAATTGCACTTTTTTCATGGACAAGCTCTTTTGAAGTGCCTACAGCCTGAACACGATTTATCTGTATAGGCTAATTAATTAGAGCGTTAACATGTTTTTGTTAATTATTTATGTTATTTGTTCTTTGTTCATTTTTTCTTGTTATTCCTGAGCGTTGTATGGAGTACAGAAAGATTGGTGTGACAAAATTAATCAAATTAGCAGGTAAAGGTTTCTAAACAGATTATATTATTATTAGTATCTAGTCAGCCAATTCTTCACTTTTATCTGATTTATATTAATATTTTGCAATCATAGATAATGTGTAGCTGAATATATGTTTTTCTCTTTTTTTCCTTTTTTTTAATTATTTCATAATTAATTGCTGTTATTTTAGTTATGAGTATTTTGTTTTTAGAAAATATCTGTTTAACCAACCTACTAGAAAAAAAAAACAAAAAAAACTATGTTACCAGTTTGACATTCCCAACTTCTTCAAAAACAAATTTAAAAATTGGATCACATTTGTGCCCTGTGCCTTGTTGCCTCTTAAGGCGGCCTTTTACATTACTGTCTCATAATAATATAGTCAATGTTTACAATTATTATAAAATGCATCTAATTGGTTTTTGCCCAAAGACAAGTGTTAAGTTATTTAGATGGATGAGGAAACTGATAACAGATATACATATTCTTAACTAAAACAAAAATAAATCAGCATATTTTATAGTTGCATTTCACAAAGTATATTACCATTATTTTGTGAAAGTTTTGACATTTTGAAACCAAGTTGAAAGACATTTCTTTGTGCATTTTTGCGAAAATAATAATAGATGTATTTTACTATGTGGTAATCGTATCATTTATTAGCAATTGTAATATGCTACATTATGTAAATATTGGTATATATTATATAAATTTTATCTTTTTCTGTTGTTTTTTCTTCTTCTCTTCTCTTTTGTTGGAATTCGCTTATACCGGTCACGTATAACCGAATGTAAGGACTTGAGCCTTTCTTTTCCCTGCAATGTTTATTACTTAATCAAAGTGGACAGGAAGAAGTTAAATTTTCCATTGAATAATAACTTGTATTAAATTATTTTATAAATGTTTGAAGATAGGTATTACCCCTTTTTTTCTTAATATTCAAGTCAAGGACAGTTTTGCTTGTATTGTTGCATTTTAACCCTTACAAGTAAACACTATTACTTGATTTTCTAAGTGCTTAATTTTTAAATAATTCAGTCACTTCAGTTAAACAAGATTATAGTTTATTTTAAAACAATAGTCTTGATTGCTTCATACTATTGAAATCAGCTTAGTAAGAATGTAGTTCTTTTTCCAAAATAAAATAAAAAATTATCCATAGTTGAATTTAATTAAATTAGCAAGCTAAAACAAAGGTTTTGTTAAGTCTAATGTACCTGTTTGGTAAATTTAGACGAGTGTCCAAAAGTAACAAATTGCATATAAATATAGAAAATAATAATGTTATATAAAGATTTGTTTATTTTTGATATACCCAAACAAAAGGGTGGCGTTTGTGGTCATAAATACCCATTGGGTGTTTATGCGGGATAACTTTCAACTTTTATATTTAGTACATCATGCATCCAGAATAATTACAATTGAAAAAAAGGAAAAATATGTCTATACAATAAAAAAGAAATAATGTATGATTGTATTTATTTATTGTTATATTCTCGGAATAATGTCCTTTTACAGTATATTATAATAATGTGATAAGGTCGTCTGTGATCGCAATGGTTAAGGCATTGAGGTGGCATTCATCACTGGTATGTTAAAGGTCGTGGGTCAAACTCAACATGGCAACAAACAACATAAAAAAACACCAGCACCCTGAGGATTCGTATAACCTCGTAGTTGACACACCCTTGTTTAAAAAATAATTCAAATTAAATAAAATTCAAGAATATAACCATGAAATTTACATATGTATACACAAAGACAAAAAATCCCAGACACGTTTTTGTTGTTTATTTCAAACTGTACGTATTTTTATCATGTTAATTACAACATAATTTAAGGCATACCAAATTAAACAAGATCGGATTTGAGTTTTTCTTTCTCAATCTATTTTTCCTGTTCCAATACGGGTGTTCAGGTGTTTTCTTTTTTGAGTGTATAACGTTCCTTAAATGCTACTTAAATCTAAGGGATCACAATAATGTTTTAATATAAAGAATATTGACATGAAATTAAATAAGTAATTGATTAAGAATCATTTTAAGGAAGCAACCCTCTCACCCATGTGACCAGAATCACAACTAAGTACTATGTGCTTAAGTTGGAACAGGAAAAATAGATTGAGAAAGAAAAACTCAAACACTCGAGGTATAAGGCAAGCTAAGAGATTTATAAATATCTCAAATTGTTAAGGCGAAAGAAACAGGCAGGATTCAAAGAGAATTATAGGCCCTCTTAACTATCACCTTAAGAAGATGGGCATGACTGAGACAGAAACATGCCAGCTCCATCAAGAGGAACCAGAGTCATCAGCATATCTTTTGTGAATGTAAAGCATTAGCCCATTTACAGTACAACACTTCAGTATGACATTTCTCATACCCAAGGAGAAATCCTCAGGCACGAAGGAAAGTGCCCACAAAATAGGAATAGTGCACTTTTCCAAGGTATGGTTGTAAGCTATACGGGTTCCACAATACACCTGTTTAGTAATTATATATTTTAAGTTACAATATGTTTTAAGCAAAGGAATTATATCAAAGGTAGAGAGGTAGTTATTAATCAGAAATAATTGACTGTTTTTATTGTTCTCTGGAAACATGAAAAATATCTATTTTGTCATCAAGAAACAGTAGAATTGAAACTAATTATTTTTGTAAACCTGAACATTATTTCTGGCATTGTTTGTTGTAATATTGAAGCAGATGGAGAAAACCAGTTCGGGACAATCTACACAGCAATGAATATCATAGATCAATAAACCATCATAAATTGTTTTGCGATTTTCACTTGTGGCCCAACATAAATAATATATTCTAATTAATTATACTTATTATCTAAGGTCTTGGATGAGATGAGTCTAGTGTCATGACGGGATTCGAACCCAAGACCATTGGTTCAATACGTTGCTACTCTAGTTGATCTATCGCAAGCAGCTTATTGAGCCGAAAGTTGCAAGTTTGAATCCCATTCGTGATGCTAGCTTTTTCATCTTAACCAAGACCTTAGGTAATAAGTATAATTAAAATAATTAATACAGTCAATTATGAATACTAAACATCTATGGTTTAATATAATAAATAATGTCAAAAAATCATAGTCTGTCGGATATGGGAATTTGTAAGTGATAAGTCAGAGGAATTATTTTGTATATCCTTTATCATCTTATACTTATTGAATGCAGATCATACAGATGAATACAATAATAAGCTGGGTCAAACTATAAAACAATGCAGAATTTTGAAGGTAATTAAGTTGGTAAAATGTTCTGAATAATAACATCCAGTATTCTTGAAGTTTTGAATGTGATTTTTATTATGTATTCACTGAAAAAGAATTTACGATTCCTAAGTCAAGAATACTATCAGATCTCTTAAGAGTTATGTTATTTAAATGATATGTTGAATTCTATTAGACGTAGAAAATTTTTATATGAGAACACTGAAAGGTTCAATCTAATTAAATTTGGATTACTTAAACTTGTAAACGTCACATCTTTTAATGGTGCATAAAATTAAAACCGTCGATTTTAATAATTTGGTTTAGGGTTTTATATAGATTTTTCGTTCTGTTAGAATGATTAAGAAGATAATTTTTTAGAATTTGAAATTCGACGCCACGAGCGTTTTCATCTTTTCTATGCGAACCACCGCTTTTTTGATCAGAAATATTGAAAACGTAAATTGCATTCCATGTACCGAATAATCGTTATCAATTTCGTTTCTACTGCGGTAAAATCACTTTTCATTTCTATTTTTACGATACGATGCTAAAAATTAGATCAGATTCTCCGACTTTTTCGGAACGTGGTAATATTTTGCCGCCAAATAGCGAGTACTTTGTTTAGTGCTCATTCGAAGTCGTTCTCGGCTCTTCTATGTACGGGTTTCTTTTCGATCTTTTCAGTCGGTGCTTTATTTAAACTATAGCTGAAACGAAAATCGTAAAAAAACCATCAAAAAACAGGTTACACACAAAATAAACTCAAATTGGTAAGTAATGACAATTGCGATTCAATATTGTCTAAGCCGCTGGAATGGACAAGGGATCGGATTTTGTTAGGGTTGATAAAAAGGGACTCTCGCTCATTCTCAGTTGTGAACATTTCAGTTCAAAATGGCCAAAGTGCAAATAGGCAACGTTATCGTTTTGGACAACCCGGCATCATTCTTGACACCGTTCCAATTTGAATTAACTTTCGAGTGTATCGAAGAACTGAAAGAAGGTTAGTTACATTACTACATTCGTCGTATTTTTTAAAAATTGTTTCACATTCAGATACGCTGTTGTGTTTCTTTTAGACTTGGAATGGAAAATGATATACGTAGGCTCAGCCGAGAGCGAAGAATATGACCAAGTCTTGGATACAATATACGTTGGACCTATACCTGAGGGGAGACATATGTTCGTTTTTCAGGTCTGTTTCAATTTTAATCAGTAAAATTGTTATTTTCACATATCTTTTACAGTTTTATCATATGGCTTCTGTAATAGTTTATTCTACTTTTGTTATGTATAAACATACACTTAATAAGTGGTTGATGACTATGTATCGACATGTCCTTTCCGGATGGCAACAGTGTATCGACTTAACTGTTCTTTTAAACCATTAAATCGTTTCAGCGCAGGGTATTGATACAGGTTGGATAATCTTGCAGTCAACATGTAATAAAAAGAAAAAAAAGACAATTATTAATTTTGGCAAATGTGTGATGGCAAAGACCGTACTGAGGCCTGTTAAAATTAATCCATCAGTTCAGATTTATTTTCGGACCCCTCAAATGTCTAGTGCCTCGCCTCACCTGTATTCAGATCCATAAACTCTCGTCGGCCTCACTTTATTTTCAAGTGTGTTGTATTTTTTCACATCTTCCTTCCCTCCTTCAAAAATTAAACAAATATAAACACAAAAACATTAAAATCTCTAACACTCTCAATATGACTCACAACAGTGACAGAACTACAAAGAAAAGACACTGTTGAGGGAGTACTAATACTTTGATAAAACCTAAAATTTCTATATTGTATACATCATTATATAAATTCATAGTCATATCTTATATGTATTTGTAAAATTTAAACAATGTTTATAAATCCCAGGCCGTGAAGATGATCTCAGTAAAGATCAAAGTATTGGCACGATAAATGTTTTTTTAAACCTATGCTCACCAGACTGCCTCTCACGAGCTCCAAATAATCATTTATTTTCAAGCTACTTCAGTTCAAATCCTCTATCCTCTCTCTTAACACCAACTCGTTTTCCAATTACATATCACACACCCACAAGAAAAGATACAATAAAAAAAAATTACAGGAGAGATAAATGAATTACTTATGTGTTAAGTACACGCCATTACGGTTGTTTGCAATAAAATCTGACTCGATCCATCAATATTGTCTTTCGTTTCTCCAAGACTTAAGCAAAAACACAAAACTTTAAGAATCCAGCTGTACTACCCCTTTTTGAGTCACTTTTCTTGCATATGTTGGCTCTCGGTAATGTAAGTTAGTTTGTTTGTTCTAACGATAATGGTAGTCAATGAGTAAGGGTATTTATTTTTTTGTGATAGTAACAGACAACTTACAAACCTAACAAACGAGCACAAATTTCAATTTATTAACTTTTACTAAGATTATTTTTGACCCAATTTGTGCTTTCCTCCTGGAGTCAGGGCTAATTAGTTACTTAAAATATAAAAAAATTTAAATAAAGGTTTTATTGATTATTAAATTGTTTTAATTAAAAAATTACAAAAATAGTTGAAACTATAAAATAATCTAAAAGTTAAAAGACAACATTGTTAAAAAAAATTATGAAAAACAACAATATTATAATTAATGTTATTAAAATAAAAGAAATGAAATTAAAATTATTCACGAACACTCTAGATCAAGGTATGGTCTTGAAGAAAAAAAGTTTTTCATTGTGTGAAAATGTGACTGATAAAATCCTTTACTAAATTGAATTAAAAAAAAATTGATATAACTTAAAATGTACCACTTTTCTTTATAAATACTCACATCGATGCTTTGAAGCTCGACACTGAACTAATATATGCTACTTTTTGTGAATGGTGACGGTACATTTCTGCAATTCAAAAGTGACATAATGCTGCCAACCTGTTGGAATATTTTTCCCCCCCACTGTATTGAGGAAAAATCAACCTTTGCTGCTTCATATTGTGCCATATGAGAATGAGAATGACAAATTTTCCTCTGTGAACTGAAGATGGCCATGAGGTCCTTGACTCCAATAAGCATGTTGTAGCACTTATGTAAAACAAGAAGTACTCTTGCCCAGTTCACAACTCTTGAGTGAATCCAGTTTTAGCTGTTGGCCAGAGACCAAGATATAGCCTACTACCAAGGTACTGATTGTTACATTGGATCAGATTTTTTAATGAATATATAGTTATATTCCTCATCTATATTCTATCAAATTATTTTCAACCCTTGTACCTGGAACCCACAGAAGGTCACATTTTCTTGCCAGATCCGCACTCTCTGAAGGTTGAACTCAGGGCAAAAATGGAGTTTCTGCCTCTTATTTATTACTTATTTATTTATAGTTTGGCTGTTTTGTGTTTTTCACTGATGTGTCCGATAGGTAGTCAAGAATGACTGGAAACGACCAAACTATATGTTCATTACTCTACAAAACCCCATAGAGAAATTTGTATTAGCAGAATGCATTTTTTTTGCCATGCTTGAGTTCTGTGTTTGAACGCTAGCATAGCCCTTGGACTTTTAATTGAGATTAATATGAAAATAAATTGTGGTTCTGACCCCCTCATCGTTACTTAACATGCAAAGTTAAATTGTAAGACAAAATCTGTCAATTAATTAAGGTTTTTAGTTGAGATAAAAACAATGTAAGACAAAAATTACTTTTTTAAATTTTATTTTATATATTTTTAAAATAATTTACATTAATAGATAATTGTTCATGTGTCTTATATGAAAAATAAACTTTTTAGGCAGATGCACCTGATGTCACTAAAATTCCTGTCGAGGATGCTCTAGGTGTTACCGTTTTACTTTTAACATGTAGTTACAGGGGTCAAGAATTTGTCCGAGTAGGTTATTTTATTAACAATGAATATTCTGATCTTGAGCTTAGGGAGAATCCTCCAGCAGTCCCACAGTTTGATAAGGTATGGTTTTTGTTACTTTTTACCTAAATTTTTTAATTAAAAAAAATCCTTTCTTTTTCAAGGTCGTTAGGAATATTCTGGGAACGGAACCAAGAGTGACAAGATTTAAAATAAATTGGGATGATTCAGAAACGCAGGACCAATCGGGTGAAGAAGAACAAACCGATGAACAATCCCAACAGCAGTCCGAATCTGTTGGCTTTACAGAAAATAACAGCAGCCATCCTATGGAAGTTGTTTAAATTACCATAGAAGAGAAAGTTGAATAAAGTTAATAGGTACAAGTGAAAAAGGTTCAACTGTTCGAATGACACTTACGGCAGGCATTAAAACTTTTAAAATTTTGAATTTTTTAAAATGTAAGATGTAATTAATGTATAAAGTGGTTGGATGTTTTAATTAATTTTATTACTTTTTCCAGTAACCATTTAAATATGATACTGTTGCATAACAATACACGATTAAGTTAATTATTCCCTCTGATTGTATAATTATTTAAAAAAGAAAACAAAGTAGTTTTGAGGGCAAGCTGTTAAATAATTTCCATTCATCTTTGTCGATATACACCATCTTGGCCGCCCTTTCTTTATTACCTTGAACCTCATAAACTTTAAAAATTTCTCAATTAATTAAATTGTGTAAAATACCATGTGAGCTTTAAAAACGGTGACAGTAAAAATCTTTTTTTGTTATAAATATTTTTAATTGCCAAGATGGTTGTTGATATGTATGTCTGCTATCGAACTACCTTTTTTTAATTTTAAGTTTAATGTTTTTATGAAAAAATAATAATAAAGTTGGATTTTTGGCCAGAATAAGACATTTGGGAGAGAATATTGACTGTTATGCATTAGAAAAAGTTGATACTTTAAATATACAATTTATAAAATTAATTTAAAAATATGTTTACCCTTGGGGTATGTGTTATTCTTTCACCCCTTTTGTGTATAATTGTGTCCTTTTATTTTTTCAGATAGAACAATTAAATTTCATTTCTTAGAAATCATTTTATTTTTTAATTAGATATACTTCTATCTAAGGTCTTGTACAAATGAAAAAGCTAGTGTCACGAGCAGGATCACTGGTTTGTAGGTTGAAATGAGGAGTTGGTGTCTAAGTGGATCAAAGTCACGATAGCTAAAGTGATTATAGCAGCAGCGAATCGAGCGAAGGTCATGGTTTTGAATCACATTCGTGGCATTAGTGTTTTCATCTCAACCACGATCTTAGATAAAAAGATTAATTGAAATTATGACATTCACTATTAACACCTACAGCCTATACATGTGGTTTTGACCGAAGTGTTTTTTTTTTCAGGCTTATGACAAGTGAAACCTTTCGGCTGAAATAATTGCAAGAAAATTCTGCAGACAATTCCCTAAGAGGAATTACAAGAAAACAATCTGTAATAATTAAATTTGTCTATTTTTCAAACAATGGTTAATACTACGCTTTTTCTAATGAGTTCTCTATTTTTAGTATTCCTCAAAATTTCTTATTAGGTAAATGAATACACATTGTGGTTTTCAAACAATCGATATATTCGGGAGTTTTTATGTCTCACACAGTAGGATGACCTCACTGATCAATTCTTCCACAATTTTTTTTGCGTTTTAGAACTTGATATATAAAATAAAAATTCTACAAAGCCAATTTCTGCTGCTATGCAGGGTTGTCTAGACTCAGTTTCAAAACCAACAGGCAGTATGCATTACTTGTCAGCATAACGCTACAACTAAGTACAACTTGATTCGGTTTTTATCTCTCAATAAACACTAGTCAAAACAGCTTCATGTGTCATTATGCTAAAGCGCCATAGGACACCCCCCCTGCAAACATTACCTTCAGGCCAAAATGAGATTATTTTTTAGCATCCCTAGGAGGGAGGATACAAATGATTGAAAGTATTGACCTTGTTTCCTCAACTACAAATGTACCAATGTTTAAAAAAAAATTGCATTTGGGACCAGTTTTTTAAATCTTCCTTGCCCTGGCAGCAAGCACATCAAGGCAGACCACTGGGCAAAAAGAATAGTTTTATTTATTTATATAAAAATCAGCAAAGCTATAAAAGAGAAGTGCTAATAAACAAATTTTTAAGGTTTATATTAATTGCAAAAAAAGGGATGTGGACTGAGAAAAATTAGCCTAACATGCACTCGAAATATCATCGGCTAAAATGTTTTGTTCCAGGTTGAAATGTGCATTGAATCATGGGAAAAGTGGTTTTGTGGCCAGAACGCGATTCCAACCGAAACACGTTCAGGTGGATTCAGGGACCGATGTGGCCTAGGAATACAGTTTAACTTGGGACTGCTGGTACTTTGTGTTAAATTATGTAAAACTAATATTTACTCAAATAAAATTTTTAAAACTTCAAAATTAAAACATATTTATACAATTGCAAATTTTGTCTTTATAGACTAATGCCTGAAATGTCTCTGTTTTCAATTCAAATAGTCTAATTAAAAAACAAAATTCCAACAAGTATTAATTTAAATATACTCATTATATAATTTCTATAATTATCATTTTATGAATAGAAAAGTACTCTTTTTATGGGACTGATGTAAAAAAACTAAAACTTTTTTTAAGGGGTAAATGTTTAATATATAGGTATGTACATGATGAAATCAAACATAAATACAACAGAATATACATTTTTTAACAGTATAAAAAAATTGGTCTGCAGTTAACAGAGTATGAACGGTAGAAACTGAATAGGTCAAATACATAATAGATATTAAATTTATGGGATATCATAGTGACATCACTATGGTGGGCAATAAAACAAATGTTTACCTACCATCAAATAATAATTGATTCTATTAGATTTGATCACTGATACATTATTTATATAAAATAAATAAATGCATATATTTAAATTAATTTGATAACATAAATGAGACATCTTTTTAACGTGATAAAATAAAAAATATATTAAAAAAAATTATTCTCATCTTGTCGAAAATAAATGTAAGTAATAATAGAACTTGTTTAAACTTTTACTTAAGCATCAAAAATAGAATATTAACATCCCAAGTTATTAATTTTAAACCCTCACACGTATGTGATTTTTTTTTGATATACATATTTAGTGGTTTATCCTTTAATATTATTAACAAACTAAATATTATTAAAATAGTATTTTCATAATTACGCAATACTACTTTACGTCAATATTACTTATATTAATATTCTGTGAGACTGTTTTATTTAAAACATTTTTATATAACAGGTTTAAAATTATCTTCATCCTTATCTCTATCCAATTTGGGTACAGTTATAAGAGAGTGCCTTGTGAGTCCCCAGAACTTCTTGGGTTTCAGCCTTGGACTGAGAGAGGTGAACTGCCAGCCAATATGTCTATGGCAAGAACTGCAAACAGCTATACTCCATGCATACCTTTAACAAAAATATATTTATTTTTTAATCATTAAATTTACTTGAAGATTAAACATTTTAACCGTGAATTCTAGGCCCATTAATAAGAACTTACAACACTGAACTTTTTTTAAAAGTAAATACATGCAATCATTATAATTTTTATTTGTAGTAGTTACTGGATATTTTTGAAGAAAAATATAAGGTATAGCTAAATTTAAAAAAAAAAAAAAAAAAAAAATTAAACTGATTAAAACAATTTTAACAAAATGTTGCTATTGTTATGTTGCTTCAATGATGAAAATTTTCAATTCAGTACAGAGTATTTCCTCCTCTTGCATTCAACATGGCATCGTTTTTGTGAGGTTTTAAATGAGGGCTGTGAAATATTTTCATACTCCTCCAATAGGGCCATTCTTAATGCCTACAAATTTTCTAGAATCACCGGGCGATTTTTACCCCTATTTGACAATTCGTCCCAAAGGTGTTCGATAGAGGGTTTAAGTCAGGACTACATGCTGGACACTTCAAACAATGAATTGACGCCCATTCCAAGTAGTCAACGATCCTAGCTGTGAGGGGCCATGCATGGTCATGCATAAAAACAAAACCTTTGCCAATTAAGAGGCATAGATTCTAATAACACATCTTCAGTGAGGGAACCCTCGATGAAGAACAAGTTTGTGTGCCTGCTAAAACCACCACCTTTATAACTTCTCCAGAGTGCAAATGTTACAGGGACATAATGATCTCCTTTTCTTCTTCAACCCCTCTCTTTGGTGTAGGAGACCTCAAACAAAATTTTGACTAATCTGAAAACAAGATTTTAGACTTATCTTGTTCATACCAATTAATGTGATTTCTTGCGAAACTTAACCAAGCTGTTCTGTGCCTTGTCAGAAGTTCTGGACCAGTAGCAGGACTTCTCGCACGTAATCCAGCTTACAGATAGTTTTCACCTTATAGTGTATAAACTGATTAAAATGACTAACATTTCTAACTTGTTAAATTGTTGCATGATCTCAACAGAGGTAGATGACATTCGAAAAATTAAAACGATTATTTTTCTGAGATGTGACACGATGGCCTAACCTATGCCTTCTTGAGAAACTTCCAGGTAGCAATAGAAGACCCTTCGGGAAATTGTTCTGAGAACGTTAAACACCCTGGCCCAAGCTTGACTTAACTTCTTCCATTTTCGTCGAATCTGAATCACTTAAAATCATAAATAAATTTGAAACTTAAAAATGGTACAACTTAAAAAAAAAATCAAACCACCGGAACATTAGAAATAAGCTTTTCAGAAAAACCAACAAAGAAGAGATTGACTATTCAAAGATTTATTTAGAAAATCCAATTGTAAACACAAGTGGGAGATTTCATCTGTTTTATTTATCTATAATCCTTTAGAAAGGGATCAAATATTGTTTTAAGATAATCAATGTTGGATTGTCTAAGGATAATTAAAAATTTTAATGGCATTTTTTTGGCCTCTCATTGCAGTTACTGATTATGAAAACTGAATATAGTGATTTTTTCCTTGTGGTGATAATTAAAAGTAAATGTTTGTTTTGTGTGTTAATGATAAAAATAAAAACTACTGAACCCATTTCGATGAAACACTCACACTTTGTTTAGTGCTGGGCGGGTTTACAGAATATAGAATGAGTGTATAAATGGGCATTAGGATTTACAAAAAGGAGATTTCAGAAATTTGTGGCATCCATTTTCAAAGCTAGTGCTTTATAAAAACAATATTTTAGTATGACCAATAGACCACAAGATAGTTACGTGTGTAAGGCCCATTGAACTTAAGTTGTTTTAATCTTAACCTACATCAGAGATTAAAGATTTTGAAATACCCAGGGAACCAGCTGAACTGAGATGAAGGTAGTGAAGTGAGAGCAACATTTTGCGCATGAAGAAATGTCAAGATGTCATGAAGGAAGCCTTCTGGATTAACATAGGTACTCTGTGTACCTTCAGTAGACATGGCAAAAACATCTTGCTGGAGTCCAATTTGAACTTTACACGACTGACAGTTAAATTGTTGTTGGCACTGTAACATTGTAAATTGTAAACAATGACGTGAAAAATGAAAAACCACTTATAAACTCTTTACCTTTCCCATAAGGCTTAAAAGCCATCTTAGCCTCTGAATAGGACTGTTTAACTTAATAATGAAAAGTCTATCTTCAGCATCAAGATGTGTGGCTAGCCAAAAAGACAATTCTGAAGGATCTTTAGGCCATGCTTGCCTGCCTTTTTCTGCAAAAGAAAGCTAATGTTATTTCCAAAGAATTTTGTTTATAATAACATACATGATCTATTTCATTCATCATGATTTACACCGAAAGTTAATTAAAAAATTACAAATTACATTAATTTGAACATGTAGTTTTATTTAAAGAATAATTAAGAGGCCCTAAAATATTTTAAAAAATGGGTTTGAGTTCAGTTGCATAAAAGAACGTGTAAAACAGGAAAGAAACTTTATAAGCATTCGTTTTTCTTACAAAAATTAAATGCAAAGTTCAGAAAACCTTGCTCTCTTCACAGACCCAGTAGGTAAGGACAAAAGACAACTTTCATGAGTAGAGCCTGATTTATATGAAATAGCATTTTCTTTTTGCTAACACGACCATGGTGACAGATATTTTCCTTATCATACTTTGTCTTTCCTTATCGTACTAGGGCGGTTCAAATTTTATTCTGCATATTTGAAGAATATTGTAAATTTGAAATATTTTTGATTACTTAGAAAAATAAAAATTAAGCAACTAAGAAGAGGGAAAGAGGAAGGCAGGAGTATAAAATTTGATTTGGATTCAAGTTAACTTTCCAAGAACTAAACTTAAACAAACGGACACAATGGAATTCTTGAGTTAAAATCCCTAGCAATGCAGGAATTGTATAACAAAAGAAATTAAAAAAACACCTAGATAAAAATACCAGATTGACTGAATTGGGAGGAAATTAATAAAATTATGCCGTTATGTATACAGAGAATTGACGATTCTGTTATTTTAAGTTCCTACAAACATGCTCCTGTGGTATGCTATCTCTGTTGTCATTGAAAAATCTTTCAAGGTACATACAAATATTTTGTGAGCAATAAACTGCAATTTTACAGAAATTAAATGTATCTAGTCAATTTTAATTCAGATCAGCTATTTATTTTGTATAATCCATATATGTTTAGTCGTCCTACTTGACCATATTACACTTTTCCATGCCAATTTAGATGTAATAGTTTTTATCACCAAAGGTGTCACAGTATAAAAATAAGGTTAAAATAATTGTTGTAGGTGTCTTCTTCCCCTCCGGCTGTGGGCGGTCTCTGTAGGGGTCTAGGGGCGTATGTTGTCCATATAAAATTACTATGGCCGGATATCATAGGATAAGGCAAAAAATATATACTTTAATTAATTATACTTTCATTTTTGAGAATTTTTATTGCATATAAATTTGGGCTCTAGTCAGGACTCAAGATCAAAATCAAAGTGTCATCTGCTTTAACATATAGAAAAGTACCTGATTTTGCTATCCTATTATATCCTTTGGCATCCTATTACCACTCTTTACAAACATAGAAGAAAAATGCTGATTGATAATTATACAAATAAGTTTAATTTTATTCAAATGCATGCAACTCTGTCAAATAACTAAAATTTCAAATGGAGAGCATAAAGAAGTTTCTTTATGCTCTCCATTTGAAATTTTAGTTATTTGACAGAGTGACTCATATATATTCACTGTATACTATACCAAGTATATAATCTTACACAATCTACATCTAAAAAAGACTTATACATTATCTTAATCTTATGTGGTGGTGGGCTCCTCACCATGCTTGCACCCAACCCAACACTTGCGAATAGGAGTTTCTTCTTACATCCCCTATGCCAGTCCCATGGCTACATAACAACCATTCAACATGCAAAGACAAAACTGACAGTATCCCATTTTCTATTGCTTTCCATTTGATAATACACTTCCTAGCCTTATTCTAAAATTATAGATGCTGAGCAAAGATGTCTTGTAGTCTCCAAAATCCTTTTATAAGATCCAAGAGTTTTGATCATGATTTTGAAATCCATAGCAAGTTAGTAATGGGAATACGATGGGAATTATGAAAATAAGCAAACCTTTTCTAAGGCCTTGTTTGAGAAAAGATAGCTCTTTGTCCACCCTATCCATAACTTTGTCCACATCATATTGGTCATAAACCCATTTTGGCCAGTGTGTCAATTGTGCTTCTCGATGCCCACATCTGAAATAAAAATAAGGAATATAGTATCTTATATATTATGTTATTATAATTTATATACTTGGCTTTATGTGTGCCTCTAACTCTACTGAGAGATGAGTAATGAAGATTAGACAATGGTTTTGGAAGAATTATCTCTGGTAAAATTTCCACATCACCAATTAAATACCTTAAAAAATATAAATAAATAAAATAATAAATAAAAAAATTGTTTTTTAATACAAAACTTTTATTTTTAATTGGTAGGTGTGTGTGTTTTATTAAACTTTATTCTACACGCTCCATTTAAATCTTAATAACATTGGCATAACATTTTTGACCAATTTACAATTCGATTGTACCATTGTTTTCAGTGTAACAAATCCTTTACAATGATGTGTCAGGAGTATAGGGTCGTATTTGAAATTTTGAAGTTGAACTGGGCCTGAGATATCCTGTCTGACTTTTCTTAACTTAAAAAGAAAAGTAATAATTACAATCCTGGTCATAGTTATTTTCACAACTTACATTTGATGTAACATATACAAAAGTATGTATATAACACTAAGTACAAACATTATATTCAGAACTATTATTTGGAAAAAATTGTCTAAATGGTATTTTGAACTAAAATTTATACAAACCCTCCATTACTTCTTCTTGTATTTATTAATCGAAATCTCTGCCTTCCTTTCGCTCTTATACAGACAGTATCGATATCACTGCAAAACTCATAAATTTCTGCAGTTGTACCATAAATTTCCACATCAGCCTCTTGGCATTGGTGGTATCTGAAACATTACTCAATAAATAAGATCCAATTAAGGTAATTTATTAAAACTAGAATATTCTGTTCAACATTTTTTTTAAACTCACTAAATTCACTAATTGCGTGGTCTGCTTGACCAATTAATATATTACAATTAATTAAGGTTTTTAGTTGAGATAAAAAAGGAGTAAAAATGGCAAAAAAGGGGAGAAAATTCAAAAGGTGGGGTTGAGATGGGAAGTTAGTGTCCGAGTGGATCGAGGTCACTATAGCTCAAGTGGTAGAGCCTATCTAGCCGAAGATCGTGGGTTCGAATCCCGCTCGTGCCATTGACTTTTTTATCTCAACTAAAAACCTTAATTAATTGTATTTTTAACACTCACCTGTTAGCGACACATCCGAAAGTGTGATTTCCTTCTACACAATCCCGCAACATAGATGTTCTTGATACATCTCGAACTGCCAAAGGAAAAGTTTGTCCTGGTAAGAGGGTCCCATATGACCTTGGAAGCAATGGTAATGATGTAAATGATCCTTCAGAGAGAATGACTCTTCCACTCACAGATTCCAAATTATCTCCTAGATACTAACAGTAAGGGAGAAATATTAATATATGATGTTTCAATATTGATAAATGTTTTATACTGAATGAGCAGGAGGGAGATCTTCGTCGAATGTTTCAGTCGCTTCACCATTTTCATCAGTGATTTCCATAGCTGCGTTGGGAGGAGAATCTGATGCTCTGAAAACTCCTTCTAAGGGATATCTCACAATGTCATAACCAGACATTTCCTCATCTGTAGATGCTAAAAATAGATAAGAAGTAAATTTCTCAATTCTTTGGTGTAATACTGTAATTTGAAGAAACTTCTTAACATATTTTCTAGTTTTAAGAATTCAAAGTGAAATGCAGGAAAACAGTAACACAAAAAAATTAGATTATAAATCCACAAGATAATTTACAAGAAAAAAAATGAAATTTGGAAGGTGCCACCAAAGACTGCACCAAGACATTGATGTTCACAAAATCTCATAAGTGTGCAGCTTCATTTATGTTAACATGCTCAGTTTAAAATGAGTGAGTTTTGTTTCTTTTATGGACTATGACCAACGGTAAATAAACAGAGAGCAGTTATTTATTATCCCCATTTCAACCCATATTTATTATTCCCCAATACCCCATTTCAACTACACTGATAATTTTAAATTATCCTGAGGGTTTAATAGCCCTTCATAATGGACCAATGGAAATAAGATAAGAAGACCATCCTCAATTTTTTGGCATCTTACAGAAATTTGAAGAAACTTCTGAACATAGTTTTGAATGTTAAATATTCAAAGTGAAATATGGAATGCAGGAAAACAGTAACACTAGAAAGTCTTAACTGTAAACCCACACAATTTTCACCAGACTTTTAACCAAAGATGGCACCCAGATTGTTCATTAATTGATATCTTATAAAATCCCATAAGTGAGCAGCTTCACGCCTGTTTACATGCTGCAAGTGTAAAATTTGAACAGAGATTATATAATCTAGGTTGTTGATTATTTTTGTTACCTAAAGCAGTGATTTTTTTTGTGCCATATTTTTCAGTGGCTTTGCTAGGGACAGAAGGACGTGGTCTGAAGTGCAGTGCGATTTAACTATATAGCATAAAAAATAATTGGAGTTTTAGTTTACAAAAATAACCAACAATCTACATTATAAAATATTTTTACCACCACATTAAATTAATAAAAATAATTGGATAAGAGTTAGTTATTAGTATAAATGATGTGAGGTGGGGTGAGTATGGCAATTCAATTTTCGGAAAAGTGTTGCAGAGAAGGCTTTTTGAATGTTGTTTTGTTTTTTCAGGATCCCACTTCAACTGGACATCAGCCATATGGTGCAATACGGAAAATAATTTCAATTAATTATTCTTTTTATCTAAGGTCTTGATTGAAATGCAAAAGCCAGTGTCATGAATAGCATTCAAACCCACGACCTTTGGCTCAATACGCTGCTGCTCTGCCACTTGAGCTATAACGACTTCGATCCACTCGGGCACCAACTCCTCATCTCAACCTACAACCTTTCAAATTTTCCCTCTTTTTGCCTTTTTTTTTTTTTTTTTTTTTCAAATGTCGTGTTATCAGGATTCAATTCTCAGCGACATATGAAGTGGCCGGGGAGCTGTTAGTGAAGTGATTGCTCCTTTAATTATTATTATGTTGGATTTGTGAGGAGCAGTCAAGAATGAGGTAGTTTAGAAAAACACCTCTTTCCATTTTTTTAAACCTTTAGTCAGGTCATCTTCAGGGCATAAAGTGTGGTGCTATTCTTGTGGTGTCATATTAGTGTTGTGTGAAATTGATGTGACAATTGGTGTCTGATTCTTGACCACTCCTCACGAATCTAACGAATTATTAAACAACCGGTCACTAAAACATACATTTATTTCAATTATTCAGCATTCAATAAAAATTGACATCACTCTTAAGACAATTATTGGTTGATGGTTTTTCACTTGTTTGTTCAAAAAAGTAGTTTCATTATAGTATTTTTATCTAAGGTCTTGGTTGAGAAATGGCAAAAAGAGGGAAAATTTCAAAGGTTGTAGGTTGACATGAAGAGTTGGTGTCCGAGTGGATTGGTCATGATAGCTCAAAGCCTCAAGTATTGAGCCGAAGGTCGTGTGTTCGAATCCCATTCATGACACTGGCCTTTTCATCTCAATCAAGACCTTAGATAAAAAGAATAATTGATTAAAATAATTAATATGGTCAATTATGACTGCTAAACATATATGGTTTAATAGAGAAAATAATATTCAAATAAAAGTAGAAAATATTGAATTATGAATGATCAGTATTAGACAAGTCTTAATGTCTTGTTCATAATGGTCAAATGATAGTAAGACACATTTGTGATAAGATCAATGAATTGTTGTACATACTAATGTTACAAAAGGCGGAAAAATCCAGTAATATCCATTCCAGATATCGTTTTAAGGTGTGAAAACCTTTTTTTATTACTCTTTATCGGACATCGAATAAAACAGGAATTCATAACATTAATATTACCTGTGATTAGATCAGAACGTTTTCTATTATTTACAATGTGTGAACGCGTTTGACTAACATGACATCATAAACAATGCCTTGAATAATTAACATTTTATAGGGACGAATCGTCGATCACATGGCGCGAATATATAAAGAAAACTGGTCAACAAGGAAAAGTGAAACGATTGCACCAAATGGTGTACGCAGTTGGTGAAATTGTCGATACCTGTCTCATTAGAATCGTCGTCCATTTCATTCAGCAGTAGAAATAATGGGAAAAGAAATACGATCCGATTGACCTGTGAAGTCGGCGAAAGCCTGTGCAAGTAAATAACAATTTAACAAAAAAAATGACAGAAAACCTGAGAGTTAATTGTAAATGTGGGATAATTACAAAAATAAACACGGGCTGGACTGTCGAGGGTGTATAACCGTCGCTACGCCTTCTTGTTTCTTGTCATCAGTCTCGTCTTGTAAATGGCGGTGTTCCAAACTCGGTTAATGTAAACATTTTTATTTTTTTTTGCTGGATTTTTTTTTTTGAATTTTGTTCCCTGGAAAAATAAAATATGTTGAAAACACTTATAAAACGAATGAAGACGAAGTTAAGTTGCCGTAAAGAATCGAACTTTGTTGGAAATGATTGGTACAGTTCGGTACTCTAATTTTACATTGTTTTGGGAACGTAACTGAACGAACGGGAGGACGAGAATTTCCCGAGTTATGTAATTTATTTGTTTTTAGTTTAAACATGTTAGATCGGAACAACAGTACAATCGTAACCCGTTCGGCGGCGAAAAGAAGGAAAATCGAAGAAGACGATGACCGATACCAGAACTCTGCCGTCAAGACGAGCTTGCTCAGCTTGTCGGACGACGTCCTCCTTATTATATTCTCTTATCTACCTCCGGCGGATCTCCTTTCTCTAAGCAAGTAAGTCGAATCCGTTCAAAAAAAAAAAAAATAAAAAAAATAAAATTTAAACCTTTCTAAAAAAAAGTACATAGTAAGACCTAAAAAGTCGTTATCTGATATTGCCATAAATACAAAAATTGAATCGCCCTTCTGGCTACTTTCATCATTACATTTATCATCTCAAACTGAATTAAAAGTATAAACATTAAAATAGTAAAGAGTACGAGAGCAAATTCAATTTTAAAAAATTCAAGAAGCATATGTCCTTTTTATTTCATAAATGATTTCATTTTTCTTCATATCATTGCATTCTACTAATCTATTTATATAAAACAGTTCCGGGACTGACTGACAGACAACACACAGACCAAACCGCCGGAACTAAAGGGCTGAAATTTGGACAGTGAATTCCTATAATGACATGAATAGCTGCTAAGAAAGGATTTTATGAAATTCCATCCCCAAGGGGATCATTTGGACAATTTTTTACCATTTGTAGACTGAAGTGAACTGAAGAAAAGAATTTGAGAATGAGGCATAATATAAGAAAGTCATGCAAGCGCTGCATTAGAAAGGTACATTAAAACAGAGTCCCAGCTGACAAAACACAGACCAAACTGTGGGCTCTAAGGGGCTGTAATTTCGACAGTGCATTCATATAATGACATGGATAGCCGCTAAGAAAGGACGTTATGAAATTCCATCCCCAAGAGGATCAAATAGACCATTTTTTACCATTTGTAGACTGAAGTGAACTGAAGAAAAGAATTTGAGAAATGAGGCATTATATTAGAAAACCATGCGAGCACTGCAACGCATTAAAAACGTACATTAAAACAGAATCCCAGCTGACAAAGCACAGACCAAACTGCTGGTTCTAAGGGGCCGAATCGACAGTGCATTCCTATAATGGCATGGGTAGTCGCTAAGAAAGGATTTTATGAAATTCCATCCCCAAGGGGATCATATAGACAATTTTTTACCAAGTATAGACCTGGAGTGAACTGAAAAAGAGAAGAATTTGAGAAACGAGACATTACATTAGAAAGCCATACGAGCACTCTGCATCACATTAGAAAGGTACATTAAAACAGAATCCTGCATGGACGAAGTTATTTGTTTATACTATGCATATACAATGTCATAGGCAAAGTCCAGCCTAGAGGGGACAGCTCTCCACTTTTCACGCGGCTAGTCCGACCTCTCAGAGTGGGATGCTGAGCGGGGTCGGAGCCACAACCTTGAGTACTCAACTACTTTTTTCAGCCTAGTTTTGTTCCAGTATTGTTTGGTTAAATAAATTGTTTCCTATATTCAAATAAAAGGTATTATTAAGATATGGACAAAATCCGTAGAAATATTTGGCAGTGACAACAAATTTATCTTTGTTTTTGGTTGAGATGAAAAATTAGTCCACGAGTGGGATTTGAACCCACGAACTTCGGCTGAATAAAAGTATTGAGAGTGTTCGACCTCTCATTTGCAACACCCAGTTAGTTGCCCTTCTGTATGACAGGAACTACTTCACTACTTTTTTTCAATTTTATTGATAAATTATGTGGGCTAAATAACATTTAATAACTTTGATTCATCGATTTATTTTGATTTTTCAGATGTTGTCAAAGAGTGGCGAACGTCGTCTGTGACAGAAGTCTATGGGAAAGGGTTGATTTGCGTAAAACAAGGTTAACACTCGGAGAACTAGAAAATTACACAAGATACTTGCAAAAGAACACTAAATTTTTGGCTACAAGGGGGTTTGAAGAAGCTCCATTAATAGATCCTCGTAAGGCGACCATTTCAAAGGATGTTTTAAAAAGTATTATTAAAAATGCGCCGAACCTGGAGACATTGATTATGGAAAATCATGCTATAGATTGTGTCAAGGTATGTAATGCACACTGCAATAATGATTTCTTTTAATTCAAATTTTATAATTGCTACAGGTGACTTTAGAGGAGTTTCCACCGAATCTTTTGGTCTTGAGAATGCACAAATGCCAGATGATCCGAATGCCTCAGGAAAGGTCGTATTTCTACAAATTGGACAAAGTTCTTCCACACCTTAAGGCACTTTTCACTTTCGTCTTCCCTTAAATTAATATTGTGGGATAATTTAATTAATTCAATTTTGGTTATCAGGTTTTGGACTTAACCGATTGTATTTGGTTTGTGCCACACACCCTTCTTGCCCTTAGTAAAAGCCCTAAACTTGAACAGCTGATCCTAAAAGGATGTAATGTAACAGAATGCTTACCTTATGCAAGCCTTGCTGCCAATTTTGGTTTTTCTGTTCTCAAGGTATATTTTTAGATTGAACTATTAACAAAAATTAATTGCACTTCCCAGAGAATTGTCAAATATTATTTAAGTGCATAATTCAATTAAATAATTCAGGTTGATTTAGCTAGCGATTTACAGACTAAGAAGTACATTTTTTAAAAGAACTTGTAAGCATCTTAAAAACAAATTAAATTAAAAGAAAATGACTAATTAGTTAATATTAAGATAGTTTTTCTTAGATGCAACTGGTTTTGCACCAAAAATTAAATCAGAAAACTAACTTATTACTTTATAATACTATATTGAAAAACAATGGAGATTATAAAATTGTAATAATTATGTTAATAGTAATGAAACAAATATTATTTATATATAAAATATTATATTATTTTCTTAAATTAATTGTTAAGTGTTAGTTGTTTATCCATACTTTTTTAAAATTAGTTTTATATTTTTTATTGCTATCCTATAAATAAATTACTTCTTTTTTAGACCCTTGACCTTAGGAATACAAGTGTTACTGATATCGAAGTAACCTGTTTTAATCGGACCACATCATTAAGGAATCTTTATCTTGGTGCTTATCCAGGAGATGCCAATGAAGATTCACACGTAACGGATTATAGCATCACTACTTTTGGAGGTGGAGTTCAGGAGTACGGCGATCGCGGGTTTCGGGAGAGAGGTGCTATTGGTATCGATATAAGAGATGAAGTCGTAATTATCGATGTCAGTGCTTGCCCTCGCCCTATATGTCGTCTAGAATCTTTGATACTTCAAAATTATCCTGGAATAACGGATCGATCTCTTAACCATGCAGTGACATCTATGCCGGACCTAAAGTTTCTTGATGTATCCCATACTGGTGTTACTAGAACTGGAGTACAAACATTTCGAGAATCCAGACCTGAAGTTAAACTTATTTCCACACTCGTCTGATACTACATATGTACTCATACTACTATACTATATAAAACTATTATACAATATTGTACAATACAATCAAATTTTTATTTATTTGTTTATTTCTTAGAGTATAAATAATTACAACCAGTTATTTATTTTTAAAGTTGAATTCTGTAATAATTGCCTTCTTTGTGTAGGTTGTCTAAATCAGGTGTTAATGGATTTTTGTGATGAGTATTGGTCGTACAACTGTTTGTCATAAATATATATGTATATTCTACCATTTGCTTTTTACTTGAATTTATGTACATAGTGTAATTAAGATAAAAAATATTCATAATAACATTCTAGTTTAATATAAATATATGATTATTATGCATATGTGATAAAGCATCAAGCAATTCCAAAAATTAGTGACACTTGTTGGTACTAACAAAATCTATTGTAAAATGTTGCATTCATTGGGTTTTTATGTGGAAGATAATATTATATTGGTTGAATATGTAGTGTTAGTATAAAGTAGTACTATAATTAAAATTGTATTTGAAAAGTGAAATTTTCAGATAGAGAATTAATGTTAGCAAGTATTCAAAATATTTTTACAATTAACACTGCCATTTTTCTTTAGAGAATCTAGTGACTATTACATTCCAGAAAATAAAAACTTCATTTTGACATAGCATTTAATCACTTAGTCCAAGGACAATTTTGCATTCACAATTTTAATGATTCAATTGTATATTTATATTTATTTTGAACCAAATGCATAATAGAGATTAATGTTCTTAGTGCATAAACATACACATTTACTCACTGAATAATTAAATAAAATATACATAAAGATATGTAAAAAATATGTAATATATGCATAGTTTGAAGTAATTTTATTGTTTGAAATCGCTGCAATATCTTAATTTATAATTTAATTTACAGGAATGAAAATTTTGTAATTTATTGCAGAGTTTAAATTTTCTGTCATAAGAAGCACCAATTATTTTTTTAAACATATACGCTTGTAGAAAAAACAAACATATTTTTTGGTTTATTTCAAACTATGTATGTATTTTTAGTGTTATATTCATTACAACACACTTATTTTAATGTAATTAATGAAATCCATTGGTTTTAATAAACATTATTTAATTATAATGGTTTGAAAGAAAATTCACAAAAACACCAGAAAATCATTTAGTGATTACTATCTACTAATCCAGTCAGATCCGGACCAGTACTAATCAATACAATCTACTAAATGATTCCCAGTGTTTTGGTGAATTTTCTTTCAAACTATCATAATTAAATAATTTTTATTCAAATTTATGGATTTCTGATTTTGTTTAATTTGGTTTACATTACAATAAGTATGTTGTAATTAATAACGATAAAAACAAATATAAATAATTTGAAATAAACAACAAAATATGTAAGAGTGCATGTTTTTTTGTTCTTGAGTGTATATATTTTTTCAGTGAATTGAAATATAATATGAATACCATAAATGAATATTGAATAATAATTTATGTACATATATACAAATTTCATTTGTATTAAAAAACAAAACAAAAAAAAAACAGGTTTTACTACAGTTAAATTAGTAAAATGTAAATAATATAAATATTATACAAGTGCTTATTAAAAATGATTTCAAGCTATGAAAAATGTGATTAATTAAAATTTAATTAATTCTATGTAGAGTTTGATTAAACCCTGTTGATGCGCAAACATTTTTTCCTCTATAAATTAACTTCATATTACGAAAATAAATTATATAGATTTCGGTTGTGAACAGAGAAATTGCGTGTAAAGATTTATTTTTAGAAGTAAATTTCTCACCAGAGTTCGATTTTGACGGAGGGAAATTTTTAAGGGAAAAGAGCGACATCCTCTGTTACCAGTTACTTGTCATTCTGGACTTCTGGTGGTGAACAGTCATTCTAAAACGTCGGACTAAGAAATTTCAGTTTTGTTTACCGTCGAAGGAAAATGTTTATAGTTCAATTTTAATTTTAAAAATTTAATATCTAAAAATTGCTTAAAATGGAAGCTGGTTTGGTAACAGCTTTTAATGAGATGTAATAATATTTCTACTTGTAATATTGACATTACAAAAACATGACATTTGTTTTATATCAGTCATTAAATTGTTTTAGAATCAACAACGAAAACGTCACTGGATGCGTTTTAACTAATCCTCAGGGGCTTTGTATGTTATGTAAGTAAAGGGAAATAAATATAAAAAATATAGAATTCATGCGGTCGATTATAATTTGGTAATCAATTTTCCAATTAGCTAGCCCAAATTTGAAGCCTGAAGTTAGTGGGCTGGTGTCTGCAATTTCTCAGCATGCTGCAAAATTGGAGGATAGTGATGGACCGCCCATTATTACTCTTGAAGGAGACAACAGGTTTTATAAAATTATCATACAACAATTACTATTCTAGCTGATCTGTTTCTAACTATTATTACTGCATACAATAAAGTATTAAGTTTGTAACAATTAATTTTCAATTTTTTAAATTGGACTTCTCATGACTTGCCTAGAGATCAAGTACCCTGGTTTTACAGCAATCTGAGGTTGGACTTTGTATTATTTGGTCCCACCCATTCAGTTAGACCATTTCAGCCCACAAAATGTAAAAGTTCTAGATTAAACACAATCACATTTTTAAATATGTACTTTTTTTTTTCTTTGCACATACCATTCACTCCTTATCTATGGTGTACTGGTCATTTAAACATCACCCTACACACAAAATGAACTTAAATAAGGGAAAGTTGATGGTACTCTATAAAAAAACCCTTCACACTACTTTTATGCTAGTTTTTACTTTTGATCGTGTGAAACATTTAAAAAATATGTGCTAACTCGCACCTATTTTCAAGCACGGCTCTGAAAACATGTTACATTCCTACTTTATCACTGTAGGAGTCAATACATGATAATCTTTTATCGGTTATTTAATTAATTGACTGTTAATTATTATTTCCAATTTTTATGCAGACGGTTGGGAAGAAAAATGTGTCACAAGCGGGACTTGCAGCCATGACCACTTGAGCTATCATGACCTCGATCCCCCAAGACACCAACTTCTCTTTTCAACCGGCTATCATTTAAATTTCCCCTTTATTGCCAATTTTCTAACCTCAGAGCCTCGTTTAGTTGCATTACAATGTATGATTAGCAACGTGGCATTTTTGATGTAAGGATAACACAATTTGATTATAATTATTTCATTAGTTATGCTAATTATTATTTCTAATTTTATGCAATGATGGTTGAGAAGAAAAATTACTGTCACGAGCGGGACTTGAAGCCATGACCTTTGACTCAATACGCCGGTGCTCTAACCACTTGAACTATCGTGACGCTAATTTTTCTTCTCAAATGTCTTTGCATAAAAATTGGAAATCTTTCATCGAGTCATAAAATACATATCCAGCTGCCCTTGGATGCACTGAAACACTTGTATGATATGTATTAAGTGTCCCTGTTTTAGTTCATGTCATTGAATATGGATTATCTGTGATAAAAGCTTTTCCTACAATTTTCCTAGCAGTCTGTCACTGTTTTTCCTTTGTTATAATAAAACAACCGATTAAATGTCAAAAACATACTATTTTTTGTGTTTTAATTAATAAAACTTTTATAAAAACACATGATTTCGATCAAGATTGACAAATAAAAACACCTCAACTAATCCCTTTTCAGAGATATAATAAAAGTTGATTTAAAACAAAAGATGGATACAATAAAATTATTGAAAAACGCAATGTTCATTACATAAGACATCAAGAAATCATATTTTACACGCCAGACACATTATGTCACATCACACTTAATTATTACACACTATTTTACACACTATTACCACAAAAAAATCAATTGTTTGGAATTGTTTGCTATATATAATAAAATTCTAGTATTCATAAAATCGATGATATTGAAAGTAAAGATTTTGGTTAGGAGAAATGTGGCTCTTAACTGCCCTCCATTCATATTTATAGTTTGTTATAAGTAAAGTGAATTTAAAAAAAATATACTTTAAAATATCACAACAATCACAAGCATAAAATAGTAATAATAGATTATGAAATTATGTATTTAATTTTTAAATTAATGCATGTATGTATTTAGTAGTCATAATTGACTGTATTTATTCAGATATCGTGAGATACGATATCTGAATAACTATTGATTAACGTTCACTAATCTCTACACATTTGACTGTATTATTTATTTAAATTAATTATACTTTTAATCTAAGGTCTTTTGGTTGAGATGAAAAAACGAGAATGGAATCCTGATTTCAAATATTTGAAAATATGGCAAAGAGGTAAAATTAGAAAAGTTGTTGGTTGAGATAAGGAGAGTGTATGAGTGGATAGAGTACATGATAGTTCAAGTGGTTATAGCAGTGGCATATTGAGCCGAAGGTCACGGGTTCGAATCCCGCTCATGACACATTTGCTTTTTCATCTCTACTGAGGCTTTAGATTAAGAGTATAATTTATTTTTGAAATTTAAAACCAATCTAATTTTCAGAATGTGCCTGATTCTTACTGAAGGAGGATATACAACGACAATTTTTAAGAAAACATCGCATCAGTTTTGAATTTTTCCTAAATGTCTCTTACTATTAAATTGGTAAATATGTATGTAAATTAATATGTATTTTTAACATTACTAGAATAAGGTTTGTGTATGCGTTCCTGTAATAAATCAATTTTTGTCCCTTGCATAGATTAATTTCAGTGGTTTTTATTCCTTTGTCAGACTTATAAAAACATATCGATGTAAGACTGAAATCAATTAATCAAATTAACTATTCAGAAATTGTGAGATGTGGTCTGGTGTACACCAGACCGCATCTCACGATTTCTCAATAATTATCGATCAACAGTCACTAATCACCAAATCATATTAACATTGTATGTATTAATCAAAAAACATTCCATTGATGAAAAAGGCCAAGATGTTTGATTTTTATTATGTTCTCTTCCTATATCAGGAATTATTAACCACCTTTGGTTAAAACAAGAAATCAATTTAATTACTATTTTTTCTTAATATTTTCTGAAGTCGTGAGGAGAGGTCAAGAATGAAACATTTAGAAAAACACCTTTTTTCATTTTTTTTTGCCGACGTTTGACCTTTATTCAGGACATCTTCAGAGGCTGGTTGAATTACAAAACATACCGATTGGCAAAAAAATCAATCAACATAATGTATGAAATACTCGGTTCAAAATTAATTGAAACAGGAAAAAAAATGAAAAAGTTTTTTTCTTCTTTTTTCGTTAAATACTTTATTCTTCACTTCTCCTCACATCAACAAATTATTGAACTGGTCATATTTTCTGAAAATTTATGTCGGTCATATTTTTTTTCCTTTTCAATTAATTTTGAACCGAGTATTTCATACATCATGTTGATTGATTTTTTTTCCAATCAGTATGTTTTGTAATTCACCCAGGCCCTGAAGATGTCCTGAATAAAGGTCAAACGTCGGCAAAAAAAAAAAAAAAAAAAAATGCTTTTGTGCTGCAGTATATTTAGAAATTTTAGTTTACTGAAAATTGGTAATTGCCAGCCCATTTATTCTCAACCGTAGGTAGACTAGGATACAATAATAAATATTATTATTTATATAATAATAATAAATATTGACTGCAGTGGAAATTCTTATATTAAAACTAACTTCTTGCCATGATAAGCCGGATTAACTTACCATGGCAACCATCTCAGCAATGCAAAATAATATTATAAACGTGAAGGAAAAAGTTGACTACAGTTATCTTGAAATTATATATAAACCTGGTTTAATAAATATTTTATTTATTTACATTGTACAAGTTAAAAGAACTATTCCATTTTAATAGACCTCCTTCTGTATTTGCGGTAACCGATCGTGACAAGATCCGATTCTTCATAATACCATACTGAAAGTGTCATGCTAAATAACACAACTCCAATTCCCAAATGTATAACCTTTGAACTTTCGTAGTACATATACTAAAACAAAAATGTTTGTTTTTAACAATTATACTGAGCATAATGTAAAATACATACTTCCGACAATAATGTCACCAATCCAGAAATTAGCACCATAATCAGGAATAAAGGGCTGGGTATGATACCTTTAAGTGGTTTGAATTCTGTCCCTTCGTATCTTTTATGTATAAATCTCACACTGAAATAATACTTATTAAAATTTCTCTTGTCTCGTTTAACTTAATTTTCAGCCGTTAATTAAAACATACCTGTGAATTATTCTAGCAGCCATGTTACAACAATTTGCAATTATGAAACCAACACTGCCAAAAAGAGTTGTAAGCAGCCAAGATATTAACAAAAAGCTAGCACTTAGATAAGCCATTATGTGGTTATACCTGAAAAAAAAATGCATATTTCATCCTGGACCTATCTCTAATAAAATTCTATTTTCTTTAATTTTAAATCAAATTAATTTTTGTATTGGTACTCACCTATCAATCTGATTTGCATTCATGGTGGCGAGAGCATAACATTCAGTCGTACCATTAAGAGCGAGTAGTAAAACAGCAAAGCAATGAGTTCGGAGAAGAAGTGTTGCCAAGCTGTCTGAAAGGGCTGAACCTCCATAAAACATTAGCAAGAGTCTCGAATATCCTTGTCCAAAACACACAACAATAATACCAAGGCTGGTGACACACTTCAATAATCCCTTAAGTACAAATGCAGCCTCAGCCATTTGAATCTATTTAAAAAAAAAAAATTCTTTTAACAGTAAAAATTTTCTAGATATGGGACTTACACTATTCTGTTCGTTTATCTGTTTATCCCTGTAAACCAGTTGTGAGAAGTAAAAATAGGCACTTTCTTCTATTGGCCGGAATAGAAATCTTGCAGCTAAAGACCCTAAATTGTTAACCACATCGTAAATACCTTGTTCGTAAAAGGTCAATACAGCAAAAAGGGTCATAACGTAACGTTCTCCTTCTGTTAATATTTGTTTTAAAATCCCTTGTTTGAGAAAGCTCCAAGTGAGTATGCATAATTTCCAATCGACAGGAGCCTTAAAAATTATAATAAAATAATAATTGTCAAAACAGAATGATAAAAAATCTATTTACCTGTCCAGGCAACTTTTTTGGAAGAAAATCCTTCAGACTTTTAAAAGGGAAATCATCAGGAGATGACGGCATGTCTTTTCTTTGTTGTAAATAATTGTGAAAATAAAAACAATATGCCAAGGCGTAACAAATCTGAGCAATGATCTGCGCTATTGAAAATGCAACAACAGCTGCTGAAGGCTTCCAAAGAACCAGACACGTAAACGTAATTGTTCGTATTGAAACACTGAATGTTTCAATTAACACCTGTTGTATGAAGTCATTTTAAAATGTAGATGCAATTAGATAAGTGAAACATTTCTGAAAATTTTAACTCACCCTCAGCTTTACGAACAAAAATGCCTGGGATACCAAACATAACGGCTCAACGCACATTGCGAGAATACAACTGATGCAAATCGACCAAACACCGAGGGCGTAATGAGTCGTTATTTCTGGCCCTGGGGCCGATAGAACATATAGCCATATCCACCCAAATAATATGCATTGTACTGCACACAGTGGCACCCTAAACATTCAAAATCTCATTTTTCTTCAACAAACCCTATTACCAATGATTATTTCTTAAGTCACCTTAAATTATAACATAATTTTAATTATCAATTCTGAGAATAAGATCTTAATTTTTATAAATGTCAAGAATTTTGACATAAAATGTCTTATAATGTTATGATGGTTTCTATTAAAATTGCTTCAGATCAAATGTTAATTTTATTTAATTCTTTCTGAAGCACTATTTTTATAAATTTATTTATAATTTCAATAAAACTCGTACAAAAGATCTACCATCCACAATGGAATACAAACCAGTTCATCAGTCTGTTAGTGATATCCAAAAGAGTAATTGTATTAGACTTTTGATCTTAGAGTTCAATCAAAATAAAAGCCGAAAAGGAGGAAAAATGAAGATAAAAATTGAATACTGGCATTACCCTTGTTAAATTACATATTAGTTAAATTTGTTATTCAATAATAACACAAAAATTATCATTGCATATACATTGTTAAAGCTTTGCATGTTAATTAGTTATTGGGGTTGAAATAAGTTTCTTGTTTGGTAGTTTCCTTTAATAATTGGTTTGGATTGTAAGGCGTATTCCAGCATTTTGCCTTCTTTAGTGAAGTTTGATTTTTTTTTACTTACTCAGGTCCCTTTTAAAAGTAACACTAAATCATTAATGAAACAGAAATGCCAAATTCATCCGACAGACCAAAGCAAGGATCAGTCAAAGGATAAATGGAAAGTACCAAACATGATCACACCCCACAGACCTCAACAAGAAATTTCACAATGAAGTAAGTTAGTCAAATGACTATTTGTGTTATTTTTTTGTTATTTAATGCACCAAAAGATGCTATAAATTTTTATTTTGCTAAGCAGTAAAAAATAAAATAAATAAAAACTTATGTGACAAGAAAACATGGTAAATAATGCCATTTAAGTAATAACTGTTTTATTTAAAAGCCAACATACAAATGTTGAATGGAAAACAATTATTTTTGGTTATAATATGTAATTACATATCATGGCAGGTTTGGCACAGCACTATTCTTCCAAACATACCCTTCTCATGATATAAAGCACTCACCCTCTCTTTAAACATATTTATGAGAACTAGAAAAAGAATTGCAAAAATCCTAATGTGTCCAATAAAAAAACACACTTTGCATTGACTATAAAAACAACAAAAACCTTGCTTCAAATGGATTTTGCAGAACAGTTTTACTTAATTTTTAACCTACTTATTTATAACAAAATCCATTTTCTTATAACAATTTAATAAAAATAAAAATTAAACAAAAATAAAACAACAACTTTCTTAAAGTATTAAAAAAATTAAATTTATGAAACAAAGAAAAGGAAATTGTACTTACATAGATTATTGTATAAACATATTTCTTTTTAAGATAGTGTAATTACTTAAAATCAAATTCAGAGATAAATTGTGTTGTACATAAATGTCTTTCCTAGTTAACAAACAAAAGAAGTCATGGTGTACAAAAATACTTTCAGATTGTATATTAACAGTATTTATCATACATTCTTGAATTTGTTTTTCATCTTCAGAAGAAAGTACTTAAAACATATGCAGATACCTTCTTTCTTGTACTGTTTGCTATACATCATAATATATTTCAGAATGGTAACAACAGGAATGTTTAAAATAAGCTCTTTAACCTACTGTTTAAAACGTCTTTTTTTAATACCCTTTTTCCGTTTACTTAGGTTAAGAGCATTGAATTTTTGTCAATATTCCTTGTTTTTTTTTTCTGAGCCATCGTTTTTTGAAATTCTTTTGTGATAGTTTTGAGCTAATGAATTTATAATAGATATCACAAAATATCCTACCATCACTAAAACGAACATTTCAAATACCATTCCTATCGGATTACCACTCGATTCAGTATTGGTCTGGGAACCTCGATGCAATTTAGCTCTTTGCATTTGCAACATTTTTTCCAAAACATTCTGTAGCTTATCACCAAAAGCCGGGAGTTTACCCAATATGTCCATCAGCACACTTATCAAAACATCACTAAAGGCGACTATCACGAACATAGTTTGAATCATCATTTTAATTACAGCTTTCCCAATAAGGGTCGCTCCAAAAAATGTCCAAAAAGGAACCAAGAAATGTCCGCATGTTATTCCTGCGAGATCAAATAACGGATTCGGAATTGATGCACACACTAATATGCCTACAAAACCTACTTTATTTACAAGATCTTCTACTAATAATTTAACTTTGTCGAGTGTGCTCATACTGCTTTTATCTTTTTTCTTTTTTTGAAGCTCTTCAAATTCTTTGAGGTCTTCGTCGTCTTCGGGATCGTGTCCAGAGAGTCTTGCTGCACGTGCCATAAAGTACGGCGGCAATTCGCCTAACGCTGTTCCTGCGCCCCACATGATCGCTTCGAGGTGGACTTTACGAATAATATTCCATATGCTAACAGTCCAGTTGGTGTCTATAGTGTCTGGGCAGATTATATCATCTGGGTAAGGCGGTTCAGGAAAGTTAAGCCCACCACACTCGTAGGCGGCTAGAGTGACGGATGCTATATGAGGGCCGAGGTACAGCAGAAATGTGTGTAGACCCGTTCCAAGACCGATAGAAGACAGTACCCCCAATCCGAGCCAATACGCGCTCCAAAATATTTTTTTCTTAGCAAATTGTAAAAATGATTGATGCGGTCCATGGATGTTCATTAAAACAGTCAAAACCAATAGCACTAGACTCCCCAAAACTAAGCACTTGCGATACTGTAATGTTCTCGTACCAAAGTTATAAATGTTAATAGTAAACTCTTGGAGGAAATACAGCGTTGTTGTGAATGGCCTCCTCCAGAGAACAAGGTTTTCTCGTTCTTCTCTCAGCACTGATTTTGACACAACTTTTATCTCCTTGTTGCTCTCCCCGTTTGAAGCCAACTCTCCTTTCCTCTTCATTATATTGTTCAGCTTCTGGAAATCATCATTTTCATAATTCAAATACAACATTACATTATGAGCAGAATTTATTAAGACAAAAGTACATACTTTATTGTCAAAATAATCCTACTCCTAAATACTAAATGATTGTGATTTACAATAATAAATTATTTTGAATAATAGGAGGTACGATGTAATTCAAATTAATACGAGCTAAGATGAGTTTAACGAATAGAACTGTTTTTTGAATAAACAACTATTTTGTTAAACAATATCAAGAACACATTTTGACGCTTGAGAATACAAATACTACACAGTTATGAATGAAATTATTAAGTTATTTCTATTTCATTCACTTGATTTGTTTTAAAAAAAAGCTGCCCTGCCACACAGCCACCAATTTTAAAAATCTGATTGATGAATTAATAATACAAACAATACAAATGTGAGTTAGGATTAGTGATTTTATTTTCAGTAACGCTGGGCCCTTATTCAAAAGGGGGACACTAGATTGACACGCTCCTTGGTCCATTCTCAGCTAACATTAAAACATGTAGACAAGGTTCGTTTAATAAATAAATTTTTTAAGCCTAGTTATTTATGGGTTATCTGTAGTCATGCATGCTTCAAATCACTATCCTCAAAATGTGGTGGAATGAAATTTAGTTGGATTAACATTACAATTTTGCAGACAGATTGTTAAGCGAATATTTATTAAAGCATTTTATCTAAAAAATTCACCCAAAAAACATTCAAAATCTCATTTATTGGGGTTTAAAATATCTTTATGAACTCAAATAAGTTTTCGTTTTAAATCTCAGTTAACCAAGCATTTAAAATCACATAATATTGTAAAACAAATCCACCTGAATTAACTAAAAGATCAAATTATTTTAACCTGTGCATTGAAATCTATTAATTACTAATTATAAATTGTGCAATTAAAACAATTTACTGGTTTTTTAAATAATGTCAGATTTGACCTTAAACGGTTGTACAATCTTATCACTTTATTAGCTTTCAAGATTTAATTTTTATCTCAGAATGTACAGATAAATTTATTCATCATATATTATATCTACTATAAAGGTATTCATAAAACAAGTAAATGAAAAGTTAAAATTATCTTACATTAAACCCAACAATTTTTTAATTTATGTTCCACACTGACTTTTGCGGCTTATTATATTACTTAATTTTAGGCACGATTTTGCTCTGTTTTAATGCAAAGAATTATTTAGAGGAACAGACAAGAAAAAAATTATATCTGGTTCAAAAAGTATCAATTTCAACTGAACAGTACAACCAATAATACCAACTTTTTCTTCTTGAAAATGATAAAATCCCAATTTTTCACTGCAAAATCAAGTTATATAATTGCATTTAAAATCATTTTTCTTAATAAAAAGCATTCCCGGGTTTTCTAAGTTCTTGACTGCACGTTTTTGCTCAACAAAGTAGCACGACACCTTTACCTAACTAAAATAATACTAAAATGTAAAGTAAAAATAAATAAATACAATTTTGTAGTTGTTTCTCATTTTTATGTCAACAGTGAATTTGTATATATAAACGTAGACTGTAAAGCATATTTGGTCCAGACGAAGTTGAATCTTTGGATTCGAAATGTTCATTTACCTAATATTATGAAAAACAAAAACAATCTTCATTCTGAGAAAACAGGTCAATGAAGAACAGTCTATCTTCATTTACAATAGTTAATAAATTTATAAATATCAATAACTTATTTGAGAGATACATTTACATAGACAATTATGTCATATGCATGAATAAATTAAATTGACTAAGCCCTTACAAAAATGTTTGTTTTTAGTGACCAGTTGTTCAATAACTTGTTAAGTCGTGAGGAGTGGTATGGAATGAAGTATTTTAGAAAAGCACATTTTTCATTTTTTTGGTGACGTTTGGACCTTTATTCGGATCATCTTCAGAGCATGGGTGAATTACAAAACATTTGTTGATTGTAAAAAATGTAAATACAAATTTTCAACCTAGTATTTCATATCCACATAAAATGGTGAAATTTTTTTGGTGTCATATATGATTCATGTGAAATTGTGAAAAGCAACTTTCTAGAAATGGTTTACATTAATAGACACACATACAGCATTAATTACAGAACAGATACATACAAACTCAGTCATAGCTATGCCATAAAGCAAATAAACCATTAAATTTTATTTTTATATTTCCCTTTCCTTTGTTATCATCCATAATAATTTACTTCCTTTCCAATATTGAATAAACGCCGAATCATAAATCCAATCCAAAAAATCTCCATTTTCCACTTCCTTTGCATCAAATAAAACTGCCTATGATTAAAGAAAATCTCCCAGATTTACCGTGTTCTCCAGCCTGTCACAATCATATAAAACAGCAGAATACAAATTCACGTTTCACAACAATTACACAGGAAACAAATATGTCACCACAAGAATAGTACCAAATTATTCATGTGTGGTGATTAGTGACCGTTAATCGATAATTATTCAGAAATCGTGAGATGCGGTCTGGTGTGATGTAGGTTTCAGAAAAACATTTTCTTTATTGTGCCAACGCCTTTATGTTTTTCTGAAACCTACATCACACCAGACCGCATCTCACGATTTCTGAATAATTATCAATTAATGGTCACTAATCACCACACAAAAGTACCAACTTTATGTGAATATGAAATAATTGGTACAGAATTTATATTATGAAGGTATCTTTCCACATAATAGTCAACATACTATCAAGCCAATTCCTTTCTCTGCTAGAAAATTACTAATGTTACTGGATATATAGTTTATGATACAACAATTGCAAAAAGAAACGTGTTTAGTCATAACTCCCTGACTATTGTTACCAAACAAAAAATAATTTTGTCATTGAAAATGCATAATGAAAATGAAACCCCTAGATTTATATATAAGCAAGAATTTAAGTATTAAGATTAAGCTATCCTCAGCAACGTATATACGGTTGGCTCTAAAGGCTCCCATGGGATAGGAGCAGCTTGTGTTGTACGAGACAGAAAATATTTATTCTCCTTAAATTCAATAGAGAGTAACTATACAGTCAAAATGACAGTAGTAATTAATAAATATTGTTTGCTTGAACAATACACTGGTGGTATGCATAATCCCATGGTCCATGGGTATCCTATATTCACTGAGGTGTCTTCTACAGCAGGGAAAAAGAGTAATTTTTGTTCGGAACCGTAGGCACATGAGTATTCCGGGCAATTAACTGGCGGACAGAGCTGCCAAAGAGGCTGCAGTAAATATCATCAAAATCAGGGGGTTTACAAGTATAATTTAACTTCCACTTTTGAAATTAAAGTGGTCACAGTGGCAAAAGGGTTGGTCAGATGTCACAGACAAAAAAACTCCGGAAAATGAAATCTTATGTTCGAGTGTGACCGGCCTTCTTTATTTAGAGCTAAAAGAAAATAAGTGATCCTAGCTAGGCCGAGGTGCATTGTGTAACCACCAAGGGCTACTTATCAGCCATTAACAATTCGTCAGTTATGCGACAAAACTGTCATTATACAATTTATAACATGATAGTATCAGAAATAAGAATGTTTTACCCAACACACTATCTGAAATTCTAGGGGGATAATCAGAACATACTTATAAGTAATATGGGACTCCTTGTGGCTGGGCATGCTGGGGGAGGGGTGGTGTGTCGGATTTGGCAGGGGTCAAGCAAGAAATAAGTTTTGTTTTTAAACCCCAGGTGTGCAGGACTTGGGTGGCAGTCATACCCCTTTATAATTGTCAGGAAAATGGCAGACAGAAATCGACTGCCGCCCCACTCGTTCGACTGCGTCCTTTTTGTTCCTCGATCCTACTTTCGCAGTGTGATCTTCCTAAAAAAATTCGGGCTAACCCTTGGTGGTTTGTATTTTTTTCCAATCAACATGTTTTGCAATTCTGTGAAGACGACCCGAATAAAGGTCAAAACATCGGCAAAAACTGAAAAAAGGTGTTTTTCTAAAATAGTTCATTCCTGACTGCTCCTCACTTCTACAAATTATCGCCTTACAGAAACAACACCCGCCTGTTAGTTATTAAACTAAGGATGAAGAAAAATCCATCTCTAATTGATTTCAAAAGCTTCAATCTTTTGACTGTAATTTAAACAAATATATTTAATGGTTTTAATGAAAGTACAATTTCCTCTTTTTTGCCAAATCAATTCAAATTCATAATCTTTTGGTTTTTTCGTGTAATTTTTTTTTGTGGTAAAACTTACGTAAGCCAGAGAAGATTTATAACTTGGGGCCAATTATGTTCAGTTGTCTTTGAGAGACAGGCTCTTCGGAAGGCCTCACGACTCAGGAATAAAATAGTCGATTCCAATAGTAAAAGGCGTACGTTCATAACCCCAATGACAGCTTGGGATATGTTTCGTAGTACAAATGCATTTAGGAGGAATGTAACAACCCGGAAACCAACCTAGAAGCGTCAGAAAGTTCAATAGAAAAAAAAGAAAATAAGAAAATAGAAAGTTGAACTGATTTTCGAAAGCGAGAAAAATATCCGTGCGTTCATTTGACGACGTAAGTTTTATCATACCTGGAAAATTATGTTAAAAGAAGCATTTTGAAGGCTGCTTTTCAAAAAGTTTTTTCCCATAATAAAGTTTCAATTGAATAAGCTGAATAACCTCGTTTTTCCGATTAGTTCGTGTTCATGGTTTGTCGCGTGTTAAGTCGAAAAACGTGAAACGGAGGACGAGACGAGATCGCGAGGCACGTCGAAGAACTACGAGACATCCGACTGAACTAAAATCCCAGCGATTTTCATCCCTAATCGGTAAAAACACTACAAAATACACCGTCAGCTTATCTCCCAGCCTGCCAGCCGACTGCACAAGTGCCAACTTGTCAGAAGGTTATTTTTACAGATTTACACAGGGGCGAGGACTTTTTCTCTTTTTCCCATCAAACACCTCTTAACAAATCAATCAAGAGCCATATTATTTGTCTTACCGGTTTTTTCGTACGTAAATTATAAGAAAGGACTTTTTCCTCGAGTAATCTTCCCCTTTGGCTGTGCCCAGTCACATTTTCAGCTGATTTCTCGGATCGAAATCCCCTCTCTTTAGAAGTCGGACGTGTTTCACTTCCATTCGCAGGGGAAAACCTCCCGTCCAGACCGGCAACGTGACTGATAATAATAAGAATATCGTCTTGGAAGTCGGAACGCACATGTTCTCCTGCCGGTTACGGTTCGAGGGGAAATTCGGCATTTTTCTCTCGCCCTCGTCCCCTCGATAAATGGCGAAACGGAAAAACACAACAGACGAGTCGAGACACGATGTAACGACACCGGTTCATATCAGCTTTTGGGTAAATTGACATTTTATGAAAAATCTCACAATAAACATGCGATCGTGCTCTTTTTAGCCTAGATCTACTCCAGGATGTTTTGTGGGTTGTCATTAAATAATTATTTCTTATGTGTGTTTCTTAGTGACCGGTACAATACAAACGCAACTTTCTAGAAATGGTTTACATTAACAGTAACACACACAGCATCAATTACTGAACAGATACATCCAAACTCAGCACATCGAAAATCAAATAAGCTATTAAACCTTAATTTTCCCTTTCCTTCTTTTATTGTCCTTAATAATTAACTTCCTTTCCAATATTGGCCGAATCACAAATCCAATCCAGAAAATCCCTATTCTCGATTCCTTTGAGTCAAATAAAACCGCCTATGATTAAAGAAAATTTCCCAGATTTACCGTGTCCCCCACCCACAAACATATAATGTCGCAAACATATAAAAACCGTAGAATACAAATTCATGTTTCACAACAATTTCACACAAAACCAATATGACACCACAAGAATAGCACCACACTTTACGTGAGTATGAAATACTTGGTTCAAAGTTTATATTTACATCTTAAATTGTATTTTTTCCAATCAACATGTTTTTCCTTTCGCCAAGTCGCTGATGATGACCTGAATAAAGGGTCGAAACGTCGGTAAAAAAAATAAAAAAAGGTGTTTTTCTAAATTACCTCATTCTTGACCACTCCTCACTTCAACAAATTGTATCTTACACAGGGTTGAGATGATTTGCTGGTGTCTCGAGATCAGAAGACATGATAGCTCAAGTGACTTTATAGTCTGAGTTCATGAAGAATGATCTGGTCCTTTTATCTTCCAAATTTAAATCGTTTAATGCGGTTTGCCATTCCATTCTCACATACGGATGTCAAGTTTGAGGTTTTCAACCTTGATCAGGTTGGAAAAAATTGTTAAGGTACATCATCAAGCAGTTGTTCGCCTTGCTCTCTTGTACTCCAAATTACATGCTATACATAAACTACATTTTGGCTTAGGGAAATTCAAATATATGAGTGCTTCCTAGCTACAGGGAAGTAGATCGTACGAAGAACAGAATTAAATAAATATGTAATGAATATGATAACCTTTTTGGGAAGGTGTTGGAGAATTTTTGGAGTAATTAGATCGAAACCTGGAGCTTTCTTTGATTTAGGTGTTGTATGGTAGAATGAATGTCAGAAGATGAAAAAAGCTTTAGAAGGGCGGGATAATGGAATCGGTGAGTGTAACTATTCCTTGATAAGTTGTGAATAAATATGGTCTGTGATGTTGGCATATGGGGTGAACACTTTGGTCAGGTAACAGGAAAAAGCGACTGCCCAACTGTTGTCGACTTGGCGAAGTGGGGTAGATACTTTGTGGTAAGATGGAAGATTTTTAGCTGTCACTCAGAGCGATATCTTATCCGTTATTAGTATTTCAGTAAATCGTCTGAATTGCAATTCCATAGTCAGCTGAGGCTGTATATGGAAACCTGTGTTGATCCCTTATTTCTGAACATGTTAAAGCTCCATTTTAAATTTGCATACAAAACCCTAAAATTCCTTGATCACGGTTACACGAAAATTACGGCTCAGGAGATTATAAATAAAAATATTATCTGGTATGAGCACTGGAGTTCCTTGTCAGAGAGGTACCATCCTTTCTGATTCTGTCTGGTCAATATTTCTGAATGGATGGTAGAATTCCAGTGTGTTCTTTCCAAAAGGTCTAGTGATAGCATGAGGTTTTTGGAGTGAATGCTGACAACAGATTTTGTACAAGAGGCTTGACCGAAATCTCGATGTGTTCTGCTTAACGAATGGGAAACGTGGAAGAACACTAAAACTGAGGGATCTCCACTGGCTCTTCAAACTCTGAGGTGAACTTCTGTTCCTTAATTTCTGTTACCCCCTTAATAAGCTGCCAGAGGGATACAGAAATCTGCACTCTGTGCAATAAAGGGAAGAGGACACCATTGTGCACTTTTTGGCTAAATGTACCATTCTGTTCAAGATGCGTGCTTCATATTTGGCTAATGCTGTGATCTCAGAAGAAAGCCTAGTCAAACTTTTAAATGAGCTAAGCCGTCAGTTAATAAAATTTCATGCCTGGTTTGACGGCTGGGGTACAAAAGTTCAATTTTTGATTTATTAGAAGAAATTTTTACTTAATTAATGGTATGTAAATCTGTCTTGTTCTGTTTCACTAGATTATTTGATTTAATCCGTTATATTTAGTGGTCAATTATGAGTAAAGTAAATATGGATTAATTTAATTATTCTTATTCTTAAATCTTTTTCTCAGACTTCAGGCTTTTGAGTGATTTTTACAACTAAACATATTTTTGGTACACAAAATATGAGTAAACCTAACTACATTAAATTTGAGGGTGGTGCATTTCTTTTGTCCATCTGTGTAATTACTAAAGTAACTGTTCTTCCGCACATCACACTAATTTTTCAACTCAACCATACTTTGCATGAATAATTAAAGTAATTATTTTGGTTAATTGTACCAACTAAAATGTACATGTATTAATATAATTACTGAAGGACCTGTTTTTTACTACCTAATGTGCCAAGAATCCGTATTATTACACCATATTTGAATATTGGCCTTAAGTATAAGTTGAGATGATTAGTTGGTGTCTTGAGGACAAAAGTCACAATAGCTCAAGTAGTAGAACTGCAGGGGTACTGGTCTGAAGGTCATGAGTTTGAGTCCTAAAACTTTGCACAAAAAATAATAAATCAGTTAATATAATTATTTTGCAGAAATCCTGAGATGCGGTCAGGTGTGATGTAGGTTTCAGAAAAACATTTTTTTTCTTTTTTTTCTTTTCTTTCTGAAACCTACACCAGACCGCATCTCACGATTTCTGAATAATTATCGATTAACGGTCACTAATCACCACACATATTTATTTTGGTTAATAGTACCAATTAAAACATATATATTTAATTAGTTGTCATTAAAGTTATAACGCTTCCTGTTAAAAGTTGCAATAATTTAAAAATTGTTGGTGTAATGATGAATCATTCGATCCTATCACTTTGTCAAATGGCTTAATTACAAGCTTAATCCCATTGCTTATCATTCGATTTGTACATTGTGTATGTCTGTTTAACACGTTATTATGTCAGGCAGGTGCTTTAGCTGGTCTTACTGTTGATATTTCTCTATTCCCGTTAGACACCCTTAAGACGCGTTTGCAAAGCAGCGCTGGCTTTTGGAAATGTGGTGGGTTTAGAGGGGTTTACAGAGGTGTCGGCCCAACTGCTATCGGTGCAGCTCCCACAGGTAATAATAATATTAAAAGAAAAGAAAATAGAAAAATCCCTTATACAATTTTATTTATAGCTGCTTTATTTTTTGCATCATACAATGGCTTTAAGAAATTATTTGAGGGGAACAAACTTTCTGATAAAGAACTATTTGCAGAAAGGATGTTTGGTGCAGCTTTCGCAGAAATGGTATTTTATAATTATATCCTTAATTTGTTAGATACCCCCTTTTAGATCGTCGAACGGTTCTCGTTTTATTATAATTTTTAAGGTGTCTTGTATTATAAGAGTCCCTACGGAGGTGGTGAAGCAGAGAAGGCAAGCTTTCATGCAGGAAACGGCTTTCAAAATATTTTCTTCCACATTCAAATATGAAGGCGTTACAGGACTGTACAGAGGTTTCTGGGTCACTGTTTTGAGGGATGCCCCGTTTTCGATAATTCAGTATCCCCTGTGGGAACTTTTAAAGAAACAACTAAATCAAGACACCCCTGCTGGAGGAGCTCTATGCGGAGCGATTGCTGGTATTTTAATTAAACGAATAATTTAAAAAAGTCATTTAATATATGACTTATTTTTCACAGGCTCATTTGCTGGTGCTGTAACTACTCCATTGGATGTTATTAAAACGCGAAAGATGTTGGTACAAAATTGTGATGAGCCGAAAGCGGGAACGACTTGGTTTATTATTCAAGGGATTTACCACCAAAGGGGAATCAGAGGGTAAAGATTTAATTTTAATTAAATACAAATCAGTTTTATGACAATGGCAATCACAAGATTTTTATTCTTTAGATTTTTCGCTGGGTTTATTCCTAGGACAGTCTGGATATTTCTAGGTGGTTTTGTGTTTTTTGGCACTTACGAAGCTGCACTCCAGTATCTTGAAAAATTATAAGAAACTAGTTTTCCCCAAATGTGGATTAGTACTATGTTTATTGTCATGTGTAAAGAAAGATTTATTTTATGTAAATATATTTGTTTTCTCACTTTTAAAATTGAATTAAATTTATCAGGGACTTTTAACCTTTTCTCTAATAGTGCCCTTCTAAGAAAAATTCTGTACCTCCAAATTTTTTGACTTTTTTATATCATGTATTAACGTATGTTTCCTATTGAAAAACATGATAAAACTGACGTAAATTGGCCTGGAAATATTAAAAACATCAGTTTAAATATAGACGTATTGTACATAACTTAAAACATTTTGTAGAAAATGCAAGTAAAAAAAAACCATATTTCCAAAATTTTACTACATCATAATAAAAAGTGCTTTTATTACTAGATAAAATTAATGCATGTGCCACTTACGTAATTTTCCACTTGTTTTATGACACAAAAACTCGTTTCCTATGTAAAACATATCAATGAGATCAAAGGAAATAGAAATTCAGTGATATTAATGTAAATATGTATTTCATTATGCATTAAATTTCTATCACATGGGGGGTATGCTTGTAAAAAGCACCTTCTTTTCAGATACATTCTTTTTCATAAGTAATTCTCACAAATCTTTGCTTCTTAATTGCACGTAGCAGCCTTTTTTTGATTAAAAAACAAAAAATAAAAATCAATTGATAAATAAGTTCTGAGCAATTTTCAGGTTTCTTATACCCCCGCACTGAAAGATTTTCATCAGGTGGGTGTTTTTAATTTTCGAAATGGTACACTAATTCTTTAACGAGTAAATTTTATTTTGCTATCAATGTACTTAATTAATTACAATATGACAATCTATTATTAAATAAAAAAATCAATGAATTGAATAGTCATAAATTATTGATTTTGTAGTTTATTACCATGATTAATAAATAAACACTGCAATTACTTATTTAACAAAAAAAGTTTATTTTATGAATAAAAACTAATTTTTATTTAAAATTAATAATGGATAAAGTGATATTATTATACAAAAATCGTATTATAGTTATTGTTTTAAAAAGTTTGGTTGTGTAGTATATTTTACAGTATGATACTTGTTGAAAGATTGAACAACACACTCACTCCCCCATTTGTCATTTCTTTTAATGATTTTATGGTGGATTCTATGGAGCTTAATAGCATGTCAGTTTCATCAACTGAGCCCACGTGTCTTGATGTCCATAACGCATTCTAGCTTAATTTTATGTTTTCCAGTTTCCAGATCCATTTTATCTGTTCTTACTGTATTATTGGTATATTTTGTCGATAACATCCAGAATTCACGCCAGTAATGACCCACATATTTGGAAAGTGATTTGATCTTTTTTCAGTTTTTCAGCCATTCGACATATTTTTTCAAACTGAACAATGGGTTTACTGATCATGCAACCAAAAAATAAACTAGGGCGGCGTACTAATTGTCCATAAAAATTGTGCCCGTTCTTTAGATATGGTAGAAGAGTAGCGATGTTTTTTGTCTTCCCAAGGTTTTCAAAATCTTGAATTTTTGTTGCGGCCCCAGTAGATTATAAAATCGACCATGCAACCAATTTCACAGTCACTTATATAAATATTTGATACCAAAATGACTAGATGGTGTGCATTGTTTAGAAAATATTCGGCCTTTGAAGAAAAGCAAACTTTTGTCGATGTAAAGATTTTGATATGGATTAAAGACATTTTTGAATTTATTTCAATTCATCCAATAATGGACTTATTTGTTTTCAGTAAGCAAACAGTTGTTATTAAAATGTAAAATTTTAAAATTGCCATGCAGCGGTTTGTAGAATTGAATTTTTTTTTTAATTTTAGTGCTATAAATTTCATTAATTTGATTTTATGCATCTAAAAAAGTAAATTATTTATTTGTTCTGAGTAAAGGTATAGTGGTGTTTTGTTTGATAAATACCCTTTTCCTTTTCTTTTTTGGTGTTGAACTTTTCCACCAGTTTTTATTTTGTGTTGATAGCTTTTGGACGCACACTTGGCCTTTACACTATCTTCTGTCCAATGTGAAAGATAATGTTAAAATATTAATTCCATAATCAAAAATCAAGCAATAGTGTTTCAGAAAACAAGTATATCCATAGGCAGGCAATAATAATAATAAAAAAAATTGATTATGTTTATTATTTAAAAATATTAACAGCAGCATCATTATTTACAATTATCAATTGAGTCTTTCAGATATTAAATGACCCTTTTCCTTTGGGTTTGCGATTCTTGATCCAAACTGAAAAGCTCTCTTGGGTAAAAATGCTGAATGCCTCAGTCCTAAATCCCAAGCAACAAGGCGTAAAAGAAATTTGTCCCCAATACCAGGTTTAACATTGGGCTCGAGGTAAGTCCTGCCACAAAACAAATATATTAATCAAATACATATTGAGCAATCTAAATTTTTAACTAACCTAAACCAGGGTGGTAAATTATCGACATAAGTGTAAACTCGCTCGTCTAAAAATGGCGTTCTCGGCTGTCTTCCATGGTCAGCAGCTACCCTGTTATCTCTTCCAAGGTTTCTTTTTCCTATATTACGAACTTCGATGAGTAATTGTTCACCTAATGCACGCCAGCCACCTCTTGCAAATTCCTTCCGATGCCTGGAATATCCTCCAAAAAGTTCATCTGCTCCCATCCCAAGAAGAACAACCTATAAAAGAAACTTATACAGGATATTTATTTTGATTTATAAATGATAGAAATAATGCAACTCACTCTGGAATTAGAATAAAACGGTTTACCATTTGCAATCCCTTTTCCTCTTACGGCAAACCATAGAGCACAACCAAGACTATCATCCAATATACTGTTAAGTGGATGTATTAGATCTCGAATGTGTTTTTCTCTGAGTTCTTGTAACTCTTTTAGTGTTATGTTAATCTAAGCGATTAAATAAAATCATGATTATTTCTTTTATAGTTTCTATAATTAATTAGTTACTGCTTACTAACTTCGACAAAATTCCATTTTCTTGCAGGTTCAAGCAACTTTAACTCTGCAAAGCTTTCTCTCCCGGTAATTCTGTCAGGCACATCGTAACAAATATTACCGCTTGACAGCTTTTCAAATGCGACATTGAACAGATCGATTGTTTCATTGGGTGGGACAAATTTACTTGCAATTAATGCTATCACAGTTGAATCGAGACCGCCAGAAAAACAAATTGCAGTTCGACTGTGACTGCATTCTTCTGATAAATCAGTACATCCTAAACAGTGTTTGGGTTGTGTCAAGATTCTTTTCTCAATCGATTTGAATAACAATGTTTTAACATTTTTTACCATTCCAGACAATTGAATATCTCTGAGTAACGTGGTGTAAATAACTTCTGGTGATTGTTCACTGAAAACTATTAAAGAATAAATTAATACATATATTAAGTTACTTTAGGGGTTATATTTTATATAACTGTATAATTATAATATATTGAGGTGTGTCATGTCATGGCTCCATACAGAGAGCATATAGGCGTTGCCGAATTTAAGAATGGTTCTCAGACACAGTAGTGAGTTCAGGTCATTTGTTCTGCTTTTTAGGGGAACTGGTTTTTTTTTTATTGTATATAGCCTTCAAAATATGTGTTTGTATGAGTGAGTGTATTTATTAGAGTGAATGGGGAGGGGCTGCTGGAATAGCATCCCCATCGCCCCTTCGGCTGAGTACATGACTTGGGTTGATGGCAGAATATTTATAAAAGTACCCCATCAGCCCCAATTAGTTTGTTATTGTATGCAGATCGATGGGATAATAATGAGTACTCCATCTACCAAATAGAATGAATGTATATAGGTGTGAATGTATTTATTTGTATGAAAGCATATTGAATGTGTAATATTTTGCATGCGCTCAGGGCTGAAATGACCAAGCTGTCGGATGCCCCTTTAAAAAACAACAAAAACATTGTATTTTATGAAAAACATGACTGTGCTCACTACAATGTACACAAGTAAATGAAACTGATCGTGATTAAAATTGATCAGCAGAGTTTCTGACTTGTTCAGCTCTTTCTACAACACAGTATTGTATGGCAAAGTGATAACCTATAAGTGCACCTTTATAAGCAGAATATGTGCTTGAACAAGAATTACCTGAAAAATATTCCAAAGAATTGTCAGTCGAAGGTCCTTCAATCCATTTGAATGTTTTGTAATCACCCAAAACCTCATGACTGAAACAGTTCAATAATTCCACGGAATTTGGTAAGTCTGGGTAAAGCGTGGAAGGAAAATGCGACCAAGGATGGAGCTGAATCGCTAATCAAAATTCAACTAATTTAATAATGTTCTACTTTGTAATCATCTCAATACTAACTCAGCTGTGGCTGTTGGAGATCGATCTTGTACAGTCCTATACTAGGGACTTCAGCCAGCTGTAAACTTTTGACCGAGACTGATGTTAAAATTAATTGGTCGTGCGGTGATAAATTCCAAAGAAGGCTGTGTCGTCCTATTACATCTCTTCCGAACCATATTATTTTCTCTTTAGAATCAAAATAAATAAATGAATATGGGCCACAGATCTTTAGAAGACATTCAATCCCATTATTTTCAATTTGACCAAATAGATATTCTGTATCGGATAAACCGTCAGTGTAATCCTAAAAAAAAAAAAAAATGATCACTCTTTAAAAGCATAGAAATTATTTACATATTTTTGTTAGTTACAGGTCCAAAGAAGATATCTCCATTCCAAAGAAATAAACTTCCGTTCTCACTCTTCACAGGTTGTGGTGTGGGTTTTAATCCCTGGGTCCATAAAGTGCTACTGAATATTAAGACCTTCCATCGCTCAGTAAGGTGCACAATGCATTTATTGTACGCATCGGGGCCTCTATTTTTTATAAGAGTTTCAATACAGGAATACTGGTCCTGGAAATAAATATACAATAAATTAATAAAGAAAATGCAATAAAGAGAAAAAATGAAATGTATGGGGAAGTATTCGTAATTCTTAAATTATACAGAATGGGTCACATACCAGTGGTTCATTTTACCTGTTTCCTACTGTCCCCTTTTATTTTTTTATTTTATTGTCGGTGGTCAACTCAGCCAAGAACCCTACTAGTCGTCCGACATCTAGTGTAGTGGACTGTTACTATCGGATAAGTGAATTTGTCTTCCTAATTCCAGTTTTCTCATGAGGCATTTTTATTCTGCGTCATACCAATAATGTTTCCAACATTACTAAGGATTTTTTTTTTTCAGTTTTGATCCAAAAATGTCCTGGCAACAACTGTTTCCCACGCCTGAGGAAATATTAGCAGTTTCATCAGGAAAAAGGGGACCTTGAACTGGATGAATCTGTCAGAATTGGAAGATGGAAGTCTCATGAACAGTGATATTGAAGACGTTTTCGATTGTAATGAGGACGAATGCTCCAAGTCTACAGAGAAGGAACAGATGATAGTTTGAATTAGGGAAGGACGAGGAAACAGTCTGGACTGATAAGCCTTTACCCTCACTATATTCATGAACCTCTTTAAATGTGATTACTCACTTGCTCAGACCTAAAGAAAATGGAGGGTAACAGAAAAAAACACATTTTAACTTTTTGTGACTAATGAAATGAAAGGAAACATCGTTAATCATACTAATAAAGAAATAGAGAACTGTAACTCAAGTACAGGTGCACACTAAGGAAATCTCGGCCAACAAATATATCAGGCCGAATGTTGGTCATCAAGACATTGACCATTCTTGGCTCATCCTCAACAAACCAAGGGGTTGGCGCCATGTGGAATCACAGTCAACAATGTCAACCCTTTTGATGTTACCACCAGAAGTCGGAACATCGACCAAGGCCAATTCTTTGGCTATGATTTGTCTCCTGTACACGCTAAGCAAATCGCGACCATCAAAGTGGTTCTTTCGTTGGCTCTGATTTGCTTAGTGTCTCTGCACCTTAGAGTGAACTGCTCTACTCATTACCGACTCGTTGGCAGCCCCAGATGGAACTGTAAAGTTCATCAAGAAAACAAAATTGTCTAAAAAGAATAAAAAGGATTTATTTTTGTAAGATATTGTCAGTAAATATTATACAAAAAACATGATTATTGAAGAGTATTGTAAACTTATCTCTACTAAAAACCTCATCCAAAAGAGGTAGGGTTGACCCGACTGTACTGTGTATTTTGTCTCAAACCACTGTATCAGTTGAGGGTTAAAGATTATAAGTAGTTATGGGATTTCTGAAGGTTTTTGGGATGAATAATCTGTAGTTTGGTCATTTCTGATTACCTTGCTGGCTTGGTCAGTCCGTGTTGGCATTTTGATATAAAAACCCACCACTTGACAGACCAAAACAACGAGATAGGCAGACCAAGATGCTTGGATACAAACACACTACAATTGTACGTTGATTCATGTCACATTTTGCAGAGACAAAAACGCTTTAAATGATTAAATAAAATAACAACAATAACAATAACATCAGTAAAACTGACCCAAGAGGATTTGACAAAGGTAAATGTACTAACATGTTGATTGTTAAATTTCACCAATCAGTTTATGTTTAAAAAGGTCTAAACCAAGTTAAGAATTTAAATCAAAAAGCAAATGCTTCAACTTACAATACAATGATTACTGTCAGACGAGATAAGGCAGAAAAACATTCCACACATTTTTGAACATTTGTGAAGTGTGTGGAATGGGAGGTAACGTCTGTAAAGGTTTTCAGTTTACACTAGGGATGGGTATCTCTCGATGTTTATGAAAACATGATTCTATCATCGATGTTTCTGCCCCAACCATCGATGACCCCATCAAACAATATCATCATAAATTTAATTTTGTTATATTATATACAATTGCAATTTACGAACACTTCCAGTTTTTATCGCTTGAAAAAACATGATAAATGTATCCAAATTTCATCGATATTCAATACCATCTACAATATGTCAAAGATGCTTTCGTATGTATAAAGTTGAAAAATCAATTCAAAATAATTTTAAAGTATTTTGGAGTTTTGTTAATGATTATAAGAAGGCTATTAGTATACGAATGATGAACATATGCATCTCTTGTCATATAATCATAGGCGATCTCTGATGCAGACTCAGTCCTAACATTGGCAAGGAGATATTTCTTATAACATAGTTTTGCCCTGATGATGACCTTACAATAGGTCGAAAGATTGGCAGTAACAACTGAATTTGCTTCTTTTGTTTGAAGACCATACCTTGATCCAGAGTGTTCATGAGTGAAAAAGTTTCCTGATGATGACCTTAATACAGGTCGAAAGCTTGACAGTAATAAGCTTTCTTCTTCAAGACCTAGAACCTTCATACCTTGATCCAGAGATGTCGCGAAAATTATTATAAAATAAATGAGTAAATAACAAAAAGAGAGAATGTGCTGTGTTGTCTGACACGTATAATAAAAGGAACATTTGTATAAATGGTGTGCACTATTTTGAATTAATTCTGATTACTACTGGTTGTATTTATTTTAAAATGCATACTAAATCACTTTTTTCGTCTTTTTTTTACCGTTTCGTGTTTATATTTTCAAAGGCTTCTTAAATTTAGAATATCAAGAATATTTTTACCATGTAATATATATTTTTTAAAATTTTTAAGAAATAACTAAGTTTTGTATAAATCTATGTTTACTAGACTATATAAATAACTATTCTAATATTTATTCGAGAGACAGTCTATTAATAACGTTGTAAGCTGGGTGAATTCGCGTTGAGAAACGAACGATAAATTAGCCATATCTAATGGTAAGAAGTTACTTTAATAATAGAAACATTGATCAAAAATCGCTTTATCAAAAAAACAAGAAACGGATCAAAGAAAATTGGTTCAATTAATTTACAACAGAAAGCAATCTAAGGTCTCATTGTGGGATGACGCTCTCAAGTTATGAAACGGTCGTTTATTATTTGATTGTTTTATTTCTTTAAATTTCGTTTAAAAATCAATTAATCCAACTGCATATTTGAAAAGAGTTTTGTCGTTTCCGATCATCCTGGTTCGCTTTTCACGCCGTTTTGGCCTGACATCATAAGATCTTCTGGTACGAGTTCAACATCCTGTAGACTTCAACAAGAAATCGAAAAATTGATCGTTTTCTAGACTAGAAGTAAGCCGAAAAGTCGGTCCCTATCATGATTTATTTTATAATATGAATTATAGTGGTACAGATGGTGCTTGTTTTCGATCATGGTTCGATTTAATGCCATACATTTCGTGTATCATTATAATGCATATTGAGAATGAATCATATTTAGAAATCGACGGATCAAGACTAAACACTAATCATAACCAAATTACGAAGTAAACTGAAGACTGTGGTTATATTAATCCATTTTGATCATATAATGAGTGAGACTCTCAACTCATTGATGCGATTCTGCCAAGAAATTAACCAAAAGCATCAACATTTTCCTGCAACGGTGAAGGGAGAATTGAGACTAAAACAAATGGAACACCTTATGGAACAGTCCACATCCCCCGGTACTAAAACCCGTGTATCGTCCCCGGTGCAGCATCCAATCCCAGGTGCTTTTTAAATATTTTCTTTGAATGAAGGATGTTATGGCGATCTATAGCGATTTCCCTGTTAAAATTATTCTGGTTTTTTTTTTTTTTTCAGTTGTCAAATGTAACTTATTCTTGCAAAATATATATCCATCTAACACCTCAGATTTTTCCATATTCCTTGGGGCGGATATCTTTAAGAAAAGAAACTTTAAACTTATGTCCGTACTCTTTTGAATTAATTATAATTAACCACTACTGAGTACGTGCAGTAATTTGAAAAAAAATATACTAAATTACTTTTCCTCCCTGTCAACTCATCAACATACTGCCAAGAAACGTACCAAATATATTTTTCAATCGAATCTGTAGACAAATTAAAGGAGCTAGGACTCTATTATTTTTTCGGTGCTTGTACAATTATATTCTAAGATTTAAAAAAAATAAATAGTTTCATCTCGTGACTAACATTTTCTAAAATTTGGTTTGGAAAACCTATTAGTCGAAAAAAATGTGGAGAAAAAGATAGCAAGTACTTTATTAGTCAATTTTTCCAATAAATTAAATTGCACAGCTTGATAATTATTAGTGTAGAATTACCCCGAGGAATATCGTGTACTGAGGAGTAGAGTGAACAAAGTCTGACATGTGAATGTAGTTTATTAGCGTGAATGGAGAGGTTTATCCCCATTACCCCGAGTAATATCGAGTAATCTTGGGTAGTTGAATCCTATCCAGACTATCATATTTTTATTTTGTTTCTGTGTATTTGTGTTATTGTATCCAAAATTGCCGAGGCCCTGAGGTACAGAGAGGCTAGCAATAGGACAAAGAAAAGAGTTGGTTACCGTTGTACCAAAATTATCGTAACTTAGCTGGAGAAAAATAAAAATAAATTAGTAGGGTTAAAACACTAGAAAGATGAGAAAAGAAGTGTAAAGGTATGGCAGCGATGACCAATGTAAACTGCTCAAAAATGAATAGGGATATTAGGAGAGTCGGTGGCCGCACCGGTTTAGGCGTTGACACGGCGCTCATCACTGTAAGGTAAAGGTCCCGGGTTCGAATCCAGCGGCTCTGCATTCGAACTCGACATACTTACAAATGGGTTTTTTGAGGGTTGATATAACCTCTGCTGTTGCGAACCCTCGTAAAAAAAAAATTAAGGGATTTTGAATTACTATATTTTGTTTATTGGGCCCAATAATTGATTTAAACAATTACTATCGTGTACAATGTCCTCTGTTAGCGAAAACCTCTGTGCACCTTTGTTAGGCATACTATTAATAAGTTTCAATTAATTAAGGTTTTTAGTGATAAAAAAGTCACTGTCACGAGCGGGATTCGAACCACGATGATCGGCTTGATATGCCGCTACTCTACCTCTTGAGCTGACTTTGATCCACTCGGGCACTAACGTCCCATCTCAACCCCACCTTTTGAATTTTCCTTTTTGTCATTTTTCAAATGTCGTATAATCTATTTGATTCTCGGCGACAAATGAAATGGACACGGAGAGCTTTAGAGAAGATATACTTCATTTTATCTTATTAAATTCACTAGTTTTCGTGGTTCGCTTGACCAATTAATATCTTTCAATTAATTAAGGTTTTTAGTTGAGATAAAAATGTCAGTGCCACGGGATCATTTGTTTTTATCTCAACTAAAAACCTTAATTAATTGAAAGATATTAATTGGTCAAGCGAACCACGAAAACTAGTGAACTATTAATAAGGTTGGCACTAATTTCATAAGGCATTTCACTCCATAGATGTTGCAACGGTGCACTCAGTTGTTGCAGGTCAACTGGTTGCAATGGTGATCGAAAATCCTTCTCTGCAATGCATACCGCATTTGTTCAATGGAATTGAGGTCTGGAGACAATGGTGGAAGGGGCAGATAGGAAATTCCCAGGTTTTAAACATTGATGAACAACTGTGCCTCTATTAGGTCTGGCATTGTCATCCAGAAATTGAAAATCCCTGCCAATGAAATCCCTGGTTTGAAGGAATTCCTCGACAATTTCTTGGATATGCCGGCCTTCAACAATATGGAGTCCAGTTCGTCCGTCCTCCAGTGTAAATCCCAGCTGAGACCATTACACCGCCTCCTCCAAACTGCACAGAAGGCGCACAAACTGGGGCATGGTACGCATCCCCGTTCGGTAGACTCTTCGGCGCATGTAAAGACAGAAAAACGACTCATCAGTAAACTACCGCATTCCAATGAGTAGTTCTCTTCTAGGCACTCGCTGCGCCATATTCTCCTGTGTTGCTGGTGGTGGGCTGTTGCTGCAGGACGTCTGAAAGGGGCGTACCATGTGAAGCCAAGTTCCCACAAACGATTACGAATCGTTTATGTTGATAAAGGCCTTGCCAAAAATCTTGTACTTCATTTAGGAACTATGGAAATGGTTCCGTCTTGCAGCAATGACAGTATTTCTGTTCTCCCTTAGCGCTTAGATTCCACTACCAGGCCTACTATTTGCTTCTTCGATATCCACTTGCCGGTGACTTCGATGACTCATTCTCACAATAATATTGTGAGCTTCTGGTGAGGATTAACATTTGCTTATTTTTGGTTTATAATTTCTATTTTGTTTTATCAAACTAAGAATGTATCGGTTAATTTTATTAAAATTTATAGAATTTTTATAGAATAAATTACAAACACCCCTATTCATTTTTGAGCAGGAGCGTTTGCCAGCACTAAAACTAAAACTTAAAAAAAAAAAAAAATCAGTGTAGGCTCAGAATGGTGAAGAGCCAATTATGTTGAAACTTTCCCATTTGTGGTGCATATGCAATGAGCAACTTAATAAGTATTCGTGTTTCTTTATGGAAACTATTTGATTGAGGCGTTATTAAAGTCGAGCGCACCCTGGAAATCACGCCCGACGGCCTTTTCATGTTCTTTTTGTCTGGCCTCGGGAAGCCCCATTCAGCGCCTACTCCGGCCAGTACTCGTCACGTCTTCGGCACGAGCTGAACTCGTCTCTCACACAAGCCAAACGTACGGATATTACTTCCAGGTACATTGACCATCGTTCATTCTATATTGATCATCTTTTATTGACATCCTTCTGAGCTTGCGAGTTGCTTCGGATATTCGTAAATATTTTATTTTAACAGTTACATAAGGACAAACCTATTAGTAACTACCAATCCTTCCAACACCAACAATCCATACTCAAAAATCTGACTAAAATCCATGATTTTTCTTTATAAACCTGCAAGGGATTGCCACCTAGTCAATGTATTTATGCATAAAGAACGGATGGAAGAGGATTTTAGAGGGATTTATAAATCGGATTCGTGATGTTTAATAAAAAATTATACCTTTAGATAGTGAAGGGCGAGATGCTTAGATATATATTGACAATCCGATTAAAATATGAAGCAACCTATACAAAATGCATTTCTTGAAAGTGTTTGTGTGCTAGTGACATTCTGTTTAAAATATTTGCCAAGAAAGTATTTTTTACAGTTGTTTGTTATTGGGGCCTTGAACATATATTAGAATAGCGGATGTTGGGTACATAGAAAGTTATAAACAAGAGTCTGCAGTTTGTTAACGTTTTGTATAATTATTTAGAGATGCTGTCTGGTTATGCAGGTTTAGCAAATATTTTCTTTATCGTGCCAGCAATTCGATTTTTATTGGTATCATCTTCAGGGCATACAATTTTTTGGCTTAGTCAAAGTGTTTGTACTCACTCAAAGTGTGACAAACACTAACCATCTCAACACGTCACACAACAATGACATATCTACACTGAAAACACATTTTGAGTAAGTACAAATACTTTGATTAAACCTAAAACTTCTTTATTGTGTACATCATTGTAAGATGATCTCAATAAAGATCGATACGTTGGCACGATAAAGAAAATGTTTTTCCTAAACCTACATAACACCATACCGCATCTCACACGATCTCTAAATAATCATTAATTAACGGTCACTAAATACCACACACTTTTTGAATATATTTTGTTTATTAACTTTATTTAAAAAAAATTATACTTATAGTTGAGCTGACAGTCCATTCACTAGCCTTCTTCACATGCTTGCTATTGAAAATAATTCAGCGTTTTTTTTGTATAAACGAGAATAAAAGCTCGAAAAAAGCAACATTTGCTGTTTATGTATGATCTGATCTGTATGCAAATGAATCAGTCGTTTCAGAAATTGTCCAAGAAATCAAACTTTCGGAAAACAAAAAAAAGTTTCAGTTTCAGACTGTAGATTTTTGTTTTGGTTTTTCCTTTTGTCGCGCTTTTTATAAGTTTTTTTTGAGAAAAAAGGGATTTTTTCACAGCGTTTCGGCCTTAACTCGCCATTTTCATGTGTAATAATAAAAAGGAGAAATGCATTTTTTCTGAAAAAATCCTCTTATAAAAAGCGCTAAAAAAGGAAAATACCAAACAACAAAAAATGTATAGCCTGGAAATGAAACTTTTTTGTTTTTCCGAAAGTTTGATTTCTTGGACTAGTTTCTGAAACGACAGATTCATTCATTTGCATACAGAGCAGACCGTACATAAACAGCAAATGTTGCTTTTTTTCGAGCTTTTATTCTCGATTGAACAAATTACAAAAACATCGCTGAATTATTTTGAATAGCAAAAATTGCGAGGAAGGAAATACCACGAAGAAAACCGAGGGTTGTACGATAAAAGAAGAGGAATGAAAAACAAAATTCTGGTTTATGAAGTCTTTGAATTAGTTATACTTTTGGATTTGTTTTCTTAAACTGATCAGAATTATCCTAAATATTCAATTTGAACATGACTTGTTGACATTGAACATGACATTGGAACATTCTGCTGAAACAGACACCAGAAATTTACTGAATTTTTTTAAAATTCGAAATAAAATGCAATGAAAATCGTAATACAGTAACACATTCTTCAACTGTGCTTGAATGCCCAAAATGGTGTACAATATTACTTTTTTTTAAAAAAGAAAAGAACTTTATGTATTTTGGAATTCCAACAACATTAAACTTCTTCGACTATAGGTTTCTACTTTTCTGTTGTGGGCAAGTTGAAGATTTTCCTGCAGAACAGTTGAACACGTTTGGTTTCTTGTCATGGACATGATGGGTTTCTGTTTGTTCCTTCAACTTTAACCCGTATTTAAAGTAGCTTTAAGGTCCTGACAGAACGGCTACTTGCATTCTGTAGGCCTACTTAAAATAAATTGAAAATCGCGAGAAAAAAATTGAAATGACAAGTTTCTGGCTGATTCAAATAATATCGATGAAAAATTAAATTTCTGTTGTTAATCTTCAATATTAACATTTGTAATTTTCGGTTTGTGCTGTCATGTATGAATAAGTTTTACAGCGCGAATTTCCTTCGATGAGGCTTGATCCAAATTTACCATTGCATTCATATTTTCCTGTTGTCACTAGAATTCTCGTGAGTCCAAAATAAATAAAAAAAGTTTTAAAAGAAGAACACTGACTACATAGACGATCATAGAATCATTTATGTCATGTTATATAAATAGACTTGTGTATGTCACTGAATCATAGGAAACGAAGTTGTTTCAAAGCTCATACGTTTTTGTCGTTTTAACGTCAAACGGCTCCCTCGAGAGTATTCCATTGCTGTCAAATGGATTTGAACGTTCACATTCACATTCTAAGAACAAGACTGTCAAGGCCTTGAACTACGATCGATGACCTCAAACATCTCATGGTGCCATGAAGCATACTGAAAACGGTTTCAGAAAAAAGCTTTTTATTTATGTAGTTTCATCTCACATGTATTTTTTTCCTAAAGGACATGATTTTCTGCGGTCTTTTTCATTTTGATCACCAATGACTATGGATCAAATAATCGACACATTATATATAACACTTCGATGCTTTATGCTTTTATCTAATTTCTTTGTTTATTACAATAAAAACATTCTGTTGATATCAGGTAAAAAAGCATTAATATTTAGATACTAGGATCTTGAATTCTAATGGTAGGATATTTAAAATATTAATGCCTATTGATCGGATGAACTATAGGAAATTTGAAAACTTTTCAAATTAACCACAGCTGCCAATTTTTTTCTACTCATCAGGAATAGGTAATGAAATAGTTAATAGAAATGATGAAGATGGGTGAGAATGTAGATTCACTTTTTTAGGCGATAGTTTACAAGTGTGGAGGTTTTTTGGAGAGTCTGTATTATTAGTTCAAGTTCAGTCATGGATCAAAGCACTTGTAAATAAGAAAATAAAGGCGATTGTTTAATAATAGTCTTGTTAAATCCTTACATCCTATTTAATATGTATGACCACAGTCGGCATCTGGAAATCATCAACGTTCCAAGGCCTTGTGGGTCTACTTTTAAGGGAAACGTTTATTCTCGGGCAGTTTTTTTGCAATAAGAGCAAACTATCAATTGTACCACTTCGTCTTAATTACAACTATTTCCGTAAAATACGACTGTAAGCTCATGGTGGGGAAAACCTTGACGATTTATCTCGCATCGTATCGTCCCGTTTTACATGTGTCATGGGAAAGTACTGTTGCTGACAAATACACGGAGAAAATGGGCAATTTCATAGAAACGAAATGAGTAGGACATGGCGTGTTTTGTAAAAGCCATCGAACAATGTTGGTTCCGTGACGAATGAGCTGACCCTCTTGCTTCCTACCGTGAACGTAGCTTATTTTTAACCATGCTTTCAAATTAGGCCCTTACCGTCGGGCGTTTCAGTCAAGGATAGGAATTTTTGAATCGATTAAACTTTTGGGGAAGAAATATCAATAAATACTCTTTTCTTGCAGCTCAGACGTACGCGGGAAAATCTGAATTCGGCAATGTTACAAATGCATTGAAATTTTTTTTTAAATTTTGTAATTAAAAATTTTTAATTACAAAAAGTGCGTTCGGTTTACACCACGACACCCCGAGTAGTTTGTAGATCTAATTTGCCTTTAGAATCCAAGTAAACTCGTTTAAATTTCAGAAAGTTCAGAAGATAAATTTATTTTTATTTCGAGGAAGGCTCTTATGTTTCTAAAAGCATCAAGAAGGAAGTGCAATTTATGGATGGTGAAAATGAATCGCAGGAATTTCAAACAAGACAATTTTAACATTATTCCCCATATAATTAATGATATATTAGCCTTAAATATACAATTGTATGCTAATTATAGTTTAAACCTCCAAAACAAACGAGAGAACCGCATCGGGTATTTTTTGATGGACAAAATTCTAATTATTTTACCACTTACTCCCAGTAGTAATCATGGAGATTAAAACCGAAAATAACCTATGGATCATTAATCTGGTGGACCAAAGTTCAACAAAAAGTAGCTACTCAATCGCTAGGTAGTATACAAATATTAGAAAACCTATGTATCACAAGGGCAATGAGAACAACCCCTACGAGTGCACTAGAAACTCTGCAAACCTACCTCCTCTGGAAACATTTATACAAGGAGAGGCTAGAAAAAGCTCATTTAGACTCCAAAAACAATCAAATTGGATGGGAACGAAACAATTCGGGTACACAACCATAATTAATAAAATCAGACACTCATTATTAAAAATGGGGACTGACTATATGATCCCGGAAACATTCTTTACAACATCCTATGTCTCAACGGACTATAAAGGAGAGGAAGAACTCCGGAGCATCAAGTAAATTATATGGTACCAGATGATTCAAAAACAAACGAACCGGATCAGGCGTTTTCTGTACAAGCCCAAGATATGAGCAATCAAACTCATTAGGGAAGTACACTTCGGTCTTTCAAGCAGAAATACATGCCATCAACGATTGGCCAAGGGAAATCTTAAAAGAGGTTACACTGGCAAAAAGGTCCTCCTAAGATCTGATAGAAAAGCAGCTATTAAAGCATTAGCATGCAAAAAATCACACCAAAATTAATCAGTTAATCCAAAATGTTCAAAACCTGGGGAACACGTCGACTTGATATCTTGGGTACCAGGGCACAAAGCGGTTTTGGGTAACGAAAAAGCAGGCGCACTGACTAGTGGAGGATCTGCAAGACCATACATAGGCCCCGAACCTATACTTGGAATAACAAAAACAAATACAGAATCCTCCATGACAGAAGGATCCAAATAAAACAAAAGGAGAAAGAAATAGAACAAACTCTAACGGCGCTTGACACATTAAAGTTATGCTATCCTCACCAAAAGACTGGCAAACTCACTGCTGCAGTTGGAGAGGGCCAGACTCAGAGGAGTCATAGAACTATTAACCGGTCACTGGCATTTGAGAAAATATCTACATGGGCATAAATAAAGCAGGTTTATGGTTATAAAATAAAAACAATTAAATAAACGATTTTAAACAATTTTTTATTAATTAAAATACACTCCACGACTCTCAATACCTTCTCCCACTGATGAATACAAATTATGTAAATGCATTTTTTAACGACTTTTGATCAATACATTTTTTATGTTGTAAAACGTTGTCCAGGTGTCGGAAAAAATGGTTGTCGGTAGGCGAGAGGTCTGAAGAATAGGGAGGGTGAGACAGAACCTCAAACGACGATCCAGCAGTTTTCATGTTGTCACGTTTTAGACATGATGTCGTGTAACAAAATCAGACTTTTCCGATTGACCAAAGATGGCTTGAATAATGCCAATTTCAGGAGCATTGTTTTGAGAGCAATACATTTCGACATTGATTGTTTTGCCAGGATTCAAGAAGCTATAGTAAATCAGCCAAATGAAGCCCACCAACGAGTCACAAAGTTTGCACCAAATCACCTTTCCGATAAGTAGGGGACTTTGGAAAATTTTTTGTCGAGCCAGTGTCCAGAATGTATGCTCTTAACGTAGAGAATGTACTTTTCATCACAAGTAACAATTCTATCCAGCAATTGTCGTTTCGACCTCTATTCGGATCATCTTCAGAGCCTGAGCGAATTACAAAAAATATGTTGATTGAAAAAATAATTATACCATACATAAGTAAATTATATAAATTTTTAACAAGTTATTTTATACTGCATAAAGTGTAGTGCTATTTTTGTGGTGTCATGTTTGTTTCGAGTGAAAAACGAAACAAACATGCCACCACAAGAATAGCACCACAGCTTATGTGAATGTAAAATATGTACATACCGTATAATTATTTTTACCAATCAAAAAATGTTTGTAATTCATCCAGCCCCTGAAGATGACCCGAATAAAGGCCGAAACGCCACCAAAAATTGGGAAAAGGTGTTCATCTAAAATGCCTCATACCTGACTGCTTCTCACTACTTCAATAAATTATTGAACAACCGGTCGCTAAATAACACACATTACTATATAATTATCGTCTATCTATTTACATGCCACTTGAACTATTGTGACTTCTGTCGCAGAGACACCAACCAATTATCTCAACCTACAATTTTTTTGCATTTCCCTCTTTTTTTTCCAATATTCTGTATTATTAATATTCAATATATATTAGTTGATGTTTCTGGGACAGAAGTTACGAAAGCACAAATGTCAGAAGCTCCGGGATACTGATTCAGGTTCGAGACCCGCTCATGACACTAATTTTTCAACTCAACTGCATAAAAAATAATTAATTAATTAAAATAATTACTTTGGTTAATAGGACTAACTAAAACGTATATATTTTGTTGAGAATGGAATAAAAACAGTTATGACCATGAGCGGACATTTGCTTCATATTATGCGTTCGCTTTCTGTTGAACGTCTTGATTAAGTTAATCAACAACCTCTGCTTACATTAACTAATCTTAAATATTCTCATTAAAATGTATGAATACATATTTTATGTACTTTTTTTAATTTTCAGAATTAAGATGGAAGATTTGAAAGAGGAAGGCGAGATCGGAATGGTGGGTAAGAAGGTGCCGCAGTACAGCACGTACGCTGCTAAAAAAACAGTGGCTCAGGGGATGATGGACATTGCTCTGATCACCGCCAATGCCAATCAACTGAGATACCTAATCCAATTTCAAAGTTACGCCCCGACGTATTACGTTACCCTTACGCTCATCGTTCTCAGTATAGTTTTGCAGGTATTTGTCATTAGTTGTTAAGCCTTAAAAGTGGTTTCTTCGTCAGCGTTTGATTTCTGATATTTTTTTGTCATTTCCTTGATATAATCTGAAGTTTATCCGCTTGCGCAACGCGTCTGTGTTGTAAGGCAAACAAAAAATACAGCGGGAATTGACGGACCGGGAAGATCGGTGCCGATCAACAAGGCTCCAAGCTAAAGTTTAATCCTTTAGACACGTTAAATTTCCACATTTTTCTTACAGAACCAAGATTACAAATCATACAATGCATAAATTGGCTTTTTCTTTTTAAATAAATTTTTGTCTAACTGTTACATCGGATCATGCAAATGAGATTTAACTATAGATTATGCGGTGGTGTAACTGAATAATTAGATTTCAGGCACGAAACTATTTTTTAGAGGCTGTTCATTGTGAAATATACGCACTCTGCAACTCTGTACAAAACACAAAAAACACGTGTGTTCGAATTATCACATAAACGAAAAAAAGGAAGAAACAGCCATTCATGTTGAACTAGTATAGTGAACAACGGTCTGCAATCATAATCCCTTTTATTTGCAATCTATAGACATTAATACATACTACAAAACATGATCACAAAACGTTTTTTTCACATGGTCACATCACTAACACAAAGGCCAGTGCTGCACCCAAAGGACATATGCCATAAGAAATCAGCCAATACTGGCACTGAAAATGTGATCACAAAACGTTTTTTCACATGGTCACAGCACTAACACAAAGGCCAGTGCTGCACCTGGTGGATACATCCCATGAGAAATCATCCAATGCTGGCACTAAAAATATGATCACAATAAGTTTTTTCACATAGTCACAGCACTAACACAAAGGCCAGTGCTGCACCTGGAAGACACATATGAGAAATCAGCCAATGCTGGCAGTCTGAGTGAGGGATTAAGGAGGTCTCGAGGCCATTAAGGTGGCATGGCGGCTTTTCGATATGAGAATATGTAGAGTGGCCTCGAGCAGTAGGGTTAGGATGTGAAACTTTTGGAATCGGGATTGGACCAGTTAACAAAACAAATGTTGGGGTTGGTGTGGATGGTAAGGTTACTGACATAGGAGGAGCTTTGACAATTTGTCTGAAGACTTTTGATTGGAAGGAATTGAGGCGCTGGATTGGATGGCTTGATAGAAACACACATTTCCACAAATCCAATGTGGTCCAGTAAAGTATTATATAAGGTTAGCTTAATGCTGATGGTCAAGACAGATTTTGGTCCTAGAAGTCTTCGTAGTTGTCCAAGTCTTCTGTTAAATTGTCGTCTTCTTTATGTGGGGATTACATGTCAGTTTGCTGTCTTGGTGTAGTCCTAAATATTTGATTTAAATGTAAATGTAAATTATTAATAATTATTTAATTAATTGAGGTTTTAAATTGAGATAAAAAGTCAGTGTCAAGAGTGGGATTCGAACCCACGACCTTCGGCTTGATACGTCGCTACTCTACCACTTGAGCTATCGTGACTTCGATCCACTCGGGCACTAATGTCCCACCTCAACCCCACCTTTTGAATTTTCCTTTTCGCCATTTTTCAAATGTCGTATAATCTATTTGATTCTCGGCGACAAATGAAATGGCCACGGAGAGCTTTAGTGAAGATATACTTCATTTTATCTTATTAAATTCACTAGTTTTCGTGGTCCGCTTGACCAATTAATATCTTTCAATTAATTAAGGTAAAAACCTTAGTTGAGATAAAAAAGTCAGTGCCAGTGGGAAGTTAGTGCCCGAGGGGATTGAAGTCACGATAGCTCAAGTGGTAGAGTAGCGACATATCAAGCCGAAGGTCGTGGGTTCGAATCCTGCTCGTGACACTGACTTTTTTTATCTCGACTTAAAACCTCAATTAATTAAATGTTATTAATTGGTCAAGCGGACCACAAAAAATAGTGAATTTAATTAATAATAGTATCAACTTTCTGATGAAGGAGATATTTTGCTTGAAAGATCGACAAAGGAATTGAGTGTTTTATTTCAAATTGGCCTTATGATTTTTAATATAAAGTTACAATATTAAAGGTTCTTGTAATATTGTATAAAATGAAACATTAATCTTCTTTGAAGTTCGTAACATGGAATGAAACATGCTAGCTTCATTCCAAATGAAAATTGTACTTTTGTTTACATAACAAAATTCAATTCGCCAGTGGGTTCTCCAGTGGATGTGGTGGCCGAATAGGATAATCAAGTAGACTGGTTGTTTTTATCAATATGAATATTTTATCATTCCAGGAAGTGATATTGCAAAGAATGTCCTTTTGACGTTGATATGGATAAAACCTAAAAATAGTTTTTGATTTATACATTTTATAAGCATGATTGTATTGATTAGAAACTTGCTTTGGATTTAATGAAATGGGATACCCAGCACCTCCACCAAATTTGTAAGAAAAATAAAGATTGAAGAGAGTAGGTTTATTAACAATTTGAGAAAGAATAATACACTGATGGACAAATTTAACGCACTATTCAATTTATTTAGATTAAAATTAAATCCATTATCTTTTTACATTAGTTGCAGGTAATTACAAGTTATCATGGTCAAAATAAACATTAAACAATGCTTTCTTTACTTTTGTGCTGATTAATCCCATTTCCACAAATGTGGCATTTTGCCTTTCCATTCTGCTACCCTTAAAAATGGCTTTCAGTTAATCTTTTTCCTTTGTTTATTTCATTGATATTATTCTTATGGTTAAACCTTTTTCAATGGCTCCAGTCAGGCATTTGAGTGAGTATGACAATGCCAGTGCAATGTCGCCAGGAGACTGAGTGTAAGTCACTCTGCAATAGGGTTCTTCGTCACTTCAGTCATGGCTTTACACGGAAGGCTAAGACAGGTTTTTTTTACTGAACATTTAGCATTTGTTCAGATTTTTTTTGGACACATTTATGCTGAATAGTTTTCACTCTCTTCCCAGCCAGACCGATACATCACCCTGTAGTTGAATTACACTGTGATTGGTCATTCACGTGTTCAAACGTCTTCCCCAAAGAACGAAATGTTTTACAATGTTATTGGCATGTTATCACTCAAACAACAAGCCCATTTCATTACACTCCTTATGAGTAATGAGTTCTACCATATTTGATTAAAAAAATCATAATTCACTACCTACATGAACTATGAACATTCATTTTTCTTTTGGGATGGTTTTATGTTATGGATTACAGACATGTTTTATTCACATCAATACAAACCTAATTTAAATTTAACCGTAACTATGTTATTTTGGTTACAAGGAAACACTTTTTATTTGATTTATTGTTACTTCTAACCTAAGGGAAAATATAAAATTTAACAAATTTTATGTTTTCTCTTTTTGTTTGTTTGATTACAATCGATCATTTCTGGTCTGTCCTTCCTACTTGTCTGAACAACAACCTAGTGATAGCACAACCTTCACTGAAAATCAAAATCAAATTTGGGTGAACTGTAGATAAAATTGTAAGAGGTTAATTATATATAGCAGACAGCTAAACTTAACTTGTAAGGTAACTGAAATAAATTGATTTTTTCCTCATAAAAGTGAGTTCTTCATCTCTTGAAAGAAAATAAAACTAACAATTTTATATTTGGCAGCACTGTGACTTGATTTGTGATTATAGTAATATATTATTTGTTGCCTAAAGACGTGTAGTAAATAAAACAGTGTAATTCGGATTTTCACCCCAAAGGGTAGTCACTCCCTGATGTGCTGACCTTAGTGTGTTTACATCTGGGAGTTTTACCTACCCTGTTATTTGGCTAAGCCACTTAAGCCAGATGCCCAGGAGATCGCTGCCTCCCTTTCAACAGGGCTTTTGACATCTAGGTCATTTCAGCCCCAAACCCGTGCAAACTATAATCTAGCCTAATACTAATTAAATTAGATAAGTCAGTCACACAAATAAATACATTCATACCTATGTGCATTGAACTCATTCTGATTAGTTCGTGGATTACTTGATATTGCTACACACAGTATTAATAATCTAACCTAAATTAGGGTCAAAGGGTTACTTTTATTAATATTCTGTCATCAATCGTAAAAACACTGCTGAAGAAGCAATGGTGATACTGTATTTCACCATCCCCCCTCCAGTGTAATTTTTTATATATTTTTTATTTTATTTTATTATTATTATTTTTTTTTTACGAGGGTTCGCAACAGCAGAGGTCATTTAAACCCTCAGGGTGCCGGTGTTTTTGAAAAAAAGCTCATTTGTAAGTATGTCAGGTTCGAAAACAGGGCCGCTGGATTCGAACCCGGGACCTTTATCTTACAGTGATGAGCGCCCTGTCAACGCCTAAACCGTTGCGGCCACCGACGCCCCCCTCCAGTGTAATTTTAACTCTGTTTTACAATATGTATTTAATTAATTCACTTAAAACTTAGGTTGTTATATTGTGTAATTGCTTAATTTATCGAAAGTCCCTGTAAAAATTCCAAATTTAATTTAAAACTGCACGTAATTTAGTCTTATTGCAGTGTTTGTTTCAAATTAATGGTAACAAATCTATACTCATGCATAGACCTGAAAATGTAAGATTTTTCCATTATGTTTAGACAATTTACAATAATCAAAACATAAATAAATATGTGTAGTATTTAATGACCGTTAATTAATGATTATTTAGAGATTGTGAGATGTGGTCTGGTATGATGTAGGTTTAGAAAAATATTTTCTTTATTCTGCCAACTAAAAAATGTTGTAAAATCTCTAAATAAATATGTAAATAGTTAATTATTTTCAGAAAATTAAGTTTTGATTTAATTCGATATGATAAATAAATAAAAACTACTTATTTTTATTTATTTTACAGGTGATAGTTGGACTTTTTCTTATATTTAAAGGACGCTATGATCTCAAGGGAGAAGAAAAACTCAGACAAGCAAATATTGTCAATAATTATGTTGTTGTTGGTGTTTTTCTTATAACAATTATAAATGTTTTCATTGCATCATTTAGCTTATCAGTAGAGCCAATTATCGGATCGAATGTAGTTGTACAAAATAATCCTGCACTTGCAGCACCTTAGCGAGTAATCTTTTATAAACTTTTTTTTGAGTTAATCCATATTTAAAAAATAAAATAAATATGTCGTTGATAATAATGATTAATTTTTGTACTTTCAGAAAAATAACAAAGAACGTTTATCTTGCAACTTTTTTAGTGTAAAAACCAATTGCAATGTATATAAGATTTCACAATTACAATTGGTTTAATATTGTATATGGAATATGCCTTGATATGATTGATATCAGCCTTAATATTATAATTGTAAATAAAAAATTAACGATAAGATGAATTTGCAAGGAAGAAAACACTCAGTTCCTTCGATAATCTTTTGAGGAATCCCCTTCATCATCAGTTTGAAACTAATTCTAATGATTTATACAAACATTCACTTACAGTATTAAAAATTAAACCATTTAGTTTAGCTTAGCAGAGTGGGCAAGATCTACCACCCTTCCATTCTATATTGATACGTGTAAATCACTAGAAATGATTTCAAAGTCCTGATGAAGGTGATTCCTCAAAAACTTGACAAAGGAACCTGATTTTTTTAATGTACAATCATATGGAATATACTTTGTGTGTATGTAATAATTGCTGATAACTTTGGTAAAGCTTTTATCTTTATCTATTTTATGCTCACAATACATACATTTGTAGGTTAAAAACTTTATTATGTGATATGGTTGAGAGTCTTACATTTAATAATAAATTTTATATATATATTTCTTATAACAATTTAAATTTGAAAGTTTGAATTAAATTCCTCAGCATTACTTTACTACAAGGCATACATTTTTACTAATTTTTAATTAATTATACTAAGGTCTTGGTTGAGATGAAAGATTTAGTTTAACGAGTGGGATTTGAATAGCTTCTTAAACGGCGTTTTGAGCACTAGTTTTTTCATCTCATTCAAGTCCTTAGATATAAAAGCATAATTAATTAAAAATTAACTAATACAATCAATTATGACTACTTAATACCCATATGGATTTTGAATTAAGTTGGCTTGTTTCTGGCTATTCTAGGTAATTAACGTTTTGAAATAAAATGTTTTGTAAAACTTTTTTTACCAAAAAGATTATACTGTAAACATTGCTTTTACAAAATGAATTACAATTTTGAATGGTGATAAGTTTAGATTTTTTATTGTCATAATGTTAATAGAAATTGAGAAAAAAAGTATTTATTGTTATTTTCATAAATTAAAACATACTTTAAAATGTCATTTTCATTATGAGTTCTTATTTTCCCTTTAACATCTGATTATAATAAGAGTGGTGAGTATAGAATAACACGAAGAAATAAAACACTTTCAAAACAGATAAAATTGCAAAGAAAGCCTACTTTGACCAAGAACTGCCAAATTATGTTAATCTATTTGGCAATACGTTTTCTGCGTTTTTTTTTTGTCATAAAGTTTTACATGCATCTTTCTATGGGATAGAAGTCACCATATTGTAAATTCGGGTAAACTGATCGTTGCATAATTTGCATGATTTCTATTTTTACATCCATTTTAATAGGATCGTTTAGCTTTTTCAGTGTAGGCAGCATAGAAAGTAAAAAGAGTTTATCTTCATCTTCTTTACTGTCGTTCTCGATACTTTGTGCACTCTTGTATCCTTTGGGTTCAAAGTGTTCTTCTCGAGAGCACACGTTAATTTTAGATATTGTTGGTCTTTCTCTGATAGGTTCCATCGAATATTGTCTCTCTTCTAAAGAATTGTATCCTGCCGGAACTCTCCTTGTAGTGCATTTTCTAACCTTATTTACATCAATAATGTCTGCCTGCCGTTCTTGACATATTTTCTGTAATGGAAAGGGGTCTGAGTGTGGAAGAGTTTTTCGATCAAATATAAACATTAAATCGTCATTTTGAGGACCTCTTCTAAATCCATCTGACTTTGAAGCATGCAATGGAAGATTATTGTTCATCGGAACTCTTTTTTCATTTTCTTGTTTTTCTTCTGTTTGGACATAGCAGCAATAGTGTATTGGGCGAAGTTGCTTCATATCATTTGAAGAAGTGACAAACTTGAAGTTTGATTTTTCATGTTTTTGATCTTGTTCGCATGGTACACATAAAACTAATTTATCTTGCCCTTGTTTTGCATCGGTTTTGGGTTGAAGTTCTTCATGGCATTGACAGGTGTTGAATTTACATTTGACGTTGTATGGCTTTTCTAATGGTTTCTTTCTATTGTCATCTTCTAGTGATTTTTTCTTGGTATGTTTCTTTTTGTTATCATACTGTTTTTCATGGGCCTGTCTAGTTTTTGGAGATTTCTTTCTTTTATCGTACCCCGTTTTTTTTTGTTCGGGAATAAATTTACTTCTTGGATTATCAAGTGTCTCTTCTTTGTGGGAATGACTTTTCTTGGCTGAAGATTCCGGTTCATCTTCCTGAGATTCTTCTGATGAGTGCTCCAATTCAGAATCAAATGCTATCGTAGTCGCAGAATCTGCATGTCCTTCCCTTTTGGTCGATGGTTCTTTTTCATGATATTTGTGACTACTGGCTTTTTTCGATGTCTTTAGAGTTGTGTTTTTAGTCGGTGAAGTAATGTATGTATCCTTCTCAGTTTTTGATGAACTTTTTTCCGAATTTAATAATGAATGTTTTTTTCTAGGTGAATCACTTTGAGTGCCTCGTACATAAGAATAGTTACCCTGTTTACCACTCTCATCAGTTTTTGTTAAACTGTTAGAATCAGAATCCAGATCATCGTCCTGTTGGGATCTGGAAAATTGAGGACGACCAACAATTTATATAAGGATTAACTGCAAATTTTTTACCATTAATATTAAAAATAAAAACTTTACATGCCAGTGAGAAGAGAAGTTTGTTTATTTTATTTTATATGTAATATTTGCCTTATCTTGAGAAAATTATGCTCTAACCACTTCAATCAGTCCTGAATGCATGATTGTTTGATTTCGATGAATTTTATCTTTTAGTTTAATAAATAAGTAACCCCTCAAGTGTTAGTAAATAAGTTTAGTTTTCAACTAGCCCTCAGATCTATTAGTCGAATTCCTCGATCCTCTTTTCCTTTATCACCACCACCCAATCCTATCTATCCTTCGGAAATTTTTAAGTTAAGAAATCCCCACGACACAACCTCAAACTCCCAAAATTCATAAAAACCTACCTAATAAAAGCAATTGTACATAACAACCATTTTCACATCCATAATTCACACAACCCACTTCCACAACCAGTGCATACTTCCTATCATAACCCCAATTCCCAAGCCAAACAAATCCCCTAGTGACCCATCTACATACAGACCTAGAATCCTAGCTACAATTTTTGAACACCTCATATTAAAAAGGTTAATTGCCATATTCAGCTCCATAACAAAATCCCATCCATCATTTCAGCATGGGTTACAAATAGTAGACCCAATATCCTCTGCCCTAGAAAATAAGCATTACTGCTTGTAGATGTTACAGAGACAATTTGGCAGAGAGCACTCCGGTCTCCTTTTCAAATTAAAAATTATTATTTCCCACACCTACTACTTCATCCTGAAATCACTTGGCTCGCTGGTTCAAGGTGAGAATTGGCTTTAAATTTTCAGACATCAAGGCTGGCATTCCCAAGAGTCGTAGGACCAATCCTCTTCACAGTCTACACCACTGACATACCTACCCTAACACCCACATCATGATCTTCACGGATGCAAACCTCTCTTCACATTCTGACCCTATTCTTGCAACACTCGGTGGCGCATCGAGCTAAATGAACAAAAAAGCAGATGATGTTCACACCTAGAAGAATCTGCCCACCGGTACACACACAGTGAGGTAATCCTCCCATCCAACAAAGTCCATCACCTTAGGTTCTACTTGTACAGCAGACTTGCATGGAACACAAAACAAAAAAGACAAAACTGAACCGAAGGTACAGGCAACTCAGACGCCTACTTGGTCCAAATCCACAAAGCGTACTCACAGCAAACTGACACAAACTAACAAAACACAAGACATCAATTAGGCGGATTTGAACTTATGGAGTCGAGCTGTAGGGTTCAGCCAAGCCATCCAACATCTAAAGAATCAAGTACTTTCAGTCAAAAGTCCTATGTTGCATCCTCAATACTCCCTTCTACAAATCATTCACAAAGACCTAGATCATGTAAAGAACCTGATCTAAAAACGATTCCACAACTTACACTTCAAACTCTCCTTCCATAATCCAGGACGTCCCCTAACAATCCTCCACGCCGCCTAAAAAGTCAGTGGCCTCGTGACCTTCTAATACAACCCTAAACCAGTTCTAAACAATGGCTCCAATTCAATAACAGCTATTTAAAGAGAATATAAGAGAACTCAGCCAGAAGGCATGGGAAGAATCGTGGAGGACCTCGGTCAAGAGGAAAATTCAAAAAGAGTTTTTCTCAAACATCACCACGTCTTCGTATCGGGAATCTAAAAATCGACCAAAGAAGGACGCGGGACGAAATACAGATCGGACACGGAATAGTAGCGGAATACCTACACCGACTTCAGATCATCATCATCCCTAAATGCCCATGTGGACAAACACTAACGCAGAGAGTGGACCATTTGCTTTGGAGTGCGACAGTGTCCAACATGCCAGGTCCCATTGGTGCAACGCATGGTGATGCATGGACTGCGATGGCCCCGGCAAAAAGCGAATTTTTGTATAAAGAGTATAAATCAAAATTTTAGACTCGTAAAAGATTTTTTTTTAGAGTAGAGGGATTGATTCTATAACTCATGAAGTTTTAATGTGTTTCATTTAGATGTAAATTTAAAATGAGATATGTAATTTCATGTAATGCCGTAAAGTGCGCGGTGTTTGATAAAAAAATAAAACAATGGCTCCTCTCCCTTATCCTCATCCCGTGGTCTGACAGATCCTTGCTAGGTCTTTTATTGATCGCTACCAAAAAATTGTCAAATGTGTAAATTTTTGTACAGAAAACAATAATATTAATGATAAAAAAAGTTGTCTAAAAGTGACTAGTGACCCATTTTTAACTAGTTATATGTATGTATAATATTCCATTCTTTGACATCTAATTTTCTTTAAGTGGTACACTTTTGTCACAGTTCAAAAACCGCTTTAAACGTACGATTTTGCATGTAAGCACAAGAAATTTTACCTTAATGCATTCCATAATACAAATTATTTAGAAAATAAATGTCAGTATCCCAAACTATTCGCGAATAACTTTTTATGAACGCGAAGCAAAAAAAAAAAAAAAAATTAAATTGTTTTAGAAATGTATGATAATATACGATAATCTGTTGTATTTTGACCGGAGTACTATAACGAAACAAAGAACTGGCTAATTTTATTTTATTTTTTTATATATTTTTTTTAACGAGGGTGTTTCAACTACGAAGTTATTTGAACCTTCAGGGTGTCAGTGTTTTTGAAAAAAAGCCCATTTGTAAATATGTCGGGTACGAATGCAGGGCTGCTGGATTCGAACCCGGGGCCTTTACCTTACATTGACGAGCATCTTGTTAACGTTTAAACCGTACATTTGTATCCGGTATACGCGAGCAACTTAATGCCTAGCCGTACGGTCGTAAACTTTCCTTCAGCCAACTTTTATTTTTGGACAAAATAGACATTTTTGTACTGTTTGTTTACCTTTCCGGGCTTTTAGTCTTGCTGATTTTTCTTGACATCTTGCCGCAGGAACTCTGACAAGTCTATCAATTTGGCTTGCTACATGCTTTTGTCCCGAACATTATCATCTGGCCGTTATCAAAATAAAATATTCAGGCAAAATAAGGAAAATATTGCCGACTATAAAACCACCTATATTTATCATTTTCATAGTAGGATTTTAAAATAGTATTTTATGTACAATTTTGTATTAAAGGTTTTGAAGTTTTTTTTTGTATGAAAGCAAAGAAACAATATTAAAAACAAAAAATAAATAATACAACAAGAACTAAGATCAACAACACTGTAAAACTTATAGACTTATTTTTTAAGACATATTAGTGCGATTAAAGTGTCATCATGATTTTACCAATATAATCTGTACGTAGTTCGACGGTTTGATTATTTTAACACATGTTTTCTTAACCGTTATGTTCTTTGAGTGCGTTAACATTAAAATTTGTTATATTTAATTTTAATATAGTTTGTAAGAGAAATCACAAATCCGATGTTTATCAGTGAATCGTCAATCGTGTCAAATTTATTTATTGAAGTCTTTGTAGACGCGAACACAGTTCTTTGTAGGATTCTTTAAGATTTTGCAATCCGTAAAACAGACTCCTGTCTGGTGATCTCGACGGAGAAGAAGGAGAGACCGACGTGGGCTGTTGTACCTGGTGCCGAAGTGGAGATGCCGCCGCTTTTTGAAGAGTGTTCATCATTTCGACCTTGGCGTTAATTTTACTGTCGTAATCCATCTTTTTTAACGTTGGGAGTATCGAAAGTAAAAAGAGTCGATCGTCGCAGAATTCCGGCGGAGGCGTGAATTCACTCAACCCACACGCCTTTGGCTCAGAACGATCTTCGACATTTCTGTTTTCTATGCGGCTGTATTGATTTAACCGTTCATCACAGACAGTTCTGTTTTCACGAATAGTCAACTGGTGTTCGTTTCGGTTCGGAGGAGACGGAATGCGGGACCTTTCGTCCAATGGACTGAAGTTCTGTCGATCGGTGTAAGCCGTATCTGCTAACGTATTGGTGAACTTCGGCCTCAACCATTCTTCCTGAAACGACACTCGTTCTTCACTGCAGGTTCTCCTGAATTTCTGTCTTCCGGCTTCGATGTGGCGAGACGTGCTCGGCACCCTGATCACTTCAATATCCGGACACAAAATAGAAGACTTCTCGTATGCGGTAAGGCTGTCGTCACTCTTCGTGGCAGCTCTCGTTTTACTGCATAACGATTTAGGCCGATTTTTCTGGGAGGAAATATACAGGTGAAAATCGGGTTTGGGAGAAATGGGCGGTTTAAGGAGAAAAGGTGGAATGCGTTCGACTCTCTTCGTTCTACATTGTATGCCATGTAAGTATTCAGCGGTATGGAGTATTTCCTCAGAGGAGTTTGTCGAAGAAGAGCAGAAGTTACTCGAATTTTCACTATACGATGTTACAGACGAGGAGCAGCCTCGCCTGGAAACCGATGTATCAGTCATCTGTCCACCACGATCACAATCGGACCGTAGACGGTAAGGAATCACAGATGGAATACAGCTTTCACATTTCGTTCTACGTTCGCTTTTACTTACCGGATCATTTCTCGCCGATTCCAATCGACTATGACTTTTCCTAAAAAAAAGCATTTATATGTATGTATAGTTCACCACAAGATTGATTTTGAAAATGTATGAACATGTAAAATAAAAACGCATTAAAACATAGATTAGCATCGCCCAACTTAAGCCTAACCTAAACGAGTATCTTAAACTTACCACTTATCCGATTTTCCGTGCTCAGGATATCCACATTTTTCATTGCTTTTTATTCGTAAAGGAAACGGCATTTTGTGCCTGCAGCAGTAAGTAAACGCTGTGCCTCCCGTCCGAGATCAAGATAGGGGAACAAACAACACGTATCATTACATTATCGATAAACGCATGAGTTCGGTTTTCTGCGAGGAAAATGTCTATTTTGTATTGTACATGATGTATTACTAGTGGAACATATGTGCACTGCTCATAAATATTTTTCATAACATTTCTCAGTTTCAGTTTTGTGTTGATACTTATCACAAGTATAACTTGTTCCATTTGATAAATCACGTTCGATCATGTTAGCGTAAACGGTTCGTCAATATTTTTTAAAACTAACCCTTTAATTTGGACACAATGACCGGACAAAAAGAAGGGCATTTTATTAAGAAATTTTCCGACTTCAATCAACTTGGGTTAAATTTTTCAAATTTTTTTTTCAAATATACATTCACGACGGTCCTTAAGCAATTTGTATCTTTATTTATGGAATAAAATTAGAATAAAAATGAAAATCGAATAAAATTCTGATTGTTAAGGAACTTAATTTACTTGACATAAAGGTCCAGGCTTTGACAATCTCTCTCTCTCTCTCTCTCTCTCTCTCTCTCTTTCTCTCTCTCTCTCTCNCTCAATAAAAGATCGAAACGTTGGCACGATAAAGAAAATGTTTTTCTGAAACCTACATCACACCCGACCGCATCTCACGATATCTGAATAACTATTATAACTATATACAATAGTACAACCTAGTTTCCTCCAAGAATCGGAACAGGGGACCCAAATACTCGCTGCCGTGCTCGGTAAAATAATAATAGCAATAATAGTAAAACATGTAATAAAATATACAAAACAATAATGACAATAATATATTCTTTAAAATATTGGTTATGGGACGCCTTGAGGAAAAAAATACATTGGTCGATTTGAACATTTTTGATCCTCAAAATACAAAGGTTTTTCAGCGATTAACCTTTAATAGAACAATCTCAACGAATATTGCGGACACGTGCTAATCTAGGTTCATTTTTCTTTTTCACCGTTTTGTTTTTGCTCGGTTTAATTACAAGTTGTGCTCTGCAAACAAGGGTATAACTATTAATTTCCGAGTTCGTCCTTGTTCAAGCTACCACAATTATACGAGCTACATATTGCTGTTTTACAACAGTTCTATCTCGCGGTCAGATCTTTCTAAGTTTGGCCCCGTGTCACAGGCGAAACGAGGCAAAAACGAGACCGGCCTCCTCGGAGGGAGGCTGATTATTCCCTCCGAGGCTGTTTTGCTTTGAACCCTACGTGAACGGCAAGCCGCATTTATATGAGATCCCGTAACGTCCTAAAACGCCGGGGGAGATTTACAGGGGTCCTTTCTCAAATATACAAAAAAATCCAACGGATTAATTCCTTTGAAATATAGTACTGTAATTTGTCAACCTTGGACGTTTTAGTAAAAATGAAATCTAAATCTCGATTACGAATCTTCTGTATTACATTATACCAGGCGCTTCCCAAACTTTTTAGCAATCGGACCCCTTTCACAGAACAAAATCCAGGGCGGATCCCTCTCATTCAAATATTTAAAATACGTACAGTATGTAGTAAGTTAAATAAATTAGATGATTGTCGAACCGAAATAATTGTCTTTAATTATTTAATAATTAAGACTTCAATATGTCAATATTTATGAAAGGAGTTCGGTCTACAGATTTAATATTCTATTCATCGTCTTTCTATATATTATCATATTTTCAAGAGATCACTTGGCCGATATCGTTTCAGCCTTCGTGGAAGGTTTAGGAGATTCTTGGTTGAAATAAGAAAAAAGATCGAAAGGGGTTGGGAGTGAACCGTAAACGTGCCGTGAAACTTTTAGATCGGAATGGGTGAGTTCTTGTACAAAAGGAATACTAAAATATATTCAGTGATTAATACTTTTCTCAATATCAAAATTGACTGATTCATGTTTTTACTTGGTTCTAATATTTTAATCGATTTATTATTTTTGATGCAAGGTGGTTGAGTTGAAAGATTAGTGTCACGAGGGGGACTCGAACCCAGGACATCCGGATCAGTACCCCGGCGCTCTACCAATTGACTTGTGACTTCTAATTTGTCCGTGACACTAATTTTTCAACTCAAACACACTTGGCATAAAAAATAATAATTCGATTAAAATCAAAATTGACTGTTGAATTATTACTTAAAAAGCCGAAAAAAAGTGGTCATAGGTAATAATAGATAAACTAATAAGTCATAATTATATTATATTTCGTGGTCTGATTGACCAAAGAACTTCTTTCAATTAATTAATCTTTTTATGTAAGGTATTGGTTGAAATGAAAAAGTTAGTATCACGAGCGGGATTCGAACCCACGACTTAATTTGGTCAATCAGACCACGAAATATAATGGATTTAATAAGTAAAACGAAGTATACTTCACTAAAGCTCTCCGTGGCCACTTCATATGGCGCCGAGAATCGAATCCTGATTGAACGACATTTGAAAAATGGCAAAAAAGGAGGGAAAATTCGAAAGGTAGGTTGAGATAGGAAGTTAGTGTCGGAGTGGATCGAAGTCACGATAGCTCAAGAGGCAGAGCAGCGGCGTATTTAGCTGAAGGTCGTAAGTTCGAATCCCGCTCGTGACACTAACTGTTTCATTTCAACCAATACCTTACATAAAAAGATTAATTAATTGAAAGAAGTAATATTTCGTTAAAAGAGGTAATTATATAAATAATTAGATAGGACATATCTCGCGAAGATTTGTCGATTTTCAGTTAATCCGGAAAGATTGCTGATTATGAATGAGGCTTTTATACTACAATACTCACCTATGTTAGAGTGAAAACATATATTAGGGAGGTGTGTGGTGATTAGTGACCGTTAATCGATATTTATTTAGAAATCGTGAGATGCGGTCTGGTGTGACGTAGGTTTCAGAAAAACATTTTCTTTATCGTGCCAACGTTTCGATCTTTATTGAGATCATCTTCAGGACCTGGGATTTACAAACATTGTTTACATATTACAATTACATTTTGGATGTGGAAAAGTGAATTTATACAATGCAAAATATATTTTATATATTTAATCAAAGTATTTTTACTCAAACGCCTTATACAAAAATGTCTTTTCTATACCGACATCCTTCCCTACCCCTTCAAAATAGCAAAATCTCACTGGCACTCTCGACACGACACGCAAGAATGACACAATTACACAGAAGACAAACACTTTGAGTGAGTAGAAATACTTTGATTGAATATATAAAATATATTTTGCATTGTATAAATTCACTTTTCCACATCCAAAATGTAATTGTAATATGTAAACAATGTTTGTAAATCCCAGGCCCTGAAGATGATCTCAACAAAGATCGAAACGTTGGCACGGTAAAGAAAATGTTTTTCTGAAACCTACGTCACACCAGACCGCATCTCACGATTTCTAAATAAATATATATTAGGGAGGTTGTACATAACGTTAGCGTGAACGGTACGCTAAATCGATTGAAGTGCGCATGCGCAGGTTTAATGGAACGCTATCTGAAATATCGTTTTACCTTATTCGTCTTAACGTAATTAACCGTGCGTGTTAACGGTGACGGTAAAGTCAATAAAATCTGTTTTTTGGAGATATTATCAATTTTAAAAAAATATATATATATTTAGAAATATAATAAATGATTATTTGGAAATTGTGAGATGGGTTTTGTGCGGTCGAAAAATAACGAAGAAACGTTGGCACAGTAAAGAAAATGTTTTTCTAAACCTACAAAAGACCGCACCTCACAATCTCCAAATAATCATTAATCTGTCTTCTAAATACTACACAAATAGAATAAAAATTGATTTTTTTATATAGTTTTTAAAATAAAACAAGTTTTCATGAATCATGACTCCTTAAGATTGTGTGTATATGTGGTGTTCCAACATTAAATTATTTAGCTGTTTTATTTATATACAAGCACGGATGATAGATGGAATACAGCAACCTTATCCATCTTTCTTTCAATAAAATCACAGTAATTGTGTAAAACAGACCCTTTGGCAGAACCACCTACATAAAATTAAAAAACTAAAATTCTAAAGACAGGTATAGAATGTGGCTATAATGAGTATGTATACGGTTGACTGTGATATATTTTACTTTTGCCAAAAATTGCTAAGCTAAGTTAAAATCTTTTTCCTCGGTTTTGACACTTTTCGTCCTCAATTTCATTTAAACTAAACTTTCCTTGTATCGATCGTTAATTAATGTTTACTTTGTACGTTAGAGCTTCTAAATCTATGAGGCCCTTTGCATTCTTCAAAATATCGAAAAATCCATAACATCCGTGAACGTTGCCATATTTTTACCAGCTTGCAAGATACGAATAACCTGAATTACTACAAAGTCCCCAGAAAACTCCAAATTTCCAAAAATTTTTCAAATATCGTCAAAAAAGATTTAATAGCGGAAACATTATGCAAAATCTCTTATGTTTCTGGGGAATCTGAATTGCACACGGTTCTATTGATTTACAAAGCCACACTGGTGCTTCTATTGAGGAAAATGGGTATTCAGGCGATTATACAAGAAGATGGTATATTACAAAAGGTATTGCTAGATTTAATATTCAGTGTACTCAGCTAAACTAGCAGATTTAATATTTATGTAATTATTCATCTAAATTTGAATGGAATAGATTTAATCCTGTTCGACAATATCCAACAATACGTTCAAGGTCTATTCATAGTATACATCAATAAGCAATAAAACGAGGGTTTGGCGTCTGATGAAATTTGCTTTGATGTGAAAGCGTATTACCTGTTAAACGCGAAAAATCTTTTTAGATCAAAAGATCAAGGAAGAAATCAAGGTTTCAATCGTTGAATCGCGAACGTTCTGAAGGCAATCTTTTTTGTTTCCGTGGCAAAGGGCAATTCGGCGTGTAACTCGTTTTAGCCCGGCTTCGCCCGAGTTTGAAGGGGCTACCAAATTAACAGGACACGTTTCCTTTTGTGGTTGGAGTACTTTTCGAAGCGGTACAAACGTTATAAAACCGAGGGGCTGAATTTAAACGAAAATAACCTTTCAATCAGACCGATCCCAGTTTTCAAAGGGAGGAAAACCCCTCGCAATATTTCTGTTTTCGCTTCAATATCTGTAGCGGTACAATTTACTGCGTTTCCCCGAGAGCGTTTCATCACTGATTTATCGCCGTCGTCTTTCTTTGCTGGCGAATGCGACGTTCACTACATTCAATCTAAACCTGAAGG